GTCAAAAAGGACAGACAGACCCCAGATGATTTCTCTTCATCTTTTTCTCCTCAACATCTGTGTAATCTCTTACTTCTCTTATTTTGGGGAGCTTGGCTGGTTTTCTTTACTTTGGGGGATTGTCTTCTTGATGTTTTTTGTTTTCTCGTTTCCTCTTCCTCTCAGCCGTCTTGCTCTTCTTTGCTACCACTGCTCCCATCTGATGCGGTCTCTGTATTAAATTCACCAATTCCTCTCTAGGTTTCTCTGTTTTTGTTTTTGTTTTCTCGCTATAACCTAGTCGGTGTCTATTCGGGTCCGGTGTGTCACTTGTTTCCGCGGACGGTTTTCCAGTTTTTTTTTTTTTTTTTTACCTACTTCTCCCTTCTGTTGTTCTGTCTTTGTGTTTCCTCACCTTGTGCAATATCGGTCGATGATTATGATGTATGGCTGAATGGGTCTGGTAGAGGTAGATCCAATGCTCAGTTGCGTTCTGGGCCAAAAGTGTCATGAATTATGTATGTCCTGTACGATCCAGTATGGCACCTATATATGACTGCTCTAGTAGACATTGTAACCTCGTAGTCACAAGTCATGAATATTCGTCTATCACATAGCATTCAGCCCCTACATATATTTCAGTTATGTTAAAATAGATCAATATAATTGAAGATACCATATCATTAGATGGAAAGGTTGAGCCACCAAGTCCGAGCATATAAGCAAGTGCGCGGCTTTAGCTTCAACCCCGACCGAGAACTATATACAATCGAAATGCAACATGACACGGTACAGAATAGGAATCCAAGAAGTCAAATCTATGTGGTGCAACCAAGGCACCAAGACAATTTCAAAAAAAAAAAGAAAAGCATCCAAGTCTAGTGCTCATTTACTGAGTGAGACCGAGACCTTCGCCGCCAACCTTGTGGTAAGGTGGCTGAGCGCCAAGAGCCTTCTGAGCATCGAAGCGCCAGATACCGCCAGTCTTATCAGTCTCGAAAGCGAGATCGGCCACTTTAGCGAGACGCTGGATCTGGGGGTCGTCGGCACCCTCATCGATACGGTTGAAGAAACGGCGCACCCACTCGCGGCCCTCCTCCTTCTCAATGCGGCGCTGTTCGCGCTGAGCAGTCTCAATGCGCGACTTGTAACCAGACACGGCATCCATGTCTCCCTTCTGGATGTTGGCGGCCACGTCGCTCCAGGCACGTCGGCTCTCGTACAGATCCTGCTGCTCGAGGGGAGCCAGGGCCAGCGGGGTGACGGGGTTCTCCTTGGAGTTCCAGGTGTCGATCACGTCCTTGGTGCGGGCATCCTTGATAGAGAACTTGCCCGACCATTGGCCATCTACCGTGTAAAGGGGGTTCTTCTCGCCCTCACTCTCCTTGAACAGACTCGCGCTGAAGGTGTTCTTCTTGCCGCTCAGCCAGCCTTTGCCGGAATAATCGATCTTGGCGACATAGCCGGTGCTGCTGACAATCTTGGTTGACTTCTCCAGTTCGACGAAGGGTGAGCCGTAGATCAACGATTCGATGTGCAGGCTGGGTAGCGTGATCAGGTATTGCTCCTTCTCGTTGGATCCGGTTGGGGTGAGTGTGTATAGCGCATGGCCGATCTGCTTTACAAGGATGGTGCTAGAGAAAGAGGCCTTCTGCGCGTTATATCCTTGCAGCTGTGGTTGTATTGTCAGTTATTGGCATCTCCCAAGTACTTGATATAATTTTGGTTTACTTACCTCAACTCCGTTCTGTTCATTTCGGATCGCATAGGCTGTGGCAGGAGGGTGGTGGCTGTGGTTTAATCAGTGGGTTGTAGTTCTACACAGAAACAGCCTCACATACCTGACTTGTTCACTGACCAAGACAGTCTCCCCTACTTCCGCATCACCAGCCCATTTACCAATGAACAGCTCTCCCAAAAAAGGATTCAAAGGCTTCTTCTCACTGCCGAGCTTCTCACTGCGGCTGCAGTATTGCTGGTGCAATGTGCTGAGGAACCACTTGAGAACCAGGAGAGCACGCTTCGCGGGATCGGCCTCCTTAGCCGGTGCCACGAATAAGGCAGGGTGTTCGGCCCAGTAGGCGGAGTACTCGGTGAGGGATGTAGTAGAGAGGATGAAAGGTGGAGCAGTCAACGAGGATAGATCACCGTTAAAGGAGGCGATGGACTAGAAATTTGTTAGCCTAGTATACTCAAGCAGATAAGGTTGCCTGCCTTTAGGAAACTTGTCCATGAGCCCTTGCTATTAGGAGGGACCTGGCTCTGAGGGGACATATTTAATAAGAATGAAATAGTCAAATTGGACTCGAAATCTCCAAGATAAACGCACGAGATGTGGGGGAGGTGGAGGGACGAAGTTGGTCGTTGGCGGTCAGAGGATAACGTCATGGGCGGGAAAGCAGATGAACAGCCACCGGACAATCAGATTGGGTAGTTTTCTTTCTCCTTTCCCCTTTAGAAAGCCATTGATGATCAGATGCACATACTGACCTTTGTTCAACCCAGATTTTTTCCAACATACTTTTTATTGGAAGATCCAACATCTCTCAAGGCCAGTGCTAGGCCATAAGATGGGAGATTGGACCTGAAAACAGCCAAGTTTCATCCAGGGCATATAATTTTTTCTTTCTAATTTAACAGTTTCAGTCAGGTACGTTATGATTCATTTTCCATACGAACCAACCATACTAGAAATCTCCCCCAGACTATGTACCCTCGGTCCTAAATAAGTAGAACCGGATTCTTTTCCGCCCCTCTGCCCTACTCGGCAGACCCTTCCGGTCTTCTCCCCGAATCACATTGGCTCTTCGCCTCTAGGTTAGGCAGGATGGACCCCAAAAAGACCGATAGCAAGCCCTCTGCTCCGGGCTGACCTCTAAAACGCTACGTCGGAGACAATCCGCCGATCCTCCCCAAGATGATAGGGAAAAAATAGCATTCAGATTTCTCTCTGTGACTCACGTTTCCATTCTGGGATGTACTTTATTGTTCTTGACTTGCTTAAGCTCAATCCATTTACTTCTATATCTTCACTTTCAGCTGCAATCGCAATTGAGGACATTCTCGTGCATCTCATATACCCGATGAGCATGACCTCGGAAAGAAGCCGAATTTGAAAAACAATTGCGGAGATTTTCTTTTATCTTGCATTTGCACCACGAGAGACAGGCACTTGAGTTATCTCGAGCTAGCAGGCACTAGCTTTTGCGAAAATATTCCCGCCATGTCTCCAACTACCTCAAAAGCGTCTAGCGAGGAGAGACGGTCTCAGTCATGGGCGAATGAAACCGAAATCCAGAGATCTCAATCCCGGCGTTCCCAACGAGACGGAGTCAATAGTCTTGATCACGTCCGGAGCCACGTTTCACACCATGACATGCCTGTCAATGATGACTTCCAGGAGGTTGATGCGGAGCAATATCTACGCTTTTCACCAGCCCGCAAAGTCATCATCGTTGGTGTGCTGTCATTTTGCTCTTTCCTGGCACCTATCTCCTCCACATCTATATTAGCCGCTATACCTGAAGTGGCAAAAACCTATAACACTACGGGAAGTGTGATAAACGCGAGCAATGCGCTATATATGGCATTCATGGGTATTGCGGCTCCCTTCTGGGGGCCTTTTAGTCAGGTCTGGGGACGCCGTCCGGTGGGTAACGAGAAGAAGTTCATACTGAAGTAACAAGCTGATTGGTGGTAGGTCTTTCTCGTGAGCGCATTTTTATTCTTTGCGTTTAGCATCGGCACGGCTCTAGCACCCAACCTTCCAGCATATTATATTTTCCGTGTCTTGACCGCATTTCAAGGAACATCTTTCTTGGTTGTTGGTAGCTCGGCCTTGGGTGATGTATACGAGCCCCGAGCACGGGCAACAGCATTGGGGTGGTTTTTGTCAGGAACCCTAATTGGGCCAGCCTTTGGTCCATTCATTGGCGTATGTGTATTACAACTGCTCTATAAATCTTACGACGAGACAATTAGCTGACCTACAAGTACAGGGCGTGATCGTCACCTTCCGGTCATGGAGAGTGATTTTCTGGCTCCAGGCTGCTCTTGGGGGCAGCAGTACCCTTCTTGTCTTCTTCTTCTTCCCCGAGACCTACCCGCATCTGACCAAGGGAGACATGGCCGACAAGACGATATGGCAAAATTCCAAATATCTTTGGCACCGGATCTCTCCTCTCCAAGTTGCTACTATGCTGTTTAAGTATCCCAATCTTTTCTGCACGGGTCTCGCTGCCGGCGCTCTCGTCTGGAACCAGTACTCCCTCTTGACTCCAATTCGATACGTACTCAACCCACGCTTCCACCTCACCAGCCCTATCCAGACGGGTCTGTTCTACATCGCGCCAGGCTGTGGGTATCTTATTGGCACATTCATGGGTGGAAGGTGGGCGGACCATACAGTGAAGAAATGGATCCGTAAGCGGGGTGGGGTCCGAGTTCCCGAAGACAGACTGAAGTCTTGTCTGATATTTTTGGGTGTTGTTATCCCCGGTTGTATCTTGGTCTACGGCTGGACGGTCGACAAGGCTGTTGGTGGAATTCCGGTGCCCGTTCTTGCGATGTTCTTCCAGGGAGTGGCGCAGTTGTTCTGCTTCCCTAGTCTCAACACCTACAGCCTGGATGTCATGCAGTCTAGTGGTCGGAGTGCCGAAGTCGTTGCTGGTAGCTATCTGTCACGGTACGTGTTCGGTGCTCTGGGGTCTGGACTTGTTCTTCCAGCGGTAGAGGCTATGGGGGTAGGGTGGTTTAGTACCATCAGCGCCCTATTTTTGGTTGTCTCTGGGGGTTGCGTATGGCTCACGACCATTTTTGGCGATCAATGGCGGGATAAGGTCGAGAAGAAGAACCATCGTAAGGCTGAAAAGAGGACCGAACAGATACAGCAGGAAACCGCGAAGGTTGAGACTTGAACTTTCATTGCTTAGGATATCCATGCAAGACTTAATGATAGAATGTGTTGTGATCAAAACAGAGACCAGACAATAACAACTTAAGCGTTCCCAAGATACAAACGCTTACTCCCTCAGCAAAGTGCTGATATTCTCGTTTTCCACCTCGGGAAAATCTTTGATACGAACAGGTTGCTTCCCATGTGCGATATCATCTGGATCTAGACCACTCTCTGCCACGACACGGTCCATCTTGCGTTGCTCCGTGAATTTCCGACAGTCCTCACGGCCCTTTTTGATGTCTACAAAGCAGATGGTGATCATGGCCGCGGCGCAGATGGCAAACAAGAATGGGAAACCCATCCAGCTGTTGTGAGTATTGTTTATGATGGCTTGAATAACATTAGGACCGATGATTGAAGACTATTGAGGTTAGTGAAATCAACAAAATGCAGCACCAAACATAGCCGACTTACGGCACGATTAGTTATCCCAAAAAGCGCGAAGAACATGTTATCATAGCCGCGTGGCATCAACTCGCTGATCATCGTTTGGGCGTACTGTCATAATGTTAGAAATAATATGGGCAGGAATCATGCTAGAGAGCATTCAAGGTTCTACCTACCGCATAGTACGGAGCCTGGAAAAGTCCGAAAACGACATTGTAGAAGTAAAACTCCCACTACCTACCTGTTAGCTTTAAACTCTTAGTTAGGGCTTGCTACATACCCTATTGTGATACCCGATGCGGTGGGTCCATAGTCCTAGCATGCCCCAAAACGGGATGAGGACGGTGAAGAAATTAGTGAACAAAAACATGGTCTTCGTCTTAAACTTGAAATACCGCTGTATATACCAAAAGCCGAATGTTGAGGTGATTGAGCAGGCAGCTTGAGTAATGCCGAGATATGTGATCTGCAAGAATGAAAATGAAACAGAGTCGTTTTGGATGATGCTGACAAGTGTACCTATTGATGTTAGTGGGTTCTCTTGTCTACATCTATGGACATTTCGAGTCTGATTTGCAGCAAGAAAAAGGGAAAGCACCCACCAGTAGTGTTCAGGCCATCGGCAAGAAGGAAATAGGCGAAAAAGTACAGAAATGTCTGTGGAAGCGACCTGATTTCTCGAATGGCTAGCCAGATCTGCTTGAACCCAATGGTGGAGTAGCTTGACCCTTTTGGTATCTTCGGGCCTGGCCTTTTCTGCTGGAAAATAAACCACCAGATGCCAAGAATAACCCAATCTGGAGAAGGTCAGATAGTACGACTATTAGGTGGATTGCCCACCTACATGAATTAGTAAGGCAGAGTGCCAAATTATTCGAGAAACTGTTGTTTTGAAGTGGAAGTAGGACGCTCAGATTAAGTACGAGCGTGAGTAGGTATCCAATGTTGCTGTGTGCAGTTGAAATGTTGCTGTTATTGTCAGCGGCATATTAAATAAAAAGTAGAAATGACCGCACTCACCTGATATGATTTCTTTCCAGCGATTCTATAGCATCGTATTCCTCCTGGTCAATTTTACCTTCTCTGAGATCCTCTTCTCTGGCTTTCCGCACATGCGGGGTATACCGTGCAAGACGGGGGAACACAGCAGCATAGAATACCAGAGTTGCGCCGTAGGCAATGTATGCCACAACATACAATCCCATTGCGGTTGGCCATTGGCTTGGATTTCGTATGGACATCATACCATACTGCAGTGCCCAACAAACCACCGTCAATGCTAGAAGAAGCCATCGGCCGAATGTTCCATAGTCCGCAGCACTTCCTAGCCAGACGAATATCACCGTCATGAAAGTAAAGCAAAGGCCATTGGCAATAAGGACCACTGAAGATACTGATCTCGTACCCCCTGCCCATGGAACTACACATGCTGATGAATCGGTACAGGCTTTGGGCGGATTCGAGCCAGGTTGATGTCCGGCGCCATTCAAGGCCCACTGGAAGCTTCATGGGAATTAGTCGGGAAATTCCAGTGTTTTATTGTACTTACAGGGCTTGACTGTACGATCCCGGACCAACACCGTTATCGCCATTGTAATAGAGGTAATATGACCAAAGCTCTTTCCTAGTGGTGGTTGGCTGCTCATATGAATCCTCATCAACGCCGAAGAGCCGTTCATATTCCTCCAAGGTGGGATGTGGCTGTGAGGTCAAGTTCACATCAACTGTCGCACCATCTTTCGCAATATCTTCGTGGATTTCAACCATGTTGGTATAAGTTGGGCGAGATATATATATTCACAACATACATTGTCCCTTGCGAGTGGGGCTATCTTGAACCTCCGCTTTAGGAAGTGGGGCCTCAGTAGATGTCAGCACGGGCATAGTTAATTATGTAATGCTCAGTTACCAAAAAGCGGCAGGAGCTGAGCACTAAAATGGAAGGGGGGTCGATTGTCAGACGGCAATTGTATTGATGTTCCGGTCACATTTCTTAAGATTACTTGCTCACTAGATCCTAAGAGGTGAAGCTGACATGTTCAGATCCATTAAGTGGACCCGGGCAGATCAACTCCGATCCCCTTTCAACGTCACCCCGTTCTGAACCATTGACTTGCAATCCATGAACTATTTCTAGAAGCCAATAAAAGTCAAAGTCATGGCTTCCTCCGACCTTCAAAAGCAGGTTGGCCAGGTACATGAGCCATGAAATCCCTCTTTTTGTGCTCCGCTGACGATCGCAGCTCTTCGCGGTGGGGTTCTATGGCTGCACCCCAAGTCCCGAAATCAAGACTTTGATCCATGACTACCACGTTGGAGGCATCGTTCTATTCTCGCGTAATTTTGAGAATGCAGAGCAGCTTCAGGTTCGATATCCGAGACTATTTTGTATTTGATTGACTTGACTAATGTTCTGTAGGCCTTGACACTGGCTTTGCAGAATGAGGCTAAATTGGCTGGACACAAGCGACCGCTGTTGATCGGAATTGATCAAGAAAATGGACTGGTTACTCGCATTTCTCCTCCGATCGCTGCTCAGGTCCCAGGGCCTATGGCACTGGGCGCTACACATGATCCGGAGTGTGCATACAGTGCGGGGAAAGCCACCGGGGAAACTCTCAAATTCTTCGGAATTAACATGAACTATGCACCGGTCTGTGATATTAATTCGGAGCCTTTGAACCCTGTTATAGGTGTACGCAGCCCTGGCGATGATCCTGAATTTGTGGGCCGGTTTGCGAGTGCGACTGCCCGGGGTTTGCGGGAACAGAATATTGTTCCCAGCGTAAAGCATTTTCCAGGTCATGGAGACACAGCTGTTGACTCGCATTTTGGACTACCAGTCATTCCTAAAACAAGGGATCAGCTAGAGCGTTGCGAGTTGATTCCCTTTAGGCGGGCTGTGGCCGAAGGAATCGAGACCGTCATGACTGCTCATATCTCGCTACCCTGTATCGATCTCACACGGCCTGCGACACTTTCCCCGGATGTTATGGGAATTTTGCGCAATGACATGGCCTACGATGGTATGATAATCACCGACTGCCTGGAGATGAATGGAATCCGCTCCACATACGGTACAGAGGAAGGTTCGGTGCTAGCGTTGCGCGCTGGTAGCGATAGCATCATGATCTGTCACACCTTTGATGTGCAAGTTGCTTCGATCAAGAGAGTTTGTGAAGCAATAAATTCTGGCACAATCGACCAATCACGGCTAGCGGACGCTTGTCGCCATGTTGCTACGGTGAAGGACAAGTTTTTGGACTGGGACGCCGCACTTCGGCAATCCAGTCTCGCAGACCTGAGCTCACTCAACAATAGAATTGCCGAGACAACTATGGATATATATTCTCGGTCAACCACACTCGTGCGTGACAAAAATGGTGTTCTTCCCCTGTCAAAGAATTCAATCATCATGTTCCTCTTCCCCGGAGACAAGACCCCGGTCGGTGGTGCTGTTGACGGCGAAGGAACCCAGACGCCAGGGGTCTACCCGTCCAACAGATATCTTGATATCCTGCGGCAGCACAACAATTCCATTGCTGAGATCAGATACGGATCGACCAATCTGACTTTTGAGCAATGGCAGGCCCTTGAAGTCGCCGATGCGGTAATCTTCACCTCACTCAATGCAAAAGAGTCGCCATACCAGGAGTCACTAGGTCTGGAACTTGCTAAGCGTATTAAGTCATTGGTGCATATTGCTGCCTGTAACCCCTATGACTTCCTTGATGTTCCCAGTGTCAAGACTTATATTACCACATACGAGCCGACTATCGAGGCATTTTCTGTGGCTGCTGATATCATATTTGGAGGACTGGTTCCGACAGGCGCTCTTCCCGTGGGACCGAATGCCGTGACCAAGACATCGGCGGTAGTATCACCATTTGATGCACAAAGAGATCTGGATGAGGTGATCGAAGTCTGGGCCGCTGCTCTCCCGACCTACCTCGTTCCAGCTGAAAGCTTGCGGGCTCTAATAGTGGGCCCGAATGGCCACCATTTCATCGCGCGCATTGGATCGCAGCTAGTAGGCTTCTGTCTTGCTTACATAAATGCCCACGGTGCACCGGAAACCGTGCATATCGCAGTTCTTGCCGTGTCACCAAAGTACCAACACCAAGGCGTTGGAACTACTCTGTTAGGAGAAACAAGAGCGTACTTCCGGGCAACATTTGGCCTCAACAATGTGAAGCTGGGAAGCTCGTTCCCCCGCTTCTGGCCCGGAATTCCCCAGGACCTGCCAGAAACAGTGCAACATTTTTTCACCCACCGTGGTTTCCGACTCAGCCCTCCCAGTGCCCGGTCGGTTGACTTGTACCAAGATATTCGGAACTTCCAGTCGCCAGAAAAGTATATCACCCGTGCCCGGGAACGAGGCTTCCGATTCGCGCCATTAAAACCCGAAGATTACGAGGCCTGTCTAGTTGGCCAGAGAAAGAACTTCTCTCATAACAGGGTAAGACCCCCGTACTGTCATGCTTATACTTTTCTAAAATCTGGACTAATGTGTTATAAAGAGCTGGGTGGAGGCGTACGTCGCATTACATCCCGACAAGTATCCTGACAGTGTGATGACAGCGTTTGATTCCCAAGGCCAGCAGGTCGGCTGGACGTTAATGCTCGGTCCATCGGATGCTCTGGATAAGTCTTGGGCATTCCCCCAAACCTGTGGGCCGAAAACAGGGTTGATCGGTGCGGTGGGAATTGATGAGTCCCACCGCAAGTATGGGATTGGGTTGGCTTTGATCTGCCACGCTATTGAAAACATGAAACAACGAGGCCTGGAAGGTGTCTTTGTAGACTGGGTTGCACTCGATGGGTGGTATGAGCAGGTTGGTTTCAAGACCTGGCGAAGCTACAGGCCGGGAGAGCTTTGAGGATTTCATTGGTATTACATCCTTGTTTATTCTTAACAGTCTGGCTCCGATTATTATAGGTGCTGATTTAAATAATCCGGACCTTTAGAATAGTATCAATTTACTTAGATGAAAGACCAAATGAACCTTATGATATTGCTGCCGAGAGGTTGCCCTGTTACCCTGGCGATGTATTTTTGTCCTGTCACTAGAAACCCACAATAAGAATTATACTTGAGAAGACCACTGAAAAGTCTTCACAAGGCCTGTATATACATACCTAAGCTAGTACCATATACAATCTCACCATCCGGTCACTGCTATTGGGTATCCACGGGCATGTACGTAGGGATTGCTAAGACTAGCACGACAGAAACGAACCAGATCGACGGGGAGCAGTTTCCGCTTTGGTCAACGGCAATGCAGCATCAGGTCCGGGGAAGTGGATTTGAGGCTATCTACCTACATATGCCGGTGTACGTACTATGTATGCGTGGGATTCAAACGCTATATCTACATGATCCAATATAAGTTCATCAACATGATTGGGCATTAAAGTTTTCCAAGGCTTTAAGCTTGTTTGGCATTTGCCTGTTTTGTTTAGTCTCATTGATAGCAAAACTGCTGGTTTACCACTTACCATTTCGGGTAGTTCTAGTTCTGACTGCCTTGAGGCATCAATATCAAGATCAAATTCGTATATCAAGGACACTCTTAGCATGCAAATTTAACTGTTTATTATCCATCTCTTCTATTTCATGAACACTCGTCCATCTGTTTGATTCATTTTGATCTTCAAGATGCGGGATCACAATACCATCCTGGAGGGCTCCGGCAATGAGTCCCTTGGCGTCCGAGATCCTGGATTCTTCAATTTTCCGGTGTGCGGGTCTGCTCAAGACATATTTGACTCTATGGCATTTTTTGAAGACTACCCCTGGCGCAACGGCTTCCCATACCATGTCGGGTAAATTCTTTAGTAAGTTGCATCATTGTCTTTCATCAGGGAGTAGCTAGGTTAACAGTTCTAGACGTTCCGGATGAGGGGAATCCCGAAAACACCGCTACCATATATGCTAGGTTCGACCAAAACAATAACCTTTCTGAAAATGTGATCCCTGCTTGCAAGATCACAGCAACATGGCCTTGCAGCTGACCTAATCTCATATTCGAGGATAGCTGTCTCAGGGAGACTCGTCCCCAGAACGAAGAACAAATGTTCAAGGTGTGCTGCTCGGATGAAATCAATACAGATTCTGTCACCAATCCATATTATGGTGTATTCAATTGATCAAGGAGGCCACTTGGCTCACCGCCACGTTTGGTAAAGAGCCAGGGATGTAAGCTCTAGATCTTCGAAGGATGGCCGCACAGCCTTAGTGACATCTCCCCCGGGAAACTAGTTAGTCAAGCAATCAAGTCAATTCATTGGGGTCCCTAGAAGCGTGCTATTACATGCATATCTCTATTTTACCTTATAAACTACCTAATATTACTCCTATTTTATAATAGGTTCTAATCCCAACTATAAGCTCGTTCCTCAACGTATGTAGCATGATAATCAACCACCGTCCTAGAACATTGCATTTTGACTCTCTTTGATTAAGCTTTTACGCCCTGTACAAGGATATAGGAACTATCGATTCCTACGGGCTGAAAGTGCTACTGTTACTTCGCTTTGTTTTGTCCAAAGCAACACTAGCATCAAGAAAAAGCAATTCGCCTAGTTTATCCTGATCCGATGTTTGCTTCCAAAGACTGGAAAATTATATCTTTACCTCCATTCTGGTTTATGCTTTGCCCCTTACAGGGGACATAGGCCTTTCCCGGATGCATTGACCACGTGAATCCTGCGGCGGTTTAAGAGTACGTGGTAGAGAGGTGTCCAGGCACCCGCAAGGGCCCTTTCTGAAACACGCTGCAACCACTGGGGGACGTTGGCTCGGCTGGATTTCATGATTCACCGCTTGGGTCTTTTTCGAAGTAATGCCTGCGCAACTGAGCTTGACATATAGTCACAGAGATTCATAGAAAGGCAGAATCGTCGCGTATATGGCCAATTTCCTGCCAACAAAAGCTCACAGGATCAATGTTCTCAGCCTAGCGCAGGATCTGGAATGAGGCATAGTACGAGGACTGGACGCTTGGTCCCCAATACTACCATGCTATCCTCGCCAAGAGCTAGTTCATGACTTGTCTCATTGACAAGGGGCACTCTGCGCCTGACATACCAACTAATTTTGAATAGGCAGGGCAAGCCGAAAGCGGAGAAACAGTAATCAAAAGGATGTGATTTCAGGATCTGGCAAATTGTTAGTGTCATGACTTGCATGGGGCGTTGAGAAGTTACAAAAGCATCTCTAAATATTTCCCTCAAGGGATAAACGAATCGGGACAGAAAGCTGTCGATCCCCACATGGCCCACGAGATTTGCGTAACACCCCAGACACGGGCCGCTCGAGCCTCTGAAAGCCACATGTCGCCGGAGACGGTCACAATTCCGGTCCACGTTCCTATGATAAGTGATGATGCGATCATCTTTCAATATCCCGATTTGGTTGGATCAGCATTTGGCCAAGGCACGTTCTAGGGATGATGATTCTCGTAGTTTAACTTGGCAAGATCATCATTTGGAATCGTCGGGTCTTGGGTTACATGGTCTAGGGCCTCTAACGCTCATTGCGTTCTTAAGATAAAGGTAACTCGCGTGGGCTTCGGGACCGGAAGACAAGCAAAAACCGGGATCGAGTAGAGGAAAGTGATATCCGATATTCCCCCCGGATTTTTATGCCGGTCTCCGAGGGCAATTCGTCCCCGAAGACCTAAAGGTTGTATTTAGCTGTTCCCGAGTGTGCACTGGCGCTAGCTAAGCAAATAGGGCCCCGCAATTTGGCCCTAGTTCGAGTTCTTATTTCTCTTACTAAATTCGGGAAAGGGTTTAGTTTTAGATGTCAATTACTATCTTTTCTACAATCAAGAGAATATAAGTCTCAATGCGGTTTCCAAAGGATAAATGATATCTTGGCCACGTGAAGCTCTGTGCATTCGCCGGAAACAGGCATGAACGGCAAGGATGACCGCGACTTAAGCCTAGCTTGGCGCCAGTGAACTGGCACTGAGCCATATGGAATTATTTTCGTCATTCTAGCCCCTAGCCACGATTACCATAGCGCAGTTTGTTGAATGTGGCGCTAGCCAGATATCAGTATCGCGATCCTGATATTTTGTGATTATAACTTTCCATATGTAAATCGCAACGGAATCGCGGTAAGATTTTATTACAGATGGAAACAAAGACCGGCATGATTGATAAATCTGGGGTTTAAAGAAAGGGTTCCAGATCGAACCTGGGATCTACCGGGATCCCGGTGAAACATCCTTGTCCAGATGCAGCTGTGCTTAGGCCGAGTCTTGGCCTACAGCCAAGAGTGTTATACTTGTTTCTAGTGGGAATGTAGTAGATCTCTGTAGCATTTCCAAGTCCAAGTCTTATTGTAAGAGTGGAGCAGAATTTCCCCACGGGCAATTCAACGCGGGATCCCCGGATTAGATCCGTTTTGGGAAGTAGATCAGAGGGAACCCTAGAAGTCATGGCAATAACGTGGCTTTTTGCATTTAGTGAGACTTTAACATTTATTTTAGCCAATGAAATGTGCATTTCTTGTCAAACGTAACGACTTGGGAAAAAGAAGAACATAAAAGGGTGCTCACGCCCCCGATGTTAGATAGTTACCATTCACCAACTCTGTTTGTCTCCGCAGTCTCATACTCAAACGAGCGCACTGTGGTGACCAACACTGTCAGCTGGTTCTCCAACTTTTTCTCTTCATCAACCTTTGTCTATTCATTCCCACCATAGGAGTCAGCTACACCCACAACTCTGCTTTTCTTCCTTGGTCTCTCATTAACAGCTTGACCAGGCACTCTTCAAAATGGATAAGGAGGACATCACTCAGATGGACCCTGGCCAACGGTAAGCCTTTTATCCTTCTGGTCAGCTTCATCATGCTCATCTCGATTTCATATAGTTCCAGCGACGATCAAAACAGCGCTGAGAAGGGATACTTTGAGCAAGTTAACCTGAACAACAATTTGTCTGCCAAGTAAGCTTCACTTAGGAAATTTATTTCTCAGGTCATATATCTCCATTTCCTTTCAAGGGACTGACACAGACCAGGATCAAGAATCCTTTGGCCGACTTGACCAAGAACCAGGTGCTCCGCAACGTGGAAGAGTTTGCCGAGGAATACAACGTGGCAGACATCCTACCCCAGTTGAAGAAAGGAGCACTTGTTGCGCGTAACCCTACCGAGTTTGAAACAGTGCCAGACTTGACCGAGCCGGAGCTCACTGCCCTGCGTAACGAGACGCTTCACAAGTGGCGCCAGCCTAAGGCACTTTATTTCACCATCATCCTATGCTCTATTGGTGCAGCCGTGCAGTATGCCATACCCCCACAACGCCTTGGGAACACTCCTAACATCAATACAGAGGATGGGATCAGACTGGATCCAATGGCGCTAACCTGTCGTTCCCTGATGCTTTTGGTATTTCCGATGATCCCAAGAAGAGCCCTCACGCTGATCGAAACCTGTGGCTCGTTGGAATCGTCAATGCTGCTCCCTACATTGCCAGTGCATGCCTTGGATGTTGGCTCTCCGATCCATGCAACCGGATTCTTGGCCGGCGCGGAACAATTTTTATCTCATCTATCTTCTGTGTCCTTACTCCCATTGGTTCCGCAGTGGCCCAGAACTGGGAACAGTTGTTTGTGGTCCGTCTTCTCCTGGGAATTGGAATGGGTCTCAAGGCGTCGACAATTCCAATCTTTTGTGCTGAGAATACTCCTGCTGTTATCCGTGGTGGTCTGGTCATGTCCTGGCAGCTCTGGACCGCTTTTGGTATTTTCCTTGGATTTAGTGCCAACCTTGCTGTCAAAGATACTGGTAAACTATCCTGGCGTCTACAGCTGGGATCCGCCTTTATCCCGGCTATTCCTCTTCTATTCGGCGTTTACTTCTGCCCAGAGTCACCTCGCTGGTACATTCGACGAGGTGAGATGGGCAAGGCATATCGGTCTCTGTGCCGTCTCCGGAACACCCCTTTGCAGGCTGCTCGCGATCTTTACTATATCCATGCTCAGATCAAGATTGAGATGGACCTAATCGGCAAGAGTAACTATGTCACCCGGTTCATTGAGCTCTTCACTATCCCTCGAGTCCGCCGTGCGACTCTTGCCTCATTCGTTGTCATGATTGCCCAGCAGATGTGCGGTATCAACATCGTTGCCTTTTACTCGTCAACTGTCTTCAAGAACGCCGGCGCAAACGATACACAGGCTTTGTTCGCTTCTTGGGGCTTTGGCTTGGTTAACTTCGTGTTCGCCTTCCCTGCTATCTGGACCATCGATACATATGGTCGTCGCACTCTATTGTTGTTCACCTTCCCGCAGATGGCATGGACTTTGCTTGGAGCTGCTTTCTGCTTCTGGACCCCCGAGGGTACAGGTCACCTTGCTTCGATCGCTTTCTTCGTCTTCCTATTCGCTGCATTTTACTCGCCTGGTGAAGGACCCGTACCATTCACATATTCGGCTGAGGTATTCCCTCTTTCTCACCGAGGTATGATTTCACTTTCAGTTTCTCTTTTATGCTTGACAAGGTTTCTAGGGCTAACATTGATATCAGAGGTTGGCATGTCCTGGGCTGTAGCAACCTGCCTCGGATGGGCTGCTGTGCTTTCAATCACGTTCCCCAAGATGCTGAGTGCCATGACCGCCACAGGAGCATTTGGCTTTTACGCGTAAGTATTTCGTCCAACATTTCAAGTTTCTCATCGAAATCTCTAACAAAGGAATATAGTGGCCTCAATGTGACTGCAATGGTCATGATCTTCCTTTGGGTCCCCGAAACCAAGCAGCGCACCCTTGAAGAGCTGGATTATATCTTCGCAGTTCCTACCCGGGTCCACATGAAGTATCAAGTCACCAAAGCACTGCCATATTGGTTCAAGCGGTACATTTTCCGCCAGAAGGTTGAGCTGGAACCTCTCTACCATTTTGACCATATTGCAAATGGTAACGAGGTTGTCACCGTGTCGCAGAAACAAAGTGCCGATGATGTGAAGTTGTAGGTGCCAACTGGTTCCTGGATCCAAGTGCGGTTTTTCTTGCCGTTTTAAAGCTTTTTGAATTTTCTCATAAGTAACACCTATTGAATCAAATGAAGTTTCTCCCCACAAAAATTTCCTTTTTAGGTGTTAGAAGGAAAATTTATTATGTAGAGTCATACTCATCACTATAGAACATCTGAGGGCTCCACAAGGGATAGAATCCATGGTTGGATGATCAGCTGATGTGGGGATAAGTTCGATGGGATTGGCATTTTTCATTAAACAAATGATATTGTCATGGGGGTAAATCACGACTATGAATGACTATAAAGTAGGCATGATGTCCTTAGTTAGGCCATAGGGATTGAAAAAGTGTATCACGTGGGAGTTCGGGGGGGAGGGCAACCCTTATGTTTTGGTCCACTCCCGCCCCTCACCTTTTCCTTTGAGAGCTCAGGTCTACTTCTCTTACTTCACTTCACTTCGAATTTTGAGGTTTTTTGTGCCTTTGAGCCCGGGAACCTCATTGTTGTCTGTTTCGGCCCAATCCCACGGAAATCTATGAACCCCCCTCCGTCATCGTGACCCTTCTTTTTGAACCCCAGAAACAAACACACCAGCAGCTGCAGTGGAGCTCAAGGAACTGCTGTGGGCTGCTGGGTGAATCGAAACCCACTACCTTGACCGCCTCCCACCTGTAGCTTATTCTCTCAACACCCAGGCAGGGGGAAAAAAATAAGAAAGAAGTTCGCCTATCCTCAATTTGCTGTCACTTTTCTTGTGTTTTTGACCGAAGTATTTCTTAGTTGCGGGGCAGATCTGACCCTGCGCCTTCGTTGGACTCTTTCTCCCCACAGTGCAACCTCCATATCCCACCTAACCCTTTCCCACCATGCCCTGCTTCAAAGGGCTTGCCGTGAGCATCCACACGCCCGATGGTCCGATCCCCGAATATTCCATTCAACGCCATTCACGAGCCTCGCGCATAGGTTGCTTTATTCCTGTCCCGCCCCCCAAAATCCCCGAATCTGGGACCGGTAAAGCAGAACAATCAACCTTTGCGATTTCCGTCACTCTCCTGAACCCCGAGCAAGATGTTCCGTACTCGACCCCAAAGCCGACACCGGAATGTCCCTCGCCGAAACCAAAAGTGGTGGGCAAATTGTCCGGTGAGCCAGGTCAAATCCCCGGGGCGGTCGCACCATACCAGGGCTTGACAAACTCGGCAAACGAGACCGTGGCCGCATACATCTACTTTGACGGAAGACAGAAGGAGGAGGTGGCTACATTATTGCGACGAGGAGAAGAGACCTGGGTGAACTCCCGCTGGGTCAGCGTTCCGGATAGCGAAGGCGGGGGAATCGCCGAACGTGAATTTTTGTTCCGCGAGGTCGGCTTGGAGCGCTGGCTCAACGGATTGGACCTGGAAGGCAAGGATGCGGCGGCTAAAATTGAACGCAGACGGCAGAAGTTAGAGAAGCGACGTGCAAAGCGCGCCGCCGAGGAGGATCCGACCGCCATGGAAATGGAGGACAGTCATCCTGCTAGGTCCAAGACTATTATGCGATACGGAAATGATGAGAAGTCCCCTCTCGAGGATGTTTCAGACGACGATCTCTCTTCCGACTCTGACGACGATGATCCAATTCCCGAGACAGCGGGCCAAATTAAGGTTGCTTTGTTCCGAGTTTTGGCATCGGGAGAAATCAAACGGGGAGAGTACTCCCCGCAATTTGATGCTCACGACGATGAAGAGGGTGGTCAGGATAATAGCGGTGGAGGAGACGCCGATGTTGACCATACCACAAGTTTCGCAAAGCCCAAGTCACTCGACCCGAAGACTATCAGTACGCAGACTGTTACTGGTATTGACCCGAGTGATAAACCATACGCTGTCTTCACTTTTATGTACCGTGGTGAACGTTAGTATTTGTCTTTGGATCCCGCTTGATGAGAATGGTTTCTAATTCTAAACGAATACAGGCCAATTGCAGAAGATGGGTATTTTGAAAGATCCCAAAGTGCAAGAGACGCCTGCTGCTACCAAGCGCAAGTCCTTACAAGCCGATTTCGCAAACCTCGGCCCTATCAAACCCGGGGGCTCTGTTGGATTCCTTAATTTCCGGGACACTGAAGCCAAACCGCGAAAGGGCAAGAAGAGCGTTGATGACATGGACAGTGATGACGACGACACCGATAACCCCATACTTGGCAAGGCAGACGACGAAGAAGCCAAAGACGACGATCGGTTCTTGTCTCCAGATGACATTCAACGCCAAGGAGAGCTAGCGGAGAGCCTGCGGAAGATTCGAGTACATACACTTTCAACGTTCTATCAATTCTTTGCTAACAAATTTGCAGCTCAAGCGTCAACACTCCGCGGAACCACCTGGAGGCAGTGTCGGTGACTCTGCCGATACCCCTGCTTCTGGATCTGGATCCACGCCTCCTGCAAACGAGCGCTCAATAACCCCGCCAAAGGCTACTGTACCTGGATCTGCAGGTGGGCTCTCCGAGCCGTCTCAGCCAGCTGCCGAACCAGAAGATGGCCTTTTCGGTAGCCCACTGAAGAAACAGCGGGCGAGTGTCTCGGCTGCAGACGAGAATGCCCTTAGACGCCGGATCGCGGAGTCCGGTAGGATCACTGAAGTTCTGGGCTCTTCCGTTCCAGCGGAATCTACATTCACAAGCCCAAAGTCCTTCGGAGATGGATTCAGTCTTACACCTGACCTTTCTGCTGGACCACCAGCCACCGATGAGGAGTTGTAAGCCTGTCGTGGTTGAAATGAGTTGCTTCTGGGTGGTCCGATCTCAATATCTCATTTGAGCTATTGGGCCTGGTCGGCCACTACCCTTCGCTTCGGAAAGCATGAGTCATTTTTGCTGTGATCCTATGTATGAGGATCTTGCGAGTTGGCAGGATCCTCTTTGTCATTTTCCGGGTCATCTGCATGGCCATATTGCTTTCCTACAATTACGCCGTTATGTCCACTACCAACAATACAAAGAACATGTTGAAGGAGAAATACATTTTCTGTACCCACTAGGGCAGCCTGATAATAAATTTACATTCAGGCATTGTAGATGGAATGAGAGTGAAGACATCGTAGACTATACATTCCAAAGGTTCCGTCTGGCTGCGTTTGTCAAGCATTGGCCCAAGCGGCTTAAAATTCGATAAGCTTCTAAGCCTCTAAAAATCTCCCTAGATATAGGCTAAAAAATATACACATCTCTATTTGAAACTCATCAACTACAAATCCATGCTGAGAAGTATTTTTCCTGCATTACGCAGTGTTTTGACCCAGCCCGGCTTTCTCCACCAAGTGAGATTCTGCCAGACCCCAATTGATCCTCTTAAAATCATTAACAGCTTCAACAGCCCAGAATAGGCCCCATCCGTCACAAATCCACGATGCCCCTCGAACGCTCAACAGACCCTTTGGTCTGGATCGACTGCGAGGTGTGTCCCCCATCTCCAATTCTAGGTCCTCGCGTTTCGCAATCCAACCACTAACCTCATTCATAAGATGACAGGCCTGAACCCGGAAACCGACAAAATCATCCAGATCTGCTGTTTCATCACAGACGCCCAATTAAACCTACTCGAACCGACCGGTTTTGAAACCGTCATCAACGTCCCAGACTCCACCCTTGACGCGATGTCGCAGTGGTGCATCGACACACACGGACGCACGGGCCTCACCGCCGCCGTACGCGCCTCGACCACCTCCCCCTCCACCGCCGCAGACTCTCTTCTCGCCTACATCCGCCAGCACGTCCCGACCCCGCGCACTGCGCTGCTCGCGGGAAATAGTGTCCACGCAGATAAGGCTTTCCTGGCTTGTGCGCCGTACTCGAAGGTGCTAGATCATCTGCATTATCGCATTCTAGATGTTAGTTCCTTGAAGGAGGCGACGCGGAGGTGGGGTAGTGATAAGATGCTTGAACAGGTCCCGGCTAAACGGGAGGTTCATCTTGCTAGGGATGATATTCTTGAAAGTATTGAAGAAATCCGGTTTTATAAGGAGAAGCTGTTTGGGTGATGTGGCTGATATGGTGGCTTGCTTGTCTCTGGTACTCTGAGACATGGGTCTGTGAGGTACTATTTAAAACTCTGCTTGTTGAAATTGGTATATTTTCCCCAAGAAGTTATCATTCAATGTGCTCCATACACTCTGTACATGTACAGTATACGGAAGAATGTTGTACTAATTGTAGTATTTTGATTCAACTGGAATGATCTGCGCGGGGCAAATTGGAAAGAGTTGGCAGGTAACTTGTAGATTGGACTAGAACAAATCATAGAGCCTTTTAGCTGTATGGAGTACAGAGTACAGAGATATTTAAATATAGTATAGTGGCAAATAGTCCAGTACTAGTGGGATGATAAACACATGACGCCAAATATTGGCCCCTCCCCGTGGAGCTCAACAAGTCGGTGAACTTCTTTCCCCCCTCCCCCTTCCTCTTCTTCTCTACTCTTTACTATACCCTCTTTTCCTCTAATTTTATTGCATCATGTCCGTCCAGACGGTCTCCATTAAGCCCTTCACTGACCAGAAGCCTGGAACGTACGTTGCTCGTTGCCCCGCAATTGAACTGCTAGCTAACTTGCTCCCAGCTCCGGCCTCCGCAAGAAGGTCAAGGTCTTCCAGCAGGACAACTACTCCGAATCCTTTATTACCAGCATCCTTCTGTCAATCCCCGAAGGTGTTGAGGGCTCCTTCCTCGTCATTGGTGGCGATGGCCGTTACTACAACCCTGAGGTTATCTCCAAGATCGCAAAGATCAGTGCCGCTTATGGCGTGAAGAAGCTCTTGGTTGGACAGCATGGCATTATGAGTACCCCTGCTGCTAGCAACCTCATTCGCGTGAGGAAGGCAACTGGTGGTATCCTCTTGACTGCCAGTCACAACCCCGGTGGTAAGTGATGATCGGCGGTATAACAATATCTGTTGGAGACTGACCAAATGCCCACAGGCCCCGAGAATGACTTTGGTATCAAGTACAACTTGGCCAACGGTGCCCCCGCCCCCGAGGGTGTTACGAACAAGATCTTCGAGACCGCAAAGACCCTCACCTCCTACAAATACCTCGATGTGCCCGATGTCGATACCTCCACCATTGGCACCAAGAACTACGGCCCCCTCGAGGTTGAGATCGTTCACTCTACTGCCGACTACGTGACCATGATGAAGGAGATCTTCGATTTCAACTTGATCAAGGAGTTCCTTAGCTCCCACAAGGACTTCAAGGTTCTGTTCGACGGTATGCACGGTGTGACTGGACCCTACGGTGTGGATATCTTCGTCAAGGAGCTCGGTCTGCCCGCCAGCAGCACAATGAACTGCCAGCCCAAGCCGGACTTTGGCGGCGGTCACCCCGACCCCAACCTCGTGTACGCCCACGAGCTCGTCGAGGCTGTTGACGCCAACGGCGTGCACTTCGGTGCCGCCAGTGATGGTGACGGTGACCGTAACATGATCTACGGTGCCAACAGCTTCGTCTCCCCCGGTGACAGCTTGGCCATTATTGCCCACCACGCCAAGCTCATCCCCTACTTCCAGAAGCAGGGTGTGTACGGCCTGGCCCGCTCAATGCCCACCTCCGGAGCCGTCGACCGCGTGGCTAAAGCCCAAGGTCTGCAGAGCTACGAGGTGCCCACCGGCTGGAAGTTCTTCTGCAACCTCTTCGATGAGAAGAAGATGTCTATCTGTGGTGAGGAGAGCTTCGGCACCGGCAGCAACCACATCCGTGAGAAGGACGGCCTGTGGGCCGTCGTTGCCTGGTTGAACATCATTGCTGGTGTCGCCAAGCAAAAGCCCAACGAGACCCCCAGCATCGGCTCCATCCAGAATGAGTTCTGGCAGACCTACGGTCGCACCTTCTTCACTCGCTACGACTTCGAGAACGTCGACAGCGAGGGCGCAAACAAGGTCGTTGCCACTCTGTCCGACCTGGTCGCCAACCGCGACACCTTCGTTGGCTCCGAAATCGCCGGCCGCAAGGTCCTTGACGCTGGTAACTTCTCCTACACCGACCTCGACGGCAGCGTCTCCAAGAACCAGGGCCTGTACGCCAAGTTCGATGACGGTAGCCGCATTGTCGTTCGTCTGTCCGGTACCGGCAGCAGCGGTGCTACTATCCGTCTGTACGTTGAGCGCTACGAGGCTGACAAGTCTAAGTTCGGTCTCACTGCTCAGGAGTACTTGGCTGATAACATCTCGCTGGCCCTTAATCTACTCAAGTTCAAGGAGTATGTTGGCCGCGAGGAGCCTGATGTTAAGACCTAAATTTGGTTAGGTTGTTAGGGTTAATGTGGAACCTGCTGGATGGGGATCACCTTTTAATTGTCTTGCAGTTATATCTGAACGCGAGAAGAACGATGATCGAAAAGCAGGATCAATATCAAAAGATTATACGTTGGCATGAGATAGAAACTGCGTCTTTAGCATAATCCAAGCCTGTCTTGTCTTAAATTCATATCTCCAGATCTGTGAAGATGATATGCAATTATTGTGCCTTGTGCCAAGTCTCAAACTGCGGGCTATTAAACATGAAATATTATAGAATCATAGCATCATAGAATTCGTAAATCATCAACCCCTTCCATCTAATTATGCCTTCCACGCAGCAGCAGAAACCCTCAACTTCTCCCCCCACCAACTCTCCCACTTAACAACCTTCTCCTCCCTCCTCGCCTCCTCCGCCGCAAAAACAACAGCATGACTCCGTACCGCCTCCTCAAGCGAACACCCAACAAACCTCGATTGCGCCGTCTCAACATCCAATCCCCCCTCAACAGCCTCAACAGCACTAACAAACTGCTTCGCAAGTCCAAAATCCCCACCGCCATGCGACTCATTCTGCCCCGGCGGCGGCTTCGGTACATTAAAAACAGTAGTCTTCGCCGTAGCAAAATCATAAACTGAAATCGTGCTACTATCATACGAAACCTCACCAGTAGTACCATACACCCGGCCCCGACGCTCACATTGTTTCTCTGTAGGCGCAATCATGTGGAAACTCGCCGTTTTAGCAAGTCGATGCGGCGCCCTCTCCTCATCATCCCAAACAACCGTCACAGTCTGATCGTCACAGACATCATTGTCGGCTTCGTAGACGCACCGTCCGTACCAAGGTCGCGCGGCGATATCCGAGTCTGACATCGTATTCCGGTCATAGTCCTCGGCAAGACGGGAGAGGAGCAATGACTCGGCTGCCTTGTCGCCTTGGGCACGGAATACATCTTCGATATCCGGGCAGACGATGTCAACTGGCCAAGCTGTGTGACCTGTCGCGAGGTGGCGGTTGTTGTAGATCTTAACGGCGCTATAATTACAGTCTCGTTCAGCTGGACAAGAGAGACAGTTTGTAGCATTTCCTGCGGAGACGGGCTTGCGCTTTTGGCGGAACTGTGTCATCATTCCGGCGGAGGAGATCGAGCGCGGGAAGTGCGGCTTATGGGCTTGGTTGGGGGCTGTTTCGGGAGAGGGTGGGGAGCAGAGGAGCCAGAGGATGAAGTCGATGTCATGGCATGATTTTGTGAGGAGGGAGCCGTCGCCTGCTGGTGTTGCGCGTCGCCAGTTGCCTCGGACATAGCTGTGCGAGAAATGCCACCAGCCTACCGGCTCGCAGTGTTCTAGGGAGACTATATCGCCAATCACGCGGTCTGTGAGGAGGAGTTTGCGGAGGAGGATATTATGCGGGCTATAGCGGAGGACGTGGCCGATTGAGAATATATTCTTCGGGGCTTGGGGGGTGTTATTTGGGCCTTCTGGTGGTTGGAGAGCTCGGTATACTGTTAGACAGTCGTCTAGTGAGAGGGCTAATGGCTTCTCGCAGAGGATGTGTAGCTGGAGTGGGGCGAGGGCTTGTAGGATCTCGACGTGTGTTTCGTCTAGTGTGCAGATGAAGACTCCGTCTACGCCCACGGGTGTTGGGGTTGTGTCTGCTGCGTTATCGTTGTTTTGAGTCGCCTGCTTCCGCCGTTCGAGTTCCCATTGTACCCATTCGCGCCAATCAGTGAACTCCTGGCCTTCTTGGGGAGAATCGTGTATGCCCCATATATATTTTCGACCGAACTCGCGACGTTTGAAGGCGTGGGGTTCGGCGATTGCGTGGATTACACCCGGTGTTACGGTTGTGACGGCGCAAGCGTAGGCGTTTCCGCGAGAGCCGCCACCGATGACGAAGAAACGTAGTTGCTTCGATGGGGACAATGGGCTGGGAGGAAGATTCGGAGGTGGAATTGGTTCTTTCATGTTTTGAAATATGGGGATGCGGGGGATAAGTGGAGTTTTGTCGCGTTGAATCTAGTAATACTAAATAATTGCTGGTCTTGGTTGACTCTGACAATGCTAATGATCTCAGAATCCAAGAAAGAACAGCGATATATATAGTCAAGAGAAGATACGAGAGGTTGCAACGTTTGAAGTTGCAACGCGTTGTAACTGCGGGGGAACGCAACATCAGCAAGATCAGCACTGCTCTGATTGGCCAATATGGCAAGTATATTCGATTCAATTTTAATTCATCTTGTCTCTTTCTTCTTTTGACTGTCATTATCCGACTTTTCCTTGTCGAAAATCATAGCAACTTCTTCCAAAGACCGCCCCTTCGTCTCTGGGAAGAGGAAGTATATAAGAACCAAGAACATTACCAGACACCCAAGAAAGACACAGTAATACTTCCATGCAATCGCTGTGAACGCCACTGGGTTGACATATTGGTTGAAAAAACACGCCACAGCGTCCGCCGAAAGGGTGACAGCAATGCCCTTGGCACGCAGCTGGAAGGGTAGGATCTCAGCTGGATACGACATGAACAAAGGCGCATAACCGATGTCATATGCACCAAAAAAGAGAAATAGAAGTGGAACCACAGCTAGCGCAGCAGCAGAAAGATGTCTCTCAGCAAAAAGACCAGCGGCCAGCGTGGACATGGACAGGAAGACGATCATGGCCACTGTGGAAATAAGCCACAGAATGCGGCGGCCGTATCGCTCCGACGCAAGGGCACCAGCCCCCGTAAGAAGGAAATTCCAGGCATTGAGGCTGATATTCACGGCTGCTTGATCAGATGCCTTGGTGATGCCCACTGATCTGAGAATCGGCGCAAGGTAGTAGGAGAGGAGCCCTATGATGCTGTTAGTGACAGTGTTTTCTTTAAGGGGGTGAGAAGAGTTTACCATTTCCAGCCCATTCTTGCATGAACCCAACTAATACACAGATGGTCAATCGGTGCATATCGCCTCTAGATGAGAAGAAGGAGCTCCAGTTCCTTGTGTCGGTAATCTCGGCTGTGATCGTGCTGCATATCAAATGGTACTCATACTGGACCAGCTCGTCCTCTGTATCTCCATTTGCGTGGTACTTCCCTAGCATAGCCAAGGCTTCATCTTTCCTTCCTTGGGATACAAGCCATCTGGGGCTTTCGGGCACAAACATGACCAGCCCCAGGATCTGGAGCAACGGATATGATATCTGTAGCAGACAAGGAAGTTTCCACGACCAAGTGTTGGCTATGCCTATAGTTGCATACGTAACCGCTGCCGAGCCAATAGCGCCCAGACTCCAACACCCATTATAGAGGGCCGTGGCCGTCTGTCGCTGTCGAGGGTGTGCGATCTCAGTTGCCAGGAGAGGAGCTGCAGTCTGGGTCATTCCCATCCCTATACCCGACAAGACTCTCGTGCCAAAAAAGGCCCAGTGGCTTTTTATTAAGGTTGAGATAATCGCCCCCACGATGACAATGCTGGAGCCAATGCAAACACATGTCTTGCGTCCGAACTTATCGGCGATATAAGAGGCTGGCGCGAAGGATACCAACGCTCCCACTGAAGTGGCAGCAATTATCACACCAACTATATTGGGATTCAGCCCGCCAATTATTTCACCAACTATATCATGATTAGTATGCATAAATATCACGATATCAAGATGGAGACATTACACGCAGGCAGCACAAGCAAGCTATTCACAAGATTTCCAATATACCCGGCCGAAGAAGAAGTGGAGAACATGAACATAATAGCCAGATTCAATTTACGGAGTCCCCTGTCTTTGATCCAATTTGAATTCGTGTTGTTCTGTAGGAGCTTGAATGCCTCCATCGGGGGCTCCTTCACCATTGCATCGGTCTTCGTCGCCATATTGTGCACTCTCTCAAATCTGGGCTTGGTGGAAAAAGTGATTGTATAGAGTCAAGTATTCAACCTCGTCATGCTACACCAGCTGCTTATATCGCAAAATTATACAGAACAAGGGATCATCCACATTCTTCCGACCCAACAAACCTACAGCCTTCCCCGGATGATCCTCGGATAGTTCTAGGATAATCCTGGTGACTACGTGCAAGGAATGAAGGGAGGAATGCAAGATCTAACTACCCAAATAGGCAATGCTCCCAACACAAGAAGTTCCACGTTCTCCGATCACCTCATTACAGCGCCCAAAATCATGATCAACGGTCCAAAAGAACAGTTTGTATTATGTGTTATGATACCATCCACGGCCACGATGTAAGACAAATTTTCATTCATCGTGCTCCCCAAGCAGCGAAGCATACCGATTCCCATGCCCACAGAACCCCTCACACTGTCCACCAACATCCCTGCCTTTATGCAGCACGTCCTCCATGGCCCATGCAACACGTTCCGCTCCCACCCTCGCGCCTTCGAGGTTCGGCGCCCCAGGCCCAAGTCGAAGAGACGCCATACGGCCTGTCATAAATAATGGCACGTCATCCCGCCATGACAGATCATTCGTTAGACAAGGGAAACCTGACTTGACCTCGATCGGATATTGATCGTTCATTGCGCGGAGCAGCGGCATCTCGCGCACGTCCGCCCGCGCTCCGGTTGCGAAGTAGATGTAGTCAATTGCGGGGAGCTCGGGGATTGGTGGGTCGGTTGTTAGGGTCCAGGTCTTGGTGGCTAGATTATAATCGTGGGTTTTGATTTCTGTGTATGGGTGGATGGAGACACGATGTTGTGCTACGTGTTGCTTTATGATCTTTGCATAACGAGGTGTAATGCTACCACCATTTCTGGCTGTTTGGAGCATTTCAAGGCGCTCTGGAAGATGTTAGTATGAGTCTCTCCCTGGGATTGAGGGCTTCTTCTATATACCTTCGTCGGTGTCGGCAGACCAGAAAGCTGCTTTCTCCCAGTTCTTGTACTTTCCCATCCAGGGCAGACTGATATCGAAGTGTTTGACTGTTGTTTGAATGAGACATTAAAACACTGTTTGCCGGGGAAGTACATGTGGTATATACGTACCTTTCAGACCAGATCTCATCAGCCACCACACTTTAGTAACGCCATTGCGCACCGCCAAATCGACGACTTGTGCAGATGATAGCCCGCCTCCCACTATGACCACATTGGTCTCCTGCCGCCGCTGAATCTTGTTCCGTACATTGGGACTAGGAAATGTCTTGATCTCCGTACTGTGGCAACATGCTGCAGCACCCTCTTCTTCCGTTGATGGTTTCCAAGGATAAATCTTCGATACATCTGCTCCGCCAGGACCGATGGCCAGAACAACAGCTCGACTATAAAACTTCTCTCCTGTGGATGTGGTGACAGTAAACACCTTGGAATCTGAACTATCAGAAAGATAATCATATGATAGATCTGTAGCTTCGCGCTGCAAGATCTGACCGGGCTCATCCAGGCCATACCGCTGGATAATCGATGAACAATAATCCGAAAAGAGGTCTGTGGAAGGCGAGAAGTAATCTTTCCGATCTCGCTCGTCAATCTCGGCCCCGATCGTTCTATTTATAAGGTGATTAGAGATATGTTCCAACTTCGCAAAGACACAACTTACTGAGTCTTCCCACCCTGCCTCCTCTTCTTCTTCTTATGCTTGCTCATCTCCTTCCCGACACACCCAGAAATCTCCCATAAATCCGCTTCTCTCCCACTCTCCTGCGTATAAGCCAGCATACCATCCCGATCACCGGGATCAACATGGAAGAACATCGGGCTGCGAAGCTGTTTAATCTCCAACATGCGGAATGCATTCTTCCATCGCTGCATCCATTTATCCCCAGACCCATCAAGCACTAGAGTTGAAATAGATGATATTGACGATGTTGATGATGCGGACGATAGCGACGGCACGGAAGATGCAGAGTCGGTCGAGGTGCGCCGTTGTCGGTCTTCTTGACAAGGACATCCACGTTCACTGTCCCATTTTGTGGCTCGCACTCCGTTGATCTTGCTGTGACGCGCTTGTACCAAAGCCATCCGGCCGCTGTGCTTCTTGATCCAGTGGTAGCGTTGGTGCTCTTCGTCTGTGAAGACGGCTGATGGCGTTTCTTCGCTAAGGCGGGCGGCGACGGCGAGGCCGCATGGTCCTGCACCGATGATTATTACGTCGCGGATTTCATGATCTTCTGGTAATTGGGATGACATTTTAGAAGGGTAAGGTTGGGTTGGAGTAATAGTGGTTGGTAGAAACGTAGTACTTCGGGGCTGGATTGAATAGTAAATTTGCAAGAATGTACGGTGATAGGACCAATATATTTCTTTTGTAGTCTACTAGTATAGCTGCATTCCCCAATGTTCTCACAAATTGACTACCGAGGTACTCGTCCCCAAGGTCCTTGCATGACACCATATTGGGACAGCTTCATGGTCCACAACATGACGGATTCGATTATTGAAGACGATCTCTGAGGACCTTAGGGGATCATTTTTTATTTCATATTTGAACATTCCGTTAGTTACAACTTTGCTATGATTTACGTTATACTGTTGATGATGTTTTAATTATATCTTTGATTTCTGAGATATATATCTTGGTTACATGGTTTCAACTCAGTATAACACAACTATACATTACAGAAAAAACTAATAAGATATCGACATTTAGACAGATGATCGCATGAATAAAAACCAAATTGAACTATTTTAAACCTCTAGTCTCCTATATACACGTTAGAAGAAGTTTCCCCTCCTGTTTGAATCGTGCGCGATGAGTATGTGTGACTACTAGAAAGCCAAGTAGTTCTTTTAACCTCTCCAATGGGTTCTTGAATTTCATCTGTGAGACCTAACCGAACGAGAGAAAAGGTTCGAATCAGATCCGACACACGTCCTTAATGTTGCCGATTTTGCTCAGCCTGTCGTTCACTCCATCGCCCAGTTTGGATACATCGTCGGCAGACATGGAACGACGAGCACTGGCAGCTCGGCCGATGGCCACTGCATCCGTTAGAGCCAATGGAGAAAGAATAAGTCCAAACATAGCCAGTGGTGCGTTATCAGGGTCGTCAACGATCGTGTAAATGTCCAGAGCGACATTACCGACTTCACCCAACAGCGCGACAATTCGGCCAATAGCTGCCATGGAACTGACAGCACCAGCAACTTCACCAACGACTGGAATGAAGAAGAAGATGGCAGTCAGGAAAGCCATTAGAATCGCCTCCCGCTTGGCCTCCTCGATTTTCTCTCCAATTTCCTTGACCTTCTCCATGCTATCAACGGCATCCGCAATCATAGAGATTGGAAGCGAGAGTGCGTCTACCAAATCATCAGCATCGAGCGAGAAAGAACCCTCGCTCATAGAATCCAGGGCCCTAGTCATCTCAGAGCTAAGAATTGTGACATTCTTGTGAGCGTCTGACACAACATCTTTCGGGTTGAGAACGTCATCCTTGTCGTACCCGTCCGGCACAGGGAAGTTATAATCCCAGTCGTTGTTTTTGTTGCACTCTTTGTCGCTAGGCGGACACATGGTAGGATGATGGACATTCTCCCATTTGATATTCTCCTGATCGATGCCTTTCGTGGAGTATAGGTCTGCCCAGAATTGCTTAGCCTTGGAGGCAACCAGATGCCAGTACACCGACTGCCCCCAGCGCGAATCTTGTGGAGGCATCTGCGCGCGCAGTGAGTAGTCGGGCGGACATGGCTCCGTGACGTTCTTGTACCTAGTCTCTACACCATCACAGTTGACCTCGGGCTGGTCACAAATTGGGTCCCAGCCATTGTCGTAATCCTCGCAGTAACGACAGTAGACGTCACTGTCTTTTCCCCACTGACCTTCGCAAAAGCCACAGTCGGGAACCTCCTCGGTGACAATGCAGGTGAAGTAGTTCGATCCATTCTGGTACATGAAGCTTTCGACCTGCTCCCGTCCACTGTCGACCACGGCTTGGGCGTAGTAGTCGAAGTCTTTGTCATAGTCGTCTGCTATCATGCTGTCGTAACGTTTCAAGGCGTCGTCAAGAGTGCCTTTCAAGACCTTCAGGATGTATTGGGATGCACAGTCTCTGGGTATTTTTCCAATGTCTTTTTGAATGTCATCCAGAGTAGCGTATGACCCTTTGCATTCAGGTAAGTCTGGCATTGGGAAGCCATCGTCCATGTCACCGCCATCGGGCCCTGCCAAGTCATCGTCTGTGTATTCTTGCAGATCGACTGCCCAGTCAATGGTACCAGCGAAGTTCATGCCTTTCCAGTAAGAACGACGGCTGCCTTTGGTGGCTGGGGACATGTATGCAACCCATTCAAGGTCTAATCCGATCAGTAAGGGCCAAAAGATTATGGAAAAAAAAACGTACCATCGTACACCATCATGTCACTGTTGGAGTCCCCATCATGCCAGGTTTTCACGTTGGGGTTCAAGCTTTTGATCCGGCCAAGCTCAGCATTGGATATATAACCAGCAGTATCTGTACAGACACCTTTCTTTGCTTTGGAATCGTATCGTGTGCCCTCGAAGTTGCAGTCAGGCCCTGTGCAGCCCTTCTTTGACATCTTGAATGAACGGCCGTAGCTTGACTCGCCGACAAAGATTTTGTTTGTCGTGACACCCGCCTTCGTGACTATTTAATGGTTAGATTGGGAAGAATTGGTATTTACTATGGGATTTAACTTACTCATAGAAAGTGCGTATTCAGTCTCGGTGAGATTCACTGTAGAGTAAGGTCAGAAATTTGTAGGGTCAATTTGTCATGATTTATCGAAAGCATACCATGACTGCGAAGGCAGTTTCCCTCAGGACAACCCTCCGTGGCCCACTGGTTACCCGCATCCCATTGCCCTACATAGGTTAGCTCTGTTCCACGACTGAAGAAAGAATCCGACATACCGTGCAAGTCGTACGTCATGTAAACAATGTAGTCAAGCTGCTTGGCCATGTTCTTGATAGGGAATGCTTTGAGATACCAGTAGGATGCCGGAGCGGCAATAGACAAGCTACTTCCTGTCCCTAATTTGGACCGCATGGTGGTCAAAAATTTGAGATAATTGGGACCATCTGTTGCGAAGCCTGGAGGAGTGCCATCGATATCTGTGGCCTGTCAAACAAATTAGTTGCCTTCAACGTGAATAGTTGTGGAGGAGATATATGCATACCCCTGGGTATTCCCAGTCGAAGTCCACACCATCGAGGCCCTCATCCTTCACGAATTTGGCAACATTAGTTGCGAAAGCATTACGGCTCTCGGGGGTCGCCATTGCCTCTCGCAAAATGTTATATGTCTCAGGCTCTGTTGAGTATCCCCAGCCACCGAACGAGATAATGCGTTTGAGATCAAGATCCTTGAAGTCATCCCATTGACCATACGAGTCATTGATCTTGACTGTCCAGTCGTTCTTATTGATTCCAGCAAACGCCCAGTGCATGTGGGTGTAGCTACCATCGGTATTGGCATTTTTTGCACGGAGATTGAGACACTCTCGATCAAAGTTCCAAGTTTCATAATAGCCAACTCGGCCATACTGTCCTGGAGCAGTGTCTTTGTTCGTAATTTTTGTTCCACAGGAGGACACACAACCGTTCTGGTGAATTGAAGTTCCTGGATTCTTGGAAGGACCAAGCTCTTTAAGACAGAACTCTTGATTAATACCACACTGGCCCCAGATGTTACAGCAAACATTCAGCGGGCATGGGTTCAAATCTGCAAGGTCTGTATCATCGGTAGGCGCCTTGGAACCGGGTTTGGTCGGCCCGCACAGAGCGTTGGAGATTGGAGCCGGCATGGGGGGCTTTCCTTTACTGAGGCAAATGTTGATGTGAGCATCGAGATCACCACATCCGTTCCAGCCCCATGTGGTGCCGTTGTTAAACTCCTCAATTTTCTTTTTGGTCAACCCATATGTTGCAGCGAGTTTCGAACAGTCATCGCCAGGTTTCACAGTGTAAGTGTTGCAAGTGCCGTCTGGCTCAGGCTTTGGGGTGATGTCAGGTAATGTGCCAGACGTACAGCAAACAGGCTGGCCTTCCGCGAGATGATTGCAAAAGGTTTCACCCGGGTTATACTTTTGGAAGTCGGCTAAACTAATCCCACATCGTGTAGCCAGGGCAGGGCATAGTTCTTTTGCTCCCACACGGATTGTCGTACATTCTGCTCGTGCTTCGAGATCACGTTCAGTTACTTGCTTGGTTGGCTGCAAATCTTCGGTAGATTCCCATATATGAACGTCTTCCCAGACAGAAGTTGAGTCCAGTCCGCTGACACATTCTGCCTTGGACCATGAGCGAATGGCGCTCTGCACTGAGGCGACGTTTCCCGTTGTATCCACAGCAAGACCCATAACATGACGGGAATTACGTTTATCATTGCACAATTGAACAGTCATGGAGCCTGCTGACTTGAACGTCTTGATGTGGTCAACGAGCTGGGAGACCAAGGGCTTGACAGAGCGTTTGTCAAATGAGGAGCCGATGTAGATGCCAGCTGTTGTGCCATTGGAGTATGAGAACAACATGGAGGAGTCGCAGTTTGAGTCATCTTCAAAATAATCCTGCAGACTCTCCAAGGCTACCACGGCATCATCACCAGGAGCATCGCTCGTGCCTTGCTGCCCATATGAGAGGGCAATCTTGGTAGCAGCAGTAGCAGCTACGCACTCTGGATTTGCGCGTTTGGTCAAGTTTTTGGCTTCACTGGAAGCTTCAAAGAGTGCATTCACAGTGGTGTTAGCATCGCGGCTGTCACCAACTGTGCATGCATGCAATCTGATGCCAGTTCCTTTGTCAAGAGGCTTGTGAACTCCCATCTCAAACAGAATAGGCTGATTACAGACATTCAGGCGATCAACTGAAGAGTACACAGTCCAGTTATTGGGCTTGTTATCCAGGCAGGCTGTTGGACAGGGATGGAGTTGGGAGTAGTAGCTGCCTGGAGTATCAACTGGGACGATATCTCCAAGCTTGAGAACAGCCATTCCATTAACATCTTGAGCGGCATGAGTAAAGATCAAAAGGTTGATCCACACTGCTAAAGCCAACACTAGGTGTCGGAGCAATGGGGGTCTCATGATGAGAAGAAACGAAAAGTAAGAAGTGAATGAGATTATCAGAAAGGAAAGGAGATTAAATGAAAGACTGGGTAGATATATAGAACCATAAAAGAAAACAAAAGAAGGAAAAGAGTGAGAAAGGCGATTTCCGCGTAACGAATGTGAACGGACTGTCTGGCGTAATCATATGATAGTGGCTGAGGAAGACCTTTATGGCTCATTGAGTCGGCATGACTAGGAAGCGACGAGACGCTTTGTCCTTCTGCATCTTTGATAGTCCCTTCGGATAATCGGACGCCTGAGTATCTTCATTCTAGTATCAAGGTTACATCGTCTTTTCTTGGACAAAACTACATCCAAGCGAAGTGCTATTAGGGTTAGCTTGGGGGCGGGACGGCTGAGAGTAAGACAGGCCGAACAAAGCCTAAATTAACCCGAGATCATGTGGATATATGTAATACAGAAGATAAAATTACGGAGTACTCAGGGTAGTATTGTGGCTTCAGGGGCAAGGACCTCATATCCGACAAGCTTGGCAATTGATAGTGGCTGGCATGAGTGAGGTCTATATGGCCGTCATTTCCAACTCCGATTGGCATTCGTTTTCAATCTGCCTTTCTGGAAGACCTCCTTGAGTACCTCTGGAAATCATGAAACTGTCTCATATTGTGACTGTGTCTGCCCTGATTGCAGGAGCCTCTGCAAGAGGTATTAGAGGTGCTTCAGAACGGTGAGTTAAACCCACAGAAATGGTTTATGTAGTTACTAATATATGTTTACAGTGCTTTTTACTTTTCGACTTATGTGTCAGAGGAAATCTTTACGGATGAAAACAGGCGCACTGTCGCCACAGGCTGCCAGGGGTCCCGGAAGGGGCTACGTGATCAGCCGGACCGCTGTACTTTCATGGAATTCTGTGATTATCTTTGGCACGAAACTGAAATCAACCCGACAACTCATGAAATGGACAAGAGACCCGATATTACAAAGACGTACATGGGAACGGCTATCGACAAGAATGCGAAAACCCTCATCAACTACGACGCAGTAAAAATGCGTGACGGCATCATGAACCTGCGAATGAATCTTCCCGATGGCACAACCACAAATGTCCCAAAATGGGGATACTCCGGAGATCTACACATTGCGAATCTAGTTGAGGGGGGTACAGCAGCAAATTATTTCGACAAAGTGGGCCAGGAGTTCGGCGAGCGCTTCTGGAAGGCCAAGCTAGAGTTTGACGAAGTTTCTAAGAAAACGGGTGCCGATAAGCTGGATGATGATCTAAAGGAGTTGTTCCAGACCTGGAACGATCATGCGGTGGAATCGTCCAAGATGTCCTACGCATATCGGGAAAAAGAACTTCGAATGCAAGAGCCAGGAGCCATAAAATCAGCTCTCAAAAAGAAATATACCGACCCGGATACAAAAAAGCTGATCAAAGTTGAAACCAGGATGCTTGACAAAAGCGAGGTGGTGTGGGGAGAGCCTTACAAGGTGTATGACAAGGATCGTACGGCTACCACATTGGCAGGCATCCCACAGTTGGGGTTGACCAAGGAGCAGGCTCTCACGCTACTCACGGAGGTTTACGATGCACTTCAAGGTACGCCTTTAGTTGAGGAGCATCAAAGGGCCTTGGCGGGGGCCAAAAAGGCAATGAATGTGGCGAGTAGCGGATGTGTTATCTAGACTGAAACCAATTTTTTTGGTAATAAGTTATCAAAATGATTAGTCTGAGTTTTATCTTTTATTGAAAAAGAACGGAGTGCATTCCGAGGTTGTAGAAGTTAGTCCGATGTGGTTAGGGCTCCGACCATTTTACCACATGATCAAGCGACTTACTATCTAGCCACTTTCTATTTACCCATTCATTTTCTATTAATCATTCAAAACATCATGGATACACTAGCACGGCTAGACAAACTTCCTGCTGAGATCCTGGATGCGATTATATCGCACTTGGGAGATCATGATTTGGCATCTCTATTAGCGACAAACAGACAGCTATACCAACAGCTTGATCCAATCTTCTACGGCAGAGAACATATCATGGATTTAGCAATGGGCTGGGCGTGCTCGCATGGAAATTCCCAAGCCATTAGTCGCCTAATTTCCTTAGGTGCATCCCCTAGTGTGATTTACGTGAGCACTAGTTCGGGGTGTTACATCAAAACATCCACGTTACATTTGGCAGCCACTAAAAAACAAGTTGAGGCTTTCCGGTACCTGCTTGATGTTGGCGCACGGCTCGATCATCCTAATGTGGACAAAGGTGCCACCCGTCATTTCGTCAGCCACATTTGCAGCCCCGCACATGATTGGGCTCTGCTGAAACTTTACCTGAATGCCGGCCTTGACCATCAGCTTCGTGTGGGGCATCGACACTATCCCCCTTCCACCATACCTCTGCTAGGGGTAATTTCCCAGTCGGAATCGGCCGCTCCGCTAGATCCTGTGCGCCTTTTACTGGACCGAGGTGGCAACCCTAATGAGATATTCTGCTTCTATGGAAACCGACTAGTGACTCCCCTGACTGTGGCAATTCAGAAGGCCCACACTGAAGTCCTCGACCTCCTGATCGAGAAAGGAGGAATTATTCATGGACCCCATGTTACTCGTCCGCTCCGTCAGCCTTGGCATATTCCCATCATGGCAGCTGCGGCATGCATGTCAAGCCAGGGGACAGCCATGATCGAGCGATGCTTACACCATGGCGCAGACATCAACCACTCAACACCGAAGATGGCTGAAGAAGACTACGAAGGATGCAGACACTACCAATACATGAGTCCTGCGCTTGTCTATGTTGATTCCATTCACAACTGGGACGAACCGACGCATGTCTTGCACCCAGCGGATGGACTCGCATTTCTGGCTAGCCGAGGGGCATTCCTTCAACAGCCCATTCCCATTCCAGATCGTGGAGACCTCGAGCGAATACACCGTGCGCCTTGGGTGCGGTGCCAGTGGAGCCCTTCCCAAATGTGCCTGGGCTTTATCCTCGAGAAGTGGGGACTAATCAAATTGGCCACCAGTCCAGGTCTTCTCCTGGCTGTGCAATATCTGCTCCGGCACGCGGTCAGTGTTGGCACACTCGCTGAGTCCTTCGCCTCCTACGACTTTGAAAAATCGGGTCACATAGACCTACCAGTTCAAGTTTCAGCGGCATGGCAAGGTCTTTTGACCTATGTCCTGGAGGATTTAAAGGTGGACCCTACCATACTATTGAACCAGTACATCTTACAAAAGGGCTTATGCATATGGGATAAGCCCCTACATAAAATTGGCCGCGCCACAATTGAGAGGCTCTTGGCGTCGGGGGCCAACATCAATTCCCGCATGGGGGCCGAGGATGGACCAACGTCTTTTCATGCGGTGTGCGAAGCATTCAACAAAGAGGTCCTGACTTTGGAAGGAAGATTTCACTCTTATCATTGGAGGCAGAAGATCGAGATACAGGTCACGTATCTTGAGTACTTGCGAAGTCGAGGAGCCGATTCTTCCATTCGCATTGGTGGTCAAACAGCCAGTGAGGCTCTCCTAGTGAATCAAGCGGATATGCCATTGGCGGTTCGGCAAAAGATGCTGTCAATATCCGAAATTATGCAGGACAATGTAATTTAAAACAAAAGTTAAATGATCGGCACTTTTTCCACTTTTGTAACATCCGGAACGGGCCGAACAATGTCTTAGAAGAAATTTTAGAGGGTCACAGCGCAAGGATGTTCCGAGGTCCCGTCAATTGAGGCTTAAGCACATTGCCGTGGGGGCTAAGCGTCCGCCAAGATATCCAATGGATCTTTTCGGCATTCGTGGGACTTGGCATGGGCTATTCTTTTTCTTGTTATATTCTCTCGGCTCTTCTAACCTCCGTATTCTTCTTGGCTTGAAAAAATCAATTTCTCGGTGGTTACATCGTCCCTATTAGCGGCTTATTAGGTCTTACTCTTCTTATCTCCATTCTTTACTCCGTACACAAGAGCCATCTAGCTCTGTAATTGACAGTACTAACCTCATTGAACGATAATTAATCGATAGTTCAGCCATGTCTGATTCAGTGGAGAAGACTTGGACAACGGCGATGACCAAAAGCGTTGTCCATAAGCGTTGCCACAAGTGTATAAAACACAGCAGATGACCATGAAGAATTTACAAGATAATCACTCAGAGCATCAACCATTATGCTTTCGTCTAACCTATATCTTCTGGCCACGGGCTTGACTCTGTCAACAGCCTTTGCCAGGCCAAATCTCGTCCGCCGTGATGAGACTCCCCAACTGCCCCATGATCCAAACACTACTCCATATTGCACATGGTGGGCAGACGATGATGGTTCAATTGATTGCGCTGGTATCCCTGGCTATTGGGGTATATCCATGGATGACTTTGTCCGATGGGTAAGTTGCTTCCCCGAAGTATCTTTTCCTAATCACTAATCTCTTCAGAACCCATCCGTTGGCAACGACTGCGCAGGATTTGTTTCTGGCAACTCTTACTGTGTCGAAGCATATGGAGAACCAGCTCCTGGTACAGGCACAACTACTACTAAAATCACAACCACTTCAAGTGCCTCCACTTCAAGCACCAGCACTTCAACCACTACCTCAACCACCACTACAACTGGTGGTGCCCCGGGACCTACCCAGCCCGGACAAGTGACCAACTGTAACAAATGGGATCTCGTTCAAACTGGAGACACATGCAGCGTCTACCTGGCCAAGTATCCCGGCCTGACCTTGGCCAAACTCGTTGAATGGAACCCTGCCATCGGGTCCCAGTGCGAGTCTCTTTGGACAGAAACCTACGTAAGATTCGCAAACTCAATTTGCACGGAGTAATATTAATCATTCGAACAGATCTGCACTGGTGTCATCGGTTGGACGCCTAGCCCAACCACCAGCAAGGCCACCACAACCTCTACAACTCCAACCAATGGCGTCACCACCCCACAGCCCATCCAGCCTGGCATGATCACCGACTGCAACAAATTCCACATGGTAGCTGAGGGCGACGGCTGTGACTCAATTGCCAAAGCAAATGGCCTCACCCCCGCCCAATTCTACGCCCTTAATCCCGGAGTAGGAAACACCTGCTCGACCTTGTGGCTTGGCTACTATGTCTGTGTATCACGCATCGGCACCTCACCCACCACAACAAAGCCCACCACCACAAAGCCAGGAAACGGCATTACCACCCCAACCCCCATCCAGGATGGTATGGTGGGCAACTGCGACAAGTTCCACCTGGTTGGTGATAACGACCAGTGCGTCACAATTGCACGCAGCAACGGAATAAGCCTCTCGCAATTCTACTCCTGGAACCCCTCCGTAGGCAAGGGTTGCGAGACTCTTTGGAATGGATACTACGTGTGTGTGAAGATCGTTGGTGTTAAGCCCATTACTACCACTACCACGAAGGCAACCACCACCACGAAGGGTAATGGAATCGCTACGCCCACCCCGATCCAGCCGGGCATGATAACCTCGTGTAAGAAGTTCCACAAGGTGGTTGAGGGCGATCAGTGTGGGACTATTGCGGCTGCAGCTGGTATCACGCAGAGTCAGTTCAATTCGTGGAATCCGAATGTTGGGGCCGATTGCAAGTCATTGTGGCTGGGATACTGGGTGTGTATTGGAAAATAAGGAGGGGATGAATATGTTAGTCAAAATTTGTGATTAACTAAGATGTAATCATGTTGAGAAAAAGAAATTGAGTACATGGAAGAGATTGAATTAAAGACCTATAACTTCGACTATTGTGATAAGGACAAGAATACTGGGCCGGATAGGTAGCCCTGTGATGTCTTTTTAGTAGTCTTTTCAGTAGTCTTTTCAGTAGTCTTTTCAGTAGTCTTCTCAGTAGTCTTCTCAGTAGTCTTTTCCGTAGTTTTCTCAGATATCATTCCGTGTAGATGTCTTGCTAAGCTTATAAGTCGACAGCAAAACTATCTACACTGGACTAAATGTTAGGAAAAATAGGGCTTCGCGAACGCCGACCCTCGCACTGAGGATGACACCCCTCCTGTCAACTGGCTCACCATCGTTGAGCGTCTAGTCGAACGTGGGGTTAGGTCCTTACTCCTTGCAGTCGTCCTCGCCTTCTTTGAGTCTGACGGCTGTCGCATGGCCAGATTGATCTCTGGCTGTATCGCCAAGAGCGGTACTACTATATATATAATACAATTTATACAATAAGGCGTTACAAAGCCTCATGTGCTGCCCCATGCTTGTCCATGTGGGTTACAGTATATGCTGACTCACACTATTTCGCCGTCGATGCTGAGGCTGAGTCAAGTCTCCTCCAGTCAATAATCACCGGAACCGTCTGTCAGAAAGCTGGCAACCGGGATTTGGTAACGATCGCGAAATGGTGCGAAAGGTAACAGCGGCATTCAAGGCAGAAGTTGACACTGCAGCGGCACAGCAGCGTGAAGCAGCTGAGCGAGCGGCCCAGGAGATAGATGCTCTGAAGGCCGATCTCGCACCCAAGGAAACGTAGATGGGCAAGCTACGGCAAGACAATGCCGAGATTGCTGGTGACGTTGGACCGGACTGAGGCTGGCAGACCTTTGGCCAACTTTGTGTGTAACATGATTGACCCAAACAGAAGGCCTAGACACACGGGGTGGGCAAGACTTCGGGAAACCTTAGAAGCAGCCGAGATCCACCTGGGCACCTGGGCAGTGTTGGGTGATTAGTCACCTCCCGTCAGTTAAGCCCCGTCGTTAGCTAGCATTGAATATCATACTTATTCCCATCTCCCATGACATCCAGGCTTTGTTGAGGTACGGGCCCCAAGGTTCGAAGTATGTTTTCGAAAGTTTTCCGAACCGAAGGGTATCTCCGAACCCAGTTTCATCAAGATAGCTTCATCCCGGGATTGAGCTTTAGGATGCCGAGCCTGCTCGCCCTGCTGGTGCCCATGGCCGTCCCCTTGGCCGACGCCCTCTTGGCAGCCCCTCTGGGGTTTCTGGCCCAGCTAGCAATACCCGGGCCAGGGCCAGGCCTTTAGCAATGTTGATAGTACCGCCTTCAAAGAAATTACTGGCAGACATTAAACCGTTTTTATAAGAGTGGCTGATTGGATTCCAAATTGGAAAGTCTTGGCTCTCCATACAACTCATGGAGTCTCTTATTTGTAAACACAGAAATGAAGAAAAAAGAAATTATATTATATGAAAGAAAGAAAAATATTTGCAAGGGGAATAATAACAAATCACCAAAAGCCTCCGAAAAGAAAAAAAGAAAAACAAGAACATAAAACTAAATATACTCCAAACCCAGAATCAAAACCTCCAAACCCACGCCATAAAAAACACTTATTTATGCCATTTCTTCGTCTTCGTCCCAGGCTTCGCCCTAGACGCACCCCCCTCCCTCCGATGCCAAGGATCCAAAGGCCAAACCCACCCCCTAACCCTCTTAGCATCCCTCTTCTCCCCAATCTGCGGCTCAGGAATCCACTTATCCTTCCCCTCCAGAATCCTCTGCCGAGTCATCGCACCAGGTCCGCCAACGTTGAGGTGAGCAGAAGGCTGATGCGGAAGCGGCACCGACTTCGAAAGCATCAATAAGAAATACAACCCAAGTCCGGCCGTCATAGCCGGCAACGCATCCTCAACCGGCTCCGGCTCCGACGAGTCCTGCTGCGAGCCGAATGACGAACTGCTCGACGACGAGAAAGAGCGTTCGCTGACGGGCGTTGCGAGTGCGTCGCGCGCTTGTGCATGCGCGCTTTTTCCAGCAGCACCTGCTGTTTTGAGTGGGATTGATGCCGCGATCTCCAAGTACCCGAAGTAGGGGACGTCGTCGCCGGTGTCGCAGCCTGCTCGCACGCAGACGAGCTCGATCTCGGTGATTATAAAGCCGTAGCGGCAGGAGTGCTCGCGCATGCAGCGTTGGAGGTGGGCGAGGCCGTTGAGGTATTCGACCCGTCTGTGTGGGGCTTCGTTGCGCATGCCGGTGTTCCAGCGGTCGAAGCTTTTTACGATGCCGACTAGGCGGCCGCGTGGGAGGCCGGCGCTTGTTTGCTCTGTGTCGGAGAGGTAGTTTGCTAGGAAGTGCGGGTGGCCGTGGTTTTTGTGGCCTGTGTTGCGGACGTCTGGGGCGGCGTAGAGTTGGAGGTGGTCTTTGCCTTGGGAGACGGCGAGGGCGGCGTTGATGCATGGTGCGTAGAGGTCGCGGATTAGGCTCACTAGGTCGTGCTCAGATTCTGGGGCTAGGTTTGCTGGTGGGACAGCCACGTGTGGAGTGAGCTCTGCTGGAATTTCGGTCTTCAGGAGCTGGATTAGTCGGCTGTCCAGGGAGTCGAAGGTCGCTAGTGAGAAGGAGCTCCAGCTGCGTAGGTTGCGGATGTCCCACCAGAAGTAATCGTGTAGGCCGCGAGTTGGAATTACGCTCACGTTGCGGACTAGATTGATTGGTTGGATTGGTAGGGTCAGGTATGACAGAAGAGTTGTAGACCGTGGGGGCATGTCTTCCTTGGGACTGAGTAAGGCTGGTGAACGCTGGGCAGGTGATGCCTGGTGGAAGTTGTATCGAGGTGTTGGGACTGTCAACGGAGTGTGAGTACCTGCAGGACCATGCTGGGCCCCCATTCTTTGGGAGTATGATGCGTAGGGCATGATGTTTGGGGTGACCGGGGTGACCGGGGTGGTTGGGGTAGTCTGAGCATGCATTTGAGGAACATATTTTGGCAGTTCCCGGTACGCGGGATACCCAAGTCGACCCAAGCTAGCGACATCAATAACAGATGCTGAGACCGAGCGTGAATGGGCCCCGCCTGCCTTGCGCTTATACGAAGGGATAATTGTTACTGGTGACGACAACGCAGAGAGGCTGCCCTGTGTACTAATTGGCACCGGCGAGATAGGAGAGGCCAATGTCAAGCGGTCCGCGAGATCGCGGGTGCGACGACTGGCAGATGGCGGTGCCGGTGTGTAAGGGACAAATCCAGGTGGGTTCCGTGTATTGGACAAAACCCGAGGGTGACGAATAGGCCCGCCAGCAGACACTGGCTCGATCACAATATCTTGAGGTCTGATCTTAGGCAATAACTTTGGACCATGGTGATGTCTAGTTGGTGATGTAGTGGGACTGGTATTTCCAGTCACAGTGGACCAGGGAGATGACTCGCTTGAATAGACAGAAGAGTTGGAGGCATGACGACTATGTCCAGCGTCGATGTATTCCTCAAGAGTAAGACGCGGTGGCGTGGTTGGCCGAAAGCGAGAGGAGTCGACAGTAGACATGATAGGTAGAAGTTGTTGAATAGGTGTATCACCAATAACAATCTATCATAAGAGTAACCAACGAATGAACTGATGTCTTGACCAAGTCGTTTAGAAAAGCATCCAGAAGGAGGATGTTTGGATATTAAATGAACATCGACAAGAGTCTCAAACAGCCAAGCCTGATGTATATAAAAAGATTGAGTGACGAACCCTAGTCGATCTAGAAAAGATGAAACATGGAGAAGAGCCCCATTGTAACGCCTACGGAGCTAGAGAATCTTTTTTTGGGATCCTAGTCTCCGATCAGAGGCACGTCCACTCGATGAAACGCGAAACTGCCGACATTGTGCCTGAAAGACAGGCATGTTGAACAACAAGGCCCTTGAAACTACCCCTCCGAGGGGGCCCAGGCCGGCATAGTGCGGTTTCATCGGACTGTCGCGCGTCAAGATGTTACTATATTTTGCATCTTCTTCAATATCATTCTTCATATTACCTAAATTGGTTAGCCTGCTGCAAGTCTGGCAAAGTGTTCTAAAAAAGGCAACAATTAAGTCACATTTCTAGGTAATTAGCGGACTTGTTGGTGATTGTCCCTGCTTAAACTCGCGGGGTCAGCGGTTAAGGGTTCCAAGAAAGCAAATGGATAAAAATAGCAATGAGTGATGGAAAGTGTAATTCCAGGGTATTCCAGGGTCTAAACAGGGTAAAAAGACCCTTTCGAAGGGAGGGTACCTGCTCTAGATGCAAGAGTGGCCAAATGTGATAACGAGGTCGGCGGCTACATGTATGGGATGAGTTTGAAGTACGCGCCGAGCACGGGCGTCATATTCAATGATTGGACGATCTGATCTTGAAACTGAGAAATTTCCCATAATTAGCAACAATTAATGCAGAGGGGGAAGTTCATGCAAGAGACATCTAGAAAAAGATGGAGGTCAGAGGTTGATCATCACAGAACCGCGCATTGACCCCTGTGGGTTTCACTATGTTAAAATGTAGATGCGGAGTATACAATTTAGGACTTATTTAGGAGGAATTTGGAGGAATTTGGATTAAAAAATCTCATATTAATTTGTTTAATTATTTCATGACATTCATTTCATGTGGGTCGAAATAACACCCGAAAAGAGTAATAAAAAAAAGAAGAAAAAGGTCAAACCTCGGGTGGTCTATGTACCTTGACAAAAACACTCAAAACGCTCGGGGGAATCTCTTTGAACCGTCTAAACAACACATCGAACGGTAAAGGCAATCGCAGAACTTTCAAATTTTTAAGCCTTGATCTCGTACTTGCGGCGGAACATGTCATCCACCTCAGTCAAGTAGTAGACACCGGATTTAATAGTCTCGATGCTACCAGTAGGCTGGAAGTTCTTCTTCAGGTGGGCGTGCTCACGGAGCTTGCACATGCCATCGTAGGCACTAGGCTCGAGAATAGTGCGAGCATTAAGACGGTTCTGGAGATCAAGCTTCTCAACCATGCCGGAGACATCGCCGACAATCTTGGCGCTGAACATGGAACTGGCAAGACCGGAACCGTAGCTGAACAGACCGATGCGCTTGGTCTCCTTAGGGTCGAAAACGACATTGCTGAGCAGACTGGCCAAACCGCCGTAAACAGTGGCAGTGTACATGTTACCACACTGGGTAGCGACCTGGAGACCAGGGTTGACACGCTCGGCGAAACGCTTCTTGGTCAGGCCCATGAAGGTCTTCTCAACAACCTTGTCGGTAAGAGAAGTCTCGTAGTCGAGGTCACGGAGCTCGGGGGCAACCTCGGCGAAAGCGGGGTGGGAGGGGTTGGCCAGGTAGTCGTTGTAGAGCATACGAGCGTAGGACTTCTGGACCAGCTTGCAGGTAGGGGCATGGAACAGAATGTAGTCGAAGCGGTCCAGAGGGGTCTGGGACTCGTCGGCAACACCATTGGTACCGTTGACACCGTTGGCCTGAGCCTTCAGGGTCTTCTCACGGGCATCGTAGGCCTTGTAGCAGGCATCGACAGCCTCGGTGTAGCAGCGAAGGGAGTAGTGACCGTCGACAACGGGGTACTCGCTAGTGAGATCGGGCTTGTAGAAATCGTAGGCGTGAGTGAGGTAGGAGGCACGAAGACCGGCCTCGAAGACGATAGGGGCGTCGGGGCCAATGACCATGGCAACGCAGCCAGCACCACCAGTGGGGCGGGCAGCACCAGCGGCGTACAGAGCGATATCACCGCAAACCACAACGGCATCACGGCCGTCCCAGGCAGAGGACTCGAGCCAGTTGATGCTGTTGAAGACGGCGTTGGTACCACCGTAGCAAGCGTTGACGTTGTCGACGCCCTCAATGTTGGTGTTTCCGTGGGGGGCGAAAAGCTGCATGAGAACGGACTTCACGGACTTAGACTTGTCCAAAAGGGTCTCAGTGCCAACCTCGAGTCTTCCAACGGAGTTGGGGTCAATGTTGTATTTCTTCATGAGGGAGGAGAGGACGGTGAGGGTCATGGAGTAGATGTCTAGCGATAACGATTAGCTGATTTGACCTTGAACTTTGTAAAAATCGGTATACATACCCTCACGGTCATCACAGAAGCTCATCTTGGTCTGGCCGAGACCAATGGTGTATTTTCCGGCAGAGACGCCATCGTACTTCTCCAGCTCAACCTGGTCAACACACTGCAATTGAGGTTAGTATTTATCGTGTGATAAGATACGGGAACACTAACCTGAGTAGGGAAGTAGACCTCAATGGCCTTGATGCCAATGTTCTGGGGACGAGCAGCCATGGTGGGGGTATAGAGGGGTATAGAAGAAGAAGAAGAATGAGGATGAGAATGAGAATGTTTTGAAAAGAAGAAGCCTGAGAAGGCAATTGATATAAGAATGAAAAGGAGTTGTGTACTCGGTTCTACCGTGTACGATCTGTCACCACTTATTTTTTTTTTTTTCTTTTTTTCTTCCCAAGTGGGGAGATCTGCCCTTTTTTACTTAAATGACTTTTGTTATGTTCCTTTGGGCCGGATAATTGCCTAGGAGATATTTCATTGGTATTGTTGGATATAGCTTTGGAGGGGTTGAGGCTATATTTGTGCGTACATAGCTAGCTCCAGGGCTAAGTATGTACTCCGCGGAACATCACATTTGAACAATAACATGATAGTAAATATACCATACATAGTAAAAAAGAATGTAGTAAATAGTAAATAGTTACACATGTACTCCATATCCATTTGTCCGTATTCCTACGTGGCTTTTAATAAAAAAAAACCCTCTATAATCATTGAAATCTACGGTGTAGAACTGAGTCTGCCATCTTATCGATCTGTCTCCACTCAAATTTTCCCTTTGACACGTTTTTTCTTCCAGTTGAAGTTCAGTTACTTAGTGGATCAATTTCGAAAAGAGACTGTATTCCGTATGGTCTGATGTTTGATCTTGTTATTCTAGACTCTTATGGATGTTCTCTTCCCTGCACTCCGTACTCCATACTATCTTTATTTTTGACGCAGCTCAAGAACATCTGCATGACAGTGCATTTTCCGATATATTTTATATATAAAAAAAAGAAATATCCTCCATATTAAAATTGATCTAATACAATGTTATATACTAATATACTAATATACTAATGTTGAATGTTAATGTTCCTGATGTCGCCATGTGTGTACTCCGGATAGTTGCCAAGCGTGGGTCACTCTCCGGGGGCGTCTGCCTATCTCCTGTCTCTCTCCTATACAACTCTCAACGGACATACACTTATCGGCATATGATGTCGGACGTCGCTCATTTCCTTTTCTGCAGATCATGATCCTCCGGATCTCCATACCCGCTCTACACTCTTCTTATAGCTCTCCGGAGCCCCGTATCTCCCACAATGGGCGACGAGAAGTTTGACTATCAGGCCGTCCCCATCCCTTCTTACGCTGAAGCCACCGGTCAACCCTCCTCCTCTCGATCCGATCTTGGTGATGGAACAGATGTTGAACGACAGGGGTTACTCGGTCGCGATCATGCTTCCACCCGCGGCTACCACCCACCAACCGTGGAATCGGCGCGCTCCAGTCTCGATGGTCTGGAATCATTGACATCACGCTCAGATCGAGAATCGGTGGAGGAACTACGACGGGAATTAGATCAAATGGAGGTGGATGATTCGGCATCGGCCTCCTTGACCGGCACACGCCCCCCTCTACGCCATCGTTTTTCCAAGCAGCTATCGAGTCTGAGTCGTACGCTGTCCGCTATCCAACGACCCTTCCAACGATATATGCCCCGTTTCCGCTTCACAATAAACCTCAGTGACACGAGGGCACGCTTAAAAGATCAGGGATGCATCATGCTTCTCCGAATGTTCGCTCTTTTACTAGTGGTCACCCTAGTGTATGTGTTCTTCATCGCAGATGTCTTCAATATCAACAGTCGCATGGCCATGGGTCAGTCCTATAGCGCCGCCTCCGTCGAGAACTTCATCCAAGGTCACATAAACGAGACCAAGATCGCTGAAAACTTGCGACGAGTCACCAATTACACCCACGTAGCTGGCACGGAAGGCAGCTTTGCGCTATCACAATTGATTGAACAAGAGTTCCAGAAGGCAGGGTTCGATGAAGTGTTGCGAGAGGAATTTCAGGTCTACCTCAACTATCCACGCAAGGATGGGAGGAGAGTTGCAATTATCGACCCACCCAGTCTAGCGTGGGAGGCGAAACTCGAAGAAGACAACGCCAAGGACCTGATCTTTCATGGACATTCAAAATCTGGCAATGTTACTGGCCATCTGGTGTATGCTAACTTCGGTTCACGGGAAGATTTCAAACTTCTCGCAGACAAAGGAATTTCACTCGATGGCTCGATTGCCTTGGTTCGTTACTACGGCACCGAATCCGATCGTGCATTAAAAATCAAAGCCGCTGAATTGGCCGGGGCTGTCGGCTGTATAATCTACTCCGATCCCTCCCAAGACGGATTTGTCAAAGGTCCGGCCTTTCCCAAAGGGCGGTACATGCCAAGCGATGGCGTACAAAGAGGCGGTGTGAGTATGATGTCGCAGGTAGTTGGCGATGTCCTCACCCCGGGATGGGCATCCATTCCAGGAGAAAAGCATCGTTTATCTCCCGAGGAGAGCCACGCTCTACCCAAAATTCCCAGTCTTCCGCTCGCTTGGCGCGATGCACAGAAACTTTTGCAGGGCCTCAAAGGCCATGGCTCCAAAGTACCAAAGGAATGGGTGGGTGGTGTTCCTGATGTGCCAGAGTGGTGGACTGGTGACCAGCACTCCCCGGTCGTTCATTTGATGAACCTACAAGACGAAGTAGAGCGGCAACCTATCTACAACATCCACGGCAGGATCGTCGGAATGGATGAGCGTGACAAGAAAATCATTGTTGGCAACCACCGAGATTCGTGGTGCATGGGAAGTGTTGACCCTGGAAGTGGCACCGCTACCTTCCTAGAGGTTGTGCGAGCCTTTGGGGAGTTGCTTACCTATGGATGGCGCCCGCTTCGCACCATTGAATTTGTCAGTTGGGACGGCGAGGAGTACAATTTGATCGGCTCAACAGAACATGTTGAAAAAGAAATAGATGATCTCCGTGCAAATGCGTTTGCCTACCTGAACGTCGACGTTGGTGTTTCTGGGCCCGATTTCCATGTGTCTGCGTCGCCTGTTTTTGAGCGCACCGTGCTGCAGGTTCTGGGTCGTATCTCAGACCCCTATGCGAACGCCACACTGAAAGACCTTTGGGATCAAAAGGGCTCGAAGATCACCCCACTTGGCGCTGGAAGTGATTATGTCGCGTTCCAGGATATCGCTGGTACTTCGAGCATTGACTTTGGATTTACGGGCGAGCCCTATCCATACCACAGCTGCTATGAAACCTATGACTGGATGGTTGACTTTGCCGACCCCGATTTCCAATACCACAAAATCCTGGCTCAATTCTGGGGACTCCTCCTTCTTGACCTTTCGGAGAACCCCATGCTACCATTTGACCTAGAAGCCTACGGCGACTCCATTGGCGGATGGGTCAAAGACTTGGACAAATTTGCTAAATCAAAGAAGGCTGATGTGGACATGCAACCTATGTTCAAAGCTGCGACCGAGATGAAAGCCAAGGCTGTTACATTCGAGTCCTGGAACAAGATCTGGCACGATACTGTGTGGGGTATGGGAGGGTATGAAAGCAATGTTATGGCAGTCCAACGGGTGAACCATAATGCTCGAATGGCTGCCTTTGATACCAATCTACTTGACTTGGAAGAAGGCGGAGGTGTAAGTTGACGTTCTGTTTGATCTATCCCTCAATCCTAGCTAACGACTTGTACAGATCCCCAACCGCACACAATTCCGACACGTCGTCTTTGGTCCAGAATTGTGGTCCGGCTACGACGCCTCGATCTTCCCTGCTATCCGCGACAGCATCAACACAGGGAATTGGACATTGACCCAATATTGGATCAACCGGGTGGCCAACACTATCCACCACGCCAGCGATAAGCTCCTCCACTAATGTATTCTACCTCTCAGTCCTTTTCCTACTTGTCGTTCTTCTCAGCCTTCATCCACGCCTATCGGATTGATTCTTTTGTCACGTTCTAAACGAACACTGTACAGCCCGACACTGCCATGTTGTCGGGATACCTCTATACCAGAATTTTGGTAACCTCTTTCATACCTATATATACCATGCATGTCTGGAGCTTTTCCGGGACTTAGCAGATTGTTCTGTCAGTTCTATTGGGCCCTTCATCCCCGTTTTTCTTGAATGTATCTAGCTTCTCATCCTTGTCCCGAGGGACCGGCGTTTATATGGGGATATATCACATTTCGTATCTAGCTATTAAGAGGGTTCCAAACCTGCCAGTCCACATGGTTTACTTGTTTGCTCACTCCGAGTGCTCAACCTTTAGTATAGTATAGTACTAGCTCTTTTAGAAGGACATATTTTCGTCTATAAAAGTCAGTGTTGTATGTAGTCTTCTTTGGGATATTAAACCCTTCAATTCTCCGCACGTAAAACGAGCCTTGCCCTTGTCATATTGTGCGTTGTCTAGCCATTCTATCCCTGTTCTGAATATATCGGCCAAGCATAAAAGTTGTCAACGAACTGGATTTTAATTTCGACCTTGACACAAACCATTATCCGCTAGGTAATCTCAGGTCTCTCCAGCAAGTTTTTGACGCTGTGCAATACCACCACCATTTGGAACGGGAGGAGAATTTTTCGCGTACAACTCGTGTGGAATGTCTCAAAGTTGATTCGCAGGGAGGAGGTAGGTTCCTAGATCATAAAGTTTCTATTTTGGGGGCTAATATGATATATCTAGAATGGCGAACACTTGACGAGGCCAGCATGGACCAACTCTTACAGGTGAGTTTTATACAGCTTCAGCTTGGAACCTGAATGGCTAAACATATAAAAGTCATATGCTGTGAACCCGTCCCCAGCTGCTAAACCATTCTCCGGACGTCATATGCTTGTTTTGTGAGTGCTTCCCCCGTTCCCCCGTTCTGAACCTCATACTAACTTGTAAAGCTTTGCACCCTTGGTGCCTACCGAGGGTACTTCATATGGCTCACGCATTCTAATGACACAAAGAAATGCCAACCAGCTCCTTGAAAGACTACAAGTCAATCCTTTGTTTGCATTAAACATGATCGGTCGGCCAGATTACTGGGCACCTCAAACCCATTGGGAAGCAGATGATAAAGGGAGCTTGCAAGCTTGCGGTAAGAGCAGAAGTATCCGACATCAATACAAATGCTAAGATCACAACAGATCTCTTTTGCCAACATCCTCGCTGGAACCTCCAAGCCCAGGGAGCTCCAGTGTCTGTTTACGTACGCCATGACATTACTCGGGACTTGACAACATACATCATCTCGCATAAAGAGTTCGACACCTCCATCGCCACGCTCAAATCTATACTGAAAATTGCACTCAAAGTCACATCCCCAGTTAACAAACCAGCCGTCTTTATGGATGGTCCATTTGACATCCACACCATCCTCTCGACACTTTCCTTCCAAGCTTCTAAATTCCACGTCAAGTGTTTCCAGCGGTTTATGTGGAAACACATAAACAAAGTCGAAGACCACCTCGCAGGCCTGGAAACTAGCGACCGCACTAAACTCGGAGACTTAACAAAGCAGCTCCAAATCATATCCTCAAATGCAGATTCACATATCGCCAATGCCGATGTAGCAATCATCACGGCTCAAGCTATTCGAAATGCCCATTTGCGTCTCACCTCGTCACTCCCTCAATCCAGCCCATTTATAAGCCAACGAGCTGATGATTCGATATCCTATATTATCTCCTCCGTGGAGAAACAGAAAATCTGGTTCCTAAACTACAAACAGCGCAAAGACAGCACCATGTCCCTGGTTTACAATCTCGTAACCCAGCAAGACGCTAGCAACAATATGCAGATCGCTCATAGCATGAAGCAAGACTCTACATCTATGAATGCAATCGCTGCCCTGACAATGGTCTTCCTGCCTGGCACCTTTGCAGGCACGGTGGTTGGTGCAGGAGTTTTCGGCGGTGCTATTAAAGACACGGTATGGCTAATTTGGTTCGCAATTACACTACCGCTTACAATAGGGGTCATGATTGGTTGGTGGTGGTATAAGAAATCAAAGCGTCCACCGGTCAAGGGCAGCATGACGGAGAAAGACAAAGCTGATCTCACGGAACCGATGACAGGTCCAAATAGGAGGAGGTCCAGTGTTTTTTCCAGTGGCTTTTCATTTCGGAGATTCAAGACAGGTATAGGTGAAGACATCTAGTCCATTCCGAATTATTGTTTTGATCCCAAATTGTACGGGTATATGACATCAATGAACAGCCTGCTTCAATATGGTACTCACGCATGGGAATCATAAACCATCATAATTTCAACTAAACAGGAGGCAAAGAAGGCTCAATGGCTAACAAAGACGGGTGATCCGCCAAACTCTGCCAAAATCCGGCCTCAAAATCCCACAGATCCTGACTCAACAGCGCCGCCCACTCATCATTCCCCTCAACCCCAGCCATTTCAGGCAAATGCTGCGCCGGGTCCGAATGAGTCGAGTCCAGGAAACGCTGTATAGTCCGCGTAGCCTTGGAAAGCAATGCGAAATTAGGATCGCCGGCTTTAACAATCGTCCCGATCTGCACCTCCGCTACAAACACACTGAGATCTTGTAACGTCCGTGTCCGGTGCGCTCGCGGCATGTGCTGCTTCAGCATTGCTAGAAGCATTATCCCCGCAGCTGGGAGACCGTAGTATGCGACCTAGTCAGTATTTATATTAGTGAACTGCTTGAAGTTTGGGTTTTACATAGTATGCTATGTGAACAAGTCAATTTCATGCATACCTTCCAAATAAGACCCGTTCCGGAATTAGTGAGCTGATCCCGTAGTAGGATAATCTCAACCACGAGCGTGAGCATCTGACCCGCTGTCTCGATGATCGGTAGATCGGGCTCAGTCGGTGATTTAAGAAGTAGAAGACGGAGCAAGAACAGTACATGTAGGTGGTGCAGCCGTACACCGGCGACGAAGTCTCGTTCGAATGGTCCTTGTGTACAATTCTTCAGACTGCTCTCGAGTCGGAAGTGGGCTGGCAGGTTTTGCCACTGTGTCTCTGCTTGGCATTGTATTATGCTGTATCATTTTTTAGTTAGTTATGGCTCCTCTGGGATAATTGATAGGGGTGTTGCCGTGCATACCTTGCTCGTTGCGCACATGACGGGTCATGCTTGTCCTGAAGAAGCTCCCAGATCTCTTCCTTCAGCGATGCGCACAGCGCAGACCACCGCGTATCAGCCCTGTACCCGGGCTCTGAGTCTGGGGTCCAGTCTGCTGAGCCTTCTTCTGCGTTCGGGCAGGATGGGATCTGGAAGTGGCAGAAGCGTTTGTTCATCCGTGGCGGGCGGCCGAGGAAGATTGCTATGTTCTTGTCTGCTGAGTATATGCGCGCGAACGCTGTTTTTCGCAGTTCTTTGAGGAACGGCGGAAGTCCTGGTTTTATGTCGATGTTCTCGTGATAGCCTAGGGCAAATGTGGATGATATTGCGTCGCCTAGTTTGCGCCAGGAATGGTAGCCTTCGAGAGTTAATATATGACTCAAGCAAGTAGTAACTGCGGATAAATGACTAGAAACTCACTCTGATCTCCATCCACGTAGGAATGGACGATAAAGTTCTCGTATTGCATGATCAGTTGCAGATCATTCAGACAATCTAGAGAGAGAGATATCTCTAATGCGAAGTCACAAAGTTTAGTACATAGTCTTCGGAGTGTGTACTGCTCTTGCGCGGTGGTATATAGATCGGGGAAGAACGCAATATCAATTGTTGCTCGACTGACAGCAGCAAAAAATATCCCTAACGTTTCCCAACGAGAATTGTGATCTAGAAATTGAGCCGAGAAACCAGCCAGGTCAGAGGTAACATTGAAGTTCAGCGGCTGGGCCGAGTTCTGCAAAAGTCGTCTTGCATAGACTAAATGCCAGTTTTCGTCGTGATATGTGAACAATTGGCTCACACTCTGGGCACATTGGTTAACGAAGGGCTCTGCCAGGGCCAGGTTTGCTCCTTTAGCTAGCCAGAACATGATGAGGTCTTTCATGGCAGACAACTTGTAGGTTGTCAGGAGATGCTTGAGGATATCTGCACCTTGTAGGACAAGATGGTTGTCACCAAACAAGTCGGAATGCAGATCCTCTGGTACTGCTTGATGGCTACCGTGGCCATGGTCTCCGTCCGGAGTGATGTGTTTGAATATAGCAGCATGGCTAGACGATCCTAAATACCCAGGGTTTGGGTATGGATTACGTCTTGGATTAAATGACGGCGACTCATCTGGTGAACCAAGGCTACAAATCTATAAGTATCCAGCTCAAATATAGTTGAGGCAAGTATGAAACTGACCTTTGCTTTTCAACTCTTTTCCGCTTAAATGGTGTAGTCCTGTAGATGCAAATGCCCTTGCTAGCACTACAACGCGTACAAACGGGTAGTTGATGGTCGCATGCCAGTTTAGCCTTTCTACAGGCTTCACAGGCAGCCAAACGCGACATGGCTGATCTGGCGGAGTTTCGCCCGCCAGTGGAGATCAAATAAATGAGTGAAGTCGGTTAACCGCGGCGAGATCGGAGAGTCGGCGTGTCGGCGTATCGGCGATAAGATGCGGGGAGCCATCTATAAATACTTGTATTCCTTCTTCTCCAACTCAAACATCACATTCAAAATGACTGATATTAAGCTCGCAGACTACCTATTCACTCGGTTGCGCCAGCTGGGCGTCGATTCCATGTTCGGCGTCCCTGGGGACTACAACCTGCGCCTATTGGACTTCGTTACTCCCGCCGGCCTCCACTGGGTGGGCAACTGCAATGAACTCAATGCCGCCTATGCGGCAGATGGATACGGTCGCATTAAAGGCTTATCTGCATTGATCACTACCTATGGCGTTGGCGAGCTGTCTGCTATCAACGGTATTGCAGGCGCCTATGCCGAGAACACCCCCGTGCTACACATCGTCGGGACCCCACCACGCCCGCTCCAGGCCGCACGCACATTCATGCACCATACTTTCTCAGATGGCGACTACCGTCGCTTTGCAAACATGTCAAAGCATGTTACTGCAGCCCAGGTTAGGCTTGAAGATGCTGCCACAGCACCAGAAAGAATCGACTATGTCCTGCGCCAGGCGTTGGTCCACAGCCGTCCAGTCTACCTCGAGTTCCCCGATGATATGCCCGACGTGCTGGTGTCAGCTGCAAACCTGGAAACAAAGATCTTCATCCCCAAACCACCAACCTCTGCCCAAGAGCCGCAGGTGCTGGCCCGCATCTTGGAGAGAGTGTACAGCGCCAAGCGTCCATTCATCTTCGTGGACGGAGAAAGCACAGGTCTCGGTATCGTCGATCAACTCGATGCTCTAATCAAAGCAACCAACTGGCCTACATGGACAACCGTGTACGGCAAGGGCCTAGTCAACGAGCAGCTGCCCAACGTGTACGGATTGTACGCGGCAGCGTTTGGCGACAAGCCAGCACAGGAGTACTTCCAAGAAGCAGACCTGGTCCTGACATTCGGGCCACACAACAGCGATACCAACACCTATTTCTACACCACAATCCCCAAGCCCGCAGTGGCAATCACATTCTCCGGCACCACCGTTCAAATCGAGAATGATACTTACCGTGACCAATCCGCCCACAACATCCTATCAAACCTACTCCAGAACCTCGACTCCACACGTCTAGTCAAAGCTACCGGACCCCCAAAACAAGAGATAACCCTGGCCGGCATCCAGGACACAGACCCACTTGCACAAAACAACTTCTACCGTCTAGTAAACCCGCTCTTCCGCGAGGGCGACATAATCCTCACCGAGACCGGAACCGCCGCACACGGTGGCCGGAACTTCAAACTGCCTGCGAAATCCCGTATCTTCGGCGCGGTGACCTGGCTCTCGATTGGATTTATGCTGCCGGCAACACTAGGCACAGCGCTAGCACAGCGCGAATGCAACAAAGACACAGAAAGCAAGAGTCAAACGGTGTTGTTCATCGGCGACGGGAGTCTGCAGATGACGGCGCAGGAGATCAGCGTCATGATCCGCGAGAAGCTAAATATTGTCATTTTCATCATCAATAATGACGGGTATACCATTGAGCGGGTGATCCACGGACGCAAGCAGGTATACAACGATGTGCCTTTCTGGAGACATGCGCAGGCGCTGAACTATTTCGGGGCTGATGAAGAACATGCGGCGAAGAATACTTTTACAGCAAGGACTTGTGGCGAGTTGAAGGATGTGTTGGCCAATGAGCGGATTCAGAATGGGACTGGGGTGAGGCTTGTTGAGGTGTTTATGGGCAGGGAGGATGTACAGGGGGCGTTGCTGTATTTGCTAAACAAGCAGCTTGACGAGGAGAAGCAGGCAGAGCAGCAGAAGCAGATCTAAAATGAGAGATATAGATCCCTCGTTACATAGAGAAAGTTATTTGTATATATGTTTCGACTACGATTCCCTAGCAGTTTTGGTCAAATAGAAGGATGTCTTACTATGATTATTGCTTGTCTCGTTCCTAGTACACGAAATGAGATATCCTTGGAAGAACAAAATCAGGCTAAGTGAACGCCGATTCCCTATGCTCCAGATCCGCCATGCACACAGAAAGTAAAAAAGGAAAAAGAAAAAAAGGGTCACCCGAAACATTTCTAAACAGACATCTGTTTCGGCATGTTACGAGGAGTCTATTATTGATCTGTGTTGCTGAGAGAGGTTGCTCTCATGCGGTGTTTATTTGCGGAAGCTTTCAACCCCTAGGGTTGGGGTTTCCACCATACGATCGGTGGGGACTCCCTCGTCACGACGACGGGCGAAAAAGCTATCGCATTCCGAGACAATGTGCGCCCACTCCGCGAGGGCCCGCCCTGCATATTTGCTAGGCACAAGATGGTCGTAGGAAGGCCGGGCAGGGAGTTCGGGCAAGGGGGAGTTCTTGGTTGTAGGTGTTCGCGGCCAAGTATCTGAGGTAGGTTGTGTGGGGGTATCTTGGTTGGTGAGGTTTTCCGGTTCTTCTTCGTTCTCCAAGTCGGAATGGCCCGGATTCTCTGACGCTGTATCATAATCCGACTTGTCGGGTGAACGCCTATGCTCGACGTGCAATTGGGATGCGACAGGGAGACAAGGCGTAAAAAGACGTTTGTTTTTGGTGGGCCATTGCGGGCGATCCATCCATTCTAAGGAGAATTTGAAAAAGAATGGCTGGTGTGGAGCTTGAGCTTTGGGGCGTGTAATATCGGACATACTGGTGGCCGGAGGTTGCTCGTGCTCATCTAAACATTTGCTATCACCAGTCACTGTTGGATCCGATACGCCATTCTCGGAGTCATCAGAACTGCTACTGCTGACGCCGTCGCCAGAGCGTGTGTTGGACGAGCTGCCAAACATAGCCTTAAGTAATCCCCATCGTCTTTTAGATGGTTGACCATCTGAGCCATTGGAGTCGGAAGATCCGGTTCGACGGTGTGGCATGAGTTGGTCCGAAGGAACCGGTGGAACGACTCGGTCGAAGCTGACGAAAAGATTGACAGGAGATAGTTGGTTTTCGCATCGGATAATGATGATCCTTCGTCCTGGAGCCGGCGTACAAGGAGCAGAAGACAAAGGAGCTGTCATATTCTCCTCGGCCTTAGATTGGAACCCGATGTAATATTCCCAGACTCGTAGGAGTCGATCGGAAAGAATTTCATAGACGTTGGAGTCAAGTGATGAGGGTTCAGTATTGAACCGCCCGACCCTCCAACACAACAAACGATGGTAATATGCTCGGACCATTGGACTCCAGTGGTTGAAGTAGTGGTAGAATACCGGCTCATGCAACAAGAAATCCAAACATATAGATGCTTTTCTTTCTTCCGTAGCAGTCCAGGTACCCCAGATGCAGAAGAGAAAGGAAAACACACGCACTTCAGTGAGTGAATTATGGCTCTGCATCATCTGGCGACAAACGTCGAGCCAAAAGCCCCAATCAAACAATTCTGTTTCGATCGACTGGGCGTAGCGTGTGATAATCGGAATGACCTCTTCGAGGAAGTCGCACAACAGAAAGCATGCGTTGTGATCAAAGAGAGACGTTTTCTGCGCCGCAGCTTTGATTATCCCACAAAATGATTCGGCAAACAGTAATCGAGCACGATTGGGTTCTGCGGACGATTCAGACAGGAGGTCTCGGAGAAGAATGATCAAGCGATTCTCTGCCATTGACCGATGAGTGTTGCTGCCACTTCGGAGAGCAGAGGCAGAAGCATCCGGTGACTCGATGAAATCATCGAAGGTGATTGCAGCAGCTGTATGAGGATTGTCGGACCCCTGTTGTGACGATTGCTTGTAAATCGTGTCCTCCAGAACTAGCAGGAGTTGCGCATGAACCATCAACAACCCAGGTGCCAATATCCGTTTCGCCTTTTCAGTCTCTGGAGGCAAATACTCGGCATACAGAATGTGAATGTATTTGACGAAAACAAAGAAAAGATCCGTGTCACGTCCAGCCCATCGTGCGATCCACGGTCGATTCCAATTAATAGGAGTGGTGTTCAATGGTAGCTCAGGTTTCTGGCGTAGATACCGCAAGAGATTTGCTTGTGAGTGGAACGCTAGGGGACGAAGAGCTGGTGGAAAGCACAGAGCAAGTTCTTGCGTGTATGCACGCATGTTCCTAATGCGTGACCCGGCCGATTCTGACAAGATGCGTCGGAACATATTGGGAGGCGTGGACCACAGGCGAACCAGGATCTCAGGCACTCCGGGACAGAAGAAAAAGGCATACGCGCAAACCTTGCCGCAAAAGGCGACCAGGCTGGCTGGTGCATGCCTCATAGACATTCGTTCGACCACAAATGTCATTTGAGAGAGCAGGTTTTGGATAAAGATGTTTCGAATGTTGTGATGAATCGATTCAACCAGGAAATCCGAACCAGAAGAGCCTGACCCATCCGATGTTTCCGACACCGAAGTTGACGCGTACTTCAACGAATCCGCAGGGCCACTGCCATTCTGAGCCATAGGAAAAGGGATGCGCCATTCCGGGCGAGCCATTATTCCCACGATAGCTTCCAGAAACACTGGTCTATCAGTTCCCGAGATCGACTGGTTATGCTTGCCATTGAGCATTTCCAACATTCCAATCCACCATTTATTGAGAATATTGACTCTGCGATCTAGGTCTTCTGGTCTGAGGTTCTTGCACGATGCGTGGAGGTGATGACGACTGAGAAAGGGGAGGAGCGAGGTACGGATGACGTTGGCTTTCAATGAGCTGGATTTAGCTTGAAACCTGTTCCCTGGTCAACAATGGTAATGTGAATGGCTAAAGTGATCGCACGTACTTTTGGAAATCCGCCTCTAGGCCGCGAAAGATACCCCAAAGCTCATCCTTTTTGCGTGCATGATCAACACCGGAATTTGCATATGCCGCAGCAGTTTCTGCGGCTCCCTTTGGCATGGGTGGTAAGACCGGGGTCGTAACGGAGAGTGACGCTGTGAACTTTTCGAATGAAGGCCGGTGGCGTAGCGAATTGCCAGATGGACTGCTTGGAGAGCTTGGGCTGTCTTCGGGGCCCTTGGCCACAACTGCCAGCATTGGCCGGCGCGGGCGTTTGTAGAGAATGGTTCGCCTGCGGGATGGTTGAGTCTGATCTTCTTCTGTTTTTCGACTGAATCGAGTTGGGGATTCAGAATCTCGCTGCTTAGATCTCTTCGCGGATGGGGACGGAGATCGGGAGGAAGAGCCCCATGGTTTCCTCGCCAGGCTAACTATTCTTCCAGACATTGATCGGGTCTTGGACGGCCTTGCGGCGGGCTCCGGTGCCCGGGTTTGGGGCACATTTGAATCTGTATCCTTCAAATCCTCTGATGACGATAGTGTGAAACGTGAAACGGAGGCTTGCTTTGGCTTATCCTTGGAGCGAAGTGAGGTTCGGCGGAGAATGTCCTTCCCAGCATCCACGGTTTCCTTTGTTGGTGATTCTGCCAAGGTCGGAACAGCGTAATCCGAAAATGTACGTCTTAAGCTTGGTTCTGTGGTGGTTTGACTGGGAAGATCGGTGTAGCTGGCGGCACGGGAGAGCTCGGGGTCATCGTTATAGCTCTCACGGGAGGGCGAAGACATTGTCTAGAAAATTAAAGAGCAAATTGGATATCAAGGGGAGTTATCGGTTCATTTCCCCTTGAATTAGATTCTGAGCGTAGAAGAGACCAGCTCCTCTGTGCACCAGGAGGTTCCGGATGTAATCAGGCACGCTGCATCTGGGGAAGAGCAAACGAGGTTGGAAATTCTGAGAGAAGCAGGAAAATAATGTAATAATGGAGGTTATGCAGCTTGGAAAGTCTGATTCAGCAAGTGATCGACGGGGGGAATCTCCCCCAAAGGCCTTCAAGAAAAGGGTGGGGAAGGTAATATCAAGAGAAGTGAGGGAGAAGGAAAAAAAAAAAAGAAATTGAAGTTTCCAAGGGGGATGAATTTCCTAGAAGTTATACATTGTACATCTCTATTTTTATTTTATTTTAATTAACTCGAGACATTTCAGCCTATTATCTTATAATCATCTTAATTCTCATCTATTTTGACCCTATTTCATTCTATTATCATTCTATTATCATTCTATTATCACCCTATTATCACCCTATTCCATCTCTATTATACGAGCAATATATATGCTCATTTTATATTAAAAACCACACGTTTCTAGCTGAGACATCCTAAGACTACGGAGTACCTATTTCCTTTTTTTACTCCACTTCTACCTAAGTATCTCTCTCTTGGCTGTAGTCATCATCCTCGCGTAATACTCAGCTCGAGTCCTGGGGCCTCTCTGCATGCACTGCCAGCAAGTCTGATTCGTAAACGACATTGGGCTCTTCAGTCCCAATTGCAAGGTCTTTCCATGACCAATCGCATCCTCTCCGGAACATAAAAAAAAGGGCAGAATTCACCGAGTGGGCTATGACAGCAGTACGGAGTACGGAGTACTTGGTACGATCTCGTATCTCATTCTTGGCTACGGAATGCTAGAATGTCGGTGATGGTTATTTTTCTTATGAAACTTCGCATTCCTTAATTGTTTTCTCCATTTATGCGGACTATAAGAAACAAGATTGCCTTCCATGACCAGTCAAATCAGTTTACAAATGGATTTTCCACTATCTGTGATAGGATAGGCCCGGGGCGCTTAAGCCGCCTTACCGATATAGCCTCATATATATGGCGTTATATGTACAGGGGATTCCCAGGTACCATACTTTAGGGGGTTTTTTTCCCCTCTGGACGTATCAAAGACTTCCCACTGCCCTATTGACACACCATCACATTGCACAAGCCCTTGGCGATCAATGTTTTCATTGCGCCCCCCCTGCTGCGAATGCAAAGTTGACTTGGGAGTATGCAAAGGTCAAATGGTCTGATTCGACTGGATTTTATTTTATTAAACTTTACCTTTAGCTTTGCCGGGTTAATCCAGGGATATGTTGATATCAAATTCTTTACAAACCCATTGCATCTGACAGTTCAATTCAGAGATATATGATACATCACAATCAATTGCAATACTTTCATGAACTTCTGGTCTGTCCGTTACATGTTGATCTAATTCCAGTGGATCCCAATAATTCGTACTAATAATTCCCGGATATGGACATGCGTATATACGAGGTCTGGCCAGGTACGGAGTACTCCTTACCGGGTGACTTATCGCATAAGCATAACAATAAGCCTACTTGAGCCCCAAGGCCATGCGGAGCACATTTTGCCAACAGATCTCGTGTTCCAAGTTATCTTTGGTTCATCTTGCCGATGCACAAGCAATTCTCTACAATTATTAACAGGTAATGCCGTGGCCTCAACGTGGCATTGATTACGCACAGCTCTTGCCATGTTGACCTCGAAAACACTACAATTTCCTGTGCTGCCTGTGCTGTATAATCCATCACGTGGTCAAATTATGCAGGTCAACCATCTACATAATAATATTCTATCTTGTATACAATTTATTCTGGAAATCTTTACATTTGAGTACAACTCCCGCTCTTTACGTTCAACTGAAAAGCTGAATACATCACAAATGGCCCTAGTATGGAGTGCGTTTGTTGCACTCACCAAAGGTAGTCTTTGGTATCAGCCACATCACGTAGCCCTACCCGGCTAAACCCTTTACTCATGAGTCCTGCCCTGGGCAAACACAGAAAAGGTGAGAACCATGGAAAAAAGATGTCTCAGCGTTCGAAAATGTGGTCTAATTTACAAGCTTCAGGACCTCGAGAGGCGGCCACATTAGTTGCATGACAGGCATTTAAAGCCTTCCCCCCATATCTCCCCAGACCTTGCTAAATGAAAAAGAAAGGTGAATTTAGTGGGCAGCGGGAGCCTCTTCCTCCTCCTCGAACCAGCTCTCCTCGACGGGGGCGGCCTCGCCAGCGGCGGCCTGGCCCTCGACCTCAACCTCCTGGCTCTCGTAGGCTGACAATTCGCTGGCAAGGTTGGCCTCCTCGGGAGACTGGGGGGGCTTGGGGGCAGTGAACTTCTGGACGTGCTCTTCGGCATCACCGGCCTTGAGGGGGGTGGGCTTGTAGGCCTTGAGCTCGCGGAGGTACAGGTCCTGGACGGGGTCGGCTGCGGCGGGTTGCAAGTTAGCGGTGATGCGACCGACGAATATAGCGGGGACATCTGTGTCATATGAACGATAGCCCCCGGGTAAAATACGTACCCTGGCGGACGGCGGAGGTCAGGAAAGTGCGGCGAGCGACCGAGACCTGTGCCCGAGAGGCACGGGAGAAGAGGGTGCGCTGCTTTCGCGTTAGCTGAGGGTTAAAATAGACAGCTGTAAATCAACCAATACTCACCGAGGCCCGGAGAGACTGAGACATCATCTTGATTGAGGTTGTAGATGAGGAATGAGGGGTGGTTCTCAACAGAATAGATCTGATCCGTCTTTCCGTGAAGTTGGAGGTTCAAACGACTTCTGTTCGGAAAGGTTTCTTGGCGGATGACTCAGCCGGACCATGTTGTTCCCGGATCTTTCCAGGGCTTCAACACCACCTACATTTTAGTATAGAAACAACATGATAGAGGATGGTTCAATTTATTGATCAGAAGGGATTGTGGATTAAGTTATGTTCAGATATGGCTAATGTGTTCCCAACGAGTGTAGAGGAAACAAATCTCTGAATCAACTATCTACACAACTTCCCGAGACGCTCCGTGGGTGAATATCTGAATCAATGAACTTTATTATTGTTTTCTTATCTGCGAAAGTCGAATGTATATCTTTGTTGCCCTCTCTTGTTTTGATCTAAATGCAGGTAAATGAGAACAAAGACTCTTTGTTTGTGATAAAATCTCGAAAAGCTTCCTATACTTCCTCGACCAATCAAAAAGCAGATTCATCACGTGACATTGTTACTAAGCCTAATCTGGACTGCGCCTTTCTCGGCCACCCATTATTGAAGCCTCACCTCATCCCATCCTTCACTCTCCCCCGGTCCTTGGCTTCTTCGTTCTCTCCTCCTCAGCCTGTCCCCATTTTTCGTGAGAGACTTCTTGCGGAGACCTTGACTGGTTCAACACGGCTGGACAAGCTGAGGCGAGCTCTCTGTTCTACTTTCGATCCAAGAAAGCGCAGACTGGTGAAGGGTTTTCTACGACTGGGGGTGACTCCTTTGAATCCCGAGGGCTCTAGCCTGTGAAAGGTAATGAGCGCTTCTTTGTTCGACATTTTAGCATCGCATTGTTGGATGTCAACAAATAGATAATGTTGCTATACGGGAGACAATGAATTTGCCTTGGGCTGAGCTAACCTGACTTGCGCACAACAGTGGCCTTTGAGCGACTTGATTTTTAATTTTCGACCATTTTCCCTTGCTGAGGGATTCTCCGCAAGTGGCCCGCTTTCGTTTTCCTCGCTACAGCCGCCAAGCTGTATTCACCACTTTTCCTTCGCTATTATAATCAGAAATACCATCTACCCCGCATAGCACCAAAAGTCCTCGCAAGACGTTGCCACGCTCGATCCGCAAGTTTCTTGAAAACTCGAAATATGGCCACTTCTACTCTTGCGAAACCCGAGGTTGCGGCTCCTTGGAAGAAAAACCTGTCCGCTCATCTTGTTTGCCCCGAATGTAAGGAGGATCCTCCGAACCTGGAATTCCCCGACTCCCACGAGACCGTGTGCGGTTCCTGTGGCCTTGTACTCGCAGATCGTGAGATCGATTTGCACTCTGAATGGCGTACCTTCTCCAACGATGATCAAAATAATGATGACCCCTCCCGTGTCGGAGACGCCTCGAACCCCTTGCTCAACGGCGCTCAGCTGGAGACTTCCATCGCAAGTGGAGGCTCTGGTCGTGCCCGCGACCTGTATCGTGCGCAAAACAAGCAGTCGGGCGAAAAAGCAAACAAGGCGCTGCTAGCAGCTTACAAAGAAATCGGTGCTTTGTGCGACGGTTTCAACATCCAGAAGACTGTCGCTGATACTGCCAAGTATCTGTTTAAGATGGTCGACGACGCCAAAGCCTTCAAGGGCAAGTCGCAGGAGGTCATTATTGCTGGGTGCATCTTCATCGCATGCCGTCAGTGCAAGGTTCCTCGTACCTTCACTGAGATCTTCGCTGTAACCAAGGTCACGCGAAAGGAAATCGGTCGCATCTACAAAGCTCTTGAGAAATTCTTCACCACCCAAAACGTCGAGCGTCACAACGCTGCTTTGGAAAATGGCGAAACTCACGACTCTACCGGCGATTACAACGCGACTACTTCGACCAAGCCAAGCGATCTTTGCAATCGTTTCTGCAACCTTCTCGACCTTCCTTACCAGGTCACCAGTGTTTCTGTCTCCCTTTCAGACCGCGTTACCGCCATGGGCGACTTGGCCGGACGTTCTCCCTTGTCTATCGTCGCAGCTTGCATCTATATGGCGTCCTTCCTTATGGGTCATGGCAAGTCTGCGAAGGAGATTTCCCAGGTTGCCCACGTCAGTGATGGAACCATTCGTGGTGCTTATAAGCAATTGTACGCCGAGCGCGAGCGCCTGGTTGACCCTGAATGGATCAAGGGTGGCAAAGGTGATATGGGCAAGTTGCCTGTGAGCTGAACAGTACATTGAAACAGGACATTTCTTTTCGGACACATTGATGTTCACGAAAGCGGGACATTGCCAAAGCTGTCTGTCTATTGAGAAAATCTATCAAAAAAGAAAAAAACATCGACATTGACATCTGTTGTCTCAAGAGACACGATTGTCTTTCAAGCGTTATCATATTACCTCTCTGCAATGTGCTTAGGATTTCATCTTTGCTGGATATTGACTTCGGGACAAGCTTAAGGGCTCTTTTGATTTGTACATCATCATGGATAGCTAGTGGATTGAGCAAAAATCAATCAATGCTACAATATCGATTCACGTAAATGTAGCGATGTATATGTAGAATGATAAGAAGCCAAGCGGATGTAATATACAAATCCCATATAAATCATCAAATGGGTGCACAGAAAAACAACACAGCGCCTGAACCCAGAAGTCCAAAAGAAAAATGATGATCCAGCATCATCTCACCTAGCAAATCATAGCAGACATCTCACCAGCACAGCAGGATAAGACATCTTCCTAGTTCTTAAAAGCAGCTCCAACCGTGCCATCATCCTTGGCATGATTGAAAGGCTTATCATACCGCTCCTCCATCTCTGCATTGTGTTTCTTCACATCTTCCGGAAGATCCTTTTTCCGATTTCCCTCTTGGTCTATAACAGATGACTGCTCTGCCTCGTGGAGGGTGGGCTTTGCTTTATTAGATGGGATTGGGCGGTTAGGCGAGTCTGGTTGGTCTGTTGTGGTTTGCTCAGGATCATTTGAGGATTTGGTTGCGTAGCTTCTGTATAGGGAGGTGCGAGGTGTTTGAGTGCGTACTGCAGCGAGAGCTGGAATTGGGGATCGGGCCTGGATTGAGGTCTTCAGACGCATAAAGGTTGTCATTTTGGTTGTTGGGATTTTGGAATTGGGGTTTTAGGTGTATTGAAGGAGGTTTAATATGGATTGTTACAAGTGGAATTGAGTTCCTATATATACTTGTTCCTTATGAAATCCGGTTTCTTGGGATTGGCGGTATCATTTAGCGATGACGTACTTCGATGTCATAGCCCTAGACTGAAAAACGCCAAGAGTTTTTGACAACTTTATATCTATTTTTATTTTAAGAAAAGATCTGATATAGGAGATTCTAGTACATGTTGGACTTTACTTGATTCAAGATGTTTTTACTTACAGTCTCCTACTAGGGCGAATGTATATGAGATGCCCCGAAAGGATTACAGAAGCCCAAATAGGGTAGAGGCTCTACGTGCCATCATCACTTATTATATATCATTCCATTCTACTCTACATTGTTGAAAGTGGTAAAAATTCAATTTCAGTCCATTGAAGTGACATAACAATAATCGCAACAGCTGACAGTGAGTCCTTATGCAGAATTCGGCAGTCAGCAACAACAAAAGAGAGTAACCGACGTAGACCGACCAATTCAGTACCAACGTAACAATAAAAATATTTGGTCTCCTGGTATTCGAAGAAAGTCCATTGAGGTGAGGCTAGAGCAAGCAACCAGCTCGGACACCACCTTCAGCACTCATGATCACTTATTTTCCCAATGGGGCCAATTCCACCGCATGCACACGTAAAGAGCTTGAAAAGCAGACCAACGCTCAATTCCCAAAAGAATAGTCGAAGAGACAAAAGAAGACAAAGAAGAGAAAATCGAACGGCAGAGTGGGCAGCATCACTCCAACTCAACGTCTGCAACCGTATCTTGCAAGGGATTTGATGCATCGACAGCATCGGATGGGGACAAGATGATTGTTCCTAAGGCTTTTCAGATGCGGTTGATTGGATTTCCTGCTCCGGTAGCTGCTCGGAAGAATCACCCTCGCAAGTACGGGATTCGTTGGAGCTGGACAAATCACGCTGTTGCCGCTTGTGATCAAGCTGTGATTTATCAAGTGGGTTCTTTTGACCGGAGACTGTCTCATTTCGACGACATTGAGGTGGAGGGGCTTTCTTGTGCGACCTCGGGTTCTTTCGCTTTGGGCTAGCAGTGTTCGTTTGCTCCTGGTGAAGATGAGATGTGGCACTCGAGATACTGGCGGGGCTGCCCGCCACTTGTAGTTGCTGTTGGGGTTGTGATCGGAATTTCCGCTGCCCCGATTCCTGCGATGGCTTGGGGGGCACTCCCTGCGATCCAGCGTCCGTATCGGGAGAATCAGCAAGAGACCTCGGGGGCAAGTCCTGGATCATAGCTCTGGTAACAGGAAAGGTGTGCTCGAATGCTGTATCCAACAACTCCTTATCGGCGAATTGTATGTTCTGGGATTTCAGCTTGCGCCTTAACTGCTCTCGCTCAGAACTTATCATTCGCTCCCGATGTTGGTTGGCAATGGCTTCCGACCACCGAGACTGACGCGTTTCTGATAGTTCTGTGGCCGCCTGTGATGACCGACTAGCTTTTTCATGAGGACGCTTAGGACTCTGCTGAGATGGTTGGGGTGCAGTAGGGAGTCCTGTAGGCGGCGCAGAGCACTGATTATCTTGCTGTTGGGGCACCGTGGGTGGTGTAGCAGATCTGGAAGCCGGTGTAGAGTACTGCGTGTTGGTGGTATAGATACCGTTGAAGATCAGTGGGACTAGGTTCGGTGGGACACGAGCGCGGAGAGCATCTGACAGCATTGACTGCTCGATGCGCCGCTGTTCCAGTACCACGTTAGCCTGCTGTGTCTTTTCTTCTTGCTGCTTGCGCCGGTCTTCTTCAATTTTGGCCAGCAACCACACTTTCATGTCTTCTGTGCCTTCCCATCCAGCAGGTAGTGGGGGCAGGGGAGTTGACACAGTCGGTGGAATCCGTGAGCGATTGGGCCCGGATGATGGGACCAGATCATTGGATGAGGTCATCATGGGATTGGCCGTAGTTGGGGATTCCTCTATGGAGGGTCGAGGCAGTAGTTGTGGGAGAGACTTTGGTTTGGCAGAGTCATGGATGTCCTTATTCCCGTTTGTGTGCTTAAAGGGCTTCGGGTTGTACTTCATGTTGACAGGCAATGTTTTGAATTGTGTAAACACAGGGGACAGGAAGTTGCAGATAGATTTCAAGGCTAAAGACCAGGAGAGAGGGGGGGAAAGAGGAAGAGAGGGAAAGGAAGAGAAGCCCAAATAGGAAACTACAGGTAGTTCCTTCCTTTCGTATCCCTGTTTCATTCGTTCTTTCCTTCTATCTTCTATATAAACATAACCAAATGAGGTAATTGAAACATTTGGAAGGACGTCCCCAGGGAGTATATCCCTCAAATTCATGTACTATTTATGGTCATGTAGGAAGTCACCACCCTTAAGGCGTTGAGGTTGGAATCAAAGTCTCCTGTTATAAATACAAGAATAGTCGGCCGGATAAGCAGCTATTCTATATGTAATATTTGATATAGGAGCTACAGAAAGTAGAGTACAAGAACCACGTACAGGGTTTCTAGCTGAGGTGCTGTACAATAAGCCCGTACAGACTGAGACTGAGAAGATACTCAGCCCACACCCTTGCTCAACGTGACCAAGGCAGCTATTACCATGTAGTCAAGCCGAGAGAAATTCCGACTATCAATAGAGTCTACAGTGACTGCACACAATGCTATCTATGAATGGAAGGGATTCATTTAGAATATATACTGGGCGCATCGGCAGATGCCTACATGGAAGGCATATCTAGCATATTCCCCTAAGCAGAAAAAGAAAAATGTGCAACGGGTATCGCTTTATTTGTCATCTTTTATCTCGCCCCCAGAGCCCGCACTTGTGGGCACCAGAGTAGCGATATCCCAGAGAAGGTGACCATCAAGAGTCCAAGCTGGAGGAAATGTGAAGAAAAAGCAGTCATCATGCCTGTTTTGTTTTATACGTCGCCACGGTCGAATCGACTCAGGACCTCGGGTGGGACTGTGGGAATGTACTTGCGGGCTCGCTCGCGGTTCGTGCCACCAAAGCCAGCGCCGTAGCTGACCAGCATGTCTGTACTGGTTGGAAGGGAGAAGGGAAGGAAGAGTGTAGGGTCGAGGAAGACACTATTGCCGCCACCGGGGCGCTCGTCGTTCTTGGCAACCATACTTGTAGGTCGGGATGATACAGCAGCGGAGCCTGGGGACAGCCCAGTATCAGGAGATGTGGGTGCTGCGGAGGGCTGTTCCTTCGGTGGTGTCTTTGGACGGGTATCTGCTGCTGCTTGAGGTCCTGGTCCAGCTTCTGCCTTGGCCTTCTCTTCTTGAATTTTCAGCTGCTCGCGGTATAGAAGTTCGGGGTCATTTTGCATGCCGAGAAGGAACTTCATTGCTTGCTTGGTCAGTCCTTTCTCGCCTACTTCTGGGCGGTATGACTTTACTGCATGAAGGAGCTGGGCGGGGGTGAGTTGTTGGAGTTGGAGCAGGGTCGTTACGAGAGATTCGTGGTCCTCACCCAGTGATGAGAAGCATTGCAGCCATTGGAGAAGTTGAATGACCGCGGCTAAATGTCGACGAGCGGCGTCAACTGTAGTCTCTCCGGTGCTAGTTGTAGATCCGTTTTCGTAATGTTCTGGCACACGGTTGTTCGTTCGCGCCCAGTCCTCTAATGATGAAACGTTCATGCGTATCTGCATCGCCTTCGTGCGCGCCAAGTACCGTTTCGTGCTCATGATTCGGTTAAAGATCTCGGCACTGAGCCAGTAGAGAAGTTGAGAGAGGATCTGGGTCGTTATAACCGAGTGAACATCGTAGAGATCGAGTACAAAGAGGGTCGAGGATAGTAAAGAGGTGATGTTCCGAGGCGAGATTTGTGCTCGTCGCCGCGGTGATGGAGGCCGGAATCGCTTTTCGTCAGGCTCGGGGTTTTTGCTCTTATTTTTGCGGAACAGATTCCATTCGTTTTGGAAGGCAACATCTTCCAGTCCAGGGATGGTCTCATGGTCCAGCATTGCCGCATCCAGAACTTTGTTCATCCGACGCTCGGCGTCACGAATAATGAGAACGAATATCTCGTTGATCAGCTCCGCCAGATGGAGCTGGAACTCGACGGTAGATTCCACTAAGCCACCATCCTTCTTCAGGTAATGGAGTAGAAGCGTGGCATTTGACAGCCAAAAGGCTTGCATTGTCATATCCCATTGGTAACGTTCTACAACATCATTAATCTTCTCCATCGCAGATGATAGCAGAGTTGTGAGTAGCTCGGGGCTGGCATGGTAGTGCGCATAGCGGGCGCTGAGGAAGAGAAGGTTTGCAGGTACTGGCTTTTGGGAAGGAGAACGCTGGGGGGTCATGTTGGTGATGATAATGTCTAAAATGCGCTCTAGCTCATGATCCTGAAAGACAAACATTTGATCATTCAGACACTTGTCCCAGACAAATTCCTGCTGATCTTCCTCAAGCTCATCGTCATCGGACGGCTGTAAAATAAAAGAACTCAAATTAGCAAAGGTCGACCTCTTATTATTTTCACATAAACTGACCTCGAATTTCTCGTCAAGCCCTAGACTGGACAAATCAACCTCCAGGTTGATTGCGCTCTCTTCCATCATCATTCGTCGCTTCATCTCGCTCTCTGCTAACTCTTCTTCGAAACGGCCATGTGCCAATCCAGCATCATAGAAGTCATCATCGATATTGCCAGAGCCAAAGCTGTAACCATTTTCATGCAAATATTCGGAAATCTCACTTCCGGGTTGGGCAAAATCAAAGGCCCGGCCCCCGGATGAAGACTTGATATCCGGTGATGCCCCATTATCAAGAAGAATTTTCGCTATTGTCTTGTGTCTGTTGGTCATGGCCCACATCAAAGCACTCCACTGGTTACGATCCTGTCTATCGACGAAGGCACCGGCTTCAATGAGCGCAGCAACAACTTCTTGGTGGCCCTGTTATAACACGTCAGCATCGCATCAATTTTGTGCATATAAGAGCAACTCACAAAACAACTAGCATAGATTAGCGGCACGGTCCCCTCCTCGTCGGGCTTGTTGACATCAACATAAGTCCTCGCCTGGCCTTGCACAAGTTTCCTCACGCGCTCCACGTCGCCATTACTGGCCGCCATGTTCAAGCTCTTCTGGAGTATATCGCGTTTCTCGTCATCGGTCAATTTCTCGTCGGCGGCAATTGTCTCTTCGTCTGCGGTAAGCGAATCCACCTCGCGATGGGCAGCTTGCGCAGCAAGCATCTCCATCAGTCGGGTATCACTATCTTCAATATCGCGCCCATAGTGAGCCCGCAATTCGTGCTCATTGTCGTGGGAGTGATCGTCGAGCGCTAAGCTGAAGGATAAGGGTTTTGCAGCGACAGGCGCGGTCAGGTATTGTGATTGACCTGTGATAGATCCAACGGTTAGACCTTAATGCTTGACCATAACCAGGTAACTATTCCAACATATAACTGTTGAACGGAATGTAGTTTTATCTCCCGCATCGGGGAAACGGGGAAATAGTTCCGCGGATGCAAGAGCACTCACCTTGCCAAGCATCGTACATCTCAGTCTCCGGCTGGAAGACTGGGACAGAGCGACGATCGTCCAGTGACTTGGGTAAATCATCTGGGAGTTCCTGTTTAGCTTCATGGAAGGACCCGGGGCTGTGTTCTCTGTAGTCGTTGGAGTCGATGGAGTCCTCTGAAGCCCCGCGCCGCGGTTCGGTCATGTCCATCGTGGCGGGCTCGCAATAGAGTTGTGACGGGACATCAAAGAGTTCGGATTTCGGAGGAGATCAAAGAACCCTCTTTGGGGATATGTTCAGTAAGAAGCGCACCCTCTATGCGTGGAAATTGGTTGTTGGAGGGAGATGGTGATGTGGTGGATTTGATGTTCCGTTCCTGGACCAGCTCCCGCGATGCGACCCCGAAGACTATGACGCAGCTTTGTAATTCACTCGGAATGGGCTGATATTAGGGTATAAGGGGGAAGGCAGATAATTTAGTTGTTTATTGTTTATTATTATCATTTTTATTTCTTCTACTCTTTGGAAAGTAGATTATACCTAAGATCTGCTAACAAGCCCCTATTCACCTAGAAAATTATTCCTATTGGAGTTCTATTTCCTCTCTACACAGCATTACTATAATAGTAGAGTCTGCAATGCTATATATTATAGCTCCAGCTAAGGCGAAGGGCCTGATAATATATAGCGCAAGAATATCGGGGATCAAGATGGTAGGAGGAATAAGTACACGTAGACAATGCAAGTTTGATAGTGCGAAAAGAAAGCACAGCTCGAATGGCCGATAAGAATGTAGAAGACGATATTCATCTGCAGAAAAGCCCAAAATATATTGCTTTCCATAAAGGAGGTATAGATATCTCAAACAAACCCATTCTTTGATGCAAAAAGGAATGCCTAAGTCCCACGAGGTATAGCTGCGATCTTGAAGAACTAAAAAGCAGCAAAATACATAATGACAAAGAACGCCACGAACCGAATAAGCGAATCTGATGAATTCGGAATAGCAGGGAGACCTGGCCCATGAATTCACCACCTGCTATTCCGAGATGAACGCTGACAAGGCGAGATACTCTGGCCAGGAAAACCGAGGGATATCCGAGTACTGCCAATGAGCTAGCAGATATAAAAGGAACTCCAACAGCTGAGAATAAATAGTGAGCTGCACACGTTAACTCTGACATATTGGGAATTGCAACGGCTTCCCCCGAGGCCCCCACCCACGAAGTTACGGCTGCCATCCCAGCATGTATGGGCGTCGACGAGGTGAGATACCAGGAGCGCTGTCAAGGAGCTGGCAGATAAAAAAAAGAACTCCCACAACAGAGAACGAACAGCGAACTGCACACGTTAACTCTGACAGATTGGGAATTCCAGCAGCTTCCTCCAAGGCCCTCAACCCATGGAGTTACCGCTGCCATTCCCGGGATATATGGACATCGACAAGATGAAATACCATGAGTGCTGCCAATGAGCTAACAGATATAGAACAGGGCCAGAGTAGGAGAGAACGAACGGCAAGCTGCACAAGTGACACTGGTAATGGCAACAGCTCCCCACCCAGGAGATTATCACTGCCATTCCCAGGATTTAGAGGCCGACAAAGTGAAATAGTTCGGCCAGGCAGAGATATGCATGCATGAGAGGGCTAGCCCTGGACTAGCAGATGTTAAAAAGAGTCAATGGTAAGGTTAGACAGGGAACCGTGAATGATATTAGAGATTCTGGCAGATGGAGAATGATCAAAACGTTTATGATAATTGCTGTCATTATGAGCCGGTGGGCAGATATATATTAGATAATAAAAAATGGCGACGATAGGTAACTAGAGAGCGAACCGTGAACCGAGTAAGCGACTGTAACAGATTGGGAATGGCAGAAATGCCCGGAAATTCGCGAAAAGCTTGAACGCCGACATGGTGCAATGTGAGGATGGCTGGGATGACCAAGGTATGTACAAGGATTGCCATCGTTATGGAGTGCAGATGCAATCCATGCAAAGACAAACGTGCCCATTCATAGGGACAGCCTGGTTCAGCATCAACAAGACAAAAATGGAAGTTCAAAACGAAAGGTGTTAACCAGATGCAAGTATTGGTACAGAATGGCAGAGGGATAAAGCAGCCTCTGGAAATGGGGTATAAACTATCCAATCATGGATGTCAAGGTTGTAGTACAAAGAGGGATATAGAGATGTAACGAAAGGGGGAGAAAATAAACGAAAACAGGTGAAACGAGAGATTATTCAAGTGCTCTGCTGCGGGATTGGATTTCATCTTCGGGAAGACAAGCAATCCACAAGCACCGTTCAATGATGCCCTGCACAGGCTCGAACTTATATTTCGTACTGGCGTCGATGAGACGGAGGAGGCTCTTAACGATTCGTGCTGCGGTGCGATAGCGCTCGAAGTTGACAAGTAGACCGCCGTTAGTGCTGTTGACTTGCGCCGGTTTCTGTGCATTATAAGTGAGATCATGGACGTATAGGCCTGGAAACAAAGAAAGTCAGCAAACATGGTCTCGCGTGGTATATTTGAAGCAACCAATTTATGAACTAACCGATAAAGGGAATACATCCTTCCTGCAAGCTGGCCGTTTCCATCTCGACACGCAAATCGTGGAAATTGCGCACCGGCTGGATGAGGCACTCCATATCCTTGAACAACCGCTTATCCTCAATCGAAATCAACTGCCACGTACTCTGCAGCCGGGAACAATCAGACGATGACAGAGCAATGGCGATCTGGAGCATTGTGGCGTAATTGCAGATGCGGCGTGCATGCGCAGCTGTGTGGATGTACTTGATAATTGTGCGGGCCCGCTCGTTGATATCGCGGGTCAAGACAATCTCTGACAGTATCCATTTGACCATAAGGTTGAAACGGCCAACGACCAAGTCGATACCCTTCCGTTCCTCGTGTGTCAGGAACTGGACCCAGTTTGTGACTAATGGGCAGGCGCTACTCCATTTCATCTCGACTAGGTCTCGCCAGTCAACCTCACTCAGGGCGGCCATTTCGATTAATGTCAGTTGGTGTGCGAGGACCTGGGATTCACATGCTAGGATAAATGGAACATGGTCGGGTAAGAGGTTGATAATGGGTTTCTGGTAGGGATGATTGTTTTCTGAATTGAACAACACGTCGCTCGAAACCTGCTGTATGTTTAGAGGACGGGAAGCAGAGATGCCCACTTCTTTGTGTCGTGGAGATGTGTCGGGCGTAAGGGGCTGTGCCTGGAACAAAACTGTATTTAACGGCGAAGGATAGGAGGTGAAAGATCCCGGATGTTGGATAGTCATCGGCGGGGAGGGGGGCTGCGCTAGAGGATGAGGCGCGATCTCAACAGTTGATGAATTGAGGCTGCGCGCGTCAGTCGAAATCCGCGCATCCATAGCTTCATGCCGATCAATCAGGTCGAGCGACATCTCAGAAGACAAAGCTGAGAAGCGCTTCGGAGTGACTTGACCAGCGATATGAGTAGTCGTGGTCGGGATAGTGGCGCCACGAGGAATGCGACGCATGCTGTCAGTTTTGTGCACAATTTGAATTGAGGGGTGTGATGAGGCAAGCTCTGAAGTTTCATGGCTTGATACGACGGTGAGCGGAGTACCGTGCGAGTCATATTGGAGTGGCTGGCTTGTAGTTGTAGGGTGCCATTTCATGGACTCGTCGGCCAATCCTCTTTCAAGAAGCGGAATAGAGTTATAAGAATCTTCGGATTCGGTAACAGAATCAGAATAAGGCCTAGGTGGCGCCAATCGACCCCCAACAGTGGAGTACGAGGACTTATCCGTCTGCCGCCTGCGAGAGAGAACATCCCACCCAGGCCTAGCCGTTTCAAGACCATGAGGAACCAAAGACAGCTCTCGGTGAGACTGAGACCCCTCTGCTTGTGCAGACGAAGAGTCGCGGTCGGCGCTGGACGGTCCATCCCACTTTCCCTCCAGCTTCAGCAGCGTTGACTCAATACCACCGTCGTCATCATCAGGAATCTGTGCAAACTTCGCAATGACCGACTCAAAGGAACGCCTAATCTGCCGGGAGGTTCGCGGCTGGATAAGCGAGTACCTGGGATTTGGAGGGATCAATGTTGAAGGAGGTCTTGAGGCGCCGCCTTCAGAAGGGACAGTTTCGTCCACAACTGATTCATCCCAAGATGCAAACGAGTTACGGCAGGAAGGAGGTTCGGTCTCACCCCCACTCTGCATTTCACGCAGGTTTCCACCTCGGCGCCTGCGAAGAACCGGCGGTGACTGTTTGTTGTTCTGATCTTGCACCATATTAGGGTCAACAGTGGATTGAGCTGTCTCGCTGCTCATCGAAAATCGCTGCCTCGAGATCCCGCTTTGGAAGGACGCGTACTTTCTGAGTCGGAGAGACAGCGAATTCTTCTTCTTGTTTACAGGCGTCGACCCACGTTCGACCAATGACGATCTCTGCGGCGTGAGAGGGCGAAGGGGGTAGAATACGTTTGACTGAGCAGCTGATTCTGATTCATCGGCGTTGTAACAGACTGGCCGAAGATATTCTCCTTCCACGGGTATCGATTGCGTTGAGGCGTCATCGGGCACCTCGAGTTCCGGCATTTCATGAGTATAATCATCAGCAATCGGCGTTGGTTTCTGTGTCGCCCCTGACATGGAAGGCATTTCGAAACCGGTGTCATCGACAATTATAATCGATTCGCTGCCCATAGTGATACCGCTTCTGAGTTTGGGGTCGGAACTGGTAGTGTGCGTCGGTAGGAGATTAAAAGTGTTTGATGCAGGCTCCTGCGGCGTGGCTTGATGACAGTCAGACGCAACTGGTGGCTGAGTTTGGTCCTTCATTCCTCCCCTGCTCATAGCCAAGCGGTATTGTTTGAGGACCTCATCACACAGTACATCAATCCGGCCTGGATGTTTGGGAATAGCAGCCAACTTCCTCTCCCGGTAGAACTCAGACCCGAAAGCCAGTCCAGTTGGCATTGCGGATGTCTTCCCGCGGGAAGGCAGTGGAATGGCCTCGTGGGCATTCGCAATGCGAGCAGAGACGCTTTGTCCACCATTCCTTGTGTGCAATGCTCGTTTGATCGAACCAATGATTGTTCTCATACCCGAGTTAGGTGACGGCTTGGGCACATCGGGTGTACTCCGACGATCCGGATTTGGGTTCTTCGACGGCGGAGGAAGGGGTGGTGATTCCGGCGCCATCATCGTCATATAAGACTCTGCAGGTGGGTACAACTCTCCACGTATTAAACTGACCGGATCAAGTATCTCCTGCGGCGCGGGTCCTGTTTCGGGCTCCATCGTAAACATCGGCAGCCGATCATCTCGCACCGAGTCCGAGAAGCTCCCGCTTCTTTTATGGCTATGGCCGTTGTATGGGTACCGCGAGACCTTGGGAGATACAGGCGAGCTAGGTGGCTCACGGGCCCTGGACGGAGACTTGGATTTTGTGGGGCCCAATACCACAGGGCGCGGGCCCTTGTTTTTCGAGGCACACAGGGATAGACGCTTGGGTGATTTAGGCGGTAATGAACACGAAAGTGCCATCAAGCTTTGTTCGCTTTTGGCAGAGAATGGAATGCTCTGTGCAGTTGCTGCGGAATCATTTCGATCATGTTGTATGGGGAAAGGAAGACTCTCACGAAAGGTGGTATCTGCACGGGGTGTCATGCCATGAACAGGCACGTTTCGCTGGAGTTCCTCGGCTTTAGGCAACTCAATCTGAACATCTCCAGGTATAATTGGAATTTCCGGGTCGTTATAGGCGCGAGACAATTCGGGGGAAGACCAATAAAGCGAACACTTGCCATTCCAGCAACGCTTCAAGTCAATGAGAATCTTTCGATCACTCGTGCCACCATTTTGTCGAGATTTGACCTCTAAATATAGCTTGTTTATAGTCTCGCAGAAATTGGTCCGAAGGTCGTAATTCGTAAGAAAGTCATCGACGAAGTAATTGAGAATCCAATGTCGCAAAGCCGCGAATGTACGGATCCTGATAATGCGTCCGTCATCTTGTAACCGATTGATTGCCCACTTTAAGCGCGCAAGAAGAAGAGCCAAAAGATGTGTTGTGGATAGGTATGAACGGAAGGTAAGGAAGAAGTCCGATACTAGCTCATAGTCCATAAATGACTCGGAAGAGATTTGCGCAACGATTCGGGCAGGCGTGGCAGCGCTGATATCCTTTGTCCCAGTAATGTATCGGACAACAGATCCATCATCCATATCATACACCAACGTTTCATAGATGGATGGCTCAACCGGCTCCTTCAATTCATAGACCATGGAATTCCTTGCAGCGGAAGCTCGGTTCATATCCATAGCAGCCGCGGTGCCCGAGAACATCGAAATCGCAAAAGATGGCCGATGCCGTGAGAAAGAGTCTCGGGGATATGGACTATGGAGTCCCGGCCCCGGCAGAGCGTCTGCCATGCCCCCAAGCAGTGTTGAATTCCGAAAGTTGTCGGACATCGATGTTCGCGTGTATACAGAGCTCTGCATCATTAAACTACCTTCGGCATTGAATCGCGGCGTCCCGAGCTGATACCGCGGAGCAGGAACCTCCAAGGCTGGTGTCGAATTCTCGTGTGCAGACTTGGGCCGGTCTTCAGATCTGTCAATCACGATCCGCAGCTCCCCACGCTTCCCAGCACCGGCTATCGATTGCTGTTCAGATATTGTCGAAAATGAGATCGGTCTCGTGCGATGCTGGCTGGAGAGTTCGGGGGGAGGAGACGTGGAGAGGACGGACTCGGGAACTTCGGGCTGTTCGCGTGGACGTAACTCAGAGAGCTGCGAGCTCGACCACCTGGATGGATCTGCATTCCCGCGGGCATGCGCATTAGTCTGCGGCTGAAGAAGACTGGGTTTCGCAGTATCGACTGGAGAGAAGGATGCAGGATGTGGGCTTTTCTGGGACAGATTGGCAATCGGCCTAAGTTATTGAAATAGTTCTACTATTAGCAGGCTGCACAGTATGTGACACAGCAAGAATTATGGATCGATTGGTGTACCTGAGAAATATTTTGCCATTCTGGCCGACACTTCTTACGGTGAAATGACCGGCCTTCCTCCCGGGTGATCGCGCCTCTAGCGGGCCACGATGTGTTTGGGACCGCTGTAAGTTGTTCTGTCGTAGGAGCTCATGGCTATCCTTGGCGTTTATTCCAGTTCTCTCATGCGCTGCCTTCAATTCTAGGTTCCGCTTGACATTGCCAACTTGGGCTACGGTATTGGCACGGCGAAGATTCGAGATTGAAGGCCCACCACTCCGGTTTGGTAGTTCATTAATTTGGACTTGCGGGCCCAGAAAGGCCTTGAACTCTGACGGATCAGGTGGAAAGGGCTCCATGGCTATAAAAACCTCCCGTCAGGGCCCTAAAAGAAGTTCACAATATCATAAGGTAAAAAAGAAAAGACAGCTGTTGTGGAGATGACCCGACGCGGCGGGAACGGAAGAACAGGAACTGGGAACGCTGGGTCCAAAAGGAAAAGCCCCCTTTTACCGCTTTTTTTTTGGTTTAATCTACTTATCTATTTTATTACATGTTTTCTACCCATCCCTTTAACATTCTAAATATGTAAGGTGATAGGTCGGAAGTTGAGACATTGAAAAATTGAAAAGAATTGACAAAAGTACGTACATAAAGTACCATTCCTGGCTTGGGAATTGGAGAGACACATCTATCAACTTACCTTTTACTTATTACTCCTCCGTATTCCGTATAATGTTTTGACTCCAAAAAAAAACTATCTCAAAAGATATTTATTAGTGTGACACCTCTCTTTAGAACTAACCAGCCCCTAATTTAGATTGCCCTACTTTATGCCTTCTATACTAGCGCCAGATTCTCACACCCGGTCACGTCGGCTGGTGATCTGGGAAATTTTTAAGTGGTCACCCCGGCTTGTAAATGAGCGAACTATTCCGTTTGGGATATTAAATGTCTTTCCAAGTATTTCCGTAATAGAACAAGAACATTGAATTCACTTCAATTACTCCGTACTCAACTTACCATTTGCCGTCAGACGAGATATCACATGTCAGATGTCGATCAGCTGACATAAGAGTTGACATGTCAACGTAAGAAACACCACCTTAACTCTAAAGAGGAGGCAAGGATCTAGATAACTAGACTCTATACCTCAGCCTTTTCTATAGTTTTGCGGTCTGGCTGATACCGATTTTCTTCCTCCCGCTCCTTGTTTTGGGCAGCGATTGCTGTGGAGATCAATAGCTGTACGGAGTAGGGTTTCGGCATCTTGGCCGAGCGATATACATATCCTCCACATATGTAGGATGTATCAGACATCATACCAGCCGATCTCTTTCTCAAATGTTATGCTTAGAAAAGTTCATTGCACAACTTAAGCCTTTTCCCGCCTTTTTTGCGACCTATGAAGCTGAGAAGACATCTAACTAGAATGATATCTAAAAAGACCATTCAAAAGACAACTGAAAAGATACCACAGGGCCGCTTAAGCAGCCCTGTATTCCTGTAGATTCAAACGAAAACGTTATGGAGAGGTGTTGAAACATCTCTATTCTTTAGGTAACTTGCTAAATTTTTGGGTTATAACACTCTTATCCCAACAGCAGGGTTTGAGAACTCACGCAAAACCCTATTTGCTAAGGGAAATCACATTCACGATGGGCTACAATGCATGTGATCATGTAAATTCTTAAGAGAACGATGATGGGTCAAAATACTCTGATTACTCAAAACTCATGAAACCAGATGCCATTGGCAGTAAACTATTCAAAACTACCAGAGCTTGCAAACCGGCTTCCTATCCGGGCAACTAAAGGCATTCTTGAACTCCCTAGAATTGGCCATAGTTTCCTGTGCCAGCGGTCAGTAATAGTACGAGTAAAGAAATGCATTAATGGAACTCACGATAATTCGCGCTGATTTAGGCGCATGGGGATCGTTATAGATCGCCTGCTCAGCCGCCTCCTTGGTAGTCTTTCCACACCACCAATTAGCATAAGATATAAAGAACAGCTGCTCTTTGCTAAATGCATCCAATCCCGGGAGGTGGGGGTCAGGCTTTGCCTCATCGTGCTTCTTCCATGCGTGGTATGATGCTGTCAACCCTCCAGCGTCGGCGATGTTCTCGCCCAATGTCAGTCGTCCATTCACGTGGAGGATCTTGCCATCGGGACCAGTGACGGTAAAGTTGGAATACTGGTCGACAAAGCATTGGGCACGCTCTTCGAATGCTTCAACGGTCTTATCGTCCCACCAGTTAGTGTAGTTTCCACTCTCGTCGTAGTGTCGACCGGTAGAATCGAAAGCTATGTCACATTGTTAGAAAATGGCAACATCTTTACAGAGAACTGAACATACCATGTGAAAGTTCGTGGCCACTAACGGCACCAAATGCACCATATGCCAGATACAATGGAGCGGAAGGTCCATAGAACGCTGGCGGCTGCATAATGCCCGCAGGGAAGACGATCTCATTGCCTGGCGGGTTGTAATAAGCATTGACAGTTGGTGCACTCATGTCCCATTCATCACGGTTGGTGGGCTTGCCGAGCTTAGACCATTCGTTGCGAAGTTGGAACCTGGCCACGGCCACCTCATTCTCAAAGAAAGTATCCTTAGACAATTCCAGATTCTGATAGAATTTCTTCACATCTACCGGGTCCAAAACATTGGGACTCTTCGTGGGAAATCCGATCTTCTGGATAATGTTTCCCACCTTCTCAATGCCCAATTTTCGCACATCCGGAGACATCCAGCTAGTTTGATCCAGGGTGAAAATAAATCGTTCCTTGATATCGGAAACGATCTGATCGCCAAGTTTCTTTGAGTCTTCAGAGAACGCTTCAAGCACATAGAAACGGCTGAGACTCCATTCAAGCCCTTCATCCAGACGTCCGAGGCATTTGCGCCATCTCTCCTCTTTAGCCTGGGGTTCTTTGCCAGCGAGTACGTTCTTGAATCGCCGAAGGGGTTCAATGGAGGCATCCTCAATAACATCCGCGAACGCTTGGATGACCTTCCACTGCAAGAAGAGCAAAATAGTCTCTCTAGGTGTATCTTTCAAGAGAACAGACAATGCCTTCATATAGGAAGGCGACCCAACAATTAGACGATCACTTTTGTAGTCGTAGGGCGCCAAAGATGAGATAATATTGGCAAAAGAGATCTCTGGTACAAGTGCCTCCGTTTCCTTGATGCTAAGGGGGTTATAGTATTTGGTGACATCTTCCTGGGTTTGGGTGTCCGGAGTCACATCCGCAAGCTTCTTTTCAAAACCTACAACATCCTCGGCAACTTTGTCGAATCCGTCTCCAGCAAGTCCCCGAACAACTTGCTTCAAAACGGACGTATAGTCAGCCACGGTCTTTGTGTTGTTATAGTACTCTCTCGCGGGAAGTCCGATTTCCCGAGGCGGCGAGATCATGATAACAACATTATCAGGGTCTCGATCATCAGGCTGGGAGTCATGATTAGCGCCCATCCCTAGGTAAAGTATAGGTCGCATAGACTTACAGTGACACCGGAAGAAGCCAAAGCCTCGACACCAGCGTTCGCCAGATACAACAGAGCACTAGTGAGTTGATCTTGCGATCCTTTCACAAGACCTGCCTTTGCGGGGTAGATGGTCTTCAGTTCATCCAGAATATTAGTCAATGGCTCGCTGCCTCGTTTGTTGACCGTAGCCTCGTCCAAGCAAGCATCGTACGCAGCTTTGAGTTTCTTGAAATTATCAGCATCGGATGGCTGTGTTGGCTCTGTGCGCTCCAAGATATGACGGAGTTTAGTCTGGGCATTCTCTTCCATTATTGTCCCGGCAAATATGGATCCCTGATCGGGCCGCATATCATGGCGCTCCCTCCATCCACCGCAGACATATTGGTCAAAATCAGTGCAAGGATCTATTTCCTCATATTTGGGATCCAGATTATAGAGGATTTCGGATGCAGCATGAATGCATTCTTGTGACTGGCAGAGCGGAGGGGCCTCGGGTTGCGGGAATGGGTTCTTCTCAGTAAACGGGGAACCTAATCGCAGGAGCGGCCATGTTAACGACGAATTTAACAGGGAGGGGACTCATACCATGCGATAAACCTAAACAGCGGGTAACAAGCCCGGCAATAACAAAGACGCCGATCCCTTTCATCAAGGCTCCCGCCCAGCAAGGACGAGTTCTTTGTCCTTTATTGTGACGGGTGTGACTGGAAACAAAGTCGTTGTCCTCAGAATCGTAGACTTCCTTTTCATCCAGAAGCGGACCCTTCTCGGACTGCATACTGCGGAGTAGTTGTTTGCTATGCTCTGGGGAGCTATTAGCTCCTCATAGCTGCCGAACACGGTGCGCTGATAAGACATACCTAAATGTTGGAACCGTTGAAAATATTACAATGTTTCAATGTGATAATGCGAGAATCCTAAAAGTCTCGGTTCATATTACTTTGGCGAGGAGAAGCTGGCAGTTGCGTCACACACGGGGCCGTAACCTTGGAACTCTTGGCGGCTCCAGCCGTGGAGCTATCCAGGGCGGGACGTACAGTGGGACCTCCATAATATTGGGCCAAGCCAAAGTAGTACCTAGAGATACCGCCCTGTATACTGCCTTCTATATTCCGCTTCTTTTCGCCGTCGACCTATCTAAACAGATGATATCTGAGAAAACTACAGAGTGCTAAGCATACCACTGGAAAGACCACTGAAAAGACATCACTTGGCCGCTTATGCGGCCCTGTATTCTTGTGGCAGAATAACTAAAAGGCGGTATAAGGGGTGGGATGTCTGGGTAGTACTTTGGTTTGGCCCAATATTTCGGAGGTCCCACTGTACTCCGTACCTTGTACCTGATCGATCAGCTGACATAAGAATTGCCATCTCCCGAAGTCAACATAACCTCCAGGACTCCTCCAGGTCTTAGAAGAAGCACCTTAAAACTAAAGAGGTAAGGATCTACCTCGATAAGAGAAGGACAGGTACTACCTAGGTAACACTCTCTTATCGCCCATTCTCTCACCCAAATAGCTAGAAAAATCGGAGTTAGTCGATTTGTACGAATTAGACCTTGACATTTAGAAATAGAGATTTTATATCCCCGAAAACAGCATTTTTAGTACTCCATACTCTGTATTAATTATGCTGACGAGCTGGTTGACTACTACGGCCAGTGGGAAACATCCCCGAAATAGTTTAACGGGGGGAGAGTTACTACTAAAAGCGTGTTAATAGTTCTTCTCAAGCAATAATACAATATGTTGAGGGCTTAAAAGGTAAGCACTCGGGGAGAGTCAAGAAGAGAAACCTATTACTGTAAGTCACTCAAGAGAAGGCAATTTATAGAAGGCCTGAGCTAGCAAACAAGCAAGTAGACATGAAATCAGACAGCCTCAGAGTCTGCCTGTCACCAAGACATCTCATCTGTAGAGAATAGGACGATCCAACACAATCTTCATCCAATCACTGGGTCACTTAAGCCAATTCGACACTCTTCTCCACTGCCATGAACCACCTTTCTTCCAATATCATGCGATAGCTCTGACAAAGGAGATCACTCCCGGCATACAGAAGTGGCTCTCAGCCAGTGATAACAAATATGAGGGATTTTCGTTACTAATCATACAGTGTAACGTTTCCCGAAGGTCGTCCTTCTCTTCTTCGGTTCTCTCAAACCCACGAGAAACTTCACAGCACCAACAGTCCATTGTACAATGTCCAATCCCTCTTCCGTTTCTCCTATTTTGGGATCGATAACGATGTTCGCAGCATCCGCAGTTCCTACCGCAACATCCACCCCTCCGTATACAATCATTAATCAGGCTATATTGATTAGAATCAGCTGCTTGGATTGATCCGCCATACAAATATCTGCGACTCTTAAGGGAATATTATTTAGCTCCTCATAGCTGCCGGAGACGGTGCGCTGATAAGACATACCTAAATTTTGGAGCTGTTGGAAATCTTACAATGTTTCAGGGTGATGGTCCAGTGAAAGACTTTGGCAGGGAGAAGCTCACAGTTGCGTCACACATGGGGCAGCCCTGGAGGTGAGGCCTGATGCGTCAGCGGGTTGCGGATCCACTTGCCCGGGCAGCTTCCAAGGTTCTCTCCGTCGAGACATCACCCCAGAATAAGATACTACGTTCTGCTAGAGACTAATGTGTTCTTACTCTTTCCAGGCTGAGGCAAAATAGTCTCGAGATCTGACGAGATCCTTCTGCTAACGACTCGAGAAGTAACTACTGCGGACAGGCATTAACCAATAACTATCACAGTCTAGCCAAAGGCCCATATGCATTTGCAATGGCTAGGCTTGCCGAGCTGATTTCAGAGATGGATCTACAACCTGTGAGCTGCATACATCGCTTGAAGTCGTCAAACAAGATCTTGAGCATCAACTCAACCCCCTGTTGACCGTCATACTACGAACGGAGTTAGTATACCCGCATCAGTAGTCTCAAAATAACCAGCAACACTCACCGCGAGTCCCCAAAGTGCAGGACGTCCAACCCAGCAGCATTCAGCACCGAGAGCTAGGGCTTTAAAAATGTCCACCCCAGATCGAATTCCACCATCAATATGAATCTTGATCCTCCCCCGCGCAGCCTTAGCACAGGCAGGAAGTGCATCAATTGTGGCTGGCGTCTCATCCAGCTGCCGACCACCATGATTGCTGATAATAATACCGTCGCAGCCATATTCAATAGCAGTCTCGACATCTTCTGGGGTGAGAACGCCTTTAATCCAAATCTCCATATTTGTGACACTGCGTAGCCACGGTATCTCGGTAGCCCAGGAATGGGAATCCGAGTTTGCCGAGCTAAACCCATCATCGTGAGATTGTTGCTGAATCTCGGCAGATGTTTTCTCATACATCGGAAGCCCCAAGCCCACTGGAGTCTTGAATCCATTCCGCCATTCATTCCAGCGCACCCCAAGTACAGGACTATCCGCAGTCAAAAATATAGCCTTGCAGCCCGCATCCTCCGCCCGACGGACGATTCGTTCTTGCTTAGCCTTGTCCTTCATTGAGTAGAGCTGCATCACATGATGAATTGGTCCCACTTCTTTTCCAGCAACGGTGATCTCTTCAACCGAGTGATTAGCATAGGAAGAGACACCCATGTTAACGCCCATTTTGGCACAGGCCCTACTTGTGGCCAATTCGCCTTCTGGGTGAGCCATAGCCTGCATTCCAGCAGGTGAGACACAGAGCGGAAAGGTGATATCTCGGTCGAAAAGGGAAATTTCAGTGTTCACATGTGAGACATCTCTCAGAACCCTTGGTAGGAGACGGTACTTTCTATACGCAGCATAATTGTCGTGAAGTGTAACTTGGTTCGTTGCGCCGGAGTTAAAGAATTCTTCCTCGTGTTAAAGATGAACATTTCGACAACATGAGGGGGAGTCAATATGTATACCTCTCGCGGTCACAGAGAGAGAGTTTGAAGCCACCTCCTCAAGGTCAGCTATGGATAATACTTTATTTGCCATTGCAAATAAAATAAAGCAAGGGATATCGAGAGATATGTTTTGAAGGACACATCATCTTGATAGTGTAGTCGACGTGAGGGGTAAATGTGGGGGATAATTCTCCATTTGTCCCGGTGTACGTTTACCGCTTGGTGCACCCTCTAGGAATGGGCAGCTCATAATTTAACATAGATTCTATTGTTCTAAGAAACATTTCAAAGTATGTATCGAGAGCATATTGGCATAGGAAAGTGTACATTGTACCTACCTAGAACATGCTTATCCGGCTGTATGAAGTGTGCTACGCCATGACAGATGTGTTTGACGTAAATCCCTGAGACTTCATTGGACTAATATTGAGTATATGTAGAATATTAAAATGGCCTTGCTTTGTAGTATGTCGTCAAACCTCCAGAAATTGAAACACTTACTGAAATATTGCTTTCTTCGGGAATAAATCGAGACATTGTGACTTGAGCACGGCTGTTATATAAACCATATAGCCGAACATTATATGCAGCCTTTCGCGCCACTGCGTTTCCTTCTTGGAGCTGAGGCATATAAATCCAACATACTACACTCGTATCACACCGACAGAAAGTGTTTGCTAAAAGGGAATCCAAAGATAACAACAACAGATATATAACATGTCGAGGAGGACTGATTTGAGAGCACCCAGAAGCCTTGGGCTCCATATTCTTTCATGAGACTACTAGGATCGTCCAGTAAATAGTTTGTCCCTCTTTCTGTACTATGTTCACTATAGATTATCAACAGTTGACAACCTTGATATCTCCGTTACACTTGTGACTTATCCAAGTACAGGAACGGCTCAATTAGTAGTTTCAGTGCTATTTGCTGCATATTTAGGAGATTACGACCAAATTCATTACTGCCACTTGAGCTAGCCTCCTCTTTGGTGAGCTAAGTTCAAGATAAAGGCTACTTGCTCACCACAGCCTCTTTAGATCTGGGCACTGTGCGGGGTTTTTATAGTACATTTATCCACATCGCCTTTTCGAATCAGATATCTGTGAGATTTCAGTATATAATAGGCTATCCCTGCTCAATTCCAAGCTAAACCAAGACTTCCCCGGCTTTTCATAGCCTCCTCTACTTGGCATCAAGCGCGAAGTTGAGGGGTAATCTTGGTATATCCCCAGATTCTTCAATTGCCCACCTTGTTCCGAGGCTCTTGTTGTTATGTTGGATAAAGCTCGGTTAATATCCTTTTAGAAGGTCCTCTTAAAGTAACTCCTGTATATTCATCTCCAATTCACTTCTTCGCATTTTTATTTTCTCGCTTTGTTGCAATACTGACAGACCCATCTATACGCAACAATGGCATCGATTTCGGCTAGCCCCCTAGAAGATGACTCTATGAAGAAAGAGGACGTTGAATTTATCCATCTTGAGGAACAAGACTTGGCACATCCAAATTCCGGCAATGAATCCCCTGTGTATGGTATTGACGAGGCCCATCAGAAAAGGGTTATGTATGTTGTCTCTTTATTCCAACATGGTCAATAAGTCAACTCTAACGTCTGGACTAGTCGACGCGTTGATCTTCGTCTCCTCCCAATCCTTGGACTCATGTATTCCATATCACTTATTGATAGGACAAACCTTGGTCTTGCATTTGTAGCAGGGATGGAGGAGGATCTTGGACTTGACATCGGCAACAGGTATACGATCGTTGTTATGGTATTTTTCGTGGCATATATGTAAGCTCGATGATATCACCTGAAATTGTTTTGGATGCAATAGCTTTCTGACCTTGTATCTCACTTAGTATATTCGAGATACCTAGTGTATATCTACACTCCACCGCTAGGAATTATTCGTGATGGATGAAACTAACCTCTACAGAATCTCATCCTTCCTCGAGCCGGTGCAGCAAACTGGCTAGCTTTTCTTGGATTTAGCTTTGGAGTAATCTTGATCGGCATGGGTTTCACTAAAAGTTGGACTACAATGGTAGCTTGCCGAGTTCTATTAGGTAAAGAAGAGTCCTCCTTTTCCATTCTCCCTTACTGACCAGGTATTCCTTTTCAGGTGTAATGGAAGCGGGATTTCTTCCAGGTATATATGAATGGACTGTCTCTCCAAGCTAAGCATTACTAACTATACAGGCTGCACCTATCTAATTACATGTTGGTACACGCGATTTGAGGTTGGAAAGAGACTGGCCACTTTCTGGCTTGTTTCTGTTATACTGAACGCCTTTGCTGCAATTTTTGCTTATGCCTTGACCCTGTTAGATGGGAGCTATGGTCTGAACGGATGGCGCTGTAGGTTATTCACCTCCGTGCCATAAAAATAGTAACAGCTGACCGTGATTGTCTAGGGATTTTCATCGTCGAGGGTGCCATTACCAGTGGTATCTGTTTGATTGGCTGGTTCATCATCATCGATTTTCCAACTCAAGCAGATACGTTTCTTGAGCCGGAGGAAAAGGAATTCATCGTCGCCCGCATCAACAACGACAGCGGAGACGCAGAAGAGGATCCAATTACCATGGAAAGGGTTCTTCATCATCTTAAAGACTGGAAGCTATATGTCTGGGCATTCAATCTCATGGCATCCACCCTTCCCGGATATGCGTATAGCTACTTCAAGACAGTCATCCTCATGGGCATGGGCTTCAGCAACACCCAGAGTCAACTTCTCAGTGCCCCACCTTACATTATGGCCGCATTATTTACGTATTTAGGTGGCTGGTTCACTGATAAATATCAAATTCGCGGGCCGGTGATTGCTATTCATCAACTTCTGACAGCGGTGGGGATGTTGATCACAGCTTATGGCGGTGCAAGTGGGGCAAGATACTTTGGGATATTCATGGGTGAGCTCTCAATCATCTCACACTAGAAGTTTATATATATCTAACATTATAATCTAGGTGTGGGATTTCTACAGTTTTGTATCCCCGGTGTGCTTGCATTCCAAGCAAACAACATTACTTCCCACTCGAAGCGAGGTGTTGCATCAGCAACTTGTCTTATTGGCGGAGGCCTTGGTGGTATCATTGCGAGCATCGCGTTCAAGTTTGATGAAAGTCCGCATTATACCACGGGTATTTGGGTGACATTTGGTATTACAATGGTTAGCATATGCTTAACCCTCATGATGGACTTTCACTTTTGGAAAACAAACAAAAAGGCCCGGGAAACAAATGGTCAGATCGAGGATATGACTGGATGGTACTATACTCTTTGAGTATGACATATCCATATTGGAGAAATCGTGGAATCAATAGGAATGTTCGTGGTATTTTGTGTTAGACAGCCAAATGACTTGCCCAGCGAAGCTTTAACTCTATGCGGTGGTTTATATTCCAATTTTCTTGAAAGTAACATATTGCGGTACTCCACATCCATTGCATGACCAGAATATAAACAGCGCATGAGAAAACCAGTCCTTCATAGATTAACCTAATCCCATGGCTTCCCTTGTACCACTATGTCCACACCTATATTTCCTTCAAACTATGCCCAATGAGCTCGCCAACCTCAACTGCAATTGACCGACTCGAACTAATACTAACAAAATGCAATGCGGCATCGATGCCATTGATCATACCGCCCGTCGTGATTACTCTAACCCCGAACTGGTTCCGGCCAGCATCTAGATAGGAAACCAAATCCGAGGGATCTTCTGGGATGACTTGAGTCCCTTTTGCATCCGGAGTTTTATCCACATAGCGTTTGACTGCATCTCGTAGCCCAGGTAGAGCAAGACGGTGTGTGGTTGCAGTGAGGCCATCAAGTACACCTCCAAAAGCTAAGAAGTAGGCTCCAATGCAGACGGCCAAGATGGTGCGTTGCCGCACGTTTTCTTGATTAATGTCTGATGCAAAACAGGTGATAAATTCGACAAGTTCTGATAGCTGCCCCTGCCCGGATTCCACATGTGGTAGGATATTGGTTGGTCGTGATCCAGGGACGATCAATATTTCATAATCGGACAGTCGAAGTTTGGCTTCATCAAGGGATATATCTCTCTTCACTGTCGTGTTCTCTTGAGATGTTGTGAGCTCATCCTTGGCGGCATAACTCACGGAAAAGTGCGAGTTGTAGAGTACTGAAACCGGACCGCTCACATCGAGGATGTTGAATCCGGGGAAGATGACCACTAGCGCCCTTTTCTGTGTATGACCCATTGTAAAATTTGGAGATCAAGAGAATATAAGACTTCGTTCTACAAGATGCAGTCCATCTTTCTAGAATTTTTTGGTGACGTCACCAACACTTGGTCTCCGGAATGAGAGGCATCACATCTAAATTTATCTCCAAATAACCCAAACACCTAGCAATTCATAGTATATGTGGACTTATTTAGTCCCATAATATGTTCAGGTACTGCAAAAAGATATCTTGAAGGATCGGTAATCGAAAATATATAGCTTGATGTCCAACTCTAATATCTTTTGTCATAGGTCACGTACCTAGACGGCGAACCACCGAGTGGAGGTCATGTCGAATGCCCTAGGGCGTCTTTAGCTCCCTAGCCAGCTTGATTGCCATACTTCTTTCCAAGCCCTGTGCAGGTATATGCGGCATGGGGCTAGTAATAAAAAAAGCCAGGATACATACTCCGTATCTTCCCAAGAAATCCTCTTTGGGGGTGTATATTCAGGTCCTCCCTCTTCTGCAGGACCCTGATCTAAAGATAGACCCATCAAAACGGCCACTAAAAACTGTCATCATTCTCCATATCTCATTTGTGATTTGCTCCTTCTACACTCGAAAAATACCCGAACTACTCCGTAGTCAAGCACTATGCTGGACTAGGTTTTGCAGCTCCGGAGCTATCCCCGAACAACTTACGCTCGGGCATTGGAACCGGAGACTCGACCTGCTGTCAGATGTTGATCGACAACGTTTAAATTGGGCGAGTCCCACACTCAACGCCCCTGAGTAGTTTGGCCGTTGGCCGTTGGCGGGTTTACCGCCAATTTCCGCACCGGCTACGGAGTACTTATGTTGTACTTATGTAGATAGGTATACTCCGTATGGGCTAATGAAAAGCTAATATTAGATGGTCTTTCGGAGTCTGTCTACTTTGGACTTTGGATTTATTATGTGTGGCTTTTTGCTTTGGCGAACCTAAACCATAGTATTTCCTTGTATTGTACGGAGTACTCCGTACTTTGTTGGGAATTATATTGCAAGGTTTTGAGATAAAGTGATCTATAACATGCATACGGAGTATGAAACATAATATAGCATCTGGAGATTGTAGGCTGTCCATTTGACTTACCATGCTAAAAGCGTAGGGGTTCGGTACAGAGGTTTGCCAGAGCTTTATGATCTACTCCATAGTGGAGCACCCATTATGCATAGATAGAAAGGATATGGGTATGGTCATACTCCATACGGAGTATGCATTATGGAAATCAATACTTCGGGTAGGCCTTCCGAGCACAGAAAATGACCACACGTGGGTGATTCCTCGGAAGTTGCATGTGGAGGCAGAAAACCCCATCTCAGGGGTTGATGAGACTCCTCTTTTGCAGTAAGCAATTGGTAAGCAAGCTATGGTAGACCCACACCATTGAGGACAGCTTCGATCGTACCTCTTCTTTACCATATCGGGTCACGGAGAATTCTCGTTCTAAGATCGGTGCAAACTAATATCTAGATTCAAAACACGTTGTGTCAGTTATACGGGGGTCCTTCCAAGGTTATATTCTCAGGGTCAAATGTGATATGACTCTTGGGATCTCCACAGGTGCATTCGACTAGTCCCGAAATGATCAACCCCTGCCTTAGTAGCACGACGGCGTGGTGAGATTGCCCGCAATTAATGTAAATCATATCTTGAAACTGGGGACGAACTATCGGTAAAATGGGGAAAGTGGTCTTTGTTTCAGGACCCTTTGATGGTGTTAGTGTTGCTGGGTTGTATACAAAGTTGCAAACCTGGAGTTGAGGATATTTTCCAAGGTTGTCTCGCAATCTCTTCATTAGTAATATCCAACGTATGACTACGGAACATCACCGGCGGCTCAAACACGGCAGAAACTTGCGTGTTGTGGGGGCGAAGGGAAATGACAGACACGGTCCACCGAACATCTGTTTCTCTTGGAGTCAGGAATTTTTCCCGATAGTGTGAAAGTAAGCGAATGTTGGATTTGAGCTCTCTCATTGGCTTATGCGGAACTCCTAAGCGCTGTAATCCGGTGTTAGTCTTAGGTCCGTCTAAACCTCGGCAGAACTATTGTGGATATACCACGATTCTGTTGAGGAACCTGAATCTCAGGGGACTTCCAGTGGACAGAACACTGAAGCACGGAGTACAACATAGAGAAGAGCAAGATGCCCATGGTGATCCAAGCAGAACCTTAGTGCTAAACCGGGATAGGAATCCGCCAACGTTTCAGAATGGCCCTTGCATTGGCCACTGGCACGTCCATGTAGGTTTCAGCACCTTCGTGTCGATCACTGTAGTTCTGCATTCCGCATTGCCTTGGCAAAAGCACCGTTTCGTAAGTACGGACTACATTACAGTGTCCTTTTGTATCGTGTATACATGTCGGATGCTGCACTCCATATTCCGTAGATGCCTGCCATTTTCTTCTTTTGAAAATAATTTTTTAAGAAAAAAAACACCCAACAATTCGATTGTTTCTGAAATCACGCTGATTGGGTTAACGCGTGGGTGTACCCGAAGCACGTTCAATAGTGCCATTTCGATGGATCTAAGGGGTTTCCTCTCTCTCTCTCTTTGACTCCTGTCAGACTGCAAGTAAAAGATATAATATCAGTACGGAGTAAAAAAAAGTAAATAGAACCATAGGACAAGAGACGAAGTACCTGCAGAATCTGTCAGTGTCGATAGGTTCCAACTTGTACAAAGTGCAGACAGGGGTCAAACGCCCCATGGTGGATCAGCCTAGTGGCCCCCTAGAAATAAAAATATTGTACGAGTACGTAGTAAAGCCTTTGTATTTTAATACAAAGAGTGAGATCGTCAGAATAAAATGAGATGAAGAGAAGTAATACGGAGGGAAATGATACAGGAGAAAGAAACAGTGATATATGTATTATATTCTAGAAGAGAATACCTGAAGATACTCAAGATACCGAATGATGACGAGTACTAAAGTCAAAGATACCGAAATCTGTATACCCAATACCAGTCTGACAATTGATGGCATTCCTTCCATTCTCCATTCTCTCCCCGCTTGTGGACTCGCTCGTGGGACGGGAGATATGTACTACCGGCCTTGAATGCGCCATTCCATTTCTTCCATTTCTCGCCCCCTCTCTCTCCCCTCCGGAGTACTCGGCTCACAAGTTCCGAAACGTCCTTTTGTCCTCAGTTCTCGGGAAATGCCCATATTTTGAACTTTGGAACGCGATCTCGGCTTCTCCCGTCACCGCCAACGTCTTTTCCCCCTCAAGCTTCCTATTTGGCCTTCGGCAGGCTGATGCTGTGTCGCTCACACGGATTCGGCGCCTGTCTCGGAGGATAACCTAGTCCAATTGGAAATACAACCGCCCAATTCACAACGGAACGTGGTCGATAGGTGTGGGGAATAACGGAAGCACCGAACCTTTCAAGCTTTTGCCTATCACGTTGCACACCAGTATTCGACGTTAGGTTGGACTTTGGCAGTAATATAGAGGAGGATTTTTGTTCTTGAAGGTAGGCACATCTACCACCTTGCGCGGAGAGTGTAGTTTCCTGTCGAATATGGTGGAGTCTAGTCGAGTCTTTTGTCTCTGAGCTTCGACTGGACTCCTGTGTGGCGCAATCCAATCGCATCCCTGATTCAGATCGAACACGCATCGCCGATGCGTCGAGTCTCTTGTTGAACCAGTTCAGCTTGCAATGGACCATTGCTAACCACCATCGCGCTAGGTAGTTTGTCGTTACCGCACGTGAACCATGGGTTGCTTAGTTTCGAAGCCCGAAGAGGCCGATAAGGAGGCTTTCCAGCGCAATGCACGAATTGAGAGGAGTATCAAAATTGACAAGAAGGCACTGGACCGGACCATCAAGATTCTGCTATTAGGTGGGTAGTTCTCGATCGCTGACTGCCGGCTTCCTTAAGCGTCGTGTTGCTAACTGAATGCTCAGGAGCGGGAGAGTCCGGCAAGTCTACCATTATCAAACAGATGCGAATCATTCACAGCCGAGGCTTCCCTGAGGAAGAGCGTCACCAAACCCGTGCCATAATCTACTCGAACATAGTCATTGCATTCAAGGTCTTGTTGGATATTATGAATGCCGAGGATATCGATTTCGAGAACGAGGAAAAGACCAAGGTACTGCTCACCTTCTCCTCGAGAAACCAACGTTAGCTAACGAGGATTGAAAGCCATTTGCGGACCTACTAGACAATACGGAACCCGATGTAGGGTCGGATGAAGCCTTCTCCGATCTCGAGGTTCGCGATGCCATGAGGGCCATGTGGAAGGATCAAGGCGTGCAGAAGGCCGTTGCACGGGGGCATGAATTCGCTCTCCATGACAACTTGCACTAGTAAGTAGAATTTGCGGTGCGTTACACGAACCTAAGCTAACGAAACTCAGTTTCTATGAATCTCTCGATCGCATATTCACACCGGGCTGGCTTCCTGATAACCAGGACATGTTGCAGGCTCGACTTCGCACAACTGGTATCACGGAAACTCTGTTTGAGCTCGGACAGATGAACTTCCGCATGATGGATGTCGGAGGACAGCGGTCAGAGCGGAAGAAATGGATCCATTGTTTTGAGGGTGTTCAGTGTCTGTTGTTCATGGTTGCCTTATCTGGATACGACCAATGTCTTGTCGAAGACCAGAATGCTGTAAGCACGATTTTCCCAATGCCCTCGCTCGCATCACTAATCATGTTTCACAGAATCAAATGCACGAGGCCATGATGTTATTCGAGTCACTAGTCAATGGTGAATGGTTCAAGCGCAAACCAATCATTCTATTCCTCAACAAGATTGATCTGTTCAAAGGAAAACTCGCCATCTCCTCTATCTCGAAACACTTCCCAGATTATACCGGCTCTGACACCGACTATGATTCCTCGGCACAGTACTTTGCGGACCGATTCCGTGGCATCAACCGCATCCCAGACCGTGAAATCTATATCCATTACACTAACGCGACTGATACAACACTACTCAAGGCAACTATGGATTCAGTACAGGACATGATCATTCAGAAGAATCTGCATACCTTAATACTATAAGGTAGAGGCCCTCAAATTCCCGAGGCATTCCCCATGACCGTCTGTCTATGACGATGATTTTCTTTTTTTTTTCTCTTCATTTTCTATTTCTCAAGCTCTTCAGCCTACCAGTTATTTTCCGGTTGCATACTAGGGCGGCTACTCTCCGTTCACTCCTTCGTGATCATTGCCATATGTCATTTTCTTTTCTTTCTTTTTAACGAGGCGTCTTGATTGAGAGGTTGTTGTCTGCTCTCTGCTCACATCATCGGGTCTGTCACGTTGCATCCAAAAGCCTATCCGATTTCGCCAACTAATGCCCATGCTTCGGTTTAACGACTGTGTCGTTGCCATTTCCATTTTTGTTCAATTTTTTTGGTTTAATGCAGAGTGATACCATTTGTTTGTCTTTGCAGCTGTGTTTACTAACGACTGCTCTGTATTATCACAATCATTCTGTGTCTTTATTTACTATATCTCATCTCTGAATGAACTCGATATCCTGCTCTTTTACGGGCAATCTTTTTCACTCTCCAAACTCCAGTCTCAATATGGTTCATTAAAAAGTAGGTCTAGGTATCAAGTCCATACCAGGCCGCTTACTATCGGACTCCTTGCTGTAGATCACACAAGATGATCCAGTTCTCCACCTGGCGCTACACTGGGCAGAACCCTAAAAATCCAAAAATCAACCAGATGACTCGATAAAAAACCACGGCCAATACTACAGAAAACGGGATTTCCTCACTAAGTTCAATCACGAATCACACGACTTCAAGATTTTCGAAAAAGTTCAATTATATGCCTCAGGCATAAATATTACATAATATCCGCATGATCAGTGACCCCGAGTTCCGGGCCGACTGATTTCGCCTCCAATTCAGACTCATCCACTTTCCCAGTGACTGGGTTATTTACCAAATCATGTTGTCAACATCGTTACGCCGGGCAGCATGGGCTCCCATGCCCCTTCCCGGGATAACTCGCTCGGGTCAAAACCTTACCAGCAGCTTGCTCGGCGCAACCCGACCTCTGCACCAACTCCGGTATTCCTCCTCATCCTCCAAACCGCCCGTCCCGCCCAGCGATGGCTCCCGACGAATGGACACCTCTGCCCCGGCAAAGGGGGTCAACTCAACTAGCGAGAAGAGCAAGGCTAACCGCCGACGGGGGAAGGACAGCTCTACCCGAAACGGATCTTCAAAGTCTAGCCAGCATACAGCATTTTCCAACCTTCCAAGTGTTCCCTCAACACAGCACCGACAGCCACATGGTTAGTTCTGAGACCCCAGCCAGCTCTAAATATTAGTTTGTCTGCGCAAAGAAGGACCTGAAACTGACTTTTCCTTTTCTTTACTCGCTTTAGATGTCCATGTAGCATCGTTCTTCTCCATCCACCGGCCAATCTCAGTGACGACCACTGTGCCTCCGACCTCTACTACCGATGCCTTCGAAGCGATCTTCTCGTCAAAGCGGCCGCTGAAGAACGAGCCGGAGGACGTCATCTTCACTCTTTCTTCGGCCGTGCAGTCGATGGAAACTGGCTCTCAGGGCATGTCAGAGTCCGAAGAGCAGTTCCGAACCTTCAGCGAACAGGACGGCGAACTCCGCATGTTGGATGGCCCCGATGCAAAGATGTCTGTGGAGGAATTCACCCGTCGTCTTCGCCCATTCCAGCCCCCTCCCCCGCCCGTCCCGATGGACACATCCGCTGCCGAGTCCACCGACGCTCAGATCGACAACGAGTACCAGACCTACTCGACCGTCCTGACTATCCGCGAGGCTCGCCACGCCGATGGCCGCAAGACCTACGAGGCGCACACGGGACCATTTGTTCGCAGTGGAGAGATGGAGGACCCATCTGATATGCGCGACGAGATCTCCATCGAGGCGCCCTCCACCCCGGGTATGACATACATGGAGCGTCTGCGCAACAACCACACCATGCATGCCATCAGCACCATGAGACGACGCAAGGCCAAGATGAAGAAGCACAAGTTCAAGAAGTTGATGAAGAGAACGCGTACCCTGAGACGGAAACTCGACAAGTAGACTCGTGCTTAGGGCTTCCTGGTTTAGTTTTGTTCTTTTTTCCGTCAGTTGCATCCTGCCTGCGCCTATGCATTTTGGGTCGAGGCTAGTCTTGTGAGAGTTCAGGGCATATATCCTTGGTTTCATACATTTTTTTTTATTAGTCTCGTTCTCCCCTACCTATTCTCTCTCGCCTATACTCGATCAAATATCCATACATACCTCTTCTCTTCTCCCTAGGTCCTTTTGGTGCAAATTGCTGTACTAGGAGTGCACTCTTCTTCTAAGGTTTGGCTTCCGCGTTACATGGGCATTAATTCTTCCTACCTATGCATTTCGGATAAGTCAATTACTCGTCTGAGTGTCGGTTTCTGTTATGACCCCTGCCAGATTGCTGATATCTTGGTCTGAGTGTCTGAGTGTCTGTTTTGTCTCGGTAACTATGACTATATATGTAGAGGTGGTAATAAAATAGGGAACATATCTTGTCAAGTTGCCCACAATTACACCTGGGAAAATATGTATCCTACATAGGTAGCCATCCATGTAGCCATTCAAGGAACAATTGAACTACGAGTAACAAACACCATGATACACAAACAAGGATCTACTCTACAGACCGAATTCTAGGTGACAAAAGCACCCTGATCAAAAAAATTAAGCAAACCCGAAATAGAAGAAATGGACGTCCAAAAGACAAAGGACGAGAAATAAAGAAACAAGAAACTCCTTACAGTAGATCCTGTCTAACCACCATGATGGAAGCGAAGACGGAGACTCAAGTCCCGGATCAGCGAATTTCACATAAAGTACAGATTCCAGCGCGGTGTCATGCAATGTAAAGCCAAAAAATCCAATATCTACCTACCCACGCCACCGAGTCCAGGACGAATGCTTGAACAGTTCCCCAATTCTACATCCACTCTGTCATCGAATCTTCACTCTCAAATAGGCTGAAATCGATTTATCATTTTCCGATATCATCCAATCCTGCATCCGCACCAACTTTATCATGTCAGCTTTCCCGGCCGAGTAGGGACACAGGTGTGCGTCGGGGGAATGTTGAGAATGCACATCCGGGAATAAACTAAGAATCGCGCGGTTGCAGTACATGAGGCGATTCCAAGTTCGATCCACGAAATGCAGCGAGAGGGCTTTCGTTTAGCAGACTCCCTTCGCGCGGGAGTTCATGAGAAGAGCAACAATCAACCCATACAGACCTGCGAGACGTGGCGATTGGTTAGATGAGATTATACAGATTGGTATGGAGAACCACGACTTACCCAAGACTTCAGCGAAAATGAGAATCAGAATCATTCCGACATACAGTCTAGGCTGTTGAGCCGTTCCTCGAACACCTGCGTCACCAACAATACCAATAGCGAAACTGCAATCCGAGTTAACAACAAAGCTCTAGAACAATGGAAAACACGCTGTGTCGCAAACATACCCCGCAGCCAAACCAGCCAGACCGACGGACAGACCGGCACCGAGCTGGATGAAACCAGTGTAGAGAGGAAGCTTCTGGGTCAAGTCGTTGGCGACCAGGACCGACACGACAAGACCGTAGATACCAATGATACCCGCCATGACAATGGGGACAATGTCTATAGACCGGGTCAGTAAATTATTCTCCTTGTACGACAAGGCTAAGAATATCTCATCGCCAGATCGGCAGAGCTCTTGTTGAGATCGACGTACTCTTAACGATCAGGTCAGGGCGGAGGACGGCCATGGAGCAGACTCCGACACCGGCCTTAGCAGTTCCATATGCGGCACCGAAGCAGGTGAAAACGATAGCGGAGGTGCAGCCCAGCGCACCAAAGAAGGGCTAAAGGAAGAAAGATTAGTTATCATTCCGATGCATTGTGAGTAGGTGGATGACGCGGAGGGGCCGAGACACGCGATTGGCTCGAGTGGTGCTCGATTGTTGGGATCTAGCATATAGCAAGACTCACCGCATAGACGGGGCTGTCAAGATACAAATGTTAACAAGGCTGATCCATAAATTCGGAAGAATGACGGGCTCGATAGCAAGGTGTCGATCGGAAGCTGTCAAGTAACCAGGGGCTGGAGGTCAGGCTGACGACTTACCAAAGTTCAGTGGCCATTTTGATGAAAGAGGACCAGACGAGGTTCTCGTGATCTAGTTTGAGCTTTGGAAATAAATAAAAACACCCGAGGTTGGCAAGCTCAGTTGGATGCGGTCGGGGATGATGGAGAGTCCAGAGGCTTGGAGGTCGACGGCAAACATGCTGGCCTCTCTGGGTCACGTGTTGTGTCTTGGCATATCCACCGGGACAGGTAATGACTACACCGTATGTGATATGTAGAGATTTGGTTGTGATAGAGTTATATTGCATTATATTGTACATGTAACATTTTATTTATACAGTTTCGAATATAACTCGAGATCCTGGAATGTTCAGCTTCGTGCAGGACTCTGACACCGTTTCTCCCTTAATGGGCTGCGAGTAGGCAATCGCCTTCTCGGACAATGCTCCAAAGGTACGAGGCAGAGAAATGATGACATTGCTGTCCTCAGCTGTTTCATGCGTCTCAAATTCCATGGAGTCAGCTACCATTCCAAAGTGATAACTGGCAGGCTCTTCCTGCGAGTCGTGATTGCTCGAAACTTTTCCCTGTGCCCCAGTTGGTTTCACTGACACAAAGAACTGGATATAATCACCTGCCGTAGCAACCTGTGAAAGAAGAGATAGATCATCTACAGTAATTCCCTTATCAATAGAAGGGAGCGTGTCCAACTGTGTAGTATCAGGATTGAAAACCTGACTCAACGCGACAAGATCTTCTTGAGTGGCAGTCCCCGAGAAGCAGACTTCAGGATCCAGCGAAAGAAGGCCTTGCTTCTTTCCCCATCCACCTCCGCCACTCATGACACGGTGCAGTTTCCCACCTTGGCGCAGAGAGTGGATCAAGCGCTCATGGGTAGATGAACCCGAATTAGCCACCTCCAAGTCAGGTTTCTCGACAAGCGCCCACACGGATACACGCTGGTCAATGATATTATGTGCTGCGATATAACGCGGAAGTTCCTTCTCGAGCTCTGCCGAAGCAGGTATAGTGTCCATCGACGTCGCATCCGTCGATTTTGCTAGTTGTCGTAAAATGTTTCCCATGCTAGTCATAACTCGTCGTCGTTCAGTCACTGGGTGCAATGGCAACTCCAATGCGGTATCTACAGCCTGGGAAGTTGCCGTAATCATGCAGCTTGTGAGATTGATCGAATTGTCCAAAGCATATACGTTTGAGGCTTTATCCCAAACCCAGCGTGTACCAAAGATTGTTGTTTCTCTCCCATTGACAAAGATAGTGTTCGCTAGGCGCAACCCAATCTCGTGCGCAGGCTGCTTGCTGGTTTGGCCAATCACTTCGGTTTGGAATGAAAACAAGAGATTGGTTTCCTCACTGGCAGAGCTTCTAATGAGACGGGGTGGTGCAGCCTTTACCTGGACACCTGATTGCTCTACTGCCAGAAGCGACAGCCCTTCAGACTCACTTGAATTTGTGTTTTCGGCTGTAGTATTTGGGAGTGTATCAACCACGGCTGCAACGGCATAGAGAGTATCGCTCCCCGGTGAGTTTCCGTAAAGGCGACTGAGGAATTGCGAGAAGAAAGGGCTAGAAGAATCAAGCCAGTGGGCGAAGCTTGGGGTAACGAGAAGGAGAGGGACAGAAGCGGCTGCAGCTGGGCCCAAAGGCGCTGGAGGAAGCCTGGACAAAATATCATCTGGTGTCTTGTATCATTTAGCTTAAATATTGAGAGTTCAGACAGATTGATCTTGCTCACTGTCTCTTCTGCTGTCTTTGTGAGCCATGTGTATGCAAAAGGCCGCCCACCCTTGGCCAGGTTCTGTGTCGCGTACCATCTAGCACGGCTGAGGCTTCCAGGGGTTCTGCAAGAGCTCAGAAGCTGCTGGCGTCCGGAATTGAGGGCCACCCTCATCTGTTTGAGGCTCACTGACATTGAGATGTCAATGTTAAAGCTGGTCCAATTAGGAAAACGCGGAAGTCATTGCGGAGGATAGTGGGTCGCGGAGCGGAACATCTGTTTTCACCGCCGTATAGAGATCACTGTCAATATAGTGCTGTAATGCGACATACTTGACATGAGCTTCAAATTGATTTGTTCGAGGTTGAATTACATTTGTTATTGATAAAGACCGAGGAAGTGTAGAAAAGTGCAATTCGGCAAAATAGCAGGCTAACCCTCCGCGGAAGACCTGTGTACCATCCCTGGTCGTCTGTACGGTATTGGAGCCCTAGCGATAGATGTTCCATTCAACCACGATGATTCCGACGCTCGAAAGGGCAAGGTGTTTGCCGCTTACAAGACGCTAGAGAAGCCAAAAATGGGGGAATTTGGATGACTGGTCTAGGGGTTTAGAAGAACATGTAGACATTGCTATCGACAATACAAAAGCAGCCGTACACTAAGTCTACAGGGCGTATGCCTTGCAGAAACTAGGGAACCGTTCATACTCCATATGGAGTACCGACTCAGGGAAGGCTGAATACAGAGCACATCAACTAGTGGATCCAACGAGCCGTCAATAGCCAATGAGGTTGGTATTTGAACAATGATATTGGGGAGCCTAGCAACAAATTTAGTTTGCGTTGTTGCTAAATCTAGACGTCCCGCAGTGGAACTTCCTTACACGATCTCAATTTCGGCTGGAAAATGATGTGTAAACCCGACTTTCAGTCTGTTGGCTACAATATATGTCGCAAATTTCCTCCAAATTTGGTATAAAATTCACCTGTAGTCTCCCAGTTGCCTCGATGCTTATCTCTTTGATCATTAATGGTCCCCAGCCATCCATGTACCTTTCTATTCCAGTGAAGTCACAAAGATCAACCACATGCTGATACCAGGCGCCTTGGCGGGTGGGGGCAAGGGCCATAGGGCTGGCGCTGTCTTTTTAGCGCCACCGTACAATAAGTGGCAGACTTAACCAGTAAAGATCCCCGTCAAAGTTAAGATGTGACGGTATTTGTAGAGATCGTCACCGTCATGAGACTTAGGCTGCAGTATGGGCGCATAAATATGTACTATGTACATGTAATAAATACTGTACAGCATACTCAGTACATTAAATATAGAAAACAGAAGGAAAAAAAAAAAAATCAAAAATGCAGGCTAATTCCCAGCGCCAAGCTCCAGGCAGCAAGCAAAAGAATGAACAGGATAGGTGAGAGAACCTTAAGAAGTCGCAATACAGAATATCACTATCTCGACAACCTTAGACAAGTCTGCAATTGGACAAATGAAGTAGTTGATTACCAGGTTAAAATTAAAATAGCATTGTAAAGAAAAATAAAAAACTAAATCTAAGCCACATTTGTGCCTTGATTTGTTAAAATTGGGGAGGTTTTTTTTTTCTTAGCCACAGGCGGCAGCCTATGATGTAATGACCGAAAGCTCACGGCAGGTCCCCTTTTAAGACTTCGCTCTTTCCACTCTCCCATCTTCCATCGTTCACATTTTCTAACAATCAAATCTGCCCACAATGCCTTTCACCGCTTCGTAAGTATTCCGCTCTGTCTATTAACCCTGTCACCGATCACTTCATTATCTGCTCCCCGTTACCCGTCACTCTTACCCTCACCCTCAACCCTGTCGCCGAGTCGCCAGGTCGCCAGGTCGACCGCCTACCAGACTATGTTCAGTATGCTAACATTGTCAACAGTGACATCTGCAAGATCATCTTTGCCATCATCCTGCCTCCTCTGGGTGTTTTCCTGGAGCGCGGATGTGGTGCTGATTTCCTGATCAACATCTTATTGACCATTCTGGGATGGATTCCAGGTGTCATCCACGCCATGTATGTGTTTACTTGACAATTCTCCTTTTTTTGCGACAGCTACTGACCATATCACAGCTACATTATCTTCAAATACTAGAGATACCCACCTCCACCCCCCTCGCAACCACCGGTTTCCAAGACTAACATCCCTTGGAAAGTGACGCACTGCGACCATGTTCACATCAGTCCTTACTCTTGTCTTACGTTTCGAGTAAGGGTCGGTGCGATTCGATATCCTCAACGTTAGTGCCAGCGTGATTCCGTGGAGGTCCGGTTGAGACTAGCCTAATGCAGCCACCACCACTTGGCATCGGGTCCAACATGAGTTCGACACGATGTCCATAATTCCCTAATCTTTTGTGTGGTCGCGCGGTTGTGTTTTATTTTGCTTTTCCTTTGTCTTGCTCCATTCTGCGGGTTTTTTGCTTTTTCGTTTATGAATGATACCAGCTCATACGGTCTGACTCTGGGGCTTTGTTGTTTTCCAATGCTCGCCGTTGGCTAGTCTTCTATGATTCATGGAAATGGGATTTTACTCTAAGCCACCGCGTTCCTTGTAGGGAAATATAGATCTCCGTAGGTTGGTTCCTGGGTACGGAGTCCTCCATATAGGTAGATTAGCCGACGAAAGAGGAAATCAAACAACCTTGGAAGGCTTTTGATAAAATAATGAGGCCAGTGTACCTCAGCCACGTCTACAATTAAATAATTCAAGTGATTGGTGCACAGCGTTGCATGAGGCGGGTGCAACTACCTCGTCGACTGCCTAGGTGTCGTACAACAATGACAGTGTTCCAAGGACATACCAGGCCCATCAGCAACTCCCGAAAACAAATGAAACAGATAATATGCAAGGAAGAATGTAACTTTGAACACTTGGATCCTCGAACTTCCCAATCTCTGAGCGAGTTGAAGTATTCCAGCAACTTGAACTCTCAGCTAAATCATCATCAGACAGGTAACCCGCAACTACAGCGAAACCAATCACAATACAGAGTTAAATATTTCGAAACAAGCCACAGTCACTCATCCACTAAGTTCGTGAGATCTGAAACTTAGCTCGGCGCTATCTCCAACTTGTTATGCAGCCTAAGCGCTTTCGATGGCTCGGCGCGTATCGGGGCCGCTTACTAGAACCCTTCCTAACAGGGCGCTTTACCACTGCAGTGATTCGTCTCTGGTGAGTGGACCTTGCTATTTTAAATATCATGCAGTTTCACTCTAGCGCTTATACATACATAGCCTCGAGCAACACGTTTCAGAATGATGTCGAAATGCATATTCTTGGCACCAACAGTCGATGCGTGTCATGGTCACTTTTGGCTCGCGCCTTGAATAGCGTCGCGCCCAGGCTTCGTGTTTAACTAGGCTGGAGCCCATCTTTTGGTAGTTTGTTTGGCATTTACTTCTTCCTTCCGGCGTTGTATCCTTGTTTTTTGATACTTTCGCACCATTTTCTGTTCATTCCGCAGACCCTTATACCAACTATGGTAATCATATGTACAAGCTTTCGCGGGTAATCACTCCCATGCAAGAATATACAAGGTCAGTCGATGGGAGAAGCGTATACGGCAGGTCTTCGCTTATAGTGAACGTTTATAGGGCTACCGCAGCATGGTCCTCCTTCCTATCCACAGGATACTCAGCGCGATCCTCCTCTTACTCGCACTCTGCTCTGCCGCCGAAGATACCTCCGATGATACCTCGAACGCAGCTCTGTATGACATGGTCCCAGACTGTGCTAAGGACTGCGTTGATAGCTTCATCAAGTCCGAATACACACCTATGGAATGCAAGTCACCATCCAATATCAAATGTCTTTGCCGCACCCAGACAGCTAGTGGCTTGACATTGGGAGAAAGGGCTTTGAGCTGTGTTCTGTCTTTATGCTCACAGACGGTCTCCGCAAAGTCAAAGGCCTATCACCTATGCGACTCGGTATCTGAGGCGCTTCCGAAAACACACCAGACTATTACCGCAACGATATTTTCTGATACGAGCACAACGAAAACGAGTGATGAAAAGACAACTACAAAAGAAATACCAACTAGCTCTACTTTAGCAACTGAACACACTTCGGAGGCCTCCATGACAACATCTACAGCAACATCAGCATTGGCGCCGACGACAACTACTTCCAGTAAAACATCAGAGATCACATTCTATGATGGTTCTTCATCTTCAGAGTCTCCAGTGGAATCAGCATCTCCTACTGGAGAAATGTCTACTGGAGAAACTCCCAGTGGCTCCTCTGAAGGTACGAATAAGAAAGATGATCATACTATCACTCCAGCGGCGGTCATTGGAATATCAGTAGCGTCGGGGGTGGCAGGATCTTTCATCATCGGCGTTGCTGTGTTCTTCTGCTGCAAGAGATGGCGACGAAAGCACCGGGAACAGGAACCTCCACACAATTTCGAGATCGGAGGTGCCATGTCTGAGCCTTCTGACTTTTCAAAGCCGATGCCACCACTCCCAACAGATGGTTTAGGTATAGGGTCTTCATATATCCCAACGGACCGCCAGGCAATGTTACAGCGGCCAGGTGCTCTCCATTCAATAGCCACCATTCAACCACCATCATTACACACGCCTCAATCCGCTACGGTATATTATTCGGGTCAGAGCAAAGACCGAAGAGTCCAAGAACGAATAGGGTTTGCCATTAGCTCCGACTCGGACTGGGAAACTTCGCCTCGGACACAATCTTCACAGCACAGTGTAGCACGTCTACTACCAGATCCTGCAGCTGGATTATATCCAAAGCCACTGAAGTGGAGTCACCGCCCACCTAGTGGAGAGACTCTCTTCGAAGAAGACGAAAGTCAACAAGCAGCGGCGGCGGCCGCGGCGGCAGGAATGATACAAAACAACTCTCCAAGACTGGGAGCCAAACCAAAACTTGCAGGACTGCCATCCAATCCACGTGCGTTCAAGGAGGGATTCCGAGCAGGCAAATTCAAACGAAGATCTGGAGTCCCAAGTACCTTAGCACCGCCATTCAATCCCAACCCAGCCTTCAGAACCTCCTCATCAAACAGCAGCGCTACACCTAACGAATTATTTGAAACCTCACAAACTGCCCACTCCTCCTCTTCCTCTTCGAACCCGAACACCTTGCTCGCTGCCCCTGTCAACACCACCCAGACTCAGCCCCATAACCGCAGCCTGTCTCCAGGACGACAGGCAGCTCAACCTTGCGCTCTATCAACAACAGCCCTACCCTCAGGCTCTGAGATAGTATCCAGGCCGCGAATTGTCCGGGGGAATGACATCAAGCGTGTCCAGATCCGCAACAGTCCACGGCCGCCCAGCGAAGTCATCGCGCCATACTGTCCAGATGACTTATGGCTGGAGCGTGGACGCGCCATAGTGCCACCGAAGTCCCGAGAACCGTCAGGGGAATTACCATATCCTTCAGATATGTATCCCGGTGATGTGCATTATCCTGATAGTCCGAAGAAGAAGGTTGTGTTGAATCGGGTTTCGCCAACTAGTCGGAACTTGACGCCATCCAGGAGGGGCGACGATCTGATCCTTCGTGTTGATTAATAGACTTATTTTCTTTGGTGGGTTTGTACTGGGATTTTTTGTCATGGGAATTTGCTTTTGTATAAATATTATGTTCTTTGATATGGGTGGAGAGCTTGAATTTTGTATTGAGAACATCTGTATATAACCTGCATTTGGAAGATCGGCTTGGTTTCCTCATATTGCATATGCAATAACTTCCTTAGATTCCATCAATTCTGATGTATCTCTTTAGATCTCAAAAAGCAGTTCGAAAAAAAAAAAGAAAAAGAAAAAGTAGGAAGCGCGAAAACGCGTCAAATGTAGCCCACGTGGACGTGTCTACTATTGGTGGGGCTGAGATAAGAACCTGGGGTCACCCTAGTGGGCATCTTTTTACATTCCAATCTTCCAAGTGTTCGGACTTCATTGCTATTATGGCTCCAAATACGTTTGCCGAGAGATCCACAATACTGCCGGTATTTCCTTTAGAGCTGTGGGATATCATCATTGAATACCTACGCGATGAAGAATCTGCCCAACATCTGAGTCGACTTGCTCAATCATGTGTCACGCTTTATGAAAGAATTAACCCTCAACTCTACACCTCTGTCCGCCTGTCCAATCCAGAAAGCGGTGCTCGTCTTGCTCTCACGATAGAGCAGCGCCCAGATCTAGCACCGCTCATCCGTGAGATTCGACACAAGCAGGATGCTGGGCAAGAATTCTGGTCCCATCGTCATTTCCAATTCTACAAAACGGCTGTACTTTTACCGAATTTGGAGAAGCTGAGTTTGAGAAAAAATCCCAGACCCTTTGATTCTACTAGGTGGCGCAGTAAAGTTGCTAGGGATGAGGCTATGTTGCAATGGCTGGGAAAGATTGCCACTGGATCAGCCACCGTTAAAGAGTACCGAGAGTTGGGATTTGGGCCTTTAGGAGAATCATCGTTTAGTCCTCCGGATGACGAGCTAGCTCACTTACGAGGCCGCGTGGTTGGAACCTTGTTCTTGCACGCCTCCCTTGCAAACCCGCCGGGTCTGCCCGCTCTCCGTGTTTGTGAGTCTTATAACTGGCTCTGTCTCCTGAATCGAAAGTTTAATGTTATCAGGTCATATCGGAAGCGACTATAATCATGACGAGAACAATGCCAAGATGGACGGCACATGTCTGCCCCTTTTCAATGAGACGCTATTCCGTCATCCAGGTTTACGAAAACTCTGTATTACTGGTGCTACTTTCCAGTTTACCAAGCCTGACATTCCACCAAAAACCACATCGTCACCTCTGGAGGAACTTACCCTTTTGAACTGCATCATAAACCCAGGGGATCTCGAAACAGTACTCGATTATCCAGAAGCCTTGAAGCGGTTTACCTTCAGAGGCCCTAGGTCGCATTTGGTAGACCTCGGGGAAGAACCCTTATGTTATGTTCACTCCACGCTCGCACACGAAGATACCCTGGAATACATGGATTACGATCTTTACTGGGGCGGTGATGAGGAGGCAGATTTCGGTGAACTAGTTTCCCTCAAGCATCTCACAACAACTCTCGCCACACTTACAGGGAGGGAATGCATGGAACTGGATCCCCTTGATGATACTTTGCCGCCAAATCTCGAGAGTCTCACGATACGATACGATGAAGTGAAGGCATGGCTTCCCTCGGCTATCTATGAGATGGTGAAAGATAAAAAACTCGCAAAGCTGCGTCGCTTTACCTGCGAGGTACCGGAAAATATGGAACAGCTTCCATCAATCAATAAAGACAAGGTCAACCCCTCCGCCACCGAGATATGTCAGGAGGGTAACACCTGGAAAAGCAAGTTCGCAGAGCTGAATGTGGAGATGTCCATGATCTCCGTTCCTTACCCGCCTGAACTGCCCAGATACAACGTGTGTGCTTGCGAATGCCTGCCCTTTTACCACCGGATGTCCTACCACCCGAAAAAACCACTGCTAACTCCTTGGGAGGAAAACGAGGGGGAGGAGGACGTGTTCTTTGATGACTGGGCCGATGTTGATGATGAATTTGACCTTGATATGCTTATGGATGATCTTGCGGAGGAGCCTGGATCTGACGCCTCGGCTTGAGGGGTTTATTTAATAGGACTACCAGGTTCGATGCATCACTTGTTATTTTATTGTGATATGTCTTTTTCAAATATTCATATCAAATTCCAGCATATTCCATGTATAGGTTTCTGTCTCAGGCCCACGCTAAAACTTAATAATTTAGCTTCATTTTCCATACAAGGAACCTGCTGCAAGATTCAGCACACGGGGCTTTCACGGACAGCCGCGTGTAACGCCAGGCCTAGAATCTACCCTGACTGACTTCCATCCCTTGATAAAGGGCTGAATCCATCGCTTAGAGAGACTCACAATCTTGCAGTCCTCAGGATATTGTAATCTGGTGAAGTCTTTAGCGGGGCTCACCATATGCATGCAAAGTGATGCTCTGACCAAGCCTGGCAGGTATTCCGCATATTAGGAGTTCCCGAGTTTAGGACATAAAAATGACCATCGAGTATCCAAAATAGACTAGGGCTTCTGCGTCTATATTGTACTTCTATATTTTTAAAGACAATGGCTTTATTCAAACTAGGGCATTTGTTTATGGCTTGCCCAAATGCTGCATGGTGGCTCGAGATTATATAGCATCGCCAGTCTATGCTCTGTTCTTCTTCCTAAATATCATTCAGAATTTAAAATATATTTTACTATCTTACTTTATAGAATATAGGGCATCTGAATTTTTGATTTTTGTTCCTGAGAATAAGATCTATGGTTATGACGTCACTGGTTTTCCGATAGTCTTCGATACCTCCGACTTCTTCGTATATGTTGTACAACACAGATATTCAAAGGAAAAAGAAAGCCGTTCCAATGTCAAATTTTGTCAAATCCTGTGTTTTCGAACTCTGAAATCCTCTAATACAGCATACACTACCCCCCAAAACTTCTAAATTTACCTGGGCAAACTTCGTTTCTTATCAAAACGTCATCGTCCCCATGCGCCGGTTTATATGCGCCAAGGATGTGCCGCTGTGGATGATCCCCTGCGATTCCAGTCATTTTAACCCGGGGCTGGCATGACGAGGTCTGAGCCTGAAGGTGTGGAACCCCATTATTGGGGTTAAAGAGGGTCGATGATGCAAAACCCACTTTGGGCCAGATATATTAATGGCCCTTGGTTTCCAAGTTTCCCCATTCCGATTCCTTTTTCCGCGACTGTTATCTAGTTTGACCCGCACTTCAAGCGCCTGCACATAGCAATCAAAAGCGCTTCTCGGTTTATGAGTGGTTGATAAAGAAGTAATTATACGCCTCAAGGCAGCGATCACCGTCATTGTACCCGCACGCCCCACACCCTTCATGGCAAATAGATTCGGACTTCAAAGTGTCCGACTCGACATGGACACCGCTCGGGCCGATATTTATGGCCCCAATCTCATTGTCCCTAAGGATTTCGTGCCTTCAACTTCTGACCATATATTTGAATCCGATATGGCCAAGCACGAAGTCTCATCAACAGATACCTCACCAATTAATACACCTATGCCAAATCCTCCTACGGTCACTAGTGATGATTTTGCACTAGCCTTTGATATTGATGGCGTTCTCATTAAGGGCGGCGAGCCCATTCCTGCGGCCATTGATGCCATGAAGTATATCAACGGTGAAAATCCCTACGGAGTCAAAGTGTAAGTTTTTACCTATGTTATTCTACTTTCATAACTCCATAGTACCCCTCACACCAGGTTGAGGGGTAAAAATTGTCAAAATAAAGGAAGAATTTGAATCTAACTGCAATATCCTAGTCCTTATATCTTCTTGACCAACGGCGGGGGGAAGACAGAGAAAGAGCGATGCCTCGATCTCAGCAGACAACTCGACCTAGAAGTTGACCCTGGCCAGTTCATCTGTGGTCACACACCCATGCGCGATATGGCAGAGCGATACCACACCGTCTTGGTGGTTGGTGGCGAGGGTGAGAAATGCCGCGTTGTGGCTGAGGGATACGGATTCAAGGATGTTATCACACCCGGAGATATCATCAAGACGAGACACGATACTACTCCGTTCCGAACGTTGACAGATGAGGAACATGATAATTCCCGACTGCTCGACCTAGATAAGGTCCGCATCGAAGCGATTTTCGTCTTCGCAGATAGTCGCGACTGGGCCGGTGATCAGCAAATCATTCTAGACTGCCTCATGACCAAAGACGGCTGGTTAAATACACGGTCGGAGACCTTTACCGAAGGCCCACCGGTTTTCTTCTCGCACACTGATGTGGTTTGGTCAACATCGCATGAACACTCACGTCTTGGAATGGGAGCGCTGCGTGCTTCCCTTGAGGCCGTATACACGGCTATCACAGGCAAAGACCTGAACACCGTCGCTTTCGGTAAACCGCAAATCGGAACATATGCATTTGCCACCCGGCTTTTGCAGGAGTGGCGAAAGGACTCGTGTGGCATTGACAAACCTCCGTCTACGGTGTACTTCATTGGTGATACTCCCGAGTCTGACATCCGCGGTACAAATGAATTCAACAACACCACGAAAAATGATTGGTTCTCGATTCTGGTTAAGACTGGAGTCTACCAGGATGGTGATGTCCCGCGGTACCCACCTAGGAAGATATGCGACAATGTTTTTGACGCTGTCAAATTTGCCATTGAGCGCGAGCACCGAAAGACTTCCAAGGGCACAACTGTTTCCGAGCTCGACTTTGACTCCCAGGAAGTTTCCAAATGAGCTGGTTTTTGTGTGATCTTTCGCTCATGGCTTCGTTTCCTCAACCGATCTCACGTCCAATCTAGTCCATTACTACGTTTTCCTCACGACCTGTTTGATATGATTCCCAGTTCTCTTGAACTTCTGCCATTTGTCCCGTTTCATAGCACAGGTGTTTTTACACATACAGTTCCATATAGGTTAGATATATTCCAGCACCACCGGCGCCTTTGAATGAATTACACAATGATCAATGATAAACATTCGAAATTAAAAATGACTATAATATTCGGCTACTTGTAGCGTAGAATGCATTATTAAAATGCAGTTTCGTCATTTTCTCAACTGGTACATTTCATCGTTCGACATCGTGCCTCTCTGTTCAAACAGTGTCTGCATATTCTTGCCCGCTCTTATTACCCGGGTTCTCAAATTTGTCCTAACATTGATCATACCTACTCTAGACCCCACTTATTATGTCCCTAGTGAGACTCACACTCCTAGGATCATATCCGGCCCTGGTCCATTTTGCATATGAGAAAAGGCCTAGATAGATATACCTCAATAAGAACGGCGTTGCTAAGAAAATACAGCCAGAACAGCGAGTAATGGTAATCTCTATATACTGAGAGCTGTTCGGTAAAGATACTAGAATGTATGCCCTGTCCTAGGCTGCGGCTGTTCCCCCAGTAAACTTGGTAATCCGCACTTCTTCCTGGATATCGGTCCGAGAATAACTCCACCTCTTCCGAAGACCACAAGCAGTGCGAACATAGCAACGGAAATAGGAATCCACGTCGACGATCGATCAAAATCCCCAGCTCGTATAAGCAGATCAAACTAGTAGCCCTAAAATGCGATTTGTCGAGCGTACATTATTGAATACCTTACCTTGGCCTCTGAAAGCTGATCTACTACTAGATTATAATTTCTGCTATGTCATTTCATGCATATGGAAAAGTACTTCGTCCAGCATGAACATTCGCTGGGCTTGTCACGCAACAGCACTTCCAAGGTTGTCAATACGATAGATTACCTAGTATAACTCAAAATCTAGGCTAGTTCTAACTGCTTTTGCAGCCTTATGTGTTTTTCGAGTGTTTTTAATGATTCCTTTTTATTAATGACTAGCTAGTTAGTTATTAGTTAACTGATTAGTTTACTAGGCTTCACAAAGGCATTAGAAGCCTGAATATTGAGGCTCCCCGCCCTGTGGTTGACATGACCCACCATACGGGAAAGTTCTCTCATACAATAATCTCTCACTGAGCAGTATATCCAGGAAATCCCATAGTGAGAAAGCACCGCCAGGTAACAATAATGGTACGAACTCTCAGTAATTAACCCCATATACCATCACTCATGCGCCAACTAGGTCCCCAGAACAGAGGCAGTGTACCTCAATGATGCCACACTACGGACATTGACCACGGAGGTTCTATCCTCCCAGCCAATACCATCACTCTCTGAAGAAGAAAAGAGCTTGGCCAAAAGCGTACCGGCAGAATATAATGCAATCACCATGCACCGGACTATCTTCTACGCACAAGGAGGCGGACAGCCCAGCGACACCGGCGCGATTGGACCAGTAGACCAAGATCCCACGTTTGAAGTCTCACTGGTACGCAAGACGCCCGATGGACGGTTCCTGCATTTTGGAAAATTCCTACACGCCGCCTCTTCCTTCGTTGCGGGCCAGCCTGTCGTGCAGAAGGTCGATGACTCAAAACGCAACTATCATTCCCGGCTTCATACAGCTGGTCACATCGTTGGGCTGGCCATGCAGCTTCTGATGCCGGATAAGAAAAAGGTCAAGGCGAATCATTTCCCCAGGGAGGCTTCTATGGAGTATGAGGGGTTGCTCTATAATGAGCACAAGCCGATTATCCAGGAGAAGGTCGATGAGCTTGTACGGTTAGATCTGCCGATTCTCATTTCTTGGCTTCAGGGTGCTACACAGGTTGGGGATGGGGAGGGTGCTGAAGAGGGTCGTTCTCATGATGGTCGTACCCGGATTGCGAGCATAGGTGGGCTCGATCACAATCCCTGTGGTGGTACTCATGTTGCGAAGACGAGTTTGGTTGGGTCGATCATTATCCGCAAGATCAGTCGTCAGAAGGGAATTAGTCGGGTGGCTTATGATGTTTCCCCGGGAATTGAGGCATAGGTAGCTTTGAATTTGCTTGCCATTATGGCTCATATGAAATAATTTTCGGAAATTAGTTGGGGAGATGTTGAAATTATAAATACATGCTCTAACGCTGGAGAAAGGTTCTATGTTTAATCACAAAATCATAATGTGAACTCATTGTCCAGCCAATGCTTCATCACGATCTTGCCCTCTCGGAACCCATCTTTCTCGGCCCGGACGATGATAGCTGCGTGGCTATGGAGGTGCTTCTGTATGTGGACAGGATATTTCCGAATTCCCACAGCGTTGAGGGAATCGATTATGCCAAATTGTTCATCACTCAATGCAAGCTTAGGAGAATGTGTCGAAACCTCCGTCGTTGATGAAAATCTAGCCGATGCATGCATCGATTCAGCATCCGTCCCATTTTGCGCAGACTTCTCATGCGCCGCGTCGGACACGTCGGTATCGCTGTTGGACAAATAGGCTGGTTCTTGTATAGCGCTGACGTTCTCAAACGCCTGCTCCATGGCATGCTGAGCCTCTTGGATCAAAACTGGTACTCTGTATCTTCCGAAACGCTCGCCATTTTCCCCAACTTCATGCATACGAATGCGCCTTGAGCTGCGACATGTTTGGATCCCGGCGTTTATCAAGAAGAGTGTAGAAGCCAGAGGCACGAGAACAACGAGCAGGACCGACAGAGGTATCCAAATGGTCACTGATTTCAATTTCTTCCAGAATCGCGCTGCTGTAGACTCAGATTTTCTTTCCACCGGAGGAAGCACATGAAGGTCGGGATCGATAATGACGTCTTCATAACCCTTGACATAGTTGATATTCACGGCTTCCAGATCCCGGAATGGGTCCACTTTAGAGAGACCGGATGTATAGTAGAGAACTGAGCGGTCATTGACGATATTCGCATAAACACTCCGCCGCCGGAACTTCTTCAGACCCGTTATGAAAATACTCCCTGGATCAGCCATAACACCGAGCAGTGGCCGCCCAGTATCTCGGAAGGAATCGACCAACCACATTTGGCGGCCAGATGCCGAAATTGTCTTCGGCCCTAGAACATTGAAAACCTGATCCTTGTACCCTTTCAGCGGGGCTCTCACTCCAACATGTGGCGTGGCAAAGGTCGTGAAGTTCATGGGTTCTAGCTTATCCAGCCAGCCACGCGCATTGAGCAAGCCGATCGCGTAGCGCGCGAGCAGACCACCAAGCGAGTATCCAATCACACTGATCTTTTTGATCTTTTGTCCCTTCTCGGCTAGAGATTCAAGCGTCTCCTCTACCTCGTGCACTAATCGTTCTCCGCCCAACTCGATTCCATCATAGGTATAGTTGCCGCTGTTTGCTTTCGGACAGAAAATGTAGACGTTGCTACCATATCTATCTCTCAGTGCGGATGCGATATAATCGAGGTGTGAAGGATTTCCCCAAAGTCTATTGAGAATATTCGTCGCATTAGCGGGCTTATCAATACGTCATTTGCAAGGGGAAAGCGGCATACCCGTGAACCAAAACACAGAGGTGGTCGGCTTTAGAGGTATCTAGTGTTGTTTCGCTTGTTGATTCCATCCTTGAGAATTAAACTGATTTCAGGAGAAAATAAGAAAAGGATCTACCTAAGTAATATTTTAACCTGCGGATGTCTGTTCATCCGAAGGCCGCCCATCTGCGTCAGCCTGGAGCTATCGGCGATAAGGCGATCTCCGTGCCAGGCGAATTCCCGGACAACGTAGATGTGTATGTGTACATTGTTGTAGGAGATTGTGGAGTATAAAATCACAGTGAAAAGCAAGATATGCTCTTTAACATCAGACGCACAAATTGGTAGAAAATAACATCAGATGAACAGTTCATCACAGATTGGATTTCTGCCTATAATATTAGGCATGTGTTTGTCTTCTTTGCATCCTTGACTTATCAATTCGCTGAACAGCTTCCAATGTTGTCCTCCAGTGATATCAATCTGATCTCTTTATCCCTTCAAATCTGCTTTTTACCTTAGGCGCCAGTTAACTTGTTTGGGTTAGCGCAGTTTGGCTCGTTTTTAATGGTGTTCGCTATAAGCAAGCGCTTATTGATGCGATAGCGTTACTTGCAATATTCCTTTCGACCTATTCAGTGCACAAAAAAAACACTTGAGACCTAGATATTTGCATCTTAACCTGTCTTCTCATCCGGTCATTCATCATGTTCACATCGCTCGGCCGTTTCGGGGCAATTCCATGCCCGCAAGGCCAGGATTGCACTCTTTTGAGATGCATATTCTCTCATGATAATGAGCCGGCACCAGCTAAGGCCCAGCCTTTGAAGATTCCTGTGTCAGGTGACGATGGCCCTCCTGCTAAACGGGCCAAAGTGGAAAGCACACAGGTGCCGGGGCCTTCCATTCCATCTTGCAACTTAAAAGAATCACCCGTTGAAATGGGGCGGCGACCATCGAAATCGGTTGCTTCCAAGAAAAATCAAAATACACAAGACACTCCAAAAGCTCAAGAATCCGCCCAACCCACCTCAGCCCATGGCCAACCAAACCCTTCGGGGACCGAGCCTGCAAAGCGCACTAATACCACATCCGCTGGATCTTCATCGCAACTCCCTCCTCGCAAGGCTCCAAAAGAAACTTTGAATCCTCGCATGCTTGCCCATGCACCGGCAACTCATGGCAGTCGGACTGCCATTCTCCAAAAGCTGCACTCCGCCATGACTGCCCTGAATGAAAAGCTACGAAAGGACAAGAATAGCTCGAATAGATGTTTCATCCTAACTCCCGATGAACTCATCACAATGGCTCTGGACGAGGAAGAAAAGTTCGCGAGAGACAGTCCAAGCGTTTACGGCAATGTTATCAAACTTCGAATCGTGAGAGTTACGAAAATGGGCATCGACGAGTGGGTCAAGGAGGTGATGTCCCATCTGAATGCGCGATATTATAAGATAAACCCCGTCCAGAAGCCTCGGGCAATTCCCATAACTAGCAACACAGGCCTCACTCCCGCAGAAGAAATCGCAGTTGTATCTCAGCTAGTCACACCCCTCACTGGCCTTGAAGAACATGGGTATATCACAAAACAACCCACGAACGCAGATATTGAATACGCCAAAAGAGGTGTTGGTGGGTCCAAGGGCTGGGAGAAGTGTGACAGATGCGGTCAACGATTCCAGGTGTTCCCAGGGCGTCGCGAAGATGGTGCCCTGGCCAGCGGTGGCCACTGTAACTATCATCCAGGACGGCCCGTTTACCCTCAACGCAAGAAAACAGACCATGTCACCGGTCCCTCCCAGCCCTACTTTCCCTGCTGCGGCGAAGCATTGGGAACGTCTACCGGCTGCACCAGAGCCGAGACACATGTCTTCAAGGTCTCGGAGGCCAAACGACTTGCATCCATCCTTCAATTCCAGACAACTCCATCTCAGCCAGGAAAAGGACCACTAGAACCGGTCTCTATCGATTGCGAAATGGGATACACGACATTGGGTCTCGAACTGATTCGTCTCACTGCGGTGAGCTGGCCTGAAGGCCGTGATCTCCTTGATGTGCTTGTCCGGCCTATGGGCGAGGTGTTAGATCTCAACACACGCTTCTCCGGTGTCACGCCACAACACTATGCTTCCGCAAAGCCATATGGCACTCCAATTCCCAGCATATCTTCACCGTCAGCAGACGGGGAAAAAAAAACCAACCCACCCTTGCAACTTGTTCAGTCACCCGCGGAGGCGCGCGAGCTCCTCCTAAAGCTCCTCCAGCCTGAGACACCTCTCATCGGCCATGCAATCGACAATGACCTTAACGCTTGCCGTATCATCCACCCTACCGTCATTGACACCGTCCTCCTTTATCCCCACCCTAAGGGTCTCCCAATTCGTTTGAGTCTCAAAATCCTTGCTCAAAGGCACCTTAGCCGTGACATCCAGGTCGGGGACAATGGGCACGACTCAAAGGAGGATTCAATTGCTACAGGTGATCTTGTGAGAGTGAAAGTGGGCTACAAATGGAAAGAGTTGAAGAAGGACGGACATAAAATCGAGGGGGGCAAGTTGATCCATCCAGAGGGCCGAGTGTCAACAATCACCTCTTCATGGACCGTTGTCCAGAAGAGAAAGTCCAGCAGATAATCCTGGACATGTATCCCTAACCTCTATCTAGCGTATTTTGTTTTTGACTTTTTGTATACGATACCCATGCCTGTGTGGACTGACGACAATCTACAATATGTTCTACATTATTATTACTCAGTAAGAAGATGAGGGTATAAACTTTTTTAGTTTTATTCGTGGCCTCATAGACCAATCTTATCCCCCCATGGCTCTCGCTCTCAATCCAAACAGACGTTCCAAGCGCGACACACACAGACTAGACCCGATCGATCAACGGGACGAAGAAACAAGACATGTCAGGAGCGACACGCTTATTCCTCATCCTCCTCAGCCTCGTCGTTGACGACGTTGTAGAAGCGGAGCTCGTAGACACCCTTGGAGGTGGAGACGACGCGGAGCCAGTCACGGAGCTGCTGCTTCTTGAGGTACTTCTTGGTGCTAAATGACAGAAAAGGCAATGGTCAACAAGACTGTACTCCAATATATCGGGAATAATCCCGGGGAATAGACAAACTCACAGGTACTTCAGGTAGCGGCCGGAGAAGGGGATGTGAGCAACAACCTCGATCTTGCCATCGCCGGACTGGGAGATGACGACCTTCTCGCCGAGGTTACCGACACGGCCCTCGACCTTGATGCGGTCGTGGAGGAACTTCTCGAAGGCAGAGACATCGAAGATCTTGTCGCTAGCGGGCTGGGAAGCGTTGATAACGAACTTCTGGGTGACCTTCTGGGCCTTGCGGCCGTGAGCCTATACCACATAGAATCGAATTAGCCTACTGCTCCATAATGTCGAGCCCCAGTGGTAGTCTCGCGGGTCCGTCTTCGACGACATTGAGACTCGATAGATTTTTCAATATCGAGTTTCATTGTCTGATCGAAGACGAGCCCGCAGAGACTCCGGTGGGGGGAACAGCAAAGCGATTTGGACTTCAACGTACAGCAGCGGGAGCCATTGTTAATGGATTGGGGGAGGATGGATTTTTGGGGATTGGGGAAAGGTCGCAAAGAGGTGAATATCCTGCGCCGGCGAGAGAGTGGTCAAGACAACTTCCTAAATTTCACGGTGGAGCCAATTTGGTTATCAAAAATTCACGGCCAGAGGTGTGTTACACTAGACTTAATTGGGACATAGGTTAGGGCAAACTACTGTTAGTCAGCTTAGTGAGTCAGCACATCGCTTAACCCGCTAGGCAACCATCGGGGTTAAACCTTAACGCCGATTGGCTCGGTTAATTTCGCTAATAGCCGAGGATCCACACTCTCGGGGTATAAAGCGCTCCCCGGGGCCTCAGAACTTCCTCTTCTTTTCTTTCTTCTTCAGCTCTCTTTGCCTATTGGCTTAGATCAAGTGTAGTATCTGTTCTTTTCAGTTTAATCTCTGAAAGTTTCCGTCCAGGAAACACTTTGATTATTCCTATTTTTGGACCTCGTGACTTGGCCTCTGTGCTTGCGCATGCCTCGTCGCACAGTGTCATTGGGCTCACACTACCCCCGATCGACGCGAACCCCATTTTCATCACTTGTTCGGCATGTCCGGGCACTTGGAGAAGATGTCTTCAGTCAGTAGTATAGTATCCTATAGAGTTGATAGTTCCAGTCGTCCCTTGGTCATGTTATGATGCCATCAACTATTGTTCCATCCTACAATGTAATCCCTTGGTCGAACAGAAGCTAGGCCATCCACAACTCCATGAACACATTCAAACACTGGGAAATGAATCAAGCAGTTTCGACAGAGCGTTACCATTACAGATCCCCTAGCTGTCAGCTATGTCGTAGACTGTAGATCACGTCCTACGATGTACTTCTTAATTAGATATATTGAGTGATACACTGAGTCGTTAGACCAAGCAGTTCACACAACGCGTGGCCGCTAGTCTCACTATGCCTAGGTGTTGTACACAACAATGTAGATCAGTCACATGACGCGATAGCTTCAATCGCGGGGGCAATCGATAAGCCTTCCATTTTTTTCTCACTCAGCATACTCCAATCCGTCGATACAAAATCTGCCATCGCAATGGGTTCTATCGTCCTCCCTCACTTGCAAACAGCCTGGCATGTGGACCAGGCTATCCTATCTGAAGAAGAACGTCTGGTGGTGATCCGATTCGGGCGGGACCATGACCCCGACTGTGAGAGCCACCCGCATTCATTGCCAGGGTCTCAGACTAACCCACTCTCTCAGGTATTCGTCAAGATGAACTCCTCTACAAGATCGCCGAACGTGTAAAGAGTGAGACACCAAGATATCCTGAAAGGCAACCAAACAGCTGCTAACGGTCCTACCCCAAGACTTCGCCGTCATCTATCTATGCGACCTCGACCAGGTTCCAGACTTCAACCAGATGTATGAGCTGTATGATCCTATGACGATCATGTTCTTCTACCGCAACAAACATATGATGTGCGATTTTGGCACGGGAAACAACAATAAGTTGAACTGGGTGCTGGAGGACAAGCAGGAGTTGATTGACATCATTGAGACGATATACAAGGGCGCCAAGAAGGGCCGTGGTCTGGTGGTCAGCCCCAAAGGTACTTTTCACTTCAATTCCTATGAGCGCCATTCGCTAACAGCTGGCTTTTACAGATTACTCGACCAGATACCGATACTAAGCAGTGTCCCCCTCGCCGCATGATCACCCTGGCACTGGCCAGTGTGTGTATTGCTTTCTTACGATATTCACGACGATCACTAGACTTGCTCTGGCAACAATAAAACCTGCAAATATGGTCATGGTTCTGGAGTTCTTTTTGTTTCCGGGGGGAGTCGTTTTTGCAGTCGTTTTGATTGGGGATGAACACAAGTTACTACACAAGCTTCATTTCTTGAGATCAAAATCACTTAATTAGCAACTGAGAATACTCAACAGCTCTATCAATCGTTTCTTGAGTAGTAGCTGTAGGTTGGTATCATAAATCATCGTAAAGTGGCCCCATACGACCTTCATTTGGAGGAAATTTCATCTTCAAAAAGTGAAATAGATTTCAAGAAGCGACATCACAGCTTTTCATATAACTCTTAATTCAAACAAAGACTTGTGGCGTGCTGCGTGAGCTATCCTATTTTTTCAACCTGGATTTTGACGTAACACACTTCTAAACACCACACCTCACAGTTCTGCCTTCATTTCTCTCAAATACCTGTCTGCAACCACAATCAAGCAACAAAATGATTGACCAACGCATTTTTGAGAATCTCCAGACGAAGATCGACGAGGAGGGTACCGTCCGGGATGTAAGTTATATCGACGCGTTCTGAGCTTGGTGAATTCTTCACGCGCCAAGCCTACACCGAAACAAGACCCTTGAGCCAGGAATATCGACGAACAGCTAACAATTTTGGATAGGAGATACATGAGATTGTCCACACACTCGCTAGAAGAGGTATGCTCGGCAATTCGTGACCTCGACCGTGACTTCCAGGGTGTTTGCCCTGTCGGGGGCGGCACTCCCGGACTGAAGTCACAGGTTGAATATGAGGACTGATGTTGACTGATACAGGACGTTCCACACAGGCGATCCTGTCTCGGGCTCATTCCACGCCCGCCGATCAACGTAAGTTTCTACTATTAATTGCATGTAGTCTGATGAGAGGTTTGGGTTATAATTCCATTCGCTCTTTGGACCTCACTGCCTGATCACTCCTCTTTTCTCTCTTTTCTTCGCCATATAAGCTTTGAATCCCTACAATTTTCCCCGCAGCATTCCACACTATTTCCTCTACCTCTACTGGATCATCTTGCTGACTCCTACAATAGTGAAGCCTGTGCTTGACGATGTCACTAAGGAAATCCTTGCCCAGAAGGAAGAGGTTGCTCGCCTGAAGGCCGTGGCAGACCAACATCCCTTCTACAAGTACAACGGGCTATGGACCCGTGAGCTGCAAAATCTGGTTTGTTTTCTGAAATTCGATGTCCGAAGATTTCTGCTGATCCAATCTATCAGGTCGCCTCTATTGAGCTCTGCGCATGGCTAGGAGGACTTCAAGAGCACAAGGGACCCAGCTCAACATCTTTCATGACAATCGAAGATGTGGGCAAGTTCCTGGACAGTAAGTTTTGCTATCCCTATAAACACCGTATCCCTGTATTAATTTACAATACTTACTGTCATTCTTCTATTAGTTCCTGTCAACCTAAAGGAGCAGGATGCCTTCCACCTTACGATTGAGGAGTACCTACTGGCACTGATTGCCATGGTTGAAGAACTGGTTCGTTTCCGGAAATCTCAGATCTTTTCTGTTCAGCCACATCTAATTTGTTCCCAGGCTCGCTTGGCTGTCAACTCAGTCACCCTGGGTGACTACACCCGTCCCATGCAGATTGGCAACTTTGTCAAGGAATTGTTCGCTGGATTCCAGCTCTTGAACTTGAAGAACGATATCTTGCGTAAGCGCAGCGACGGTATCAAGTACAGCGTATGTTGAAATCATTGCAACGTCTATTTCATGGTTTTAAATTTCTAATTTGTGTGGCACTACAGGTCAAGAAGATCGAGGATGTGGTCTATGACCTGTCGCTACGGAATCTGGTTCCCAAGGGTGGTCCCTCTGCTTGAAGTATGGCATCAAGGACTCTCCTTCATACCGAGTCGGGCCTCATATTAGGCCGAAATTGGTATAGATCCAAGGAACTGATCTAGCGCCTTTTACAAAATCGGTATTAATGAGCTTTAATACTAAAATATGAACTAGTTACTACTGCCACTCGGTATTGTTCCCATCGTAGACCAAAATCATAAACTGAAAAGAACGAGTACATATGTCACAAGCCGAAGCACAGGGTTATAGATACAATAAAACAGATGTAGGTATCACCACAATCATTCAGAAAAGAACGCCTCAAACATAGCCTTACGACAACTTGGCCTGCTCAGCACCAGCCTCACTCTTCTTCAGCGAAGCAAGAGTACCCTCCTTCTTCGCCTTCTCAATCTCCTTAACAATGGTATCCTGGAGTCCCTCGGGCTTGGTAAGGGAAGCCCAGCGGCCAACAACCTTGCCATCGGCAGAGACAAGGAACTTCTCAAAGTTCCACTTAACGCGCTTCATGCCCAGGATTCCAGGCTGCTGCTCCTTCAAGAAATTCCACACCGGTGCAGCGTTAGCGCCATTCACATCCAATTTTCCGAGCACGGGGAATGTAACGCCATAGTTGAGCTGGCAGAAAGACTGGATATCATCATCCGAGCCGGGGTCTTGGTTGCCAAACTGGTTGCATGGGAATCCAATGACGGTGAAGTCTTCGGGGTACTGGGCCTTCAAGTTCTGGTAAAGCTTCTCCAGACCTTCAAACTGGGGAGTGAAGCCACATTTCGAGGCTGTGTTCACGACTAGCACGACCTTGCCGTTCAGCGAGGAGAGGGGGAAGGGTTCGCCCCTTTCTGTTCACATGCGGAGTTTGGTTAGCGGGTTAAGTTCTTCGGCGCATAAGGTGAGGGGAGAGGATAGGCAGGGTAGCGCGGGGTAGAGCGCGGGGCTTATACGTACTGTCGACAGGCTCAAAGTCAAAGAAAGATGTAGCAGACGACATGGTTGTTATTTGACGTGGATATGCGAGAAGAGGTGTTCGCGGGCGTAGATAGAATGACGTCGTTAAGAGGGTTGATCGGAGAGACTTGGCAGAATGGAGATTTTGCAAACACGAGACCATGACTCTCTTCTTGTATTCTGATAATTTCTAGATGGACCGAGGTCGAGTTACTTTATTACCAATTGGCCATGGGCTGGCCACGGGGTATCCAGACGGAATTGGAAGTCCTCCGAACCGATAATGACTGGGCTTTTGATCTGGCTGTCTTTTTATTGGTCAACTGGAATGTGCATAATATTATTCCAGTTATTCCAAACCATTGCTGACTGTAAATGAAATCTAGATCCAGGGCTTTGGATTAGGTCCCATGGTCATAAGCAGATTTTGTCAGCTTAGAATTTCAATACATATCAAATATATATATTGTAGGACTAAATATTACCTGCGTGATTATATATCATCAAGGTTATCGTGATAGTAATGCTGGTTTATATATAGAAGACCCAAAGCGATTAGAAATATATATACATGTTAAGCTATTTCAAATAATCTCAAAACAAAAAATAATTAAGATCCCCAAATAGGAAACACGTACATATGTATCCCTGAGGTCATGCCACATAGTTAGCCTAGCAAATCAAGACTACATACCCTGTTGTTTTCCGGAGAAGACGTTTAAAAGGCTCCAATCAAGCAACAATACGCACCATGTGGAGACCAAAGCTGGAGTGTCACTAGAGCAAAGTGTAAAGGATTTTCTAGAACTAGAACACTAGGGTGGCAAAGGAAAAATATGAATCTGTAGGAAGGCTGTTCCTCTGAAGCTGATTTCCTGGAAGTTACATAGAGGTTTTCAACACACTTATTATTGTACATGAAAAGCGAATCAATCATAAAAGACACCAAAAAAAGACACCAAAAAAGACCATATGTGGGAAGAAATGAAGAGCATGAAGTATATCGTAATGACTAATCATGACCAACAGCGTTCTGTGCGGTACTAGAGGCGCCAGAAACAAGACTTTCGCCGGCACCAACGGCATTGCCAGCGATGGCAAGTCCACTATTGGCAAGGTTGGGAATGGTTTCGATGGTCTCCCCAAGCGCGGCAGTTCCATCGCGCTTGAGGACACCGGCCAGGCCTCCAGGCTTGCCTCCTTGGATAATGGCGGGAATGGCGGGAATGGCGGGAATGGCGCCTCCAAGAGTGCTACCAACAAGGTCGTCGAGCTGACGCTTCGCAGCTGGATTGACACCGTCAATGACGTGCTCAGCAGTACCAACGGCACCAGTCAGGTCGGCAGCTTTGGCTTCGTGGATAATGGAAGGAACGGCGCCTCCGAAAGGAATACCAACAAGGTCATTGAGTTGACGTTTGTGGGAGGGCCTGGCGTCAGCGATGGCATTTTCGGCAGTGCCAGCGGCATCAGAGACAATGCTTTCACCCGTACCAACAGTAGTACCAGCAAGGGTAACAGCGCTGTTAGCAAGGCGTGGGATGGTGTTGACTGTCTCGCCAAGAGCAGCAGTACCGTCACGCTTGAGGGCGCCAGTGAGGCCACCAGTGAGGCCGCTAGTGGTGGAGGTGACAGGCGCAACAAACTTAGCAGCGACGCCTGTGACACCACCAACAGCACCCTCAATACCAGATACAGTGCCTCCCACATTTCCAAGGCTGGGAAGAGCGGCAGAGTAGCCCAAGGCAGCGAGTGCGAGTGAAATGGTCAACCCAGTGAACTTCATTGTTGCGATGATTGTGAAGATTCGAAGGGTTAAAAAGAGAGAGTGATTTGGTGAAGAAGAGGTGTATGGGTGGAAAAGGAGTGACTGAAAGTGAATGAATGATTTGAGTATAGAAAAGAACGCAAAGCTGCTGGATCTAGAGGCCGTTATATACACTTTTTGGGGGTTGTTTTGGCGATATGCTCCGCACGGTCATCGGAAGCTCTATCGTCTGGGATCATCAAGGGCGATATTGTTAGAACGACTATTATTATCATAACTGGTGGTAACTGGCGCCAATCCATGAAGCCGCACAGGTAGTTTCATTTTAGCGGAGATTGCGCGAAAGAAGGGATTGCCCACATTGTCTCAAGCAAGAATGAGTGGCATGTTTCAAGCGATATGGTTGGAGCGAATCGTTAGCAAGGTTGACCCTGATAAACGAGCTAGTAAATTATGGAAGCTTGTTCTGCTTTGCGGGATAGTTGGGGTTACCTCAAATAGGTTGATACATATGGAGAAGTTTGCGACGTGGGAAATTTAGCATGGCTTCTTCGAACTTGTGTTACCAAGTCAAATATTTCTCCGCCAGAAGAAGATTAACACCAGCCAACCATCAGGGTAACCTCGAAAACCAAGTGAAGGATGTATATCACCGCATTGACCGTAGGCCTAGGCAAGGGTCATTATATCCGGGGCTCACTTTGTGTTGATCGCCGGCTTTCCCAGGGGGAACATTTGAACTTGAAAATCAACCCAATTTCCTTCGGAGGTCCTTGCGTCGACTCTGCATAAAATCTAGCATCTACCGAGATTGTAGCTGCCGCCCTGCCTATAGTGTTTACTGGCGTATGAAGGAGGCGCACTCTATTTGGAAGTGGAACCCAAAGACGGTCTATTCTGCTGTTCGTTAAGAAGGATGAGCCAAGGAAAATGGTTCGATCAAGGTATTCATGGATGCATCATCAGGGAAGACTGTGACCACATGATCATTTGCCCAAATGAACCACCAGGAATGATCAGCTGAATGTTGACTCGCCACAAAATTATTGAGCGTGATAGACTAAATCAAGAAAGCCAACATGTAGCAAATCACTAACAAGCTGTCGTACGGAGCGAACTGTTTTCAACTACATACTCCGTCGTGCTAGATAGGTCACTCATATCAGGTACTGTAGAGCGCAGAGGCCTGGATATAATCTCCAATTTGGATGACGATGGCACTCGATAATACAGACAGTTAGATACTGTAGCACGACCATGATCTAATAGTGACCTGCCAGCCCTATTGCATAAGAGGAAGTAGAAGGGGGCATAAGTGTGTTATTGTTGTGCTCATTCATTGACATGGATTGAAGCAGGCAATATCTGCCAGAGACATGCTCTCTTCCTATGTGAAATCAGGAGATAGGGTTTAAAGCTGAAGACTGGTGTTAAATCCGGGTGGAGGTTTCGAAATGCCGCTCTGGAGAGTTGATGTTCTATTAGTGTAAGGTTTGTGCAGTTTGCCTTATTTGTGTTGTTTGTCTCTTATTGGTGGTGTTGATGTTTTGGAATGTGGCAGGCAACGGTTGATGCCTGAGGCCACAGGCGTTGTCACGTCAACAGCCACCACTAGTCCCAAATAGGTAAGGCACAACATAACAGTGGCATGGCAGCTGCCCCAAACATCATGAACTCGAACTTTGTATTCTCCTTTTCTTCTATTACACCTGTACAGGTCTTTGGCATCCCTCTCATTTTCTCTCTATTCTTAACCTATACTCATAGATCTATCTCTCTCAGTTTGATCATGAGTGTTTAGGTCTTACTTTTACCGCGACTATTTTCTTACCATTGGCTTTGCTATCCTCCGAGTCACACCAGAACAACAGGACCTGTAACGGTACCATATTGATCTATCTTCGCTGTTTATCAGCGTTACACAATCACTCCAGGTCTAGGCGGCTGTCAACAAACAACCACCAATATGACTACCGACTTCAACCACGGCGGCCAGATGATCGAGTACATCCAAGGTTGGTACAATGTTTTTCGACAACTTGAATGTCTTCCACCCAGCGTCCAGAGCTAAGAAAAATCATTATCTAGACCGTCTCTACCTCGCATCTTATGATTCTGCTCCCAGCTCCAGAACCCCGTTTCCCTTCCATCTGGACGCACCCAAATCCCCAAGCAAGCGCGCACGTGCCCAGCCCGCCACTCCGAGCAAGCGACGCTCCCCGGTGTATTTCACCGTCGATGATACTCTTCTTTACAATGCCTTCCACGCTGATTTCGGCCCACTCCACATTGGTCACCTCTACCGGTTTGCTGTGCTTTTCCATGAGATCCTTGGCGATCCAGCCAACAGCGACCGCCCAGTGGTCTTCTACAGCAAGACTGATGCCCGGAGTCGCGCCAATGCGGCATGCCTGGTTGCATGCTATATGGTCATGATTCAATCCTGGCCACCTCATTTGGCTCTGGCACCCATCGCACAGGCAGACCCTCCTTACATGCCTTTCCGCGATGCTGGATACAGCCAGGCAGATTTCATTTTGAACATTCAAGATGTCGTTTATGGAGTGTGGAAGGCAAAGGAGCAGTCTCTTTGCGGACTTCGCGACTTCAATCTTGAGGAGTAAGTCGCACTGTATACAACAACCGAATACTTAAAGCTGACTTGATTCAATAGATACGAGAAATTTGAGCGAGTCGATATGGGTGACTTTAACTGGGTGACACCAGACTTCCTTGCCTTTGCATCTCCTCAGCAGCAGCCGGTGGCACCCATCCCTGTAAACACGGCTGAATACAACGCCTTGCCCACAACACTCTCGGAAATCTCTTCCTCAAAACTCCCTACGCCATTCAAGAATGTTCTCGCCCATTTCCACCAGCGCAACATTGGTCTCGTTGTACGACTCAACTCAGAGCTGTACTGCCCATCTTACTTCACTGCAATGGGAATCTCGCATATTGATATGATCTTCGAGGATGGCACATGTCCTCCTCTACAACTAGTCAGACGATTTATCAAAATGGCACACGAGATGATCACCATCAAGAAGAAGGGTATTGCAGTTCACTGCAAAGCAGGCCTGGGTCGTACGGGCTGCTTGATTGGTGCTTACCTGATCTACAAATATGGATTCACCGCAAATGAAGTAATTGCCTTCATGAGATTTATGCGACCCGGTATGGTCGTTGGACCTCAGCAGCACTGGCTCCACCTTAACCAGGGTGCTTTCCGTGAATGGTGGTTTGAGGATAGCATGCGGGAGAAGCTAGCACAATCCACACCTGTCACTCCGCGAGTGTCAACCAAGAAGCGCACTAGCAACGGAGTGGTCTCGACCCCACCAAACAATAGCCACACCAAACGCGCAGCCCTCGGAGAGATTGATCACAATGAAGCTGCAGCTTACCCAGACCAAGACCTTCCTGCGCCAACCCCTGGCCAGCCTCGCAAGTCCCACCGGAAGGACTCACGCCACCACCCTTATTCCAGAACTGCCTCCGGATCCCTCGCTGTTGAAAACGAGCAGCGCAGCCAACGCAGCCACAGGAAGAGTAACGAGAGCAGTGAGAGCGAAGAAGAGATTCAGCTTCGCCGGTTAGCGCAACGGTCATCCAGATCTCCTGTTGCCTCGCCCACATCACGGTCTATCAGTTACTCTGCCACTGTCACAGCCAGCTACACCTTGACAGAAGACAACCACAAGGATCAGGAGAACTGGGTTGATCACTCAGCCCCTAAGACTCCTGTGACCCGCAAGAGTGGCGCTGCCCCTATTTCGGTCAGCAAAGTTCGCTCCAGCCCTCGTCGGGCAACGGAAAATACCCGCAGCGAGTCTCGCGGTGTTCGCAAGCCTAGTGGTCGTATTGGTAGCAATACCATCAGCCCTGCACGGGCAATCAAGACCATCCACTAAACGTTCTGTTCTCTTCCTTCGTCCCTAGGAACTCTGCATGTTTCCTCGGGGCGCTTCTTCTTCCATTCTTCTCGTCCCACGGGGACAATACTTCTGCATACCCCTTTTCCGTGATGCATCTGGATGCTTTTTAATGTTTGAGTTTGCAAATCTCGGTCTGTTGTTTACTGGAGCGAATACTGGTTATTGGGCATGTTGTGCACGGCGTTTGGTTTTGTTGTTGATTGACGAACCCTCAGCTGCCTTGCAACTGGGTACCGATTCACCTCGTGCCACATGTTGTTTTGTCTGTAGGTTTCACTCCTGGATGTGTCAATTCTATGTCGATATGACAATGCTGTTCATGAATTCCCTCTACATTTCCATTTCTAAATCTTCTAAATTTCGTATTCCTTGGTCTAAATGGTCGGTTGTAGAGCTCAATCATCTGTAGAGCTCAATCATCTGAGGTAGACTATCCACGGGTAGGTGCTTGACTTCGTTCCTCGGCCATGCCTTCAATGGTGTTCCATATAGCATCACTTGCATATAGGCTCTACAAGGGGTGCCGTTTGCGCAGAAAAAAGCGTGAATATTCCATATTTCTCGTATGCTCACTATTTCATGTCCCAAAAGCGAGACCATAATCGTCGCCACTCAATTTCTCAGTTGGCAGCCAAAAACTGTATGCAGCGTTAGCGCTCGTTCCATTCCATACGAAACAACGAAACCTCACCTCTTGAGCTTCTTCCTCTTCAACAGTAGAGCTATCCACCTCGCTCTTCCCAATAAGCCCAAGCTTCCCCTTCCTCACGAACCACCACAGCTCCCTCCGATCCCCACCTAGCTCCTCCCGCAGCATTTTACCCTTCAACTGGCGCATAAAGTCATTATACACACCCGGTTCCTCATAATCCACTAGCTCTTCGCGCATAGTCCCGAGGCCCTCGATAACGCGGTCGTAATTCGAGTGACCGAGACTGTGTGTAACCTGGTTCTCAATGATCTTAGCCATTTGCTGCACAGCGTCGTGGATTGCGTCGATGTTTTCCGCGCGGGAGAGTGTTTGCTTGAATTCCGGAATTGCGTTCTTTGTTGAAATTTTCGTTCGCTTTGGTTCGAGGCTGAGGAGGGCATCGACATCCAGACCGGACAGGGGTTTTTCTGTTTCGCGTTGACGTTTACGCCCTTTTGTCTTTGGTGGAACTGTATAAAACGGAATGTAATGATGAGTAGGGCTTCTTCTAAATGTAGTTTGAGAATTGGTTTTACCTTTCTTGACATCTGCCGTGGACATCAATTTCTCAAGATGGGACTTGGCGTTCTTGACCATCTCTTCTGGTGGGTGTGCGAATTCGGTGAGCCGCTCTGAGGGGTCGAGGACAGGGTCGTTGGGATGCACAGCACGGTATCGAACGGCTGATTCGATGCGGTGTAGTAATGGTGAGAAAGACTCGTCAATTGGGAGATCGTTAGTGGGTTCCCTGAGTCTTTTGGTTAGCTGGCTGGCTGGATAACCAAGTAAATTCCACCTACCCTTCATCATTCGTGGTGACGAATTCCATGCTGTCCACGTAATTACTCATCGCATCTTTCAAAGCGGCGCTTGGAAGGTTGCGGTGTTCAGTTACCACCTTGCCGGAGACAGTGATGATTTTATCCAAAGGTGGGAACCGATATGACCGTACGTCTTCTGCAAATGGAAGCTGTACTTCGATTAAGCACTCATAGTCTGCCTCGATAGACGGAGCTAGCAACACGAGCATCGGTGGTTTGGATTCTTTGGTCACTAATCGGGCAACCGCATAGGCATCTGTTTCGTAGAGTGCATGAATGAGCGAAGACAACGCAAGAGACGCATTGTCATTTGCACGCTGAGGAATGATGATATTCGTGTTGGACATGTGCAAGTATCGGTCATACTAAGTCACAGAATTAGCTGTTATAACGCTTGAGATTGGCATGGAGACACACCTGTTCCTTCAGAACGAAGCCGATCAGCCCCATACCAGCAAAGGTTTGTAGATTTGCAATATTCTCATCAGTTTGCTCAATAGCAACTGCTGTACGTCCATACTCGTACCCCTTGGCGAGGTCGTCGCGTTCAACGTCAACCTTACCACCCGGTGCGGACTCGTCTGTGATCTGATATGTCCGTGATGTTCGCACTGGGGCAAGAGCGTCCCCTTCAATATTGCCTTTACCCGGTGCTTGGCTTCCGGGTTCGGTACCAGAACGTGGCACGAACGAGCTCGCTGAGATCGGCTTGGCGACGTATGTCCGGAAATATCGCTCCACGGGTATGGTGATTGCTGTGTCATACTCTTCGGGATTGCCGAGCATGAGATTTCCTTTGAAAGATGGCATGCTTTTGGTTACTTTGATGCGGGGAATATCTAATTCCGAAACAGCTTGCTCCAGCGTTCCATAAACACCATCGCAATCCTCAGTTAGGCGTCGGAGAAGGGACTCGTTTTCAGCCTGCAAAGAACTTGATTAACGTCATACTATAACGCATTGAAGACGACTTGGTACCTTTTGGCTATCTTTATCTTCTTCCTTTACGCCATACTCCGCGTCGTCAAAATCGGCACCACTAGATAATGTTAGCATGAACGTGAAGTCTCATCAGTAAGAAACATACATGACCACCAACTCAATGTTGACTTCTTTCATCTTTTCAATAATGCCTTCAATACTGTCATCGCTCATCACACCGGTGCCATTGGTCACCAGAATGATCTTGCGCTTGTATTTGTTTTTCTTGGTGTACTCAAGGATCATCTGTATGGCGATGACAATAGAAGAGATAGCTTGTATAAAGTCAGAACTAGTAGTTTGACGAGTATCTAGCTGTCACATACCATCGCCTTGGTTCGTTCTGCTGGGTTTGATTATCTCTCGCAGTTTCCGAATATCAGGCATAAGGACCCTGAAAGACAATTTAGTCAAGTGATTCGACGGGAGATAGTAAAACTATCACGCCACACGTACTGTCCAAGACCAAAAAGGACGGAGATATTAGAGAAGTTCTCTTTTTCCAGGTCGTTGATAGTTTCTGTTCTAAGCATGAGACAGGGCTCCCAATACGTGCTGACTGGTAGGCTACTCACCATCTGTCCTGAGACCAACTACGCCAACCGTAGCAGTCTTGCGACCGGTAGCCACCTGGAATTGTCAGTTCTCTGGCGTTGAATAAAGCTAATTCACATACCGTGGCGGTGATCCTATCCCAGACATACTGCATGGCCCATTCGAGATCTGTCATAGGACGGCCATGGTGGCACTCGCCCATAGACCGTCCCATGTCTACAATGTAAACTGTAGCCTCTTTTTCCGCCATGATGATGATGATGATGTTGTGGAAATTGCAAGTCAAAATTGCTTGAGGCTCAAGACAACAGGCAGACGCGTGATATTTCCACTTGCGGTTTAGACCGAAACGCGAAGGCACATGACATCACACAACGTATTTGTTGGTGCTTGGTGGTCTGTGCGTCGCTATGAGACAGCGCGACCTATTTGGCAGTGGCAATAAAGTTTTTACTAAGAGCTAGGTCGTGTCGATAACTGCCACTTCCCCTCCCTGCAACCTCAAATCGACTTTATCACCAACTCAACTCTCCCGAGGTCATAACATATCCGAAATCATGGATCCTCGCCCCTATCATATTCTGAGGTTTGTTTATTGGCGAAAATTAGGCTCATACATACACTAATATGAGGTAGCTACGGCACCCTTCTAGGGACACAGTTCTACCAGGTGAGATCGATATCTGAACCAGGCGCATATCAAATTGTCCCCTCCAAAAGTATTGTCTGACATATGTGAAGTCCTTTGTCGGAGGCTTCGTTGCCTTCCGCGCTCTTCCGCGGCCCCAGTTCGCTAGCCTGCAGAGCGCCATCTTCCCCGTCTACTTCTCATTGCAGACTGCGCTACCTGTAGTGGTTGCCTTGACTGCTTCTCGCGGCGGACAGGTATTGGGTCTGTCTGGTCTAGCTGCACCTGAGAATCGCCTTGACACTCTTCTGCCTCTGGCAACTGTGGCAGCCACCGGGTTGGTGAACATGTTTGTGTTGCGTCCCCTCACAACTAGTGTGATGCGCGAGCGCAAGCATCAAGGTACGCTAGCTGCTGTCACTATGTTTAGTTAATTGAATATTCTAACCTTCACAGAAACCCGTGATGGAAAGAGGAGCTATGACCCGGCGCCTCACTCCAAGGAGATGCTGGCCCTGAACAAGAAGTTTGGCCGTTTGCATGGTATCTCAAGCTTGGTCAATTTGGCCAGCCTGATTGCTACAGTCTGGTACGGTGTCGTTCTGAGCAAGAGACTTGAGTAATTTGACAACAGCAATCAATAACAATGCTGAACGGATGGCCCAATGCACATAGCCCTTGTACGCATTTCTGTCATTTTCTCCCTCTGTCTACTGTATCCCTTGGTTATCCATATGAACTACTCTGTATAAATGAAAATACATAATTTGTTTCGCCCTTTAATGGTCACGGTGATCTATCCCATGATGTAGATATTGTACAAAAGGATGTCGCTGCCTCAAGAGCTAGCAATTACTTTGCCTGGCATCATTCATATGTATCATCTCCACAAAGCTAGAGCTCAGTAATATGCCAAGCATACCCCGTCCACGCCCTATATCCGACTAAAATCGGACCAGTTCATTCGGGAATAGCTGCTACTGCGCACGAATAACAAACCAACACCATCTCTTACTAGGTCTGCAGCATCTGGTCTTTATGCCCCCTGTCTCCCTTATTTCCTTCCTTGGATGTAATATCACCCACTTCTGCAAGACGCTCGGCACCTTGATAGAATTCTGGCAGAGGCTCCAGTTTCTGACGAAGGATCCAGACACGGAAGTGCCACAAAGCATTCTTGATCTGGAACGAAGCATGCTTGCGCGTCGAGACAGAGAATACTTGATCCAGTTCCTCGAGAGTAAGAGCTAAAGACAAAATATTAGCGCAGTTAATCTCAGGTAGGGTCAGAACACTTACACTTTGTTTCAGGCACAAACAACAGGACCAAAAACCAGCCTATTACACACCAAGCAGCATACCAACCGAAGGCACCCTGGGGTTTGAAAGAATCAACCAGATGCGGCCAAGTGAAGGATAAAATGAAATTGAAGCACCAGGTAGTCGCTGTCGCCCATGACATACCAACGTCGCGGACTTGCAGCGGGAAGCATTCGGCGGCATATGCGAATGGGACGGGCCCTTCTCCAGGAGAGTAGAAGATTTCAAACAGGTACATGCCCGTCGTGACCATTGCAACCCTCTTTTTGCTCGTTTCATTCCCCTCTTCGATCCAGAAGGAAAAGCCAGTCCACAGGAGAGTGATAGCGAGGAAGGGAAAAGTGAACAGTAGCAAGTTCCGGCGACCCCAGGTATCAATAGTGAAGAAGGCTGGTAGGGCAAAGACCCAGTTGAGAATGCCGGTTCCCATGGATGCGAGTAGCGCACTAGTCAGGCTGTAACTTGCTTCAGTGAAGACAGAGGTAGAGTAGTAGGCGATGACGTTGACTCCACAGAATTGCTGCATGAACATCACGATCCAGCTAGCGAGCGTGGCACGGCGGTTTCGGGGAATAGTAAAGAGCTCAATGAACATCGTGAAGAAGTTCTTGCCCTTGTTGATCTTTCGTTCAATTTCAACGCCCACGTGTGCATAATACAAATCTCTTGCGGCCTGAATGTCTGTTGGTCGGAGGACACGGAAATTGGCGTAAGCGTTTTGAATTTTGCCTTGCTGGATCAGCCATCTTGGAGACTCAGGGCAGAAGTAGACTTGAGCACAGACAATAAGTGGCAGTACAACAGTGGATCCTAGCATGAGACGCCAACTGATGTCTCGGTCTAGACTCATGAAAGCAACACCCATTATGTTACCCAGCATGATACCGAAGGCCGTCCACATTTGCCACATCATAACGAGAGCACCTCGGATTGGAGCAGGGGAGCATTCTATTGAATAATCAGAAAAAGGTCAAAGAAAGTCATGCGACGACACTTACCCGCGGCATATACAGGCACTGTACTCGATTTCGACCCGATTCCCAGACCGAGGACAAAACGGGCAATGAAAAGATTGACCCAGGTATTTGCAACACCTTCCCATACTGAGGCAACAGCTGCAATCACGCATGAGATGAAAATTGTACCACGTCGGGCAAATAATCGATTTAGGGGCTCAGTAAGCCAGCAACCGACAATCGCGCAAGCTAAGTATGGGGCACCAACAACAAGGCCTTGGATGTTTTTGGAAGTGATGTTAAGTTGCTATGACAAAAGGTTAGCTTATGCTAGCAAATCAATGATGAAACACGTACATCTTCAGCAAAGTAGATAGCCTGGGCACCATTATTGACGGTCTCATCCATGCCTTGAACAGCCGCGGCCAAAGAACACATTGCTAGAGGAAAAGAAAGTTAGCCTAGGCGAGTGGATCGCTTGATTCCCAAACGTACATGCTAAAAAGTATAACTGCCACGGCTGTGACCACTTGTGAGTATGTTCACGTACAAGGGCCTCCCTCTCTTCCTCTGATAACTCAGGAAGACTGGTTGCCGATGCAGGATCTTGCGAAATGAGAGCACCCTTCTTGAAAGTCTCGACATGATCCATCAAATCGTACTTAGTACAAAATTCGACAACATCTTTAAAGAGCTGTTCGCGGGGAATTCCGGCAAGAGGGTTTTCGAAGACGGCATTAAGATTACCAAGAGAGCGGCTCTCGAGGTCTATCTTCTCTTCCTTGTGAGCGTATGTAGGATCTGGGCTCCCCTCTACATGCTCTATCTTCTCCGCAGTGGAGTCGGTCATTTCATTTTCCTTCATACTGGATAAGTATAGAGTGTCAAACGACGATCCGATATGCCATGAAACAGTAGCAATGTACTATTATCTATCTTCTGGATGTAACCAAGTTAGCTGAAAAATATTCTCATATTAAGGATCAGAAGTAGAGTATAGTTACCTGATCAAATTTGTGGTTTATTACAGCCTATCCAGGCAGAGCTAGAGCAATAGCGAAAACAGCCTTAAGCTTCAAGTTTCAAGAGTGAGGGGACTGGAGGAGATTTGATTGCTTTATAGAACAAGCATCCCACCGCCCCCAATTTTTAGATACACTAAAGCGTCAAGCTCGCATTCAATTCCGGTTGTCTTCCAGGCGGCATTAGCCGCTAGCATATAGTGCCATTCATGTAACATGATTTAGATAGGTAGCCCGATCGGTAAAGGTGGCGGGATGTCTATCGAATCATTGGGCACTGGCCCCTTGATCCTGGGCTGGAGGATCGCCGAACAAACCGCAAAGCAGGGCAGAGCTTGGGCACGGAACAAAGAGACATCCATGTCATTGGACATTTTACAAGCGCCCGAGGTACTGAGTAAACTGGTGGATCATCAATTATTGGGCCACCACTCCGTATATGGACACTGACATCGAAGTCGCGATCTAGAGAATAAGACATTTCCGTCTTTGGGACAAGCAAAAGCCACAGCACAGGGCTGTCCTTGGAAGAAAAGTATCAGCGTGAAACTGACCAATCAGATGGGCTAATTTATAGATAATGACATCATTGTATACAACTTCTAACGGCCTCGGGAACCGGCTTGTATTTTTACGGAAGGATTATAAGCCAGAAGGATGTTAATTGGGTAGATATATAGCGTAGTGGATATTGAGGGGAAGTTATTGGCTGATGTTATAGTCAACCCACGAAGCGAAGGGCTATGCGGGGAAGAAAACAAGGACCATTCAAACAATACCACCTAGTTAAGTAATCTACGTGGGACACTAAATACAATATAAATAAATGATTCTGGTGCCCTATTTAATACTAGCCAAAATATATACGAGAAAGTGCTCCGGTCTAGCCCATAGCTCTTTGGAAATGCCGAGGCTATTAGAAATTACGGGGGTACCTACGTAGATAAATTGGTAACTTCCATGGAAGTTGGTCGGACCTGACAGCTGATTAGTACTTATCTGTCAAAGTAAAGATCCATGTATATACCAAACGACTTGCGAATGGCTGACAGACAGGTTACCATTATATAGGGACCCCCACTCTACAGATACTACGTAGATTAACCCTACCATAAAGGGTTCTAGCCTTGGAACAACCGGCTCGATACTACATTCTATCTCTCGCATGCTGGCGCGACAAATCTATTTCCATCTTTCTTAATACGTGGTTCAGGTTCTATTTTTAGGGTTTATTCTTGTGACCTAACGAGATACTTAAATAGGTCTCCAAGTAACGGAGACCATAATGATTTCAATCTAAAACTTCAGGGCTAGGTTTAAGGCTTTATAATATGAACAGTAGATAGCGTGGGGGTAGAATGGTATTATAGGGCTCGAGGCGTATGTGCCACGATGTTAGCGCTCGCACCAATCAGCGCTCGCTATCTCTAACATTATATAGAGGGAAACCATCTCCTACGTTAAGTCTTGTTATAAGATATCCTTGGCTATAGAGTAGAGGATCATAGTAAATGGACCACATGATAGCCGCACATAAATTTATGATTTCAAGATAGCAGTGTAGAGCGATTAAAAAGGCTTCACAATCTCGTCGCACTATAGCAGTCCAACTAACATCTAACTACGTAGGTCAATACCCACACATCTTCTTAACCTCTCTATCAATAGCCTTCCGCTTCGTCTTTTTTTTCGTCCTCTCCCTTCAACGTTCCTCCGGAGTAGAAGTTATGATACCTTCTGAACTGTAAGCGGGGGAATGGCCCATATACTTCTTACGTCGTCTGTGACTAGGTAGGGCGCTCCCATGTTCAAATTATCGTTGGGTCAGCGGAACAATGCACATTCTTGTATGTAGTGTTAAGGTATGAAGGTGGGTTCGGGTACGAGCCGAGCAATAAAATAACCTCGAGTCCCACTTGATTAGCAATCCACGTCAAAACGTGAGGAAGGTCCAACCTTCGAAATTCGAGTTTTATATGCAATTTCCTGTATACCTAGACAAATATCTTCCATTCCAGAAATGATTGCTAATCCGGGGAGTTTCTTTTCTTTTGACGTCAACTGCGGGTGAATTAATAATCGACGTGCTCATCCAAGGGATGGAACATGCAGAACAATTATAAGTAGCATCGAATGCCCAATTATGACCTATTGACCATCCTTCATACATTCAAACACATTCGAGAAAATAATCAAAATGGCCAATAAGACCCAAGTTCTTATTCTAGGTGCAACCGGATACATGTACGTGAAGTCTCTTTCTGTTTCAGACCAAGAAGTTCGTCGCAATGAGCTAACAAACATTTTACCAGCGGTGGCTCGATTCTTGCTGAGATACTACGATCTCCGGAGGCTTCCAAATTGAGCATATCCGCACTGATCCGTCGTTCAGACCAGGCGGCCAAGCTCGACTCTCTGGGTGTAAAGCCAATCCTGTTTGGTGGCCTGGACGACCTGGAAGCTTGCAGAAATGCTGCTTCTCAAAGTGATCGTAATGATACCATCTGTGTTCTAAAATTGATGCCCGACCCACTGACAATTCCCCAGTTGTGATCAACGCGGCATCTGCATCCCATGACAGTTCTGCTAAAGCACTGGTCGAAGGTTTAGCTCTTAGACAGAAGGCCACGGGCAAGGAAGCCTATCTTATTCATGTGAGGATGTCTTGCGATATTTCGGTATGGGCAACAAAAGCTAATGGAAGGTTTAGACTTCGGGTACCTCAATTCTGGGCGATCATCCCTACACTGGGACGCCACAGGACCAGAAAATCTGGTCTGATGAAAAGGATAACATATTTGAGATGGAGAAGAATCACCCTGAGCGCTACGGACAACGCGTGACCGATGTTACGGTTGTTGAGACCGGGTTAAGCCTTGGTGTCAAAACGTACATTGTCGTCCCTCCCACCATCTGTACGTGGAACCAATGCTACTAAAAGTGATTTCATATGCTAACACCTCGCAGACGGAAAAGGCGACGGTCCATTCGCGACTCTGAGCCAACAGGTGCCCAACCTTGCACGTTTGGCCAAAAAGCGCGGATTTGCCAGTGTAATTGAGAGTGGCAAGGGCGTACGTATGATATCTATGTCTGTTGTCCATAATTACTGACAGTGCAAAACTCTTAGATTTGGAATCATGTTCACATTGCCGATCTTTCTGCTTTCTACGGGCTTCTCTTCCGTGCTGTTATTGAGCAAAACACATGGCTTCCTTCCGGCCCAGATGCGGTATTCTTTGTTGAAAGCGGTGAACATACATGGCTACAGGTTAGCCAGGGTATTGCCGATGCCATGTGCAAGAGCGGTCTCCTGGCGACGAATGAAGTCAAGTCAATCAGCCTGAAGGATGCAGCTGCGGAAATTACTGGGGGTAACGAGAGTCTTGCAGAGATCTCCCTTGCATCAAAGTAAGTGAGTCCCTTTTTTAATGGAATAATAAATTAATATCTTGTGTAGTTCGAGAGCTCGGGCTGATTTTGCCCGGAATCGACTTGGTTGGAATACGCCTCGGGGATTAGAAGACTTCTTGAACCACTTCGATGCCGAAGTAGCAGCTATGCTTGGAGAGCTGAGAGGTTAGGCGTGAAGTGTTTCGATGCCTACTTTTTGTCCGGTATAGGCTTGGCTCACTGTCGGAAGGGAAATACTTCCCGAGGCCCGCCCGGGGTATTGGTCCACCTCTTGCTTGGCGTATATGCCAATTAATAGCCTGAGGCACCAAATAGTATGCAAACTTTACAAACGAAAACTTGGGAGCACAAAGGTCCGAAAAGGTCTTAACACGCGATTTCCTAAATTCAAACATTGAAGTTCTAGAATCCTGCATGTGTCCATAAACCAAAAAAATAACTTACCAGCTTGCATAAAATACGTTACGGATTACAATATCAAAAATTCCCAGTATGTATTATTGAGACTTGGGCCGACTATCATTACGGAGTACGGTGAGTGGAATGAAGTTCACTTTCTTCCGAGTGGCGACCAAACTACCGGGATGTCAGTGCGAGTTGAACAATTTTCAGATACGAGTAACAAAAGTACAAACTTCAAAAGTTACACTTGTTCCGCCCCGCTAGAGTCAATGCATGGGCATATTAGCAGTTTGGTTTTTGGCCACAATAGAAGGTATCAATCTGACATTATTTGCGGAGTCCACATATAAACGTCAAATTCTAATTTAAAGTACTCAACAGAAGTACCTACAACATACACAATATTCCCAAAATCGATGAACATAAATTACATCCGTGGACCTCGACCCGCTAGACTGCACATCTTATTGGCTAATAAAAGCCTCTTTTGTGTTCTGCGGATCATCACCCAATAATGAGCTAATCAGCTTAGAGCGATCAATACGCTAGCTGTTGTCGAACCACTTAGGTTTTCCAACTGACTCCCATTGAAGACTGTTGTCCGGGAGAGGGATGGGGTACTCCAAAAATGAAGTAAAAGGTTCATGCAGGCTTCTGTACGGACGCAAAGGAGTACTTATCCGGCTGACGGTACAAATGATATTCCTGAATACCTTGATACATACGTATTTTGTGTGTTGTAATAGCGCTCGACCCGACAGTCTGGGACGCTAACAATTGCCTGAAGACAGAGGGGTCATAAGACTGCGGTGTGCTTGCAGTTTTCACTTTCCACTTTTTTTTTCCTCTGATCCCTTCCACCTATTTACAACGCGCTTTCGCTGAGTTGCTGTGAATCGGAAAGATGGCTGAAGATAATCAAGATACCCGAGATCCTCAGGATACTCAAGATACTCAAGATACCCAAGCTCCGCACCGCGCATCGACCCCGGTCGAGCCTGATGTTAGTATTTACTGCCCGTTTCTGCACATTTCTGCTTATTTAACTAACTTTATATTAGTCTGACATTGATGGGGGCTCATTATACTCTGAATCGTAAGACCAGTCACTTTTGATGATGTGTATATCCTATTGACCATCATAGACTTGACAATGCCAGTTACACCACAAGTGTGACATCAAGTGTGTTGGACTATCAGTATGTTAATGGCTATAAAAAAATGTGTTCAATGGTTGCTAACAATCGCAGATATGAAGTGTGTTTCATCACCATTGATCACGACCTCGGCTAATAAGATGCAGAACGGTCGCAGATATCATTCATACCATGAAGGAGAATACTTGCTGGTACGCCCTATCAGCGTATAGTCTCTGTCTCAGACTAATGTTCAAACAGCCAAATGATGAACGGGAACAAGATCGCCTTGATCTGGTTAGTTTTTTCATCTTTATTCCGACACAAAATGCTAATGAGTAACAGAGCCACCACGTTTACCTAATGATTCTCAAAGGAGAATTGTGCCAAGCTCCAGTCAAAGACCCAAAGCGAGTACTGGATCTCGGGACAGGAACAGGATTATGGGCCATCGAATATGCAGAGTAAGTTCTCTGCCCATATATGTCTATCAAATATACCCCTAACAAGCAATATAGTACGAACCCAAATGCACAGGTGATTGGTATGGGCAATATCTACAGCCACGATCAAAGCGTTGGCTAACTGAAACAGGAATTGATCTAAGCGCTATTCAACCATCATGGTACGTGTTACTGCCATATTGGCTTCTTTATAATATTAATATATGTCCAGGGTGCCCCCAAACTGCCGCTTCGAGATCGACGACTTCGAACAACCATGGTCATACAGCAAGCCATTTGACTATATCCATGGGCGCGAATTAGAAGGTTCCATCCGTGACCATGATATCCTCTTCAAACAGGCATACGACAACCTGAATCCCAATGGATGGTTCGAAATGGCGAGCTTCGACGTCAACACTTATTCGGACGACGGAACTCACCTCGGCGCAACGAACTTTCTCTTATCCATCAAGCACATTCACGAATCATCCCGTATGTTTGGTAAGGACATGACATCGTCCCCATCCTGGAAATCTCGGATGGAGAAGGCCGGGTTCGTGAATGTCAAAGAAGATGTTTACAAGGTATGTTCCGCTATGTCTTGATGGAAATAAACCCCATGCTTATTGGTAAATAGTTGCCCCAAAGCCCATGGCCCAAAGACCCCAAGCTCAAGGAGCTTGGCCGGTACCATCAAGTCAACATGCTTGAAGCCATGCCTATTTACACATACGCGTTGTTTTCAAGAGTACTTGGGTGGACACGCGCCGAGATTGAGGGGTTGTTGGCGGGAATTCGAATGGAGCTGCGGGATACCTCGCATCACCTGTACACTAAATTGCGAGTAGTTTACGGTCAGAGACCTTGAGGACCTGTGACTGCCTAACCGATAGGAACAGAAATCTTTTGTCCCAAGTCATATTCCACGGATGCTTCTAAGTTTAAATTTAAACATGCGTTACGGGACTCGGGAGTCCCCACAGTTAGTCTCTCCACTGTTAGTGCCTCAATTGTTCTCTTCTGTCTGTTATTTACTGTTTTCTTACTGCCTCTTCGAGATCGAAATACAGATATAATCAGCAGAGAGATGCAATTAATATGTATTAAGATATTATGGATTATGAGTTATCGAGAGAGAGAAGATAGAAGAGGCTATCTGTATATCTTGGAAGCAGCCAACCCCTCAACATCCCAGGAAGGCCCCCAGCAAGATACGACCCTCGAAAAAAGGGTAACGCCGTCTTGCAAAATAGTCCCTGTCTAGGTTCCGCAAAGCAAACGCCATTATTTTGAAAGTGTTCATCGGTATCGTGAAAAAATAAGATGCTTCGGAAAGCAGTCGGGGGCCAGGTTGATAGTAGGAAGATCGCATATCTTGCATGTCCACTCTCGTTGAAGGAATGGCGTTCTCAATGTAGAAAAAATCCACTCTTCTGATGTCTTGACCAAAAGAATGCCGAGTCCTATCTTCAAAGCAATATTAGATGACAAGTTCGATCATGATGCAGCAGGCTACAAATCACTCACCATTGTCAAGCTATCTTTGCCCAGAATAACGACCCGGTGGGAAAGTGTACTCGTCATCAATGTCCTCTTTAGCTGCCATGAGAGGTCCCCATTCCTTTTTTATCTCTTTCCATTGTTTCTTCAAGCGCTGGAGAGGTGAAGGATGTGACTTTTCCTGGGTGGCGTTGAGGTCCTCAACGGAGGAAGATTGTGATATGCTCGTTTTAGGGGTAGATTCCTGAGAATCTATATGTTCAGGCATGATTGATAATTTTTAAAATTATATTAATTTCTTCTTCAATGTGTGTTTGCACGGCGATTTCACAGACTTTATATCTATATTTCTAGGGACAAGGATGACATGGCTACAGGGGTTGTTTGAAAACTGTGAACCGAGTCTCGCCCGACTACCGAGATATCACCGCCGAGGTATCTCCGCGTCCCTGGGCTTTAGAGTTTTTCTATTGAGCTGTGATACTTCAAGTTCTCAATTTGTTTCGAGAATTGTCGTACTGATTTGAGATGGTGGCTAGCATTGGCTATTAGCGAGTTCTTATGGTAGAGCCAAATGACCGTCTCATTTTTATTAGCGCATATTAAACTCTGCATGTCATGCATGTCATGCTGTGCTGCTGGAAATGACCAGTAAGCACTAAGCGCATGCGCAACTAGAGAAAGCATATATATAGAGAGGAGGAAGGAGATCATAGGAGAGAGATGAAGATGAATTTAGAAGGGAAGAGCCGTCAGATATGAATCTAGCCAAGTACGGCGGGTCCTCTCGCCGATGAGTGTGGGGACTAAATAGTACTATTTATATAACACATAGCCTAGATCGCTTGATGCATTCCAATGACATTTACTATAAAATACCATGTTGATAAAGCTTCGGAACGGTAGTCGTATACCCCAAGCGACCATATTTTTAGAAAAATATGGTTTTATCACAAACGATAGAAGTTTACAGTAGTCCTTAGAAGGTGTCTCATCTATAAGTAGTTCTTTAATATATATCCTAGAGAGCGCATTGAGGGGATAGAACAGAAAGTTGCCAAAGAGGCTCTTCAATGTCAGAGTAATCTTGTCCAATAAAAAGCGATACCGTTTATCCCCGCCTATCCCCACTGGCCATGCCGCCAATCGGAGTCCTCGATTAGCCCGCGGGGGATGGCCCGCGGACTTTGCCGCGGTTCTAGTCACCATCAGACCATATAATCTATAGAAGCTGCCCTTGATTGTAAAGTATTTAAAGCTCCAAGCAGTAGCATGAAAGGAGAAAATAAGGAAGTTGAATTTACTCAGGATCGACTAAAGTCACTCGAAAATATGAAAAGCGAATCTATAGTCATCATCGGGTAAGTGGGAACCAGAACAATTACTCTTTCGGCCTCCAGGAGTCTTGGTACTAAACTTTATAAGGGCCGGGGTGATCGGGCTGAATGTAGCTCTCGTTCTCGCTGAAAAGGGCCATGGCAAAAACACAACCATCATTGCAGAGCATCTTCCAGGAGACACTTCGATAAATTACACTTCACCATGGTTCGTTAGAATTCCTATCCCTAGTTCAAATTCACATAATATTAACTGGACTTCAGGGCTGGGGCCAATTTCTCAGCTATTTCTGCAAGTGACCCAAACGCATTGCGATGGGACAAGCTTGGATACACATATCTTCTCGATCTCGCAGCCAAGGATGGCAAGAATGCCTTTGTGAAGGAAACACCTTCAGTGGAGTACTGGGATGAACTACCGTCCCGTGAGAAGATTGACTCAATGGCCTCGTATCTCAAAGATGTGAGTTATGGATGACTCCCTTGCTTGTCCCAGATATGCTTATCGATATCTTCATTGGACAGTTCAAGGAGATTGCCTCACAAGACCTGCCAGCGGGTGTTTCATTTGGCATAGAGTTCACGACAATAACACTCAATGCACCAATGCACCTTCGCTTTTTGTTCCAGAAGGTCACACAAGAATATGGAGTGCGAGTCATTCGCAAAAAGTTGCCTCAAGTCTCGTCCGGCTATCTCAGCAAAGATACCAAGGTGGTATTCAACTGCACTGGAAACGCAGCAAAAGAGTTACCAGGAGTCCAAGACTCAAAGTGCTTTCCTACTAGAGGTCAGATTCTCCTTGCAAGAGCATCTCATGTTCAACAAAATATCATGAGACATGGTAAGGACTATGAAACCTATGTGATTCCTCGACCATACTCGAATGGGAACGTGATCCTGGGTGGATTCATGCAAAAGAATGTTGGGTAAGTAGGGTCCTTTCTCCCCTTGTCATAACAACATTAGCCCATTGTTGTTTTCTCTTTGGCGTTTCACATAACAGTAACTGAACTATATTGATAGTACGCCAGATACCTTTGGAGAAGAGACAGAATCAATTCTGTCTCGAACGACGGCTTTGCTTCCTGCTCTAAGTTCGAGCGAGACTGAGATTCTTGGTGCATTTGCTGGGCTACGTCCATCTCGCGAGGGAGGTGCTCGTGTTGCCAGGGAAAATGTGCAAATTGACGGTGCAGGACGCCAGGGAGTTGTTGTTCATAACTATGGAGCTGGTGGAACTGGCTACCAGGCGGGATACGGAATGGCGGTTGAGGCAGTTAACACTGTGACCGAGGAGATCAACACACTTGGTATTCAGTCCCGTCTTTAGATCAGTGTCTACTTCGGGTGTATTTTTGTGATGTTATTTATTTAATATTTCATTGACCAGGCAGAAGGAATGGCTCGACACAAGCCAAGACATTTGCAAATTGGGAATTTGATTAGCATATAGAAAGAAGATTTTGATTCATTATCCATGAAGTATCGTTAATCATAAGTTATATAACAACTGTATCGCTCCTTATCCAAATCTCGGGGTTGATGTAGTGATATGATCAATGTGCCTCTGATGTGCTATGTATCCCACTTGCTTCATAACTTGGGGGAGGACTTTCACCGATATGGGGATATATGGGGACGTTATTTTGTCGAACATTTTTGTCTTGATCACTATCGTGTTGTGTCACGACAATTTTCGGTACAGGTTGCTCAGCTTTCACAGGGGATAAAGCAGGAAGCTCAAGGACAGATATAAAACTCGTCTCAGATGGGAGTTGTGAGATCGCAGGAGTGACCGCCGAAACATCAGACGGAGAGAAAAATGCTTCGTTCTTACTCAAAGCAGTTGGTAATGAGCCAAGGTGGGCAAGAACCGCCTCGAGTTTGCCATGAGAAAGAAGCATGCGGGATCTCTTTTCCAGAGCAAGTTCATAGTCACGACACTTCCAGCTGCTGCAGTCTTGGGGGCTGATTTGTTTAAACTGTTTCACAAACACAGCTAAATCATTGGCGGCATTTTCGGTATCGGTGATGGTCGAGTTGATCCACTCAAGCTCGATCTCGCCCAGGGTTGTCTTTTTGTCGTCCCGCAAGTGTCTTGTCTGCTCTGCCGTGGAGTTGACAAGTACAATTGTTTTGTGAATGCCTCCGATCTGCTCCTCCCGGGATAGTGAATGTCCATTGATAGAGACAGGTATGGTCGATTTAACTTTTGTGGATGGTGACGTGGTATTGGGGGTTGAAGATGGGTTTGTTGGTTGCGAGTTGAGTGCTCGTGAGTAAAATCGTGAGTGCGAGAACGTTTGCTGGGCTTTCCCATCGGATGTTGTAGCATTCTGTTTCGTATCTTCAATACGAAGGACTCGGGATAACTGTTCTGTTGATTGATTCCATTTTGAGACTGATCGATATAACGTCGATTTGCCTGACCGTTGACACCGATCCCTCGTATCTGCTGATTTGTGCCGTATTTCCATTGTCGATTGATGGTAACGGTATTTTGAATCATCCCATATGGCCCTTGTCGATCGCTGCAATTTCCCTATCAACTTGCTCTTCGGCCTATGTGTGAGGTCGAATGGTGCCATTTTTAGACAAATGCACTTCGATAGAAAATGATAGTTATTTTATTTTGTTTTCGGCTGTTTCAGAAAAATGTGAAACCTGGAAGGCAGTTGATCTAGATGGAAAACGTGGAAGAAATCTAAGTATATAAGTTTCTAATATCAACTCAGCCTTACTGTGTAGGCTGCTCGGATCCTCGGAAATTAATGGCTTTCTCCAATCAATCATATTCAAACTTGTTGGTTGCCAGCAGATCATGGCGATGCTAGAAGGCTGTGTGCCGGTAGTTAGGCACCGTATTTAACATGTGTAGATCCACGTTCATTATTGGTCAACTCGTTAGGCGTCGCTAAATTTGGCTGTGGCTGGTGGGGGCCAAACTGCCTGGGGGCCTGTGCTGCCCAATTAGCGGGGACTTTAAAAAGTCCGAACTTTGAAGTTCATTGTGATTAATACGAGGTGACCTTTACACCATGGGAGCCCCTCGGAATTTATGCTTGGGGCTCAGATTGATTATGGAGTAACAACAGTCCTTAAGGGAAAGATCATCCCCTCTTGAATTATTCCACACGTGGTATCACGTGATGTCTTGGCAATGACAAAGTTAAATATTCCAAGATTCCAAACTCCCCCGGATTATCTATCATGCCCGTAATTGATGGAAATTCTTCATTTGGAAGACCCTCAAATTTGTCCAGAATAAGGTCAATCCCGGCGGGATATCCCCCGGAGCATTATATACTTTTAGGAATCAAATCTAATTTTTGACGCCATTGAGGTATAAAAGCAGCATAATGTTGCCAATCAAGATAGCATACAAGTTAGCTCCCAAACATGAGAATTCCACAGGTCTTTGCTTTTGCTGCTGCTGTAGCTGCAGTGACAATTCCTCGCTCCAAGCACTCTTCTCCCAACCCACTCACAAATGTGACCATCTTCTCACCACCTTCCAACTACAACATCCCACGGACGCTTTACCCGCGTAACGAGCAGCTTCCCAACGGCGACCTTCTTGCAACATGGGAAAACTATTCCCCAGAGCCACCCGCTGTCTACTTCCCCATTTACCGCTCTAAGGATCACGGAAAGACCTGGAAGGAGATCTCCAAGGTCCATGACACTGCCAACGGATATGGCCTGCGCTACCAGCCGTTCCTCTACTCTCTACCCGAGCGTGTCGGTTCATTTAAAAAAGGCACTCTGCTTTTAGCCGGTAGTAGTATTCCGACTGACCTATCGTCCACGCACATCGATCTTTACGCATCGCAGAACGACGGCGTAACTTGGAAGTTTGTTAGCCATATTGCTGCCGGAGGAGAGGCGCTGCCGAACAATGGACTGACTCCTGTATGGGAGCCATTCCTACTTGCCCAGTATGTTTTTCAATTATGCCTTGAAAATAGCTCGCTAACTCGTTTCACAGCAAGGGCAAGCTGATCTGTTATTACTCTGATCAGCGGGACAATGCAACCTACGGACAGACAATGGTTCACCAGGTCTCCACCGATCTGAAGAACTGGGGGGCTGTTGTAGAGGATGTTACCTATCCTACATATACTGACCGGCCCGGCATGCCAGTTGTGGCCAAGGTAAGCTAAACTAAAAGACACCGATCAAATTGCGATTGGTTTACGCCAGGAGAATGCTAACGTTTCTAGCTTCCGAACGGTCAATACTTCTACGTCTATGAATATGGCTCTTTCTTCGGTACCTCAAGCTACTCCTTCCCTCTTTACTACCGTGTGTCATCCGACCCTGAAAATATCGCCTCTGCTCCAGGCAAGCGTCTGGTTGTCTCGAGTGGTACTAAGCCGACATCCTCGCCGTACGTTGTATGGACACCATACGGTGGTAAAAACGGCACCATCATTGTCAGCTCTGGAACACAGGGTACTTTGTTCATTAACAAAGAGCTGGGCGAAGGGGAGTGGACAGAGATTGCTTCGCCCCAAGAACACGGATACACACGGTCTCTGCGGGTGATGTCGGAGGATGGAGGTCGTTACCTGATTGTGCATTCTGCAGGAGTGCTAAATGGCGCAAACAATCGGGTCTCTCTAAGTGTGATGGATTTGAAAGAGGTGTTGTAAACCAAAAGACAATTTGTGGTGGCGGCGTACAATTCATACTAGATGCTGTTCAAGTTCGGTTTAGTCGTTGTGACTGATGTGGCCCATTGTTGGATATGTGTATATAGTTGATATTTGATAAAGAAGAAATCGAAATCTACATTTTGAGGTAAAGACTTGAGACGTTATAGATACGATCTAGCTGCCAAGGAGAACCCCGAGCTAAAGATCGAGATCAAACAAAGTTTACGCAGTACTATGTATTAACCTTGAAATTGTACGGTAATAGTATGCTAAGCATGAATACTATCTAGCCCGGAGTTCGATGTATTCACTATAGATGGAATGGTGAGTCGATCTTCTATACTGTCTCACATTAAGACAACAGCATTGGCCCGAGACTATGTAATGTTCTATTGTTATAATGTTCTATTGTGAATGGCACGGGTCTCATAAAATAGTAATGTTCATTGTCAGACCTAGCTGCATTGCTCAAAACGGGGGATCACATGCTAACCACCTACCGCTGCGTGTATACACATAGGGTCTCTGTGGCCAGGGCCATCTGTATGACGCATTCTAGTCCTCATATCACACTAATATGTGTAGAGGGATTACTGACATCATTGCTTTGGCTTCTTGATAGCCTGCTCTGCAACAAAGCTGCTTACCCCCTTTTGTGGCCGGTCAGAGGATCGAATCCGGCAGCATGGGCGAAAATTATGACCAGCATCGAGACAATATCCTGGGCACTGTCCACCCAGCTGTAAGTCTTTTCAATCCACTAAGAGAATCATTAGTGATCATAAAGAAACTTGCACAGATATTCCTCACCTCTCCATTTGGGCGAATCCGGATAAACACCCACTGGTAACTGTCCGTCGCGATTCCGTACACAGACTTGTCTCGGATATGGGACTGCTTTCTCGTTTCATGGATCATCGCTATTCATGTTAACAGTAATCCACGTACAATTTAAATCAAAGAGCACGTACCCATATGGCCAAGACAATGCAACATACCGCTTTTAAGCAAGTGCGGTCTTTTCGATTCAACCATGACCACATTGGTTGCATGTTTATTAGGCATACCATACGAAATCGAGTAGTCAACGATGCCGGAAAGTCTCACTAGTCGATTATCGCTTTTCCAATCGAATTTTATCTTGCGTTTGAATTTCACGTGGATGGACTTGAGTGGTATAGAAGAGGCGGAGGGACGAGGCTTCGCAGTGAACTCGCGCTTCATTTTGGCCAAAATCGTTAGAATAATCACATTAACGCGAGATTTTATCAGCTTTTCGCTTTTAGGTGAGCCACTGGTTGCCATGTCATAGTCCGCGAGGATAGAATCTATACGAGTTAGTGTCAACCGATATTCATACCAATCATCCAACTTACCCAAGTGAGGAGGAAGCGAAGCCTTTTCTGTCTCTTTGGGAGAAAGTTCGAACTCAGTAGGTTGACAGTGAGTGAGGCTAAAGTGATGCGGAATTTCGATCGGGTCAAGATCGGTAATGGCGATTATAGGCATCTTTTCTAATTTGCGCTTGGCTTGGTTTTTGAGAGCTTTGTTTCTCTTTATAGACTCTGTAAATTTCTCCATGGCTAGAAAATAAAAGGGTTCAATAGTTGAAAGATGGAAAAGCTGAGGAAAGAAAAAGAAGGAAGATTAACTCAGTCAATACTCTACCTATGTACCTATGTACCTTCCGTTACTCTGAAAGGCTTAGTACATCAGTGGTATCCATGGATCTATAATGTACATATGTATATACTACTCCCTACATACATCATATGTAGCTTTATATCTATGGATAATATTGAATATTATGAATAGAAGAATAAAAAAAAGCAATAGAAAGAGGAGATCACAGTTGTTAATAAATCCTATACTAAGATTATCAATTCCACTTCTCACCCTAAAATAGTGCTCACAAAGTTCAGAAACACTGTAATTCCACATCTCAAGTCCCATTCAGAGCATAACTCTGGTTCTCAAAGATGAAGTTTGCCCTAAACATGGTACTGTGTATCCATTTGATCAGTACCTATACCTATGCAGGTTTAAATGTATTCAAGTTCAAGCATGTTTGTGGTTATTTCTAGAATTGAGATCGAATAGCAAATGAAGTATAAGTGAGGAAGAAGTGAGAAATTAGAACACAAACAGATACCCCCTTCATTTAGGTAGGTCCAGGTAGTGTGAGGTGCTCTTGCCCATTTTTACTCCTTCCCTCGGGGTCCTTTCCCCCTCCCTCCTCCATCCTCCGTCCTCCCTCCTCCCTCCTCCATCATCCATCATCCATCATCATCCCTCCTCCCTCCTCCCTTCTCTTTCCCTTTCTTCTATTCTTCTTCATCTTCTCTCAGTGGACAGCAAAAATGGCATATAAGAAGAAAAGTCCCGTAAGTTTTATCTTTGTTGATTGCCATGCCCAGGTCACCACTCCAAGATGTGAATATGTACTGACAAGCGTGCCAGCACATTACTAAGTCCCTTATTGCCCCCACCACTGTGAGTGCTCAATCGTTTAGGTGGACTAAAGATTGGGAGATACATTGATTGTACAGTTCAACAAAGTGAGAAAAAATCGAGGCAAAAAGGTGAAAGGTAAGTCTCACAATCAATATTGAGATCTCCAATTTGATATTGGAGGCCACTCGCGTTGTGAAGGAAGCTAACAAGGCCCGTGAAGTTATCACAAACTTCCCTGAGCTCAAAGCCTATATCAGGCAAGTTAGACAACCCGACAAAGGTGTCAACCACCGGGACATGGGCGCCTTTCTCCTTGTGAGAGACTCTCAGGAAAGGATTCCGTTGAAGCCCTCTGAAGGGCAATAATGGCTCGAATCCGATTCTACTCACATGGAACCATCGCTCTCCAAAACACGTAAAAAGCGCAAAATCTCCCAGCCCGACATTTTGGGTATGGCCTCAGAACCCGACCCCGAAATGTCTGATACTTGTTTGTCAAGTGCCCCAACAGTCAGCGAAGTGCCACACAAAGGCAAGCATAGTTGCTCGAGAAAGGGGTAAGAGCCCTGTCTACTAAGGCCCGTATCACAAGAGCTAGATAGATATGTCTTATGCTCCATGCAAGCTGAGAGAAAGAAATGCAAGTACTAACACTGCATCTAGTGTCTAAAGAGCTTCGGGAAACTTCCATTGCTGCGGCTGCTAGTTCTAGTGTCGGTACTAGTTAGTATCCCATGATATGTCACGATCTAAGAGTATCGCAGGGAGGATTCTACTGTTGGATCCCGACTTCGGTTGGGATTCCGGATTCGGATGGAAGGAGTTGGAGGTTTGCATGATTTGTTGTTGTTGTTTGCTTAAGCCCCACAAAGGCTTCGCAAACTCGATTCTTTCTTTCTTCTTTCTTTCCTTCCTTCTCTGTACTTAGTATTTTCGTTTAAATGTACTCTTTGCTCTGAAGAACCGGCTGGTAACATGATATATTTTTGTTGTCTACCCTAGTCTCCTAGGAGCGAGACTAATATATTCCGAGTAGAATCCTCCGCGTCCGCTACCTCGCAGCCCTATGCCTTCTCTTCATCGACCTACTATGAGGCGGTTGCCCTCGTTAAGAGTCTACTTAATACCCTTAACGACTTTACAGATAGGAAGAGGATTACCTCTAATATAAAGGATCTTGGTCTTGGTAACTGTTAATAGATTCTTTTTAAGATATATATTTCAAGTACCTCTAGATATACTTCTAAATTCTATACTATAGTACTTCATTATATATAGAAGCCAAGGTCGCAAGAAGAAGAAGAGGAAGAGGAAGAAGAAGAAGACTACCTTTCTATCAAATACATGTCCTCCTCTCCGACTTCCGAAGTTTATAAAGGTTCGAGTATACTGCGCAAGATTGTTGGGCTGGTGACTTGGTATTATTGTTGGGATATCATCCCTGCTGCATGCTGTTTGCTGCGCTGTTTGTCAGATCAGACTTAGATTTTTGCTTGCTATCTGCCGGCTTGGCTGATGCTTATACGGGTATAAATACCCAGTTTCTCCATATATTATCAACACAGCATCTTCTTCCTTCTCCATCTCTCTCACCATAGCACGCTCAACAAATCTCCGATACTGACCCCGGGCCGTGCATGTAGTAGGTCACGTGGCTTTGTTAGGCGCGATTTGTCCACGGGTAACCTTGGAATCATCCATGGATGAGATCCTTCACAATGATACCTAGGTACTTTGTATGTACCATTTATTTTTTGAACACTACTGCCTTCTCTTGGTCCATAATGCAGAGATATGCAATCCCTTTATCGAAAGCTCGCATGGCTTAGTGGTAAAGCGCATCACTAGTAATGATGAGATCCTCGGTTCGACTCCGAGTGTGAGCATTTCTTTTTGCATTTCTTTTTGCATTTGCTTATTCCGGAACGCAGTCTTAAGGGACGAGGGAGGCTGATTGATCTACGGAGTAGAGATCGACGAGTTCGCTGTATAAATGGTGATATCCGCCCGAGACCTCGGAATGGCCATTCGATTTGCGTGCGCTCCTATAGATAAATAGACCGCATGGATATATCGTTGTACTTAAATATAAATATCTAAACGGTGGAGGTTTTGTTACAGGCGGTCTAGAGATATATAATGACTCCTGTCGCACCCTTGCGGTATAAATTTCTTTATCGATTTTCAAAAGTTGAGTTCTCCTTGGCCATAAGATAAGCTTCACGCGTTTCTCCAAGAACCTTGGAGGATCCTGCGCACACTCAAACAAAACTCGCCTCGTTGTCTCCGATTCAAATAGACTATGCAGTCCGTCATCCACTCTCCAAGCCAGAGTTCCAGCCAGCGCTGCAGGGCTATAAGAGCAATAACTCCTATATAGCAACCTGAACGAATCAATCACCCATAGGGGTGGTACACCCGTAAGATAAAAATAGAAGTGCGTCTACAATAGCTGCTTGACCCTCTCTCTACTAACCCTGTCCCCTAGACCGGGAACTATAGATACTCTATGGTCTAGTTGTAGCTAATCCTATATGATGCTTACTTCTTGTTATGATGGTAGGGATGATGGTAGGGAAATGATTCCATCATCCCCGTATATGCTTTTTATACCGCGAGAATCTTTGTTTGTTGCACTCTATGGTCTTGGCAATCGCTGCCATGACAAGTTATCCGTGGATATCATTTCGTCGAAGATGACTAAGGAGCTGGGAGGTCCCGACCTCTAGAACCGTGAATTTACCAGGAAATGCTGCATATTACAAGACAGATCTCGCAGCTATGAAGCACGTGACAGAACACCTAGCCCATTCCTGTGCCAAATGACTGGGGAAGACGAGAGTTCGTATCGTGTATATCACTACTCATATCATTATATGTTGCTATGGTTGACTAACTACCCCTTAGTGGTTCTTTCCACGAAACGACTATTGCAGAGCAACCTATGAGCAGACGACAGACTAGTGCCATTACACAGTATCCATGAGCCCAGGCAAGTCCAACGCCCACATATATGTCGACCTTACACCGGGGATACCAATCGAGAAGATGAAGGTTTTGGGGGAAAGTGTGGTCATAGGGCAGACTGAGGCTCTAACCCGTGATCTGTCAACCGGGTTATACGGGCTTTGACGACCATAGCGGCGCAAATCCACAGCCCTGAATATCTTTTTCTTCGAACTACTTTTGGACAATTTCGGGAAGGTCGATACAATTTCTAAATCTCTGCCAAGGTTACTGCATAGATACATCTATCTATTAAATTAGGATAGAGTGGTTAGGTTATATTATAGGAAAGAAGCACATATCCTCTTTGTACATTGTGAGTATATGATTATAGGACCCTATACGGCGACTTTTCATCATCACAGCAGTGGTGGCACAGTGGTAGCGCGTGAGATTGCAAATCTCAAGGTCCCGCGTTCGAATCGCGGTCATTGCTTACTTTTTTGTACTTTTTTGTTATTTTTTTAATGAGGGAGTTTATACAATTCAATGGTTACATCAATGTCGCATTAATTCGTATATAAGTTGTATAACTTTGGTCTAGTTCTCGATAATCGAGGTCTTAGTGCTTGAATTCTAAGACCCGAATTATCGATGCCTGAATTTACTATGTTGTACTTGAATTTTTGATATTTATATTTGCTATAGTTTGACCTTTTATTTTATTTATACAACAAACTATCCATTTAAGTCTTGTTTATTAAGAAATAGAACAATTACAATACATAGTAAAATTAGCGATGTATTTCAATGTTAAGAGCTAATTCAAAGGTTTTATACGGGGTACGGAGAAAGTAATAGCGGATAAAGATAGTGGTGAGCGGTTTACTTTAGGCAAAATCTCTATCGCTATAAATTCCTATACGGGATGACATCATCCAATCAAATTGCAGTGGTGGCACAGTGGTAGCGCGTGAGATTGCAAATCTCAAGGTCCCGCGTTCGAATCGCGGTCATTGCTTTCTTTTTTTATTGCTTTTTTAATATACGCGAGTTATTTGTGAAGCTGACAGTATGTACTCTGGTTACGGCCCAATCCCCCCTAGGTGAGTTGGTTTGTATGGCTAACACAGCTGTTCAACTTTCTTGACACACATAATAATGAATCTTAGCTTGCTCCTGAGAATCGGTTTCTGAGTGGCCTTTTTTAGGAATTTGATCCTAAGAGGGGTTGGGGGGTGGGACTGAAAGTTCCTAGGGATAAGTGCGAACTTTTGAAGACTGTACGATCAAATTGATGAGATAGACTCATCAAAGCCGCTTTCCTTCAGCCCTTAGGGCAAGTGATGGAAAGATATAGACCCAGAGCAATCGTCGGCCGTATACGTCTGTGGTGGTATACATCCAAATACCAGGTCAATAAAAGCTTTTGAAATCCTCACTGGGCCAACGAAGTCATCTGGTGTAAGGTTGTCTAATGACATATCCTTCCCCTGGAGGCTGGCAATTGCTGTCTTGAACCAAGATCCTAGGTCCTCGAGGTCTTCTTCCACTCCTAAGACCCCCCCAGGGTATCTGGTCCAGAAGAGCTTGAACCAGATCCAAAGCAGAATGCTTCAACATCGCTTCCAGGAGGAGGTTGTAGTAGTCCCTTCCTGTGAAAAGGGGTCTTCTCGATGGAGACCATGTTGACTGATCTTTAGAATTCGCCTTTAATACAATGCCCATCTACAGACGTCAGCGTCCGGCGAAGTATCCCATTTTTGACACATGATACGACGGGTCTTTGTCGCTAGGCGCTTGCCTGGTATAAATGGAATACCACATTTAGATCACCTTCTAGGCAAGATCTCAAGAGCCCCTCTAGGGTTGACGGTGGAAGAGAATGAAAAACCCGACACATCACTCCCTTCACCAAATTATCAACATTTGGGGGAAAGGGGATTGCCCATACCCGAAGAAAATTCGCTTGTCTCTGTTTCCCTTTGGTAATAATCCAGTAGTGTAGGGGATTCTGGTCATCCCGAAAATGTGCAATGACTAAATGTAGAAGCATAGTGTATCACTTCCAATCATATCAAAGGTGACTCCTATTCAGTTCGGTAAACCTTCGAGATGCCTGGATATAGAGACTACAAGGATGAGAAAGCGATGGAGAGAGTAGGTCTCCGTAATCTTTGAATGGAAAGGCTCCAACTTCATCGGATTACGCAGGTGGTCGGGAGGAGTCAGGGAAGTTTTGGCACGCTCATTTATATTAAAAGTTCTTTGTGACGCTTTCATTAATACCATACACCTTTAGTCTTTTTTTTTTACATACTTTTATGAGCCTATTGAAATGAAATAACTCCCCCATAAAAAGGAAAAAAAGAAGAAAAAAAGGAAAGCAATGACCGCGATTCGAACGCGGGACCTTGAGATTTGCAATCTCACGCGCTACCACTGTGCCACCACTGCAATGGGATTGGATGAAATCATCCTTTTTAGAAATATATACCAAAAAAGGGGTTGCACTATATGAGGTACAACATACACATCTTTACCTTGGAATCCTCGCAAGCTGACCCAAGGCTCATGTACACCTGATTTTTACTAGCCGTATGCAATTCTGCAGGTGCCGGAATTAACCTTATAAATCATGGTGAAGGGGTGTCATCCTCTTTTCCATAGATAAACATACATCCATAGCCACACAGAGATATGGAGTCTGCACACAATGTACGGAAACAGTCCGATTGTCAACCTTGGAAATGTTCCAGCGTTCCGATCTAGAAAAGGAAAAGTAAGCTACTGTCATGTGAGCGTTTACTCTAGGCCTTTCTCCCCCAGTTCCATGATCTCTTCAATTACTCAACTTTATTCACCTTTGCTTTCTTCAAAGACTTCAGCTGAAAACACCTGTTTAAGATGACCGAAAATGACTATGAAGTAATCAAGACGACTGAGGAATACCAGCTTATAATAAACTCCTTTGATCTCTCGCCTACTAGGTGGTGGAATAAGAGGCAGCTCACCGCAAAAAATACCTGGAACATCCCAGATCATCTCTGTGAGTTTTAGCTAATCATCCACCTGTTTACAAGATTGATATATTGTATGCTAACAACTAATCAGCGTGCCTGTGGGACGATCTTGAGCTGGTCATCGCTCGGGATGGTGGTACGCATCCGCTGTTCCCCATGAGAATAGAATCACTTCTCCTCGCACTGCTCGCAGATAAGATCAAGAATGAGTCACTTCATACTGGCGGGTCCCTGAATTTGCCCCACTGGAGCTTTCGGAAGCGGATACTCACGCGAGAAATGGAAGACGACCAAATTCTAGCTCCGATGAATATCATCGATTATGTTTTGTGGTATGGCCACTGCTGGGAGCTCGAGACAAATATGATCGTTATGAAAACTAAGCTTCCGGTGTCTCGGAGCTGGGCTCTGCTACAAAATATGGCGAGGATTCATCATGCTCGCAAGCTTGCAGGAAGAGATACAGTTATCTACGGTATTATGACTGATGGAATTAAATGGGTATTCATACATCTGACTCATAAACGTCGGGTAAGCACTCGAGGAAAGCCCGGGGGATTTACTTACTGACACCTTCTTTAGTATACAATCAAGGTATTCTCTTGGGACAATGAGCGAGACCGGATTGTTGCCCAGGCCCAGGATATAATCGACCAGGCAGTTGCTCTTCACAGAAAGATAATATCCCGCTCATCTCTGCCTACACCTACTGTTCATGAATCTAGGCGCTGTCAAATTAAAGAGATGCCTACTCCATGCAAGGACTCTGGTGATGGGAATGGTCGTGTAATTGAGGAGAATACCTATGAGATGGGACCCTTGGTCTGGTAAATTGCTAGAAATTCAAGTTTTATACGTCCGGTTACATTGGAAATGGAAGTGTTTGAGCTCTTTCATAGTCCCATCATCTCTATACTCTTACACGAAACCGCCTTCACCGATACATACTCTTTTTTGGCCCCACTGCTAAGGCCTTAGCGCAGATTACCCGGCCATTAAATTGGGGGCGCAATTACAAAATGGCTTAGTATCTAACGGAGCTCCACTTTTCCCTTACGCTGCTTGGAGATTGGATTATCAGAATGCAACGGAAAGGCGGGTGATTTGGATCCGTACGGCTCGACGGCCCCCGAGTCGGAAGTTCCAACGTCAGATATCCGAGGGGTCACATATAAAGAGAAGCCAAGCCTCGGAAGTTAATGAAAAAGACCTGCAATATAATTTTTTCTCCATGTCTCGACCAAACACTATATTCGGCTGTGGCTCATTAGGGAGTCCATTGATAGGACAGAACTTCCGTACTTCTGCGCAAGTTCAGGGGCTCCTTGATCAACTGAAAGCCCTCGGGATCGACCGACTAGATACTGCAGCCCGCTATTCTCCAGGGAATCCGGGAGGCTCCGAGAAACTTATTGGTGAAGTTCAGGCAGCCTCGCAGGGCTTTACTATTGACACCAAAATTAACATACCGGACGCGGCCATTGCTGATGGAGCTGGATCCTTGACTGCCGCTGCTATCGCAAACTCAATTGACACAAGCTTCGATCGTTTGAAGGTCGACAAAGTCCACATACTTCACTTTCATCGATCCGATCCCGTAACGCCTGTCGCGGAGCAGGCGGCGGAGATTCAAAAACAGTATTTGGCTGGTCGCTTTGAGAAGGTCTGTCCTCTTATTATATTCAGACATTATAGATCCATATTCTGACAATTTCTCAGTTCGGTGTCTCTAATTTCTCGACTGAGGAGGTCGCTGAGCTTATCGCGGTGTGCGAAGAAAACGGCTACATCAAACCGAGTGTTTTTCAAGGCCGCTACAACCTGATAGATCGTCAGATGGAAGAATCGCTCTTTCCCTTACTCCGGAAACATAATATTGTTTTCAATGCATACAGGTATGCCTCGATATCATGGTTTATGCCAATGCACCCAAGTTTCCAGTCACTAATTAAGCATCGCATCCTCCAAAGTCCACTGGCCAGTGGTTTCCTGACAGGCCGCGCAACCCGAGGTGACGTTGAAGGCACTCGGTTTTCACCCAACAATCAAATTTCCTCCGCATTGAATAGCATGTATGACAAACCCCATATACATACAGCTATGACAGGCCTACTAGATACTCTCGAACCACTCCAAATCAGCGGCTCTGAGGCTTGTCTCAGGTGGATTTACCATCACTCAGTCCTAAAGGAGGGCGATGGTGTGATCTTGGGTGCTAGCAAGCTTCCGCAGATTGTGCAGAATGTCGATGATATAGCCAAGGGCCCTCTACCGGCCGAAGTGGTCAGAAGTATTGACTTACTTTGGGAAGAGCTTCAGAAATAACGGATTTCTATCAAAATGTGAATCAAGTGCTTTTTGCTTTAGGTGGCTATTTTTAGTCATATTGGGCTACCACAGAGACATGATCGTCCGTATTGGCCTTGGGGGCCAAAGGGTAATAGTATTGGTATTAGTTCACATCACGCTGGGTAAAGAAAATGATATGGGCTTTAAAGGGAAAGATGCACGGCCTATGTAGCCAATAAACTATACTAGCGAATTTCAAGGTATGTACTTCCCTTCTTCACGGTTTCAGGCTTTCTGATACAATAGTCTATGACAATTAATGACAGTGACAGCAAAATACAAGCCGCCCTAGGCTATAAACAGGAACCTTTGGTTTTTGTTATGGTCTAGTGGTAAAATACTTGCGTATTGCTTTGACAGACAGTTTATGCCTGAGGCATTGGGGTGCAAAATGAATTGCTGTCCAATCACATGATGACTACACCGACAGGCTGCCAGGGCTAGGTCAATAGTGTCAATTCTGCCATCCTCGCCTAACATAGAAAACTCGTCTAGATGTCTGTCTCAGCACTTCCTACGGAGATTTTGTGTGATATTTGCCGCTATCTGGAGCTACGTGACTGGATTGCGTTTCGAACCACATGCGTTACGGTATACACAAGGTCGCTGGATGCTTTTGCGAACCGATATTGCAAGAGTATCGGCTTGATTCTCACCAGTCACAGTCTCCATCGATTGGAACAGCTCGCTGCAAACGATAGCCTCAGAGCACGAGTTCAAGAGCTATGGGTTGTACCATCCTTGTTTGGGGGCTTTTATGAGATGGATGTTGATTGCTTCAAGTCCTGCGTCACTTCACATAGAGACAGGCCGCCTAAGACTGTTGCCCAGATCAATACTCGACATGCTGCATATCAGGCTTCAGTGGCAGATCATCTAAGCATCCTCGAATCCGGTACTCTTAACAACGTCCTCAAAGAATGTATGGCACGTTTTGAGAGCCTCACTGCCATTAGAATGCAACATAACGACTCCGACTACTTCTGGAATTCAAATTCAAAAGATGAGTTCCGCTGCCTCGGTTTGCGTGGGGTAAAACGCCAGCTTGGATTCAACCCTCTCGGGTTGAACCTCAGAAAACCCATACACAACCTCTGGAAAAGTAGAGCGAAGGACCACGCTATGGCCTTTTCAGCTCTGCTAGAGGCAGCAGTTGCATCGAAGAGGAAACTCAAGAAGTTAGACATATGCAACGATGAACATTGTGCTCTGCCCCCTTCGGATATTACACTCCAACTCACACACGAATCCCTGCTTTTCTCCCTGGAAGGCTTAGAACACTTGCACCTCTGTATCTGCGTCTGGGAAAGACAGTCTGATGATACTTCACTCAGATATCTCATCGAGATTCCTATAATAGTTGCATCAAGTCTCAAGGTCTTAACATTCTCACTGTGGGACCGGAATGGTGTAATAAGCCCTCACTATTTTATCGACCTCTCCCAGCGTATCAACTTCACCCAGCTAGTGGAACTTGATCTTTATTGGATTGAAGTCACCTATGATACCCTGAAAGCATTTTTGCGCACCGCAATACCGACTCTGAGAACCCTTGCCCTAGAGTCCTTGAATTTGAGGGGTGCAGCCCCGAAGGACACCGACAGTGGTCATAATCTATCAAAATGGGACTCTCCAGAGATGATCGAAGAAAGCAGTGCTGCTTGGCGACAGGTTTGGAATTTCCTCGGAGATGAGTCCTCGCTACGGTTTCTTTCCTTGCAAGAGCTCGGTTATCGAGGCCATCGTCTGCACTTGCGCGATAATTTGAGTAATCAAAGTGGATCTTCTGAACCGAATGGCCCGGTAATTGCTATCTTCAACGCTGAGCGAGCTGGTGTTTCCTTCAAGGAATGGGTCACTCAGCTACAGACAGGGCCACCCCGGGGACCACGAATGCGTTATGATAGCATGCCAGGGAAGGATTATACCGCACAGATAGATTGATCTCATGGAATCCTGGGAATCGCTACTATACTCATAGTCCCGGAGACTGGAGACTGAGCGAATCTAAGTAAGCATAACTTTCCCTCGACCCTCAACCCAGCATAATCACAAGCCCATAATCCTCACACGGTCAATCCCAGCAAGCGCAAAATCTTCCCCGCAACAACACATTAACCCCATCCCTCCACACACGCCTCGCATACTCGACAAAATCAAATCTCATCGGATCACCCTCAACCACTTCTCCACAAACCACACATCACCTCGCGAGCCAACTCCCGCCAAAGAAATAACAAACCAACTCCTCACTACCGTTCACCCCAAACCTCCTCAGCTTCTGACCAAAGACGCCCAATTCCTCCGACCCCAACAAGCCACATGAATCCAGACACACGCAAGGAAATCCCAAATCCCACCCTCGCCGCCAACAAGCACACGCTGACCCAACTGGTAAGCCTACTGATAATCTTTATCCTGATGGCACTGTGGCTCCGACTACGCACACCCGCCCAGAAACGGAAGCGGAAGATCCGCCTACACAAAAAGCGCCTCATACGTCGTCTGCGCGCTAAGCAGTAATACGATGTCTCTTTCCAGCGGAGACCCGCTCTATGCGTGACTGCGTCTGTTGAGCGTTTCGAGTCTCATGAAGGTGCGGTCTGTGGATGTCTTGCCGATGACTTGAGAGGGTTGTTCAATATTCGGGTATGGGTGTTACTGTGTTTGCGAGGCGTGACTTCGGATTGTGTAGGGCTGGTAGTATGGCGCAGACTATGTGAGCGTGTGACGGGTTATGGTTGTCGCTTCCATGTGGGCTGGGAATTTGCTTGGGGCTGTGGGGGTTAGGAAATAGGATGCTGCGGAGTACGGTGCTGGATGAACTCGGATGATATCTTTAGGTTTTGTCGGAGTTGGGGTGTGGATTTATGCGATAGGTTTGAGATGCGGATTGAATTGATGTCTAGCTTCGCTTTCCGGGTCGAAGTATAGTTCGAATAAGCTATTGTCTGTCTGGTACATCCGACAGAGCGCGACATCAGGAATACAATTTTACGCTTCTATGAATAGGTTGAATAAGAAATACCAAGGGTGTTTATTAATTATCGATGTAGTCACAGGAGGCATGCCTTGAGAAAAGAAAAGATATGTGCAAAACGCAATGCTGGCTGTACAACCTCAGAAATGATTCATGTGGACATGCGTATCCTCCTGGTTCCATTCCAGAAAAGAACGAGAACATTTACTAAACCGAGGGCAAGTCGGCCGAGAGAGGCAACTTGCGGGATGAATTGCCGACATACACCTTCTTCTGGGCGTTAGTGATCACCCAGTTTTGTGAGGTGGCGTCCCAGTTGGAGACGTCACGGCGGGTCAGAATGGTGGTCCACTTGAGGGACTGGCCAGGGGCAATAGTGACTCGGTCAAACTGGCGCAGGACCTTTGAGGGCTCACCATCGCCACCGAGGGAGACGTACAACTGGGGAACCTCATCACCAGTCACAGAGCCAGTGTTGGTGATAGTAGCGGTCACCTGGTAGAGATCTTTAAATAGACCATGGTTGCCACCGGAGCTGCCGCTAGAGGGGAGAAGGTCCTGGGGAGAACCATCGGTAGCACCCTCGGGGATGTAATCCTTCGAGTCCATGCCATAGTCAGGATCACCGGACGAAGCACGCAGGTCAGTGGAGTTCAACCACGGGTAAAGGTACTGTCGGACACGTCTAATTCCCTCGGGGAACAGGTTGTCCGAGGCTTTGCTAGGCTTGCCGAGAACGGGGGCTTTTTGCGTCTTTCCAGTCGTCGCTTTGTATTCGTTGTATTCAGTTGAGGGAAGTGGAGTGACCTTTAGGTCGGAGAAGGCAAAGTTTGTGTAGCTCAGACCGTAACCAAACTCGTAAATGGGCTCCGTTTTGTCCTTGTCAAAGCGACGATAGTCAATGAAGACGCCATCCTCGAAGTTGTCCTGAGGGGCATCGGCACCGTTGTTGGGCACGGTGACCAAAGCAGGGCCATAGTCCTCGCGAGTCTTACCCCAGGTGAATGGAGTCTTACCACCCGGATTGACGCGACCATATAGTACATCCACCAGACTGTGACCGCTCTCCTGGCCCGGCAAACCGGCCCAGACAATGGCAGTAATGTTGTCATTGTCATACCAGTCGCTAATCAGAACAGCGCCGGTGCTATGGATCACGACGATAGTGTTGTTGCAGTTCTGACTAGCAGTCTTGATAACCTCTTCACCATTTTTCCAGAGCGTCAGGTTCTTGCGGTCACCCTCGTTGCCGTCAACGTTGATGAATCCCTCACCCGAATCGGCGTTCACGAAAACCAAGGCAACATCAGCCTGAGATGCCAAGGCGGCCATCTCTTTGAGTGCCCAATTATCAGTCACAGCGAAAACGTTAGTCTGCCCGTTGCTGTATTCCAGGACTTCATTTTGGATGGCTTGCTCGGGTGTAATCAGGTAAGGGAAGTTCGCAGTTCCACTGCCCCAGCCCATGGCCAAAGTTCCGTTGTCACAACCACGGTCGGCGCAGCCATTGGCACCATAAGAATTAGAGCCTGCGTCCTCTCCAAAAATGCCAATGAATCTCTCATTGTGAGTAAGAGGCAGTGCATGACCCTTGTTCTTGAGCAGGACAGTGCTGTCCGAGCCAATCTTGCGAATGATCTGCGCGTGGTCACGCTGAACGTTTACGCGCTCGTTGACCTTGGCCCAGCCATCGCTGACCATGAAGTGCTGGAAGTTGAACTCATCGCGGGTCCAGGAGCTGAAGTTGGGAGGAGTGCGGAAGCGGTCACGTCCAACCTTATAGTAAGCAGCCATGATTCGGACAGCCATGTCGTCAACACGCCATTCTGGAACGGTGCCGTTCAGAACAGAGATGGTCAGGTTGGTAGCCCAGAAGGAGTAAGGGCTACCAAGGGAGACGTCACCGGCCATAGACATGTCCAGACCAGCCAGGGCTGACCCAACACCACTGTGGTGCGCACCCCAATCGCTCATAACAAAGCCCTGGAAGCCCAGCTCGCCCTTGAGAAGCTTGTTGAGGGTGTAGCTGTTCCCACAACCGTAGCTGTTGTTGATCTGATTGTAGGAACACATGACAGAGCCAACACCCGCACGGATAGAGTCCACGAAAGGCCAGAGGTACAACTCGTGCATAGTCTTGTCATCAATGTTTGAGCTCAGACTCTCAGAGATGTTGAACCCGTATCCCTGAGCCTCGCCAGCTTGGCGGAAGTGCTCCTGCTCATTTCCAATGTAATGCTTAGCACAAGCAATGACACCAGCATCCTGCATACCCTTGATGGTTTCGGCCATCATCACACCAGTCAAAACCGGGTCAGGCGAGAACCCTTCCCAGTTACGACCGCCCTCTGGGTACTTGCCCAGAGGGCCAGCAACGGGACCCAACTGCACATCCACGCCCTTGTCGCGATGTTCCTCGGCCATTGCCGTACCACGCTGATAGGCAAGTCGCTTATCCCATGTCGCGGCTACATTGACACCAGCAGGGAAAGCAGAGTTGTAATCACCTTTTCGAGTTTCATTAGTTAACTGCACCCACCAAGCTTATTTGGGATGGACAATCTTACTAAATCGTATGCCCAATGGCGCGTCTTGCATACACATCCCCCACATGCCAAGTCGGGGAACCCCACCGGTCTCACCAACACATCGTTCTTGCTCCCAGCCAGTACCAGTTGTCAAGTTGACTTTCTCGGCCAGTGTCAAGTTAGAGACGAACGCGACGGCGCGTGTGTAAGCGTCAGACCACTCGCCCGCACCACTCATCCATGGGGAGGGATAGTATGGAGGTGAATGAGCTAGAGGCTGTTTTGACGCGACTTGATTAGCAGTGATATTATTAAAGGAGTTGGATTGAACTCACATTCGCGTTGACCACTGAGGCCGTTAGGCCGACCACTTCTAGCCACCCGAACTTCATTGCTGTTCAAGTGATGATTTTCACACAGCAAAAAGCAAGAGAAGAAGTGAGGAAGGAACGAGAGATTATGGGAATACATGCATCTTAAATGTAAGTTTCCTACAGGGGGGGTAATAGTCTAACGTATAATATTTAAGGAGTATTTCAATAAAATGAAAATCGAAAAAAAGGGATCGACAAATATGCAACTATCCTCATATTACATCATGTCCTATGATTGGTTATAACTGATCATCATTGGAGTCCACTGTAAATGTTCTTCTGTTGTAGAGACACTTTCACCTTGGAAGGGGATACAATAGTGGCTGGGAGATTCCCAAGGAGAGACAACCCCCTTTCCCTAGAATCATACCTGTACAGCATTACCCAGCCACTCTTACACAACATATGCACTATTGAATCCCCTTGAATCTATCTTAGCTCAATTCTATATATGAGAACTGTGGAGTATACATCGGCATCTCACTGCCATAATACTACCTTGCCGCGCTCATACCTCTTCCCCGCTAATTCTAATCCTCATATAACAGAAGGACCTTTCGGAGGTCAAAATTGTTACTCCGCCTGTTGTGGGAATATGCACTCGCAGATACCTCACCTGATCACCCACATCGAATGAAATCCACAAGGTAACTTCCAAGATTCTAATCCGAACTAGTCACTGCCAGATCATCACTTGTCTTGCCGAATGGGGAAACCTTTCTCATTACATCAGAGTGTGGGGAAAGCAGACCTGGATTATCTTCCGTCTGTCCCTAGAATACTCCGTACAAAGTGTTTATATATTTACGCCTTGAACAAAAATATGTCTGTTGCTCTCTGGCAGTTATTATAATCTATACAAATCTCCACGGACTACGCCATCCGCAGCTAAGCGTTTTCGTGGAGATCGGAAGTGCGGGGAGCCGACTCTCCAGTTTTCGGCTTATGCGATTATTACTTAACCTCATTCTCAATATATCCTTTTCCGAGACATACTTCTTGACTTCAATATCGGTACTCTAATGTGTTTCATACAAAGTACCCCAGGGCTCCCTTCACCGATAATGTTCCACATTCCCGGCATCAAACGAAATCCCTATATCCCGGACCTCTCGGGCCAACTATCGAAGGCCCACTTTCCCGTCTTTCGGCCATTTTCGCTTGCCAGGCCCGAATTCCGACGGCTAAATTCCATTATAGCCACCGGCCTAAAAGAAAGTCAATTCCAGAACTCTACTGTAATATGGAAAGGTTTATATGGAGAGCACGCTGATCTCGGACAGAATGCACCGCCAGGCAGCCATCTTTTCCATTTTTGCGGCTAATTATCGGCTTTACGACTTACTGTTGCATTTCAAGGTCCCCACTAGTTAGAGATTCCGAAATCAAAAGGGTTGTGTAGGTACCATTTAGTATGCGGAATTGGTATTTCTCATTGTGTAGTTATTTGTACCCTGAGATGCTAAATAAAACATGGGACACATTGACGTCATTAGCATAGCTAATTCCATTCTCATGGGTTATGCCCAGATGCTCCTCGTAAAATGTCGGCCGAGGTCTCTGCCTCGCATGCAGGCTTATAGTCGGGGTAATGTTGCCATTTCACCGTCGGAGCGTGGGGTCTATCGGAGAAATGTCTTGCACAGGTTTGTTGGTGTATAGAGTTGACCCCCACATCTTGGGTGGGATTTACAGGCATCAAAGTCTCATTGGAGGTCTGAGCCCGAGTCATGCTGCGGGATAAAGCAGGTGTTCTCGTAGACTTGGCGGGGTTTAAATCGAACTTGTACCCATTGCTCACTTCGGTCACCGGTGCAGATGACAAGATAACAGTACTGAAAGCGATTCTTGGTAATTACTGTTCTCTCCATCCATATCCCCTTGTTCAATTCAAACAGCAGCCAGAACTAGCAGTTTCAATCAAATATATCCCAGCTAGTGTGAATGTCAAACTAATGCCAATGTCAAACATCACTGCTGATATCGTCTAGCACTTGAAACAGAATATGATTTTGTACTCTGCAGCCTGCGCCATTTGCACCTCCTCGGAACCCAGACCAAATTCTTCGTCGAATCTCATCAACATCGATTCCTTTGGTGTTATATTGATTGATCATTTCTTCTGCAATAGCACACAGTGTCGAATTGAGCACATCTTCATCAGACGCTGGTTCCGGAATCTGTCCTTCGGACCGACATCCACATAAAGCCGGATTTTCTTCTTTCTGAGTTTTCTTTGGTGGCTGATCTGTTGATTGAACCACAGTCGGGGCACATGTGCTATTGACCGCTGCTGGCAATTCAGCTGCCGCTGGTTCCTCTTTGTAAACGCGAGGTACTGCCATTGATAAATTCGATCTGCGAGTATCCCGACGTGGCGGAGACAGAGGAGTCTCTCCCTCTACACGCCGAATAGCAGGGATGGCAACCTTCCGGTTGGTGTTTGCTCCTGTATCCGCTTGCTGCAGATACTGCTGGAGAGAAGCACTGGACACTCCCAGTGATCCCAGAAGAGCTTTCAAGTGCTGATTCTCGGCCTCGACTTTTTGCATTGCCAGTCGGTGCTCGATGTCTTTTTGTTGAGCATGTTCTTTATACACTGCTAGACGCTGCTCTAACTCATTCACATACTCCTGCTTCCGGGCTCGACTCTTGCGCTGGTTCTCGCGCACCCGTGCGAGTCGCTCCACATTCTTCTATATCAGTTAGATCTTATATGTTGCGATTTCTTAAGCTGATGTGGCTGACCTTCTGGTCTTTCGTTGAATCCATCTGTTGCTAACCCGGTGTGGAGCATGACCAGATTCCTTATCAGTAGGACTTGTCATATAAAGCACTCATTGGAATGATTTGGAGTATGACAAGTGTGGTGGCAGACAGTTTGACATTGCCTTCGAATTTAAGTTCGGAGAAATGATGCTTCGTTGCCTGGGTTTTATGGCTGCTATTATGGTCACGTGGACTTCGCTTTATAACAATTGTGTAGCATTATTTGGTTCATACTCAATCCAACTTCTTTATTGGGGATGAAACCTCTAAGTGGTACCAATGCCATGGCTGGAACATTGCAGGGGACAGACCCTATTATTTTAAGATAACGCTAGAGATTTGGGGGTCCAGCAAAGGGTAGAAAGGTAATTGTCATAATTAGCGGATTCGTTTACTAGATTGCTCGTTTTGCTCACTTTCCAAATTGGCTGCCATGGATTGATATAATAGCTGCAACTTGAACTGTTCTTCAGCCTATAAGCACTTACAAGCCTCAATATGTCAGCTGTTTTCATTAATGGTCTACCTAGGAAAGATACTCAATGGAGATATAGCAGTAGATCTTAGGGATCGGACTGCAGCGGACCTCAGCGAGCGACTATTCAAGATGTCTGAAGAATTCTTGTGCATGATATAAGTCAATTCAGCAAGTCTATGGATATTAACCTCTGTCACTTACCTTTGCCGCCAGAAAGTCAGAAGTCTTTACTATTCAGTAGGAAACAAGATCTCTTAGATTCAGTTTCACATCGGAAATTAAGGAGTAAACTTCCTACCCATAGCTTCCCATCTCATCCTATAATTCATTTTAACAATGCATTTTGAAATCTCTATTATATGAGGGTTCCTTCGAGACTCACTAACTTAACGAAATGTTCTAAATAAACAACAGGCATTTTTCCGGGACTCAACAGATAAATGATAAAAGTTAACTATTTCATATTCACAAGTTCTAGGTAGTTGTTTAATTAAATATTACACTGTCTTCTGACTAGCAGGCAAAAATTCTAGAGACCACTCATTAGTGTGAGACGGGAGTCAGTTTTCCAACGAGAGCGAGAACGAGAGGCAAATCCGCAAACGATCGCCCTTAACGTCATTGGCCGTCAGTCGCGTAGCTGTACTCTTTCTCTCGTATTTCCTACGTACTTTTTTCCCTCTTACAGTAAATATCATAATTGCATTTGACTCTCCCCATTATCATATCGGAAACCCTTCCATCATGGTCTCCACGCGACACCATCCCCGCGAATTCCCCTCACCTGAGGCCGTTAAAGCGCTGTCCAAGTCACCTCCAGCTACCACCAGCGCCAGTTCGCGCAAATGGACTCATACACCCGCCGCTGCGCTAACAATCTGGCTGGTCGCTTCAGTTCCCTTGGTCATATGGGACACAGGCTATGTCTTGCTACGGCCACATAGCATGCCCGGCGGAAGTCTACACTCTCCAATCTGGACACCTTATGCGCTGTACGGAAAGGTCGACTATATCTACGGCTGGCCCGCTTTCAATGCGCACAACGGCTTCACGGCTGCACAGACTATTATGAATATTTTTGAGACTATCGGTTACATCTACTACCTCTGGATTGTCTACCACTATGGATCGACGGTTCGAAAGGGTGGATCGCAGAAAATCTCCAAGGGATTCACCTGGTTGCTGAAGGGAGACAAGGTAGTCGCTGGGCGCATTGGTGCGATTGCACTTCTAGTCGCCTATACCGCTTCTGTCATGACCCTAAGCAAGACTCTACTTTACTGTAAACTGCATTCATTCCCCGGGCTCTGTGTATTGGATTTTGATGAGAAATAGGGCTCAACGAGGTCTTCTCCGGCTTCGAGAACATCGGTCACAACGAACCGCATACTCTCTTCTTCTATTGGATCCTCCCTAAGTAAGTTCTAGTGCATGTGTACTTGAAACATACTAATTTTATTTAGCGGTCTGTGGCTCGTGTTCCCCAGTTACAATATCTACATTCTCGGGGGCGAGATTCTCAACTCGCTTGAGCTCGCAACACCGCGCCAGAAGGTCGGACGTCCGAAATCCACCTAGTATCAGTCGCGCAAACTAGGTAATGGCCAGAAATTTGACACGTGCAATGATGATAGAGTGCTTGAGAAAAGATCTGATCACTTCGACCTATCTAACGGTAGGTGAGATTTAAAAGATGGCTAGTATAAGAAAAACAAGGGTTTGCTTCCGTAATGCACAAGAGATCAACGAATATCTCCTTATGGCCACCCAGTAAGGATTCCCCTGACATGTAGCTACATGTTAGCCCTAGTCGGCCAAGCGATGTGCCATCCCAGGCGCCTGTTCGGCTGTCCTACGGGTTCAGGTCTATTCTGAGAGAGTCTAGCATACTATAAGTATATCAAGATATTGTTAGTTATATTTAAGCCAGTGGGGTGAGGATGCAAGTATATCCCTCCTAGAACCAGCACCCCTTTTACGGGAATAGTATAGGAGCTCTAGGGAGGATACAGGTGAATCGTAGACATATTACTCAAACTTCGTACTTTTTTTCTGTAATAGTTTTCTCTAGCAGACTTCCAATATAAATTGTGGCCAGGTCTCCATAATATCAGCGCCAGATGGCCGAAATAATTGCCAAGCCGCCATTCGCCGCCGAACCTTTCCCCATATTCGGGGGTGGTCTTCACTTTAATTTCTCCTCAATCTAAACTTGTCCTCTCGCTCTCTTTAAATACCACTTCAAATCTACCTTCCCATAATCGCCCTCCATCTCGGAAGCGCCTTCTTTTGTTCCCGACCGTGCCGAAGGATGCTTCGGGTCTGGGTCCTGGGGTATCCGCACCCGTCATGATCCCACGCGATTCCGACAAATCGCCAACGAAAACCCCTGGTGTCAGCTTCGGTCTAGGCCAGGAGGAGGCAGCTTTGGACGATTTCGATACACAAAGCCATGCAAGCTCCCGCGATCCCGGTAACACACAAACGGCCGACCCCGCGCTAGGCGCGGACAACGGCACATTAGACCAACGAGATGATCGCAACGGCCCGTCTAATTCTGAACCTCTAAACGACGAAGACAAACCGGCTTGGAGCGAGATGAAGACCAAGGCTGGGAAGGAGCGAAAGCGCCTGCCGCTGGCATGCATCGCGTGCCGTCGCAAGAAAATCCGCTGCTCGGGCGAGAAACCTGCCTGCAAGCACTGCACGCGCTCCAGGATTCCCTGTGTATATAAAGTTACTACACGGAAGGCAGCGCCGCGCACGGATTACATGGCCATGCTGGACAAGCGACTGAAGAGGATGGAAGATCGCGTAATCAAGACAATACCCAAGGAGGAGACGAGGGATATGGTCTCTATTGGAAGATCAGTTGTCAAGCCTTCTGCCTCAGCTCAGCCATTAAAAGCACAGAAGAAAAGAAGTGCGGAGGAGGCATTTGCGGCAGAGATGGAGGAATGGACTCGTGAGGATGGCGGCCCACCACACGAGACGTTCCCGCTGAATCGTGAGATCAAACCCACCGATGGGACTGGTCTTCTGACCGAGGGAGCCGAATTTTTGCCATCATTGGAGATTCAAGAGCATCTCGCGGAGGTGTTTTTTGATTGTGTCTACGGGCAATCATACCTGTTATTACACAAACCCAGCTTTATGCGACGGCTTAAAGCAGGCACAATTCCCCCTGTCCTGATTCTTGCTGTCTGTGCCGTGTCTGCGCGGTTCTCCACACACCCTCAACTCAACTCGGATCCGCCATTCTTACGTGGAGAAAACTGGGCTAATCCCGCTGCGGCCATTGCTCTGAGCCGGCATGACGAGCCAAATATTACCATTCTCACGGTTTTCTTACTTCTTGGTCTCCATGAGTTTGGAACCTGCCACGGTGGACGAAGTTGGTCTTTTGGAGGTCAGGCATTACGGATGGCATACGCGTTGCAGCTCCATCAGGAGCTTGATCATGATCCATTACTCAGTCAAAAGAATGGCAACGGCTCACAGTTGAGCTTTACTGATCAAGAAATTCGACGCCGCACTATGTGGGCATGTTTCTTGATGGATCGGTATAACTCTTCCGGAAGTCAACGGCCACCTATTGGAAATGAAAAATTCCTACAAATACAGCTTCCTATCAAGGAAGCTCACTTCCAGATGGAGATACCCGGCCCAACGGAAGATCTTGACGGCGATGTCCTTAATCCTGTACCTGAAGATGCAGGCCAATTATCTAATGCTAAAGAAAACATGGGTGTTTCAGCGTACATTATCCGCGCCATCACCATGTGGGGGCGCATTGTTGACTACCTAAATTTAGGTGGAAAAAGAAAGGACTCACATCCGCTTTGGCATCCAGAGTCAGGGTATATGCAGCTTAAGCGGCAAATTGAGGAATTCTCTGCGTCTCTTCCACTGCCTATGACCTTCACCTATGAAAATCTTCAAATCCATGCAGCGGAGAAGATTGCAAATCAGTTCCTCTTCCTCCACATCATCATACATCAAAACATGCTGTTTCTCAACCAGTTCGCCATTCCCTTGTCCCCGGGGGGCCGTCCACCAAGAGATATGCCTAAGTCCTTCCTCAGCAATGCAGGTCGAGCCGCGGTGGAAGCAGCGCATCACATTTCAGTGCTCTTTGATCGCGCTTCGGCCTATCCTCTTACTGTTCCTTTTGCTGGGTACTGCGCTTACTCGGCAAGTACAGTCCACATCTGGGGGATCTTCTCGAAGAACGTCCAGCTAGAGGCGCGCTCAAAAGAGAACCTCCGGCATACCTACCGCTACCTCAATAAAATGAAAAAGTACTGGGGCATGTTCCACTATATGGTTGAGAGTGCCAAGGATCGGTATCGGCTATTCGCCGATGCAGCTATCAAGGGCTCTGTGGCAACTAATGGCGCATCGCTGGCACCGATGTTCCAATATGGTGACTGGTTTGACAAGTATCCCCATGGAGTGTCAAGGGTGCATTGGGAAGGCCCCGATACTCGGCACAAAGAAACGGGCGAAGACGCAGTCATGGGCCAGAAACCCGACCTCCAGAGCGTGGAAGATTTCTTTGCCGGCCTTTCTCCTCCTTCGCAGCCAGGTCAACCCCGCAAATCCCGATCTCGCAAGAACAGCAAACTCTCAAATAATACACCAGGCATGGACCAGACTTCACCGCAATCAATGATGGAAGTAACCATGGGAAATACCCCAGGTGTTCCAGGCAGTGCATTCCCACAGCCATCCATATACCAACAATCCCGACCAATGTCATTTGGCGAACCACCATTCGACTTTAGTATCCCACCGGACCAATTACCGCAACTAGACCGGCAATTTGTCTACGGTTCATTTGCTGACTTCGACCCCAACTCGTTCGTTCCAAACAATCCTCCTATCCCACCGCTCGGCGTTGAAGCTCAAACTCCAGACCAAACATTGTTCACCGGCCATATGGACCCTAGTGCCCCCGCTGGGATGGGCGAGTTCTACCAGCCCAGCGCATGGTTCCTTCCCTTCAACCTTGACCCTGTTAACGGTGGAAACCAACCATCACATGCTCCGCCCCCGGCTCCCATACCTGGGGGAGGCAGTGGTGACGGCACGCCATCCGGTATCCCTCCTGTAGGCATGTCTGACTTTGGAGGTACGGGTATGCCTTTAAGCGCATATGATCTTGGTTTAACTTCGAACTTGAAACCTTCACGGCCGTGATCAGATCAGGTATTGTTCATCGGCTAGTGTTTTCTCAATGATTGCTACATGGTGTTTGAGTTTTCGCGATGATAAAGGTTAGGGTCGGACTTTGGGGTGTCTGTTACTTTTCGCGCTGTTCATATTATTAGCCCGGTGTAAATAATTGTCTCGTCTCTGACATGTATATCCCTTTCTGTTTTGAGTACATAATTGATTCGATTTACACACAACCTTGTAGATATTCCGATATAGAGGTAAAAATCAATTGACTAAAATAATTTGGCAAATGAAAGAAAAAAAAAGAAATTCTTGTGCATCATCCGTGAATCGAACACGGGCCTCGTCGATGGCAACGACGAATTCTACCACTAGACCAATGATGCTAGTTGTATGGTTAGCTTTGCGCTGTGGAGACTATGTTCGCTTAACGTATAGTGGGCTATGAGATCAGCATTGAACAGAAAGTGATCGAATATCTATGTAATTGAAGTTGGTAGATGTAATGTGGGTTGGCTTATAGATTAGTGCTGATCCTTTCCACATTAGAACTCTCTATATGCTAATGTGAGTGAATCGAGATGGTATGTGGCCGGATATATATCCAGTCGAGGTATGTAGGTAACTACAAAACATGTTCGTGGATAAAATGGGAATATTTGCATTACAGATGACCAGACAAGAAAGACTACTGAATTTATTGTTTGAACAATCCAACGAACAAAAGTGGCCATAGTTGCCACTGGACGCAAAGGAATGTAGAAGAAAGGGTATGGGATGTATGGGAAACACAAGTCGCTATAAGACAAGGGAAACCAGAGAAAAAAAAAAAAACCATCCCCTAATCATCCCACTCTTCATCCAGCTGATCTATCAGTCTGTTCTCGGCATCCACATCACGGCCCTGACCACGTCCCCGTCCTCCCCGTCCTCCAATGGCACCGATGAAACCGCCGTGGCCACTCGAGTCCGCACGCACGTAGCCATTACCTGCGGGAGATCCCTTGCAACGGAGGAGGTTTCCTAGCGAGGAAATGATAATCACGAACATGTCCTGTTGGCGCAGAAAGAAAGGAGTGGTCAGCTCATATTCCAAACAACGAGGTTCGTAACCTCAATCGATATCGATCATCTAAGTACATGCAGTAGAACATGTGGCCCATCTAATGAAACAAGAGAAACTGTGACTCTGCAGGAACCGTCTCCAACCCAGGGACCAGATGAAATAGCAGGTCCATTGACAAGGATCCAAGGGACAGCCCGTTGCATGAATCAAGACATCTTGTCAAACATATGAAAATGTACACGCCGTGATTAACACAGGCGCTCGAAGACTCAAAGAATAGAATTCAAAGGAACATGCAGAAAAGAGTGATCTATGGCAAGAAACAAGGAAATAAATGGAACAGGCTAACTGCAACCATCTCCCCCGAGGAGATTGATCTCTAGACCAGCCAGAGCGAGTTCAATCTATTCTTGAAACAGGTAGTCCTGCCCCATTTGAATCCCGGAACTTATGTGATACGAACTTGCCATATCTGAATCTGCGACGAGGCCAACACGGGATCAATGCTAGGATACTTACTTTGACAAAGTCGAAAACGCCAGCCCACAGGCTGAAGTTTGGACACTGGCGCCAGCCACGTTGATGCATAACAGTTCGCTGGTAGGCACAGCCACCAATCAGATAGACGGCAATAGCGATTAGCATACTAGAAGGGTCAGCATGGACTATACTGGGTATTTCCCCAATAGGTAGTAAGATGTACTTACATCACACCAAATACGCCACCGGGTCCCAAACCGCCAGCGTTGGGATCCGCGGCGATTCCACCACATGCCGCTGAGCTGCGGACTTCAAAGAAGTACGCGCATTCATCCAAAGAGCCGACAAAGGAAGCTGTGGCGACGTTCGGCGCAGCGTCACGGTCACAAAGGAAAGACATGATAGTCGATTTAGTGCGTGTAGAAGTATTGGAACTGCCCATGTTATCGCCCGGACAAGGTGAGCCGTTGGTATAATTGAGGACGAGTTTGCGGCCGCGGAAGAGTGGTTCAGATGCTTGTTGTCTGTGTATGACGGAGAACCGTTAGCATGATAATCCGCGAATAGTGCGACCAGTTGGGATGGAGATCTGCCATACCCTATGGAATATACTTTATCATCCCGCTCGTAATATGCACTGACGTTCTTCCACCGCGATGACTCTATCCCGACCACGTTCGTTACGTTCTCAATGACCGGTGCGCAGATGTTGAGTGTGAAATTAGCTGGGTAGTCGTGACCCCTGGCAAACCAGCTGTCCTCCCGCGCATCTTTCAAGACTTTCTTGCCGTCCTTCATTTCGGGCGGGGATAATGAGATCGCATTGAGATCAAAATATAACCCGGTGGTTGGGGAGCGGGCAACACATGGAGCATCATCTTTCAAATGAGTAGAGTATGATGCGCTAGATAGTCCGAGGATCGAGGATAGAAGGAAAATGGAGTAATGAGCGGAGCTGGTAAGCTTCATGGTGGGCTATGTGTTAAGCCAATGTAGAAAAAGAAATAGGATAGGGAACGTGTAGAGAGATGAAAAGATATCAAAATGAAATGACCTTTATGAAGGGAGGTGTATAGGTGTAGTTACCCCGGAGCCAGGTACAGGTTACTGATAGAGGCTTACGTAGCATCACGGCGGCTGTGATTGGCGATGCGGAGCAAATCTGCGGACATTCACTATCCGACGTCGTACGCGCCTTAGGACTTAAGGCTACAGGGTTCTCCAGGGCTATTTAAGAACCCATATTCCCCAGATTCTGGATTATCTCTCCATTACTTCATTATGTCTACCAAAAAGGACTCCAAAAAAATCCCCGTGCAGCCAGTGCCGGAGAAACGTGGTTATGAATTTGGTGGGCCGTAAGTTTTTCCCCCTTCAATCAAGCTCAGCCGAGCTGACATCTGCAATAGACTAGGTGCTTTCGGTATCATCTTTGGATTGCCAGTCCTGATCTATCTCTTTACCTTTGTCTGCAACGATATCTCTGGTTGTCCCGCGCCGTCGCTGCTGAACCCCTCGACTTTGTCGCTCGAGAAACTGAAGCATGAAGTGGGATGGCCAGAGGAGGGAATTACGGCGCTTTATGATACTAATGTTACACTGTGGACACTGAGCTACTATGCCTTCAGCCTGTTCTTGCAGGTCTTCCTTCCTGGTCAGGAGGAAGAGGGTGGTGTGTTGGCCTGCGGAGGGCGGCTGAAGTACAAATTCAATGGTATGGCAATGGCAGTCCTTCCTCGATCACATTCAAACAAGGGTACCTTTTTCTGACTCGGTTCATTTTATAGCATTCTCCTCTGCCGTTATTATCCTCTTGGGCCTCGCCGGAGGCACTTATCTCTATGGCGCCAACTTTGTGGTGTGGACATTCCTGTGGGACAACTACGTTCAGGTCATTACAGCCAACTTGTTGATCTCTTCTTTTGCTGCACTGTTCGTCTACATGAGGAGCTTCGCAGTCCCAGCCCCAGGGCAGGCAAACCCAGACCTACGAGAGCTGGCACCCGGTGGCCATACGGGCAACGTGCTCTACGACTTCTTTATCGGCCGTGAACTCAACCCTCGTGTTCGCCTGCCCATTCCATTTGTCAGCGAGGCATCGCGCACCCTTGATATCAAGGTGTTTATGGAAATGAGACCGGGCTTGCTTGGATGGACAATTCTGAACTTGTCCAATGTGGCCCACCAGTACCGAACATATGGCTATATCACTGACTCGATTGTGCTGGTCACTGTCTTCCAGGCATTTTATATCCTGGATGCGCTATATATGGAGCCAGCAATCATGACCACTATGGATGTAATCATGGACGGATTCGGATTCATGTTGTCTTTCGGCGACGTGGTTTGGGTACCTCATCTATACAGCATCCAGACCCGTTATCTCTCTGTTTTCCCCTACGAGCTTGGATTGACTGGCATGGCCGTCGTTCTGGGTGTCACAGCCGTCGGTTATTCGATCTTCCGCGGCGCCAACAACCAAAAGAACCGTTTCCGCACGAACCCCAATGACCCTCGCGTGAAGGATATCAAGTATATCGAAACTGCTGCTGGATCTAAATTGATGATCTCCGGCTGGTGGGGTCTGGCACGTCACATCAACTACCTTGGTGACTGGACTATGTCGTGGGCCTACTGTCTGCCGACTGGTGTTGCGGGATATGTTCTCATCGAGAGCATCAACCCAGCCAGCGGCGCTGTCCAGAAGCAAGCGGTGCAGACCCCAGAAATCCGTGGCTGGGGTATGATCTTTACATACTTCTACATGCTCTACTTTGGTGTCTTGTTGATCCACCGTGAGATGCGTGATGAGGAGAAGTGCGAGAAGAAGTATGGCGCTGACTGGAAGCGTTATACCTCCATCGTCCGCAGTCGCATCATCCCCGGGATCTACTGAGATATCACAAAAAGTTATTTGATAGGCTGGGTGTTGTCTTTTGTACATTAATTATCTTTAATACCTGGGCGAAGACTGTATGGTAGCCTTGCACTCTTTGGATTATGATCTTCCAAAGTTCACTCTCTCTACCTTTGTTGCAGCAGAGTTTGACCAAACAATATAAATAAATATCTGACCAAGAGACACTTTTTACATATAATTTCCTACGCCGAACCAGTATATCTTGCTCATGCCATTGTGTCGCTTCGTAAAAACCAAGAGCTTTGAATTAGGGCAATTTCAAGTTATTTCTTGTTAATTCCATAGTAGGCGAGCAGCTTGGGGGCAATAATTTACAGTTGATGTCAAGACTGAACCACAGTCAATACAACTGAATAAGTACACCCAGCTATGAACCTCTCCGTTTGTGCTCAATCATCTGAAGAATCTTCAAGATCGTTGCCCGCTTTCCTCATAGAACCAACCATGTGAGTTTCGAGCTCATTGAGGAAGCGAGCAGCCTTTCTCCGGAAGTCGATGCTAGGATCCACAAGGAAGTCGTCACGCAAACTTATATAAACATAGACGGGTCAGTCGCTCCGATTCGATTTGCGGAGGGAGGCGTGTATGGTGCGTCGCCGATAATGAGGGGATGAGCCGATTTGGCAATAAGTCAAGCATAACCTGCCGTTATGCTTTTTGTCTGGTTGAAGACATGAGGAGTTGACGAGTAGGCCAAGTTCATTGTCTCCCATGAGTCGTAAACTCGAGGTCCATTCAATATCCGGGCTTCGGTGTCAAGAAAGTACTTGACGAAAAGGAGAAGCACTTTTCGGAATGTATATTGACAGCCGGTGGTATCGATGATTTATGTTTCGTTGCGCTTGAGTAGTTTTATCTTCAACACCGTGTGTGGGCCTCCGTGCAAGTCAGGGCCAGGAATAAGTCGAGTTGAAAACCGTGGCTTTCCGATACCGAGGACGATAGTCTCAATTTTCAAGGGAAGGTCTGCTTTGTTAGCAATCTTCAGTAAGTGAAGGTTAGCACATGACTGCTGTGGATTGGCTGTTAACGAGACCTGCTTGCTTGTGCTCGACGTCGTCGGTCATGTGGTTTGGGAAGGGAGCCCGTTTGGATTGGGACTAAACTTATCTTTGATTTTGATGGAGATAGAGGACGCCATCTTGATACTCGATCTTAGCTAGATTGATATCTGAGATGGTCGTAGATCAATGAGACTGGGGAGCTGAGAGTAGGGGAGAGGAATAATTGTTGAGAACGGTGTATGCCTTTAATGCCTTCGCATAGATCTAAAAAGACGTTTCAAAAAGAGTATCTGAAAAACTACTGGAATACTAACCAAGAAGATATCACAAGGCCTCATAAGCCGCCAGCTATTCTTGTTATGGGTATCATGAAAACAGGACACGATGGGGTTACAATACATGGCCCATATGTATTAATCTTTATTAATCTTTCATGCTTTGGACACAATCAACGCTTTCGCTTTTTGGGGTCAACCAAAACATCCAAGCCCCAAGATTCATCTCCTGAATTAGGCATCCATCCCTTGAGAACCAGTCTCGCATCCCCGATGGCCTGCCTACGGATTTCCAACGGGTCTTTCAAGCTGCTAGGGTTTTTGAAATCCTGGTAGGTGGTAATATCTGGCATGCGGGGCTGAACTGTATTGGCGTGCGGATCTTCAGCTTCCGAAGCATCCACCAGCGATTCGGCTTGGGAGACATCGGTCTGATAGGAACGTGGAACCGAGGGCGCAATTTCGCGAAAAAGAGCCCAAAGCTTAGCTCGAGATAAAGACGAGGCCCCACGGGCAGCAGGTGAGGATGCCCGGTTTCCTTGTTTCACTCCATTGATGATAGTCTCATACAAACCGGTTTTGGAACGGCAAAGAGTCGGCACTGACTTGGCGCCGGTATCCATGGTCATTGCTGATGGGCAGTGATACGAGGGAGCCAATATCCAAACCGCGCTCACATTCCCTGGCCTGGACTTTTTAGATTTTGCTCCAGACGTCGAAGGGTCCCCTTCCTGCTCCAAAGAAGCAGTACAAGGCACAGATTTCGGCTTCGCAAAAGGCCAAAGTGTTGCCACCTCTTCACTCAGTACCGAAAGAATTTGGAATGGCCGGAATCGATACCCTGGTGTGCTTTCTTTGAAATTCATCTCCTTGGGCCAAGATTGCCCACCCAAAGCCTGCATCCGGCCGTTCTCGCCAAATGAGCGGTCACAGCCAACTTGGCTGATTTCTTCCTCGGGAAGAATTAAACCTGCTAGATAGGCATTCTCGGTGGGAGCAATGAGGCGACTGGTCTCACAGGATAGCAAGGAGGAGACTTGCCGTAGTGCAAGCTTGTCTGAGCAGGACTTGCTGCGCGTAGACTCGGCGTCCATGCGAGCTGGCTTTCGACGCACGACTCCGAGAAGGGAGAAGTGGGCCCGGCCATCTAGAAGGGTCTCTGTACCTGGGACCTCTGTGTTGGTTTTTGGCAAAGAATCTTCATGTAAGACTTCCCACGGTGTCGCATCTTCTTGGGCTGCCATGCATAGCTCCATGCTTGCGTCGCCGCAAGGAGCACATGTGCAATACATGTAAATCTTAATATCAGGCCGAAGCTTGAAAGGTGGCCATTCTGTGGATGTGCAAATGCCACCTTCATCCTCTTCAATATTTCTCCGTTGTATGAATGGAGAATCTGAGATCTTTTCATTATCTGTGGAAGTATCGCCATTCGTTAATTGCTTTTCCCGGGACAGGACACTGTTACATTCCGTTAAAAGCCAATAATTAAATGCTCGGATGGCCAAGATCTCGGCGTGACAGTCATGTAGTACAAGACCCCTGCAGCGTGGGATATGAGATGCTGACAAGCATTTTGCGCCAGTCCTACATGAATATCAGCTTGCTTGTCACTTGCATATGATATGGTTACAGTTCAGACTTACGTGACAGATATGCAGGTCAGAGTTTCTGAAGGTGTGTTTTCTCCTATAGGTGCCAAAAATGTTACTATTAGAATCAAAAGAAAGATATGGCGAAGTAAAGATCAAAGAACACATTCCCTTCACCATATATAGATCAGGGATGATAACCCGTTTATGAACTGAGTAAATTACCTTTGACAGCCACAATACCAGTCATTGGAATCCATTCCCTCGATCCATCTGGAAATATGGTTGGTTTACTGCGCGTTGGCAGAGCATCGAAATGTGCATGAACCACCGATGCTATCCGGGACGGTAATGAGAAACCAGATATATCAGCAGACATTGGATATTGTCATACTTTGAGCACCAATTTTGTAAACAACCAAATGCTTTATTAAAGGTAAGAGAAATAGAATTGAAGAATCTCAAGATGCCCATACGGTCACGTGAACCCATATAATTCTGCCTGAGGCGCCGATGGTTCCTTGACTTCTTCAAGCCTCCGGACATCCTTCTCAATCCAACGTCAACGTCTTTACTATCCACCATGGCTGACAAGCTCCGCACCATCCAGAACCTTGAGGCTCTCCAGGCCCGTTACATCGGTACCGGACATGCCGATACCACCAAGTACGAATGGACGTCCAACATCCTCCGTGACAGCTACTCCTCCTACGTCGGTCACCCTCCTCTGCTGTCCTACATGGCCGTTGGTATGGGCGAGCCGAAAGAGAAGGTGCGCGCAATGATGCTGGAGAAAATGGTCAGAGGCGCTGGTAATCCGCCAGAGGTATGTGGTGTCTTGCAGAGTTGCTCAACATTTACAAAGATGGGTTAGCTAACAGTGCTCTTCAATGATTTAGACTCAAGAGTAAAACCGCTGAGTGTGGCATATTCTTGTTTTCCTTGATACCCCTTGTTGCGTCCTTGGATTTCCATACATGAAGGCAAATCCTCAATTCTCCGACCAACCCCAGTCCAGCTCAGCAACCTCGCCGACATGAGATAATCCCCTCTTGTGTACCGGTTTCGAAACTGCCAAAGATCCAGACGATCTAATCCATAACATCTGAATTCATGGAAGACATGCCTGTCGAGCGTCATTGCTGCCCTCAAGCACGGCTTGTGTGCTGGGTACTCGCCAGTTCGCTGGGCGGTTGGTACAAAAATACTTTTTGTCTCCCGGCCTTTTTGTGTATAGAAGCTGCTCTAGAGCCGAACCTCGCTTGATTGATCGTGGTCTGCAATATTACAATTCAAATCAGAGTGCTTGAAACATGAATATATCCAAGAAATTCTATTTCCATGCAGACGGATGTAGTAATTGGCCCAAGACAAAGTAATCGTAAAATCACACATATCGAACCGTGATCAAGGCTAAAATAAACAAACAGAAGAGGCTAGGAAACAAGCCATGTAGTATTTACAAGCCATATATTACAGTCTAGCCGATCAAGCAGTCTCCAACTTCGCCGCCAACTTCGTATTCTCCGCTTGCAACGAAGCAACAAGATCGATCCATTTCTGGCGCTCAGAGCGAAGCTGCTTGAGCTCTTTCTTGAGATCATGTACCTCGTGCTTCAAGTTATCAACCTCAGACTTGTTCTTGGACTTCTCCGAGCGCTCCGCATCCTTTCGCTGCTTCGATTGAATCTTCGACGCAACTTTCAATTGGCTAGCCTCGATCTTGCGCAGTTGCTTAAGCAGCTTAGATTCCCCATTAAGAAAGTGAGAGGCTGCTTTGGAGTGATGTGCTGGCGGGTCGGGGGTTGCCGTCTGCGCAGAAGATGACTTTTCTTCATTGCTGTTCTCGCCCTGCGGTTGACTTTGGCTCTGCTGTGTCCGAGTGCTGGGAGGTTTGGAAGACATATTCGTCGCTGCGCGCTTACGCATCTCGCTAGTGTCACTGTCTACCTCGCTAACTCCTTTCCGTGGGGTCCCTGAGACACTAGGCGGTTGTGAGATCTGAAGCTTGTCGAGTTCGGCGCGGACTTCTTCTAGCTTGGCTTCAATTTCGCGTTTACGTATGGCTAGTTTGGCGAGCTCTTTCTCGTGCGAAGAGAGGTTGCCATTCTTTGTCATTTTGATCAGTTCCTCCGGGGACATGTTGTTGTGTGCTACATCGATGGCAGTTGCTGCTTGTTCGGAATTGGTTGATGACAATGAAGCACCATCGCGCTCGCGGGACGTTGAATATCCGGCGTCCAGCGTCGGTTTATCTTCTTGAACGCTTTTTGGGCTTAGGTGTGCCATGCCATCTGCATCGGTATGGGAAACCTCCGCAGGTGGGGGATCACCCGATACATCATCATGGGACCCGTATCCCAGAACATGTGGTGCAAACCGTTCCAGTCCGGTATTGAGCAAGCCAGTGACACTGGCAATCAGACCATGGTGCGAATGCTCGCCGTCGCTGTCGAGTGATTCGTACTCCGAATCCGAGTCGTCTGCCTGGTCGGAATCATACCCATTCGCAGACCGCTCAGATTTAGCGTTGGCGCCTGTTGAACCATCCGCAGCTTCCGTGTCTATGGGTTCTTCTTGCTTGGGGGTTTCGTCATCTTGGACAGCCCAATTGATGAATTTAGCGGCGTCCGCTCCCACGCTTCGTGGTGTTCCCTTGTCCACCATCCACCGTGGGATGTTGCCGCCCGGGTCACTCCTGGTGACCATGATCCATTCAACAGGATTCATTTCTTCGTCTTCATCATCCCCAGCTCCATTCTGCTCAGGTAACCCCTCAGGGCGTTGCAGATTGGAGGATGAAGAACCTCCATTCTTATTACTTCCTTGACTAGGAGAGCTGTTCCCACTGCCGTTCTTTTTAGGAATCTCCCGAATGAGTTCAACAGACTCATACTCCCCACGAGTATATCCTGGCTTATTCCGGATATCGGGGTGGTCACATGGCTTAGAGATCATGATCCAACTGCGACCAGGATGCTTACATCCGCCAGCTTGCAATCCAAAATCGGAATTGATGATCAACTCCACAAAATCGCGCGGAGCAGTAGGCTTAGGAAATTGCGCCGAAACGTGGTAAACAATCAAATCGCCCAAGATCGAACCATCGTGGTCCTTGACCTCCATAGTCTCGATCTTTTCCTCGGCACCGATCCCGCGGATACTCTTATCGGGCGTCTCTCCCTTCTCAATCTTCTTGCGGTTTTCTTTCAGCGTTTCATCGTACTCGGTTGAGAGCTTCTTCCGCCACCGCGAGAATGGGATGCCTTCATGCACACTCCGTCGCCCGAACCATGAGCCTCCACCGTCATTTGCGGAAAGTTTCCATACAGTCACGTCTAATGGATTGTCCTTTGGTCCGCCCATCTTCAGCGGTTTCCCCCATTCCTTTTGCAGGTCTGCAATATCTGGATCGGTTTCTCCCATTCGTACGGATGATGGGACAATTCGTCGGGCGGAGGAATCTGTCGTGGCTTCTAACCCGGGGTAGTCATCGTTATCGGTGATTGGGGGGTCTGGAAGTGACTCTGCTACCAGGCGGCCTTTTTTGAAGATATCGCGCACGTAGTCACGGAGCTCGTCGGGATCCTGGGGGACTGCGTCCCATGATGTTGGCTTGAGGCATTGAAGGGCCTCGTGTAGGGTAGCCATAGGTGCTGTAGGAAGATCCAATTCTCTCGAAGTCTCAATCTTCTGCGATGTAAAGTCTAACAGATTGTATGTAGTGATGCTGTTTGGTAGTCGGGTCAGCTCGTGGCTATGCCGCAATCAGGTCACGGAGGTGGAATTGTAGTGGACACTAAGTTCTCCAGAACATTAAGACTGAAATGCCTAACAATGCTCAAGTAGCTTGCCTAGGCGGAACTGCGACGACCTGCAATAGAACTCCAATAGAACTGCAACTGCTTTGTAGAAATGCTGTTATAAATGAAGCACGAGCTGATGGATTTCAGATAAGAGATAAACGCAACAAATTTACAATGCAAAGGGATAGCACATGAAATTCAAGATCTGGAGGTGTCAAGGTGAGCTTCAAGTTATGATGTAGCCTGGACTCTTGGCGGTCGACGTCATCCAATATACAACCCGTCGAATTACCTTGTTAGGTTTAGCGCTCTACGTTTCTATATAAAGTGGGCTTTGTGAACTGGACTAAGTATATTTGACAAATTGAGGGAAGAAGTTGTGTACGCACTTTTTATAACTAAGCTAAAGAGATACATACAATATTTGGACAGAGCTGCTGATAGATCAACAAAAAGCCGGAGAAAAGAAGCAGCCAGCGCAAGGGACCAGCCCCTCGATCAGACAGATAGTAAACGAGGGTATCTATCAGATCAAGCATCCGGTTCTCGTCGTCGGGACAAAGAATGAAGGGCTCTTCCATCCAGTAAAAGAGCCCACCCGACAGACCAAGCTTGCCCAGGAATTTCTAAAAATCCAGCCTGGACGATAGGAGATGAATCTATCATTGCCAACTGTGGTCATTAGAGGTGAGTTCGTAACGCAGAAGATGGAGATGACTGCCACTCAGACCACTCGTCGCTTGGGGCGGGATGTGAAAATCCCCAGGTCACAGACCGAAGGAGGGAATCCAGTGCATCGCCCTTCGCGCTCGATATCTGCCACAGGCGGATCTGATCGAGTCTGACGAGGGTTTAGGGCAATATCTTCTCTCGTGTCGTTAATCTTCACCTCGAACCAAAGATGACTAAAAAGCGTACCCCAACCAAGTATCACAGATGCAAGGAAGGCGACGCAGTCGCATAAACCTATCCTCCAATTCTTCAAGAGAACTAGCCAGTCCAGTACCCAGTACCGGAAGGACAGACCCGGAAAGAAAGACAAGAAAACAAAAGCACACGCTGAACCCAGTTCAGTCGAGTAACCCAAACTTGCTTCCTTCCCTTTCCATCGAGCGACAGAATCGAAAACGTAAGGACATTCCACGTCCAAATTCATATCCTCCACATGCCGTGAGGCAGACCAGTCTTCATGACATATATGCGGGAATGACAAAAGAAATGAAACATAACAGAGAGCCGACCCGCCGCTTCTTGATGCAAAGAAAAACAAAGAAAAAAAAGCATCGCTGACGCTGGAATCGAACATGGAAATTATCAAAAGCACAGAAAAAGGGAATTCAGGTTATGCAAAAGGCAGGAGGGAGTATCACAGATGCACAGAGTCGAATAGAACGCCATCAAGAATGCGAATTGTCGTTTGAATCGGGTTCCCGGAAGATAGACGAGAGAGGAGAGGGAATAGTTGAGTCGTGAAGAAACCGAAAAATTGCGCGCGCATCTAGTTAAGAAACGATCCACGTTTCTCAACCCCACATTGCACGAACTGGGGGAGCCTGGACTTGGGAATGGTCGACATCACCGAGTCTAGTCAGGGCAGAGCTAAGCGATCGTGCCATATGGCATCGGAGCAAAGTCGCCCCAACCAAAGCCCCCCATACCCATGTTGACAGCCGTGCTGCAGGGTTGTACAAGCATGCTCGGGAACACGCTTGGGAACATGCTCGGCAGCGGGAGTGGACTGAGAGCGGCTGATGTGGTCGGCATGCAGGTGGTCGGCAGGCAGTCGTAGGTCTGGAACGGCGAAGGGGTGTAAGGTTGACTGTAAGACGGGGTCGGGGAGGCAAGTTGGGCGTCACTGAAACTGAGACTAGCCCAAAGATTCGGATTAGAATCACCCGTGGTGGCCGGGTTGGGGCTGGGCGACAGTACTTTCCACGACTCGAGTGGCGGCTGGGGCACCTGGTTCTGCCACCAGTTTTCCGGACCTGTCGAACTGGGAAGGAGAGGCATTGGGCGCATGACATCTGGCATTGGCGGCGAAGGGGCAACCAGTGGGACAAAGAGCTTGCCGATGGCTGCCTTTGCTTCTTCGCTGCGACCGTTCAGTAGTTCCCCAGCGCCGTCTTCCTCCAGTCCTTCAAGTGCCTGGGCGTTGGCTCGGTAAACGAACTTGTTGGCGGCTTGGACAAACTCTTCCTGTAACCTCTTCAGCTCACCATGCTTTCCTGACCAGTTGTATGTATTGGCGGCAGCATCCACTGAGTAGACCTCTTTGTGGAAATCAACTAGGGATTCGATCGTCTCCGGGGTCAACTTGAAGGCCACCTCGTTACGGGAGACCATGTCGACGTGTACAACATAGGCCTCCATGTGGATCATTTGGTGGTTGTGTATGGATTCCCAGAGCATGTTCTCGTTCTTCTCTAACTCGGTCTGAGGGGCTTTGGTGAACACCATGGAACACAAGGTCCAGATGGCATTTTTCGATGAGAGTGTTTCTGTCAGGCACCGTGTGTGTTGGGTGACATTATTCAAAGGACGCTTGACCCGGTTAACTCGCTTTAGGGTGGCCGTCAACCAAGGCTCAACCTTGCTATTTAACACGACATTCGGGGATGATCGCGGCGCAAACGCAGCGGCGGAAGATGGGAGTAAGACTGTTGGCATTATGACACTGTGAGGTGATACGTCCGGCGTTAAAATAAAAAGAATGTAAATAGAATGTAAATCATAAAGGCGACATTCGCCCACACCAAATGTTTTTTTTGGATTTGAAAATGGTTAACAAAAGTCGTATAATCCAGTATTAGAGTGTGGACGAATGCGCAAGAACAGAAATTATAGTATAAAAGAAAGATGACATGAAAGTAGAAGAAAAAAAAGAGTAAGAGATAATATAAGAGGGGCAAGTGGAGAATTTTCTTTTGATATTAAGAACACATTTTTAGTATGCAAGTAAATGGAGTCAACCCATCTCGGACTCCCCGATCCACAGTGGACTATTTAGTGGCGATACATTGAAACGGTTAGAAAGCGCGAGAGTGTTTCATCAAATTTGACAGGTTCTACAGTTCCAATCTCTTGTTGCACGTCCATTTGGCCCAGAACGGCTGCATGATGCCCTAAACTGCAGTCTAAGCCCCCCCCCCCACCCCCCCCCCCCCCCCCCCCATAGACAAACCTCCGATAATTTTCTAGTATTCTCAGCTAGGCGATGTGCATATATTTCGCTAAGATCTACACATTATGGATCTCTTGGGGTGAAGATTCTATTTAAATTTTGCAGCCTGCAAGCCAAGATTTAGTTTCGATCTCTTTCTATTTCAATAGTACTCAGTATTCATACTTGGAGAATTATATTCCAAGCTTAAGTATGGAGTACGTTGATAATATTACACAAAACACATTAGCATCAATTACAACAATAACAACAATGAGATCAAGGGGGATTTTTGATTTTTTTTGGACCTATCGAGTGCCGCTCAGACAATACAAAGTTGTAAACCTCAGCTGATGGAGGGTCGACCAAGCGTGGGGCAAAGCCCGTCTTGAGTCACTTCAGAGCTGGGATTCGCTGAGACCAACCGAGTCCGGCCGATGCACAGAAAGCTGAGATCCCTGTTATGATCCGCCATTGGGCTGAGCCTCCAATACTAGACTTTGGGGCGCCATTAGCCTTTGTGTACTGAAATACCGTTTCTTATTCTTTTATTGTCCACATGATTCATGTATTCGATGATCTCATCTTACTCTCTCTCTGTACTCCACAGGCGCCTCTACCTCTGCCTCTTCCCTAAAATGGAATCCCTGCTGCATATGAGTTCGGTCACATGGTCTGGTGTGGGTGGTTCGCTTTGAGTCGGATGTTTTGTTGATATTTTGCTATAGAACCTATACACATACGGGAGTACACATAACGACGGATGGAAAAATATGCGACCGAGTTTGGTTGCTGTTTCCTAAAATAGATATGAGGCGGTGCATACTACTCGCCACGTGTGGCGGATATCTCCGGCCCCACATGCTATGCAAAGCCCTATTCACTCCAGCGTAGTTTCTTGCTTCACTTTCACTTTGCATGATTTTACCGAAAACCGGCTGGAGAGACTGTATGAGTTGGCAAGAGTTAGGAGCTGGAATCTCAGGCAGATCTTAACCACATCTACAGCCGGGCGGCTGCTGAAACTCAGCTCTGTCGGGTCAGTATCAAGCCTGGTTTCATGATTGTCAGGATGTCATCAAGTTAGAATAGTGACATCACAGCACTATGAATACAGCAGTATACTGAAATTTAACATATTTTGAAGACTGCATTGGTTATGACTCATAGACGTGCCGATGTGCGATTACAAACGAAGCCAGACCATGCCCTAATATTGCACGATATACCGTTTGTTGGACAACCTCCTAGATGCACCCAGAATAAATCAGTGCTTTAGGTACGTTAAATGGATGCATCGTGAATTATGTTTAGAACGTATCAAGGGGCTCATTCACGAATGAGTGGTACAGCGCACTCTGGGGCTTGGGTAGACATATATTAGACCACTTGACCTTGGAATCGTGACTCACAGATAATTGCTCAGTTTGCGAAAAGTCCCGACAGGCTTTACCTTGTTTTTCCTAGGCATCCAGATTATTCAATTGTACCCCAACCTCCGAGCAAGGAGTTTGGTCGTGTTGGAAAGCCCCGAACACTTTTTATGCTGTCTAGTACGGAGTAGCATTCGAAATAATGCGCCCTACAAATGAATCGAGCCGGAAAGTAATCGAGAATAGTATTGAGATAGTTACTAGGGGGAAACCATAAAATACATATCTTTTAGTAGTATTACCATGTTATTCTTTGCTTCATGAAGATATTAAACTCTCTACATCGAACGTTGTATATAGTAAAGTCCATTTCACAAACTAGGCCCCTTTTTTTGCCGTGGAAATACAAAACTGGCAGACATCTAGACAGAATGATATCTGAGAGCGCTACTAGAGAGCACACTGAAAAGACCACAGAAAATATATCATACGGCCGATTATTCTTGCGTTGCATTTCATTTTGTTAACCAAATCTGACTAAAGCTGTCAATTAAAAGTATGCATAATGTACTATGGCTATAGTTTTATAGCTTTCCCCAATCATTGCTATCGTCATTATTCCATTCACACTTCTGAAAAAATGATAGATATAACCATACGTTGGCTTTCCAAGAATAAATTTTATCTACTTCTTTGGGAGCTGAATTCGATGGAATTGCCTAGTACATGGAGGTTTCTAGGGGCCATCGCATAACGCAGTTTGTTGCTCAGCAGATTACTATGTAAGGAGTCTTCTTCCTAAAATTCATCTTGGTACAAAGTGCGAAGGATCTGTAGTCCGATGTTCGGACCTTCTTCAATTGAGAGGCATGCTAGAGGTATATCGCCTTCGAACCATGCAATATATATATATATATATATCTAAAATAAAGAATTGGAGAAGATATAGATATGTATATTGATATTTTCATTTATAAAAAGGCTTGGTACAATTGTCTAAGCAAATGACTCCACGTAGGATTGAATCATCATTCACTACAAGCTTCGTATAAGGTCAGAGATACTTCGAGCACACTGAGATCTAGAAGGTTGGGGCAGTAGAATCAGAGGTTGGCCCGAACTGATTTTACCGAGCAAAAGAAATTGATAGCTACGCATTTGCATGAAGGGTTAAGTATATACATGCCAAGCAAAAACCGGACAGAATGACATAGTCCAGAATCGCTATGTACCTCCCACCCCGTCTATTCCAGTCCGGAGTACGGAGTAGGCAAGTTATTTTCTCACGAGAACGAATAGGCTATGTAGCAATACTCCGCACACTAATGCAGGAACGGCGCATCCCGCCTTGAATGACTGTTCGGGGGCTTTCTTTTCTAGGCCGGGGAATGGCGCATCATACGAAGAAGTCCTTTTTTAAAAAAAACAAGGAAAAGCATAACGAGTGAGGAAATGATCGTCCGATAAGCAATACGAAGAGAATCGCCACACAATGGGGTTACTCTGGGGTATATGTTGTATAAGTTACCTAAAAAGGGTAGGAACTGCATGCGGGACAATAGTACTCCGTAAGACCCGTTTCCCCAGAGAATGCCTATATCTCGTCCAATCAGTTCGTCCCAACAATTCCCGGTATGAGGATCGACCAGGAACAAAATACGGCCCCCCGGGGACCCCTGTAGGTGTGAAAGGTACTTTGTGGGGAACTTGTCTTATGGCAGCTGGGTAGTGAGAGATAGGGTTATGCAAGTTTATGCAAGACTGCCGAATAGCCTCACTACTCTATATTGATTGCACGATAATTTGAAACTCTACAATATAAACCAGGGCGAGCAGTCGCCAGGAACATGAATTTTCCCATTGCCCCTGGCCAAGGACCTGCCGTGCCGATCTGCACGCTAGCGCCTTTTAACGGGTAACGGGAGCCTAACAGTTCACATGCTTCTTCCTCAATGCATGGCGTGAAGGATCAAGCCACCGAGCATGGATCTCTGGTTTATGGCGTAACTAAGCTATATGTTCGTTTCAGGGTCCAGTCCAAAATTGATTATGGTGTAATTAAAGAAAGAAGCCCAATTCTTTTAGAATAGAAATACGCTGTACATGTTCTCCCCACAGTTTTATCCCGAGGTCAAAGCCTACTAAAAAAAGGTGGGAATTGAACTCCATAGACCGGATGTTCTTGCCAAAGTTGGACAAGAGAATATAGTTGTGATAGTGGAGAACACCTCTAAGCGAAGGGTGTGACTCGACATTTGCCCATTGAGATGCGTTTAGCGTAGGGACCAACGCTCTCCTTTCTGGCTTGATCCAATGAGAATCATGTCATTGACCCAGATCAGCGGTCACTTGGGGTCTCTGATCGGCAGACACCTCAAGTCAAGCGAGGTGACTGCTTTCGAATCATCATTTGGGTTAAAAAAAAACTACCCCATGCCGATCACCAAGCAGGAAAGCGACCGTAGTGCCCAAGGCCCAAACAAAGCGAGATGCTAATCCCGCAGGTCGTAATTTCCAGCATCGCTATTCGCCGCCCCCGCAAGTCTAAGCTACTAGTTTCGGACGGACGACGGATCCGTTGACGACATATGGACCCCAAGTCATAGACAGCCCGCTCCAAACTATGAACACGGAGCGAAAAAGGGTAGTCCCCCGCCGAGATCGGGTCAAATCGTAGTCAGAAAAGACCACACAGCTTCACATGTGGGTTGGCTGCCCTCGGCTTGCTCCATCCAAGGATCTGCAGTGGAGGATTCCCAAGGACATAAAGGAGACGCGAGATCTCCCCACAAGATGAGTTCTGGGCTCAGACGTCAACCGCCGGAAATCCCCTTTGTCAAGTTACCTCTGTATAGAGCAACGGCCTAAGATGCGTTTCTCCGCCGCCTTTATTTCGACCCTGGTGCTCTCTAGTACCGCACTGGCCGGTCCTGCCGCTCAGGTATCCTCAGCCGTGGGAGCTGGCGCGACCACAGAGGCAGAGGCCAACAAAAAGGACGTTGCGCAACCACATGCAAACAGTGAGAGTGCATCGGAGGCTACTCCTTTTGTGCAAGCAGCAGAGAACATTGTCAACACTGCTGCGCAGCAAAATACCCAGACTGCAACTCACGCTGCAGCGGCAGTATCTACTGCTGAACCGAGCAAGAACGACAAGGAAAACAAGGAGAACAAGGAGAACGCTGCTGCAGACATAGACAACGCAGTGCAGAAGGACAACCAGAGTGCTACGACTTCTACCAGCGCTGAGACTTCGGCCAAGTCGGACACCCCGGGCCTGAACAACATCCTGCCAACAGAGAAATCTGCCTCAGAGACTGCTACATCTCAGGCCTCTCAAATCACTAAAACAGGCTCTAGTGCTCAAGACACAGCTTCCACGACCCATTCCACAAAGTCTCCAGAAGAGACACCACAGAACTCCTTCACAGGCGGCGGTAGGGAAGACAAGTACGGCAACGATTTTGGGAGATTCCTGGATGGAATCGGGGGCCTGTTCTCCCCTACTCTACTGGCGGATATCGAGTCCTTCTTCCACCATGTCGGCTATCTCCTCGATGACGAGACCACACAGAATACCAAGGACCTGATTAATACTGCTTCCGGTCTGCTCACCAAGAGCCTGATCACAAAGGTCACCGGACTGCTTGACAACGCCAGCGACCTTTTGACTGCCGAATTCGTCAAGGAGACCAAGAGTTTGATCAATGCTGTTGGTCCCGTGATCACCCCTGAACTGTTCAAGGAGATCAATAGCCTTCTTGGCAACGCAAATCATCTCCTGACTGCCGAATTCGTGAAGGAAATCAAGGACCTCATCAACGCCGTGTCCCCTGTCCTGACGCCCGAACTGTTTAAGGAGATCAGTAGCCTCCTGGGTAACGCCAACAGCCTTCTGACTCCTGCGTCTGTGAAGGGAATCAACAACCTGCTCACTAACGCCGGTGGCCTGTTGACTCCCGACTTTGTCAAAGAGGCCAAGAGCCTTATCAGCGCTGTTGGTCCTAATATCACACCTGAGCTGTTCAAGGAGATCAATAGCGTTCTTGGCAACGCTAACAAGCTCCTTACCCCCTCAACTACTAAGGAGATTAGCGGCTTGTTGGTCAATGCCAACGCTCTCCTGACGCCTGAAACAACCAAGGAAATCGGCGGCCTTCTCAACAACGCCAACAGCCTTCTGACCGCCGACTCCGTCAAAGATATCGGTGGCCTCCTCAGTAGCGCCAGCAGCCTGTTGACGCCCAGCTTCGTGAACCAGACCCAGGGCTTGATTGGCGGCGTAACGAAGTACCTGACCCCAGAAATTCTCGCATCTCTCGGCCCCCTGCTCTCCAACGCCAACGACCTCTTGACGGAAGATGGCGTCAAGGAGATCAATGGCCTACTCGGCAACGCCAACGATCTCCTCACCGCAGATTCAGTCAAGGAGATCGGTGGCCTGCTGTCCAGCGCCAGCGAGCTGCTCACGCCCAAGTTCGTCCACGAGACCCAGGGCCTGATCGATCTGGTCGCACCGGCTATCACGTCTAAGCTCCTTACCAACGTCTCCTACTTGCTTGGAAACGCCACTGGCTTGCTGAGCCCATCATTCATCAACGACACCCGCACTCTCATCACTGATGTCTCGCCTGTCATCACTCCCGACCTCCTCGCTGAGGTGGGTGGTCTTCTCGGAAATGCCGGCGATCTCCTCACACCCAAGTTCGTGAACGAGACCCAGACTCTGATCGAGGATGCCGCAGATGTATGTTCCCATTTTCCCCTTCTAATCTGTTGAATTTGTTGCTGACTCTGATTTAGATCCTTCCGCTTGTCATGAAGCTGCTCGGGTCGTTGTAAGATGTCCATGATGTTCATGATATTTTCTTTCCCCTAATTCCTTTCGCAACGAAGCATTCATGGTGACTCATGATGATTAATGTTATATATGAGTTCTTTAGTACGATATAATTGAATAACAAGACATGTTGATGTTGATCCATAATATTTGAATTTTCTGAGGTTTTAATCCGGATATGTTGCTTTGTAGATATGAGGATTATTTGACATGTGGTAATAACTTGGCGATTTTGACGAGTTTTGGTGTTATTCGTGCGAGCTATTGTCATTGTTGATGTAGCCATGGAGTTCACAAAAGAGGCAAGTGATGTTCGCTCCAAGGCGACGCAGTTGGATTAGAGAGCCCATTGGTATAGTGTGGGTCAAGCGAATTGTCGCATGGGTAGACAGAGGCGCAAAGGATCTTTAGCGCACGTGTCTGTCTCCACACATTTGCAACCCAAAGGCATGTTCGTTCTCGGAAACATATTGGCAAAGATGTAATCCATGGCGAGGGACGGGGAGGTTGCCTTCACTTGAATCATAGATGAAGAGTTCTCTCGAGCGCCGCTGGGAATGAATGGAGTCTCTTCTCTGAAGAATAGTCTGTTCACCAGGAGAGGTTTTAAGACCATGAAGAAAAAAAAAGAAAAAACAAACATTGGTTTTCTTTTCGTGGCCTGAATGGTTTGGAAAAATGTTGCCCTGACCTTCAAGATGGAATGTCCGATGCCTTCGTCTCTTGAAACTTGGATACAACCTTCATCTCAGTGTCGCGTTCCTTGACCTTCTTGTCCATGGATTTTTGAACCTCATCGCGTTTCTTTTTAGCAGTCTCAATCTTCTCCTTCACTTCTTTGGCAATTTGTTCTTGCGCACGGAGCGCAGCCTCGCGTGATTTGTATTGTTCTTCCAGTTGCCTAAGCTCAGTTTGGTAATCTCGAGGTTCCATTGGTTGGCATGTTACTGGGTGATAGCGGTATGACGGTAGTGGCCCATCTGGAACTTTTATTTCGGCGAGATCAGGGTGGATTGGGATGATGCGGGTTGGTGAATCCAAAGGAACGGCCGCGTCTGAGGCCGGGAGAGATGAAGCAGGAGGGGTAGGCTCGGGTTTCACCATGTTTGGGGAGCGCGGGCAAGGTTGGTAATCGTGGTATTTCACGAGCAACAAGTATTGATAGCCACCTGAGATTTTCGAAGAGGATGCGAGGTGTATTGTTGTAGAAGTTACCTCGAGAGTCTAGCTGCCAGTTGTTGATTCTGCCATATCATCCCTTCACCGCCCGTGATGTCGGCGCATGCGGGGAGGACTTTTAGCCAAATTGATAACTCGATCACTGCTTGGCAATTTATTTTCATGCTAGTTGAGTTTATCCTCGGCCCTAGATTGAGATATTTCCTCGAGGCCGGTCCTGAGTGGACCAGTTGGTGTGCTGTGACATCTGAGTTCCCACAAGCTTGAGCCGGTGACGTGACCGTCAACATGCAGGCATTTGGTATGTTCCTCTATATTTGTTAATTGTTGTAAGCTAACACACTCGCGGTAGTCCCCAAGAATAGACGAGTAAGTTATCCAATAAGGCCAAGTGAAGTACATATGTAACTGACATCTGCCACAGCCCAGGTTCGAGCTCGTTCTAAGGGTATGCATTTTAAGCAGACTATGGAAATGCTGTCACAATTTCTGACCTTACAAAGATCATCGATATCAATAATGTCCCCTTGGGCAACAGCGTCGCTTTTGTGCGATGGCGATTGCCATCGTCAAGCTCCGCTGAACACCAAGGCCACACAGAAAAAGCAAGACTATCAGATCACCGCGCTTACTGGGGTTATGAGAAAACCCTTCAAGTGAGACTTACAATTGATAGAACATCAATGCTTCAGGAGTGTGAACTCAATTTTGAGGTCTTACAAGAGTACACCTCGTCACCCATATCCGAAAAGTGCGTGCTGGGCAAAATCAAACTAAATCTCGCCGAATACGTGGACAAAACCGACGAAGACGAAGGGATAATTCGGCGGTACCTAATGCATGAAAGCAAAGTGAACAGTACTGTCAAGATTGGGATCGCGATGCGCCAGCTAGAAGGAGACCGCAACTTCACGACGTAAGCAGATCCCCGAGCTGATTTCGACTCACAATTTCAATGCTGATTATAAAAGACCACAATTGAAATCTGCTACCGTCTTCGGAGGAATTGCAGGAGTTGTTCAATCTAGCGAACAGCCCGTCAATGCCGATGAATTTGGCCACCTTCCATCTATTGACACCAAGAGCCGTGAGATTGCAGATATGCAAGACATGTATCGGCGCACTTTAGCAGCGTCGTGGTCTTCTAGAGCCTGCGATTTGCCTGCTGATAAGTTGATTGAAGAGTTGTTTGCTGGAAGCGCTTGCTGGAACAACGATGAACACAATGCCAATGCTGGCATCTCAGCGGGCGATCACCGAGATTCCCTATTGGGCCAAGAGACAGTCCAACGACAAAGCCGTTCCGGGAAAAAGCTGTCACCCAGTTTCGAACGGCGCCGCAAGAGTTCTTCCAGCAATCGCTCGCACAGTAGCAGTAAGGCCCCGGACTCCCTTGCTGGACTGGGACATCAGAAGAAGAGTGGAAGTATCCAGCAACAGTTGTATGAAGGGGTCAAGGATCGGGCATGGAAGGTGCCAGATACGAATAATGAACTTTCCGAGTTCGATGTAAGAGAGGACTTGCGTAGCTGGGAAGTTGCACCAAAAGAATGAATTTAATACACCTTTCTGCGCTTTAAATTACATAGTATATTGCTTGAATTTCCCTGCTTGAATATGTTCATATAAAATTGAGTGAGATATTCTCGGGAGAGCCTTGTTTTATATAGTGAAGATTGAGGCTGTAGAATCGATGCCTGAGGCAAAACTTAATTTCTTATCGTAGCCTAGCGCCGCGATTATCGCCGGAGAAAAGCGATCGCAAGATAATTTGCCTTCTCCACGTTTGCAATAGACCTGCTTTTCTGTCATGCTTCGACGCCCCGCGGGGAACAAGCTGGGGCTTCTGAGCTTCCAGTCGCTTTTATACCGGAGACCAATATTGTCATACCCACACAACGTGCTTCCCCGATACCAGAGTAACTGGAGCCGCGATCATGAACGGGAAGCTTTCGATGGACCCAATTCCGAACGAAACCGCGAACTGAAGGATAACGGAAAACGTGAAGCAGGCAAAATCACATTGGATGTAGACACGCTTGGAAAGCCTGGACAAATCGTTGTTGTACCTTCACGTCGCCGCCGAACGTTAAATCGCAATCGCAACAGAACCCCCGAAAATAAATCTGGTGGCACAATCAGCTCGATATTGGATGAACTTGATGAGGAGAGCTCAGCCCCTAGCGATAAGTCGGTCCAGCAAAGAATTGATGAGGTCCGTGGATCATATCAACTGGGACAGACCTTGCCTGCTACCGATCTGAAAGCGCTGTGGTCAAAACTGGCTTCCTCTTTCACATATAAGCAATTGTCGGAGTACATTTTGGAGTACAGCCGCAATTCTGTGGTAGAAGACAAAGGTTGGACGTGGGGGTCAAACAACTCCAAATCGCAGGACAAATCATTGGGAAAGACCAAGGGCTTCAGGGGAAAATCCCGGGCTGCAGAGACGATCGTTCGGGATTGTTGGCAACTAGTAGCTGAAGGCGAGCATGGACAGTTGGAATTCCGCATTCCTGCTCAGTCCATATCCTTGCTTCTCCATGCCGAGCATTTCTCTTTCCACGAGCTAGCTAGCCTCCATAGCTGCGGTATCGATGTCACGCAATCTGCGGGTCTAGTATCACTTACTGGCAAGCGAAATGATTGTGAGTCTGTTCATGAGATTATCATTGATGCCACTGGCAGAATCCGCGAGGATGATGTTGGAATCAACCCGTATATCCACGGAGATGGAACCAGTCAGGTTTTTAGCCCAGACTTTTTGGAATGGGTCAGCAACACACATGGGGTATTTGTGGAACACAAAGCACACAGACCACCACAAAAGATTCTCTATCTTGCTGAGAATAAGTTGGGTGCTGATAATGCGCGGAGGACCTTGAACTTGGCCTTATCCAACACCACCTCTCCATCAACTCCATTTTCAACCTATTTACCAGCTTCAGAACTCGCCAGTGCTTACAGTTACAAACCAGAAGCTCATGCTTCGTGGTTTGAGAAGCAAAAGTCATGGTTCCGGTGGGCTATGTCTTCCAGTCAAAATGCGGAGGCAGAAAATCTTGAAACTCCTTTCTTCGATAAGCATCAAACACGACTCTCAGATGAATTATTGAAGCTTCTGCGAGCTACCACTCCGAAAATCGGTCCAGTCACTGGTCTGCATGAATCTGTGACAGCCGTGGCTGGGAAATGTCTTTTTATGCAAAAGCCTTCTCTTGATGATACAGCTATCAGTCCGGCACAGTTGGGGAGAATGTCTCTTCCACGGGCTTTCACAAAAGACATACCTCGGGTGTCGCGCTTCATCAACTCACTTATGCCTATCCGCCCAGAGAACGAGGCACCACTATATCGGCTTCGGTTGTCTCCAACCTCCAATGCAGGATCCCCGCCGGAACTCGAAGTTGAGGTAGCTATGAACTCAAACTTGGATGGTGTGGACATCCATAGTGTAAAGGCTATACTCGCTACAAATAGCGTCGACTACCTACTTCCGGAAAATGGTCTGGACCTACGTTTCACACGAACTGTTTCCCAAGACCTCTTGTATAAGCCATCTCCCCACTCAGAACTCCCGCAAACCTCCTTTGAAGACTTTTTGCCCGAAACTTCTTCCTCGCCACAGATTCAAGCAATGTTGGAAAGCCTCAAAACCTCCCTCGAGGGCTCAATAGTCAGCAGTGGAGCCTCGCAAGGCCCTGTTCCACTTCCTATATTTTGCAACATCGCCCTTCCCTGTGATTTGGTTCAGCAGTCGACCTCACAAAAATCCAAAACATTGGATGAACCAACGGCAGAGAACAGCGTCTCTGTCGAATACATGTTCCCTCCACTCACCGACATTCGAGGTGCTGTTGTCCAAAAGTTCGACTTTGATGGGCGGCCACTTGACTACCGGTATTATGAGAGTGGCTCTCTCCTTGCTACTCGGACAAATGAGGTCTCTCTGGGTATGGAGATTCCTCAAATTAATTCGGCTGCAGAAGATGACCAATCGGAACAGCTTGACCATGAGTTCCATTCGTTCTACAACGCGGCGTGTGACATGGCATTCAAAATCCACGGCAATAGATATGTGGATTAACAGCATGGGTCACTTTTTGTTTGAATTTGTACAGCGTGCATCAACGGCCATCATCATATGGGATGGCGGCGTCTTGGGCTGTATTTACTGTACATTATATGTAAAATATTTACCTGTTTAGACACTTATGTTTTCAGTTTTAATCTAGGTAGTCGAAAACCTTTCCAAATAGACAGAATTACTAGAAATCATGATTTACAGGTCCTATAGATTAAGCAGGCCAACACTTTGAGCGTTCAGAGTCGAGCCCTGTGCGTCTTTGCATTCTACCTCAAATTTGAAGTCACAGACCGCGATGATTTTTGAATTATATCTATTCACACGGATAAAAATATGTATACAATTATTGTATACCTACATTGTTGGAGGCGTGACCTTGGGCCCCACACAGCCGATCAAGGCCCGTGACGTGCAACACCTCTCATCCCAACTCTACGCGCAATACTTTCAAGTGTGTTTAAGACTGATCGCTGCCTTGATTGATTACCGACAATAAAATATATATACCTATTTCGATTCATTTCACTCTGTTGTTCCCTCCGATCCTACTGTTCCCACTCCCTCTCACCCAACATATTCAGCATGAAGACCACGCGCCAGTGATTTGCACGGCATGGAGAAAACACGGATTGCTAAGGTTCGAACATTTATTGCCACAAACATCTCACTCACTAACCATGTTGCTTCAGGTGGACAATGTGACCTTGGCTCGCCGCGGAGAGCAGGTCGATGGCACTCTCCATCTAACCCCTCACCACCTCATATTTTCGCACACCCCACCAATCTCCCCAGAAGATCAGATAAAGGGTGTGATAACAAGGCCCAGAGAGCTGTGGATCACATACCCCATCATCGCTTTCTGCACCCTGCGGCCAGCTCCCGCCGCCTCCCGCCAGCTCTCTTCCATCCGCCTCCGATGTCGAGACTTCACATTCGTCTGTTTCTACTTTGCAAATGAGCACAAAGCACGAGAGGTGTTTGAAAGTATTAAACAGTGGACGTGCAAGTCCAGTCGTATCGATAGGCTCTACGCCTTCAGCTATCAACCTCCCCCGCCGGAGAAGGAGTTTAATGGGTGGGAGCTGTATGACCCACGCAAGGAATGGAGACGCCAGGGCTGTTTGGACGAAGGAAAATCATGGCGTCTCTCGGAGATCAACGTGAACTACGAGGTATACTCGTATCAACTAGTCAAAATGTGCTCTACCTAACCCATCTTAGTTCTCTCCTACCTATCCCGCCCTCATCCCCGTACCTTGTTCCATCTCCGACAATACACTTAATTACGCAGGGCGTTATCGATCTCGAGCAAGGATCCCTGCTCTTACATACTTTCATCCTGTCAATAATTGCACCATCAGCAGAAGCTCACAGCCGCTGGTCGGTGTCCGCCAGAACCGAAGCATCCAAGATGAGAAGCTTCTGTCAGCTATCTTCTTAACTTCTCGCTCTGAGCGGCCGTTAGCGGGTTACGCGGCGACAGAGAAAGAGACAGATTCCAGCACCCCAGAGACGAGCCAGGTGATAGTCCCGGAATTGAACGCCGAGGAACTCGAGGACGAATTACTAGCCGCTGCAAGTGGCGATCCTGAAGATCATCTCTCGGTATATGGTGCCCAGCAGTCGAATCTTATCGTGGACGCACGCCCTACTGTGAATGCATTTGCTATGCAGGCTGTTGGACTTGGATCAGAGAATATGGACAACTACAAATTCGCTACCAAAGCATATCTTGGCATTGACAACATCCACGTCATGCGAGACTCCCTGAACAAGGTGATCGATGCTTTGAAAGAGTCAGATGTCACTCCATTGGGGCCAAATCGTGATCAACTGGCTCGCAGCGGGTGGTTGAAGCACATAGGCGGGATCTTGGATGGAGCCCGACTGATCACTCGTCAAGTTGGTCTTACTCATTCTCATGTTTTGATTCACTGCTCTGATGGCTGGGACCGCACGAGTCAGCTTAGTGCATTGAGTCAGATTTGTTTGGATCCCTACTTTCGGACGCTGGAGGGCTTCATGGTACTAGTAGAGAAAGACTGGCTTTCATTTGGACACATGTTCCGACACAGGTCTGGTCATCTGAACAGCGAGAAATGGTTCCAGATCGAAAATGAGCGCATTGGCGGAGATCCCAACCGTGCCTTTGGTGACGGTGGCGGTGCAGGCAAGGCTATTGAAAATGCATTCCTTAGTGCCAAAGGATTCTTTGGTCGGGACAACACTAGCCGTGACTCTTTGCCGGACTCAGAGGGAGAGCTTCAAAACTATGACTCTGACACTCTCAAAAAGCCTACTGCACCACGCTCGGGGGTGTCCGAGAAGGAGATAACCAAACCAAAAGAGACCAGCCCTGTGTTCCATCAATTCTTGGACGCAACATACCAGCTGCTTCATCAATATCCGACACGATTTGAGTTTAATGAGCGTTTCCTGCGACGACTTCTCTATCATCTGTACTCCTGCCAATTTGGCACATTCTTGTTCAACAACGAGAAAGAGCGTGTGGACTGGAAGGCCAGTGAACGAACCCGTAGCGTTTGGGATTACTTCCTTGCCCGCCGGGAACAATTCACGAATCCTAAGTATGACCCTGTCATTGATGACCACCAGCGTGGCAAGGAACGACTTATCTTCCCCCGGGTCAATGAAACACGGTGGTGGAATGAAGTATTCGGTCGAACAGATGCGGAAATGAACGGCCCCCGTTCGTCAGCAGCCCCTAGTGACATGCCGGAAAGCACGGTTTTGACTGGTATTGAGACCGCAAGGGACAGTGCTGGTAAAACGACTGATGTATCGGGGATGGCAGCTGCTGTGACATCGGGCGTATCTAAGCTTGCATTCCCAGCGGAACGCACTGACAAACCGAACGAGTTAGAAGTAGAGATGCAATGAATCCAGGTGATCAAAGGGATCATCTATGATTTTCAAGCATTTACAACTTTTATGTTATGCAGCGTTCAGACCACTAATAAAGTGATTCGTCCAATGATGTTGGAGTAGTTTGATAGATGTAGTCTTGGCATATTGCTGCCTTAGTGCCTTATTAATGCCTAACGGATAAGGTGGCAGCACTAGGACCAAAAGTGGAAAGGCGCCGGCAAGCGAGGGTTGAGCCCTGTCCCAAACGGGCAAGCAGCCCTAGTCCCGAAAAATCCCCACTAAATAATGCACTCTCAGAATTGAAGTCTCTCGACCACGATCCCCTCCGTCGACAACCCCCGATTCCACCACACAAAATGGCCGCTGTTCAGGGTGCTATCTCCAAGCGCAGAAAGTTCGTCGCCGACGGTGTCTTCTATGCCGAGCTGAACGAGTTCTTCCAGCGCGAGCTGGCCGAGGAGGGCTACTCCGGTGTGGAAGTCCGTGTGACTCCCACTGTCACCGACATCAGTACGTCAAACCCGAAAACCAATCTCTCCTGCGTGATCGATTGAAAATTGCCGGTGAAATTGCTGGAAAAAAGAGGAGGAAGAGCAACGATTTACGATCGCGATTTGGGAATTTGCGGGAAATTCGAGGGATTTGATGCTAACGGGCTTTCCAGTTGTCCGTGCCACCCACACCCAGGAGGTTCTCGGTGAGCAGGGTCGCCGCATCCGCGAGCTCACCTCCCTCATCCAGAAGCGCTTCAAGTTCCCCGAGAACTCCGTCTCCCTCTACGCCGCCAAGGTCCAGAACCGTGGTCTCTCCGCTGTCGCTCAGTGCGAGTCCCTCCGCTACAAGCTCCTGAACGGTCTTGCCGTTCGTCGTGCCTGCTACGGTGTCCTCCGTTTCATTATGGAGTCCGGTGCCAAGGGTTGCGAGGTTGTCGTGTCCGGAAAGCTCCGTGCCGCCCGTGCCAAGTCCATGAAGTTCACTGTACGTCTATACCAGCGAAATCAACGAATCGATCGCAAACCACTTTTCGAGAAAGAATACGGCTAACGCAAGTAACAGGACGGTTTCATGATCCACTCCGGTCAGCCCGCCAAGGAGTTCATCGACTCCGCCACTCGTCACGTTCTCCTCCGCCAGGGTGTCCTCGGTATCAAGGTTAAGATCATGCGCGGTTCCGACCCCGAGGGCAAGGCCGGCCCCCAGAAGACTCTCCCCGACTCTGTCACCATCATTGAGCCCAAGGAGGAGCAGCCCGTTCTCCAGCCCATGAGCCAGGATTACGGTGCCAAGGCTATTGCCGCTCAGCAGGCTGCTGAGCAGCAGCGTCTTGCCGAGCAGCAGGCCGCTGAGGCTGAGGGTGGTGCGGAGACTTTCGCCCAGGAGTAAATGTTTTTACCTACATTAGGCCCGGCTCTTCCTTTTTCTTCCATCTGTCCTAACCTAACCTGATACTCTACCTCACGCAATCAAAATTACATGACCTTCAAAGCCTTTTATTCGCTATTCTATAATGTATTGGCCAATACCCTGGAGGTCAGTTGGAAGGTGTTCGAGGTCTGGTACATATTGGCAAGAAAAGGCCTTTCTTGCCATTGACTATCAGATATCATATGCTAGAATCAAACCCTCGATATCTGTTCTCTGTTCCCGTGCGCCCTCGATTACCAAGTGCCTGTATCTACTTTGTGTAGTATCAGGACATCAATCTCTTGTCCGCGCTCAGGTCTTTGACGTTATGACGTTGTTTGGTTCAAATATGACTGGGGAATTTCGATACATGTCAAGCCATGGACAAGCTATAGTAGAACTAGCCAATTTAAAGCTCTGAGACTGCGTACCTTCTAAGTGATGGCAGTTCAGCAATATCTTTTGCCTTTCATCAACGTCGTAGAAGCGTGAGGATTGTAACTCCTATAGATACCGGTACATATTACTACATACATATATGTAGCCCTACGAGAGAATTGTACATCCCCGGGGTCATGGAGATGCCTTGAACTAGAAGAGTAGGAAGAGTTCGGCGCTCCGTTGTCACTATTATCATTCCATAACAAAATATCACCCAATAAATGTCCAGTACATATGCATATGCACATGCAAAACAACCAAATAAGATGAAGTACATGTCCTAATCGGGCTCAATTATAAAACAAATCGAATCAGATTATCCAAAATTCAGAAAAAGTAAAGAAAAGGAATGAGTACTGTCAACGCTCACTATATGAGGCGGCGGCAAGCCGACTAAACAGCAGCTCGGGATGCTCCAAGACCTCCGAGTGCCGACGATGCAGCTCCTCGAGCTGAGCCAGGGGATTCTGTAAACCGCCACAATAAGTATGTTGCGCTGAGGAGAGAAGAGAACACATCAACCGTGACACCCACCCATTCCTCCTGGCTAGGCACGCCCTCGGCAACAGGGAGGGCGGCCGTACCGGAGGCCTCATCCCCGTAGCTAACACGGTGGACCGGAGCCGGCGTTACAGGCAGACTGGGGCGCTCGACTTCTGTTGGGAAGTCGGTAATCTTGATGCTGGGGCGGGAGCCTGGGGCAGGGGGTGATTTATAGGGACTGTCGGAGTTGGCTCCCGGACTGGTTACTTGTGATTTTGTGCGCCGTGCTTGGATTGTCTCAATGTAGCGCTGGATATCGGGATCCTCATCCCAGGCGTTGGAACGAGTGTATGTTTGCCATGAGTCGGCACTGGGTTCGAACGGTACCCGAGTGTAGGAAGGTGAGGGTTCGGGAGGGGCTGGCTCGCTTGGGATTGGATGTTGCTCTGGTTCCTCGGGTATAAAGGGAGTTTCCACTTGTTCCAACGGTGGCTCTTTGGGGAAGACGCGGGTGGGTTTCGGAGCATGACTCTCCCAGGGGAAGACTGTGGTTTGCTTGGGCTCCGGTTTGGCTGGAAGCTCATACCACATGTTTTTTGGTGCCTCCGGATAGGATGATGGGGGTTGGAATAGATGCGTGTCTTCGGACATATCGTAGGTTTTCTGCTGTAAACTGAAACCTTCGGGTTTCGTGTTGACTGGTGGCGGCTCACTATTGGATATTAGTACTGTAGACACTATTGAGGGATATGCTCTTACCGCGAGGGATCCCACTCGGACCTTGGCGCTTCAAAGGTTGCAACATCTGGGACCGGAGATGGGGGCGATTGGTACTCAATAATCGGAGGAATCGGCGCCAGCGGTTGTGGCTGGTGAATATGGCCATCGGGATAGTGTACCTGTGGCTGTTTTTGTGTCGGCAACTGTGTCTGCGTCTGTATCTGCATCTGTGTATGTGCCTGCGTTTGTATATGTGTTTCAGGTGGTTCATGGTTCGCTTGAGGCGCAAAAGTGATTGGCGCGGAAGGCAACGACGGGATAAAGGTTGAGACATGTTCCTCTCCGCGAACATACTGTGGTACCATGCTCAATACAGGCACGGCAGCATGGGGTACATTAGCGGGAGCAGAGTGTTCGTGGTGCGGTTCTGAATGGCCGTGCTCGACTGGCGGTGCTTGGTGTGATTCCTTGTGGAAGCTCGCAGGTTCTTCAACATGGTAGGGCTGCCGTTCGGATGTAGGCTGTGTTTCATAATGAGGAGTGCTGTCATAGTGAGGAGTGCTATCGCAATGAGTGCTCTCATTACGAGGAGTGTTCTCATAAGGAGGGGTGCTGTCATGGCGAGGAGTGCTCTCATAACGAGGAGTTGTGTTATAACTAGGGACATGGGCCTGTTCGCCTTGATTCAACACCGTTTTTTCAATCTCAACTAGCGCGCTCGGAACCTAGAAAAGTCAGTCCACGTCTTTAGAATTTTGCATATCACTTACCAATAGCGGGCGATAATGTCTGTCATAGACAGCCCACCACCGGCCTAGAAGCTGATTGTACGGGGAATCCAGCGGGAGAATCTGCCGCGGCATATTCCATGGCTTCTGAGCACCAATGAAATGAATAAGACTGATGGTACTCTGGAAGTGCTTGTAGGCAGGAATGTACTGGTAATTGGCACTTGGCGTGCAATTATACGTGAAGCTTAGCCTATGCCAGTCCCTGAAATGCATGTTCAGCAGACCCTGGTCGGCACCATCGAAGCTGATACCTCGCTGGGCGAGTGCCTTTAGCGCATAATAGTCCTGTAGATTAGGTCGGAGAACCATCATTCCACTATTAAAGCAATCCGGCCAACCAACATCTGGCGCGGCAGCAAAGTCCGCTTCCAGTGATAACAGCTCGTCGGGTGCTCGGAGAGCTACGACATCACAATCAATGTATACGACCCGCTGGTATTGCGTCAGGCGCCAGAGCTCAATTTTGGTGAATGTGGCAATTAGGTCTGGGCGGTCCATGAGCCAGAGGTTCGCTGGTGTGTCGTTTACCATTGAGCTCACTGGGATCAGTTCGTCGTAGACAGTCTAATTTGTAAGCCAAAAGTATAGTTTGGGGACTGCTGCACGTACCCTTAGCTCGTCGATGGTGCTCGATTGTAGTCTATCTGGCGTAAATAACGCCACCAACCTCACTTTTGTGCCATTATCGCGTAGTGAATGGGCAAGAACCATAGCACCTATAGAACTTTAGAATAATTTCACGTTCCACGTGAATAAGTACTTACCAGGAAGATAATTGTCACTCAACAGAAGCTGCCTCATCGTCAGTTCGCGCCATAAGCATTGAAAAGGGGCAAAATACCGTGCAGTAGACTGCTCCATTGGGATCCATCACAGCAAAAATAATGAGGATAAATTGAGAGAAGAAAAGGGCTCAAAAGAAGACAAGGGCTATATTTAACCTGTCAATTGGCAACCGTTCGGACCGCGACCTGTGATACCTAGAGATGCAGATTTTAGGGGGGACGAAAACAGGAGCAAAAACTTTTCTTCATAACATGTTGTGTAAGGAAGAGAGTGGTAAGTTGTAAGATTAAAAGAAGTCGAAAGCAAAGAGATGCAAGTAGGCAAATTAAGGTCAAAGCTCCCGAGGGGAAAGTGGAGTGGGCGGGTCGGTGTCTTCTTCCAGTCTTCTTCTCTTGGCTATCTCTACCTTGAATATACATTGAATCTAAGGGAATCAATCACTTTCCATACGCTTTCTCCTATTTAGATCGAGCTCAATTCGAAAAAAAAAAAACATTGAATATTGTCTATGTTTATCGTGAAACAGTGACCTGGACACCAGGGTAGGATTCGACAATGACCGTCTCAATATCCTCCTTTTCGCCCCGAGCAGACCAGTCAATAGTCTTGACCAAAGCTGCACCACTCTCACGTTCGAGGGGAGTCCAATGTCCAGTACGGGGAAGTAGCACAATCTGGGACCCCTGCGCCAAGTAGTCACCCATCCCATCAATGCAGATCCTCGGATCGAGAGCAATATCATCCTTGCCCCACAAAATGGTCGTGCTAGCTTTAAGAGCGCCCGGGGGACCTTCATCAAACAGCCCAGCTCCAGATCCACTGCTCGCCATACGTTTCTCGGATGCAATGTCATGCAAGCTAGCAACAGTTTCAATGGACTTGACCCAGCGTGCCGTCGCCGCCCGATCACGGTAGTAACCTGCCATATGCAAAACATGTGCAAGGGCGCGCTCATTGAGGCTGGCGGGATAGGCATTACCGCTAGGAGTTTTAGTATCAGACTCTGCGGCGGACGGACCCATGGTGCTAGCCATGCTTTCGGCTATGTCAAGGTTGGTATGCTCATCCTTGTTGTACGAGGTGAGGTGACAACTTTTCAACAGCGCCCAGTTGCCTCCGGTCAGGAGGTAGTAGACCATTGGCGAGGGTAGCTGCATACCAAAGATGTAGCCGGAAAGAAAAAGCTGGCGGGCGAGAGGGGCGATGGTTCTGAGTGCTTTCAGCAGCGGGACGCGGGCATGCAGTGGTGAACGCCAGGCGTTACCGAGCATCTTATTTGCCGAAAAGAGCAGACGGCGGATATTGGATTCAACCAATTTCATCTGAATCGTTAGTTGAGCTAGGGGATTGGCCGGTGTTCTGACATACTGATGGTCCGTTAGACAGGATGAACCGGTGGGCCAGGGATGGAGCTTCAGCAGCGAGGCGCATGGACAAGACACAGCCCCAGTCATGGGCGACGATTATGGTTTTCTTCTTGTTGCATTTATTGCCTGAGTCCACGCCATACTGGATCCGCAGGGTGACAATCAGTTCTGTCAATTTTTCCAAGACATTTGTTGCATTATATTCTTCCAGGCTATCCGTTCCTCCATACCCGGGAAGGTCAATCGCAACGAGTGAAACAGTCTTTTGCAGACCAGGGTTTGTGATAATGCGTCGCCAGATCGCCCAGCTATCTGGGAATCCGTGGATGAAAATGACCAATGGTTTACCAGAATTGATGGTTTCCGGAGTATTCGGGATATCGTTACTGACAAAGTGGAACTTGAATCCACTCTGCAGTGTTATAATGTTGTGAGACAGACCATCAAAGACTTTAGATAAATTCCATAGGCGATCACGAGCTAGAGAGTCAGCAAAGGACTTTCATTATACAAGTAAATAACTCACCAAGCTGTAAATCCAGTTTCTGCTTTTCAGTAGGGCGTTTGAAGTATGTGCCTTTCGCGATGGCAATGAGGCCGTAAAGAATAAGTGTAAAGAAGCCGTACGCAAATACGATCGTGCCGATCAAGACACGGGTTAAGGATTTGCCCATATTGGAATCATGTGTTGAAAAAGAGAGAAACCCAGAGTCAAGCTACAAATCTAAGACAAACGGAGCTTCACCGGGGGCCGTCATACCTGAGTCAGCGATATAAAAAACCCACCTAGGCATGAACCTCGGCATCCGACGGGTACCTTACATACCTACATGTAGGTACTACATTTAGATCAGGTAAAATTCAGGAATGCAATCATATTATGCTGTAAATTGTAGGCAATTTACAGCTTTTCTCAATCTATTGCATACCAAACGCCGCCTCCACATGCACAAATATTATTGGTAGGAAACAGTCCAAGGGAAAGGGGGTATTAACAGAGTTCCAAAAACAAAAAAGCCATCATCTCGTCGAGGGAATATATACAGATCAAAGAACGAATCCTAGTTGTTCACGGTTGTCGTCTACCAAGCGGCCATACCTAAAAAGCGAGAAGTTAGCAGGATTCTATTATAGAATGACGAGGGACTTACTCTAGGAGTAACCGGAAGAACCAAACCTCCAGATCATCATTTCGTAGGGTCTGCTGTGCCCAGCGCTGGCCCTGGTTGGCGATTTGAAGAGCGGCCTTTTTGCCCTCTTCTTCTGAGGTGAAGTATCGCATGCTCTCAACGTACTCGTTGCCTTTCAAGCTGAGAGGGACGTAATGTACCCAAGGCTTCAGCCACTCGTCGTGCCATTCGCGGAAAATAGCGATCTTGTAGACAAAGCTGTTGCTATGCAAGAAAGCGTGGAATCGCCCGCTAAAAGCGTTGCCGTCGATGTCGACCAAGAACTTATGCGCCCACGCATCTTGTTGCCCAGTCTGCTTGAATACTCCAAAGTATTCAGTCTGCGCATTGCAGTCATCCGGGTCGCACTGGCCGATAAGTGTGAACTTGACATCGAAGGAATCACGATAGACGTCGCGATTAGTTTCCTGTGAAACCCAGCCATCCCCCTGGCGAGCGAGAACTTTAGTGGTACCTAAGGCGTTGACATTGTCGACAAATTGCTGCCGATGTTGTCGGCGCCAGCCACCTGCGCGCGAAAACCCACCAGTTGTGGATCCGCGCCAGTACATTCGATCGGTCTTGGCCTCCCAAGCATAGTCTTTTTTAGGATCGTAGGGGACCTTGTCGGCCCAGTACCAGGGGCTCGGGTAAATAATATCCTGGAAGCTGGAGATTTTGCTTTGCGAGAAGACGGGGAACAGGTCGTGGACGACATCAAAGGCGTTGGGTCGGTCAAAGAATCCATATGTATAGCGGAGAGAGGGAGTGTTGCAGATGTCAGAGGCTGCGGTGGTATTGTAGATGAAGCCGAGTTCGCCATACGCATAAGGATCAACGTTGTCGGGGGTATCTTCGTCGAGTGCGCGCGCTGGGCTATCAGCCGGACAAGAGACTCGGGAGTTTGTCCAAGTCGGCTGGTGTGCGAAACGGTTGAAACGAGTGGTGCGAACCTCGTCGATGCGATCGCCTTTGTTTAGGTCTGAAGCACGTGGGGACCACGCATTGGTCGGGGTTTTCTTGAACGCTGCTGGGATAATGGAGTCCTTGGCTGTATGCACCAATCGTTGGAGGTCTTCGCTAGGGATGATCACGCGCGGCTCATCGTGAGTGTTGAACACCAGGTCCATGTCGGGCAGGTATTTCACAAAAGATTCCATCATGCCCGCTGTGGCGTCTCGCTGCCACTTGCGGTCGTCACCCCCTCCATCCGTTAAGGACACCTTGCCGTCGCGGATCAGAACACCCAGAACCGCATTGTCAAATCCAAGTGTCTCGCGCGCCCGTTCGCGAATCGTCTTAGGTTTCACACCCCAGAAGGGGAGGAGGGAGTGATAGATGGAGTCGAAATCATCAATGAGCTGTACCTTTCTTGACTGGGCAAACTCAAACCATTTATCGAAATGTGGCGGTGGGTGCATATTATAACGGCGCTGGTATTCCTTCACGGCCTCGGCCAGGGTCTTTGATTGCCGCGAGTGCGCATGATTGAAATCCTGTTGAGCATTTCCAATCAGACGTGTGATCGGGTGTTCTTTCTCGGGGAGATATGTGTTCTGCCCCGCATGGAGCTGGGGGTGTTGTATCGGTTCGGGAGGAGGCAATTCTATGGGCTGTTGCTCTGGCTGCGATGACCGTAGTAGTAGGATAGAAAGGCACGCAATAACACCAATCGCAAGTAATACGATCAACCGTTGAATGCGCATGCTGCCATTGGGGAGAGGCATGAAGAAGAAGGAGCGTGAGTATTAATGAAAGTTCTCCATAAGTCCACGAAGTAGAGTTTCAAGGGTTCCAAGACCTCGGGCTATTTGCCAGGGCTTAACCGCCAAGCCTTTCTAACGTAATCCTCTAGGGCTCCACCCAATGCTTCGTACTTCTTACAAGGTACTCCATACTCATATGTACATATAATACTTTTGTACTGTTAAGTATAAAGGACAAAAGACAAACGCTATGTCAATATTACAATATGGTCTGTTTATTTGTGTGGCCCCCAATCATTCTTGACGGGGCCAATGCACTATGTGGCGTCGCCTACTCCGTAGTCTAGACCCTATAATCTATTCAATACGTGTCACCAAAAGTGCTTTGACTACTCCGTACATCGTACAGAACATCAAGAATTTTGTTCAAATATTGGTTAATAAAAGGATATTTAAACATTCGAAGTAGTAACATATCTGATCACCCGAGAATATTTATAAAAATAGAACACAATTCATGTAAACTATACAATTAGTCCGTACCCCTTGATCTTCAATATTATATCACCAAAGGGGTGAAGAAAAGGGGTACATTGTACGGAGTACTCCGTATGTAGATCGGTGTCCTCTCTAAAAACAGTACCCAATCAAGTACAAAATAAAATATATTATAAATTACTGTTTGATCGAACCTTGCAAGGAAGTAAGGCATTGAAATATGCTATTTCCTTTCCTATATATCAATGAATGAGGTCCATGCTACTCTATACATAGATTTATATATGATCCCTACCCTTAATAACAATATCGAAATGTTGCTAAAGGGAGTAAAAATCCGAAAGGACTATCGAACATGGTTGTATATTTATATTTTCCCAGCGTACACTAACATAGCAACCGGGAGCATACCCAATTAAGCACAGAAGCTGCTAAAGTCTGAAGTATGTACTTCTGTGCCTGCTTAACATGATAGTAAGCCGCAACACACAATAACACCACCAAAGACACATGGCCAAAGTAAAACATCTTTCTGCGTTCTTGAATGGTGCCCTGCACAAGCCAAGTCAAGAGCCCCTTCTGGGAAGCAGGCCGCACGAAGAGAACAATCAGCACAGCCGAGAATATCGCAACCAGGCCACATTGAACATCCAGATCTTGCACTCGCTTGAAGAGCAATATACCAAATTCAGGATGGCTGGATTGCACGAAGAACAGCGTATACAGCGCGGCATGAGCCAGCAGGACAGAGACAACCACCCGACCAAAGAGACGGTGGTACGGTGTCAATGCTCGCTGGGGGATACCAGTCAAAGCAGACAGTACAGATGAGGCTGCCGGCTGAGATATGTTTGCCGGAGACATCAGAACCTGCAGTGGTAGTTGGGACAGGCCAACATGGCCCAATGCTTTGGTCAGATGGAGATAGTCTGATATGTTAGCTCGTTCCTAAAAGCTAGCGGAAGATGAAGACATACCATCACCACTCTTCCATATCGAAAGAGCTAAAAGCCATGATAGCCACAGCCCGCAGACAATATATTGTCGGGTCTTTCCAGGAACCGGGGCATCCCGCTTAGTGGTTGATCTCGTAGCAAAGCGAAAGACCCGAACGGCAACGATGACGACAAGAATTGACCACTGCGCGCAATTCCCTCGAAGATCAAGCAGCTCCCTGCGATGCAGCTTGTCGCTTTCGGAGAGTGAAACGAAATGGTACGGCCACGACATGACGACTGATGAATATTATGAATGAGGGTTTCTGTCGAATAAGAATCCAATTGACAAGTGGCTAGATGCAGCGTTCAAAAAAACATGTTTAGAATGATTATATTGGTATCACGAAGAGTTTTGATATACTCTATACTGCAAGTGAAAATAAGCCAACCATGGATGCCCCCAAAGGCCTCGTGGCTTTTTGCTGACAAATGAATCGCGGGTGCCCAGGTGCCCAGACGGGTACGTACTCCTCAGGCTACGCTCTAGCTCTCCAGTGTTGGCCTGAAGCCTTCTGTTTACTGCCTACATAGTATGCAGGTACTGCTATATAGTAGGATTAGGTGGGTTTACATGCAATGTCTTCAGTTGCGCATTTGCTTTTGACTGCCTACCGTGGCTAAACGTCATGTAAAACCTCTACATTAAGAACGCCTGGAATAAAAGGACGCTTGGCTATTCTCTAACCTGACAAATTGTCTTGTTGGGTATTAACCGGACAAGTACATAATTCAAGGAGAGGTCTGCATCTCATCCTGGTTGCCACCAGCAGTCGTAGCAAAGTATCGGACATCCACATCGTCATCCTCCTGCAACTTCTCTAGGCTAGGCACAACCCTTGACTGAATCAACTCCAGGCTCTTGGGTGATGGCGTGATGGGCTCTTCAGACTTCTCCACCTCAACCAAGGTCTTATCGGCCGGCAGGCGACGCAGTGTGGCAATGAGAACGGCGTAGGACTTGGCGACGTTGAAACGAATGTTGGGAATTTCATCCGTCACCAGGCGTTCCAGGATAGGGAGGAGAGAGTTCTCAATAATTTCAAGGTTGACAACGGGAGTGAGAGTCTGATAATTAGCATTAATCGATGTAGCAAGAGGGAAAACTCACAGAAACGGCAAAGCAGGTCGTCATGCGGTAAAGATAGTTAGGGTGTTGACCCATGGCCATCACCTTGGGAATGATAGAGGCTTTTGACCACTCCACACCGAATACTTCTGTCAGTTTCTTCAAGTTCTCGGTGGCAGCCTCTCGGATAGAGAAGACAGTGTCTCCGAGCCAGCCCATGCAAAGATCGCTCAGCTGCTCGTCAAAGAACTCGACTCCAAGTTGGCTGGCCAGGAGTGGAATGTATTCAATGATAGCAAGGCGAACGCGCCATTGCTTATCTTCAGCCAGTTGAACAATGGCGGGGAGAAGAGACTGAGAAAGAAGCTGGATACCAATGACTATGAAAGGTTAGGAGAGTTACATTAATATGAATCAACGAGCCCTTACCTTTGTTGACTTGCTCGAGCTTCGAAATGATGTGCAATCGGACGTCGGGGAATTCATCCTTAAGCATCTGGAGGAACATGGGAAGCAGGTGGGCGATAGTCCTGGACGGTCAGTATAGGTTGTTGCTAGCAAATACACAGGATACTTACTCTTCCTTGCCTAGGATAGGCGCTAGGCCGCTGATCTGAGTACCGAGGGAAGCCCGGACGTGCTGAGAGGGATCAGAGACAAGGTCCTCAACGCTGGTCATGATCTCATTGAGGAGAGTGTCGCGATCAATCAAATGGCAGAAGCCTGAATGTGTCAGTCAAGTACCAACCATGCACCATTAGGGTACCATACCAGGGATTTGGCCAGCAATCGCAGTGCGAACCTCGGCCTCTGTATCCTTGAGGAGCTTGACAAAGGCAGGCACCATGTCGCGGGTGACAACCTCTTCGTGGACGGCTTTGGCGATCTGCATACATCAGTATCGGCCAATAGTTTTGAATTCAACAGGAAATGTACCTTTTCATATCGATCGGCGACCATGTATCGGACCCTCCAGCTTTTATCCTCAAACAGATTCCGCAACGATGTCAACAAGACGCCGTGGCTGGGTTGCTGTTCTTTGGGAATTTCCTCCGCAATCGCAATAAGAATGTCAACCGTAAGAAGACGGACGCTGTCCTGATCATCGCTCGCCAAGTATTGGAAGAGGGGAATTATTTCATCGATGACGACCTGACTTTGCATTTCCTTGACAAACTTGGCCAGGTTATTGGCCGCCTGTCGCCGCACCATCGGGGTTTCATCGTGTACCAAAGCTCCAAAATGCTGTCGGAGACTTTGTTGCAATGCCAGAGTGGCCTTCTTGTATGGTGAGGAGTAAAGACCAGTCGCAGAGACCTTCGAGGTGAACCAGTCTGCCTTTGACAAGCGGAGGACTAGCGGGACGAAATGCTCTTCGACTTGGCTTTCAGAGAGCTGCTCGCATACCTTGTTGAGAGATTCAACGGCCTGAAACGTTAGCATGCACCTCACAAACTTCCAGCTGATGTGGTACCTTCTCCCGCACCAACGGCTCCTCGATAGCCGCCAAATTCTCCAGCGGGGAGAGCAACACGTGCGCGTGTTCCGGACCCCCAACATATTCTGTAAAATTGCCCAGCTCTTCGCTCAGCGCAGTCAAAACTTCGTCCTCGTCCTCGACGGAATCTATCGCTGTTAGATGGGGCCGGTGAGCGATTGAAGGCTAGACATGCACCAACCATCAAGAAATGGGATGAGCTCATCCCGGGTTCGGTCGGGCCCAAGTGCAAGCGCGATCGTGGATAGACGGTGAATGGCATTGAGTCTGAGAAGGACATCGTCGTGCTAAAGAAATGTGAGCTCAATATTGTCTACACGACCGGAGGGAGATTTACCTTCAACTCGTCAATGAGCACGGCGATTGGGTAGAGCTCATCGTTCTCGTTCTGGCCCTCCATTGTGGATGTGGATATGTATTAAGGGAATGCGACGAGTCCCGGTCCTGAAAGGGAAGAGGGTGGTGTTGGACCTGACAGCGATTCGGCAGAGGAGGTGTAGGAGTCAATAAGATGGCTGATAAGGATTAGTCCGACTTCGCGAGATGGCAAGGGGATGGATGGTGGTAGAGTAAGGGTGGGGGTTTTGGGCCGCATGAACACCTTTAGTAGGACCATACCTCGATAATTGAAAAGTACCTTGATCAACAGCAAATTAATAGATTTGATTCAATTCGTAAAGAGAAAAGAAAAATGCCCCCTTCGATGATGCACTGGAGCAGGGCAGCCGAGCTTTGAGTGTTTAGAAGTGTAAATTACATACTGGCGGTGTGCACATAAAATGTTAAATATGGAGGGGAGTTACCATACCAATACCATTGTCACGAAAGAGGGGGGATCTGTGGCGGTGGTGGCTTGCGGGCAGAATTTCCACCAGCACAAGAGTCATCCAAGAGTTTGTGCACCGATCACTACTTTCTGAATTTCTGTACGGGCTTTCCCTATATTCTATTGGAGTCGCCTAGTTTGGTTTCGCTCTGGTTTGCCGGCCATTTTGCTGATTGACACCAGGATTCGCAACCCCCACCATGCCTACTATCTCGGTCGACAAGGCCGCTCTTTTCAAAGAGTTGGGCCGAGAGTACGTCTTTGCATTCTGTCATTGAACTATACTGATCTCCTTGTAGGTATACCACGGAAGAATTCGATGAGCTGTGTTTCGAATTTGGTGAGTTTGCTAGGCAATCTTTGCGGGGGACATAACTGACTCTGAATAGGAATTGAGCTTGACGAAGATGTACTTCCTCCGAAACCCGTCTATAAACAACCAATGCTGATATTTTCAGACTACAAACTCAGAGCGCCCTATCGTCGATGGAAAGCAAGAACCTCCGCAACTCAAGATCGAGATCCCCGCCAACCGGTACGCGTGATATCTGAAGAGAATCAATTGAAGAACTCAGACTAAGAAGAGATTAGATATGACTTGCTGTGCTTCGAGGGCATTGCGCTCATGTTGAACATCTTCCTGGGCCGGAATCCCCTGCCCGAGTACAAGTTGACTCAGCCGGCACAGATGGAGCAGATTATCGTCAAGGAAGATGTTAGTATTTCAATACTTGCTCTTGCTCGGTTGGACTCCGCTGACCAAAATAGACCACAAAAATCAGACCCTACGTAGCTGGTGCAATTCTACGGAATGTCAAGTTTGATCAGGCTCGTTATGCGTCCTTCATTGCCCTCCAAGACAAGCTCCACCAGAACTTGGCCCGTCAACGAACTCTGGTATCAATCGGTACCCACGATTTGGACACCGTGAAGGGTCCCTTCACTTATGAGGCTCTCCCTCCCAAGGACATCAAGTTCACCCCGTTGAACCAGACTCAGGAGATGGATGGCGAGGAATTGATGAACTTCTACGAGAAGCACCAACAGCTGGGCAAGTACCTGCACATCATTCGTGACTCTCCAGTTTATCCCGTCATCTATGATTCCAACCGGACTGTTTGCTCTCTGCCACCCATTATCAACGGTGACCACTCGAAGATCAGCCTGGACACCACCAATGTTTTGATTGAGATCACAGCGCTCGATAAGACAAAACTGGACATTGTGAACAAGATGATGGTCACCATGTTCTCCCAATATACCTTGGAGCCGTTCACCATCGAGCCTGTCCAGATCGTGTCTGAGCACAACAAGGAGACCCGCATCACCCCCGACCTCGCTCCCCGCACTGCTCAGGCCGAAGTCTCGTACATCAACCAGTGCTGTGGTTTGAACCTTAGCCCCGCTGAGATCTGTACTCTTCTCACAAAGATGGCATTCCGCGCGAAGCCTTCGACCACTTCCCCAGACATCATCAACGTGGAAATTCCCCCCACTCGTGCCGATGTTCTCCACCAGTGTGATATCATGGAGGATGTGGCCATTGCCTACGGCTTCAACTCGCTTCCCCGTGCGTTCCCTGACATGTCCGGAACAGTTGCCCAGCCTCTCCCCATCAACAAGCTTTCCGACATCGTTCGTGTGGAGACTGCCATGGCCGGTTGGTCAGAGGTGTTGCCGTTGATTCTGTGCTCTCATGATGAGAACTTCGGTTGGTTGAACCGCAAGGATGACGGAAACACTGCTGTCAAGCTGGCCAACCCGAAGACCCTTGAGTTCCAGGTCGTCCGCACTAGCTTGCTCCCAGGTCTGCTCAAGACCATCCGCGAGAACAAGCACCACTCTGTTCCCATGAAGATCTTCGAGGTCAGCGATGTTGCATTCAAGGACCTGTCTCTGGAGCGCAAGAGCCGCAACGAGAGACATTATGCTGCTGCCTTCTACGGTAAGACTAGTGGATTCGAGATTGTCCACGGTCTTCTTGACCGTATCATGGCCATGCTTAAGACCAACTTCCTCGCCGAGGGCGAGACCCCCAAGGGCGACTCCCAGTACTATATCAAGGAACTAGACGGTACGTACCCCCTCGAACCCGACTAAAAGATTTACTGACAGTATAGATCCCACCTACTTCCCCGGCCACGCTGCTTCCATCCACCTCCGTATTGGTGGCCAGGACAAGGTCATTGGTTCTTTCGGTATCCTGCACCCTACTGTGCTGGAGAAGTACGAGTTGAAGTACCCAGTCAGTACCCTGGAGCTGAATGTTGAGGCTTTCATGTAGAGTGAGCAGGTTTACAGATGAGCGGCTGTCCTTCTGATTAGAGTTATGACCAAAAGCAAAAAAAGTGCATAAATCCAAGAAGATTCCAGTAAATGATATGTCAGAAAGGGGCTTGGCTTGTTAATTCCGCGCCGAGCGTCTTTCAGCGTGGAGTATGTACAAGTCGACCGAAAAGAATATGTAATTGAAGATAAAAGTACAAAAGGGGTATCCGATAGGAACACTCTGAGCTACCAAGAGAGTTTTCAAACCCTATGGTGGTAGCTCTGGCAGAGGTCGATAACATCCAAGGTGAACACCGCCACGATGTAAGGCTAATGATAAAGGGTATTGACAATACTACTACTGTCCATCATCGAGCCGCTGACCGCGGAACGAGTAATAGTTGGTCTGCTTAATGTGCCTGGCCTTACCAGTTCGTTCATCATAAATGCCAAATCCGTGGGTTGCGGCATTGGGTGGTGTGTAAACTGCTCAATTAGCCTTGGATCCATTCATTATCACAATAGATAACATACGATGGAGTGAAATGGCAAAGTTGTCCTGGTCTGGATTGGATATCCGATGCAGACCAAGCTTGTCAGACATGTAGGTGACCTGGTTTTCGCAGTAGATTGTCTGCTTGGTGAGCTGTGGTGGTGAAATTTGGCCATTCTCGATCTGCTCTTGATCGGGCCATGAGTACAGATCTTCTTGCAGTTTTCCTTTCAGGACCTATTTCAGATTAGTTCCCATCTACCCATCAGATCAAAGAGCGGATACCTTCATCACGCAGTGTGCGTTGGCATGGTCATGAATTGTACTTCCTTTCCCAGGGCTCCATACAAGAATAAGCTGAACGAGTCAGCCAAGCACTCGCCCACGGGTTGGGGGTGTGACAATTTCCATACCAAATTACTCTTGCCGTTCCCCTCATCAATGAGATTCCTCGTGTATGTCCTGCTAGCATCACCCAGCGCATATGAAGCCCATTCATCCGAATTCGAGATGTAATTCTCCATCAATAGTTGTATCTCCATGGGATCGACATCGTTAGAATCGAGACCCGAGCTTGGACCCAATGCAGAGCTAAGGTCCTCCACGAGCTTCTCGAAGTCAGGCTTCTTGGTGGTTGATTCGGACCCATTGAGAAATGGCATAGTGAATGAGCGTTGTACTGACGTTTGGATAGATGGAGTCTATGTATGTAACGGGGATGAAGAGGTATCGGAAGTTGGCCGAATGGCGAGATCGAGAGTGTATCCACCACAACAAAAATGCAAATTAGGATAGGAGATTGCGCAATGTGTGTATTTCCATTATGAACATCGACACCAAGTATTCAATGTTCACATGTATGTAGTTGCCCCCGTTGCCCAGGTGCAATTTGGCTATGATAGCGATAAGAAATTATGCCTCAGGCTGCAAATGACATAATTGCCCTCGTCGCCTTAGGCGCACACCCCGCCCTGACTAAAAACTGCGGTGCCACAATTCAAAGATTGTCGCCGCAAGTGCATTTCTCCTTCAAAAGTTGTCGCTCAACTCGCTGATTTTAAGCGAGGGACATATACGAAGTCCCCTAATACCAGTGGTTATCAATCGCTTCTTCTATTGATTTTTCGATTGCTGGGTCAAATCGCCAAAATGTCGACCACTATTGAAAAGGTGAGTGCGGTCAAGATTTTTGAGCACCAAACAAATTACTAACAATGCTTCTGTATAGATCAAGGAGGTCGAGTCAGAGATGGCTCGGACTCAAAAAAACAAGAACACCTCCTATCACTTGGGTATGCGCACACCTACGACTTTTCAACGATGACGTCTTCTGACAATATACAGGACAACTGAAGGCGAAGCTTGCTAAGCTCAAGCGTGAACTTTTGACCCCGACTGGAGGCGGCGGTGGTGGTGGAAGTGAGTACCTCATACCCGAACATTCTGCTAGGTACTAACTTAGGGCTAGCTGGTTTCGATGTTGCGCGTACTGGTGTGGCCAGTGTGTAAGTTGCCCGAGAAGCTCTGGAGATTGCGATCGCATATGCTTACAAGTACAGTGGTTTCATTGGTTTCCCGTCCGTCGGCAAGAGTACACTGATGAATAAATTGACTGGTCAACATTCAGAAGGTTAGTTATGGCCATCCTCCTTCGACGAACGATTTTTCTAAAACCCTCTAGCCGCGGCCTACGAGTTCACAACCCTCACGACTGTCCCCGGTCAAGTGATGTACAACGGTGCCAAAATTCAGATTCTCGATCTTCCGGGTATTATCGAAGGTGCCAAAGACGGCAAGGGTCGTGGTCGACAGGTTATTGCGGTGGCCAAGACCTGCAATCTCATTTTCATCGTCCTTGACGTGAACAAGCCGTTGGTTGACAAGCGAGTCATCGAGAACGAGTTGGAGGGCTTTGGCATTCGCATCAATAAGAAGCCCCCCAACATTGTATTCAAGAAGAAGGACAAGGGTGGTATCGCCATTACGAGCACTCAGCCATTGACTCATATTGACAACGACGTAAGATCGACTGCTCGCATAGTATTTGACAAGTACTAACAGATCCCAGGAAATCAAAGCTGTAATGAGCGAGTATAAGATTTCGTCCGCTGATATCTCCATCCGATGTGATGCCACCATTGACGACCTGATCGATGTTCTGGAAGCCAGGAGCCGCAGCTACATTCCCGTCATTTATGCGCTGAACAAGATTGATGCTATTTCGATCCAAGAGTTGGATTTGCTTTACCGGATTCCAGACGCCTGCCCAATTAGCTCCGAGCACGGATGGAACGTCGACGAGTTGATGGAGATGATGTGGGCGAAGCTCAAGCTGCGCAGAATCTACACAAAGCCTAAGGGCAGAGCGCCCGACTATTCGGCACCTGTCGTGTTGCGTTCCTACGCATGCACAGTCGAGAATTTCGTAAGCATTGCGCTCATCTTTCTAAGAATTATACTAACGATATAGTGTGACGCTATTCACCGCACAATCAAGGACGATTTCAAGCACGCCATTGTGTATGGTCGCTCAGTAAAGCACCAGCCGCAGCGAGTCGGTCTCTCGCACGAGCTTGCTGATGAAGATATCGGTAATTCTACCCAAAAACGAATGAGTTTCAAAGCTGACCAGCTATAGTGTCGATCATCAAGCGGTAAAGGAATTATGCCAGCTCCTTGACCCTCATAGCCCAAAGCGGCGAGATGATCCAAGCGCTGGGGTGGTCTGTGCCAGCCTGTCTTTGCGCCTCCGCGATCTGACAGCTTCTGGCACATCCGTAAGACGCCACCGGATCCGAGCGTTGGATAGACTCTCGTTCACGGCAACATAATTAAAGGGGGAAGTTTTTGAGTCTACCATTTGACATTAAAATCAGCATGCATATCACTGCCGATCTTTGGTCTCAAGGTATAGCTTTTAATTCGATGAACTCGAGTTAGGCTTCAAGGGTTATACAAGTCCAGGGGTACGCACGAGGCGAAAAGCCATGAGTCTGATATTCTTGGCACCTTTGTTTGTGACCCTTGAACCAGTCCATATTGTTATGATTACCCTTTTTTGATGAAATTATTTGTCCATCAGCGTCCGCAAAAGTTCAGATCTCTGGCATTCTCGTATTGTCTCAAAAATCAAAGCCATCATAAACGGTCTACTGGTTCTTCCCTGTGGCTCAAATCTGAAAAAGGCAAGTGGCTTTTTTTTCCATATAATGAAAGATATATCATGTCAGACCAATCAGCCCCTTTGGTTGATTCGTATTACAGTAAAAATTAATGCATCATGCGACTCCTTATCGCCCTGTACATATTAGAGACCCCATGTACAGATCGGAGGACGCCTGCATAGATAATTTATTTTGATGACATTCCGATTGGCATTTTCCCCTTGCCCATTACCTCCCGTCCTGCACAGCATCCTTGCCAGTCATTCTAATGTTTATAAGATTTTCACCGGTGGCTTGATTTCTTTGCTCTTTCTTTTTTTTTCTTCCCCCATTTTTACTTTGAGGCTGACGAGTCAGACCACAAAAGGTCTAGGCCTCTGAACGCCGATCATAGCACTCCCTAACTGTCAGCTCGAAAGCTCCGGAATAAAGAAAAACGGACTCGATAGCTTCGACGGAAGAGCCGGAAAGGTAATTATGGTGTGCATACTTACTCCATACTCTGGTGCAGAGAAGGGCCGCGACTCAAAGCATTGACCTTCTAATAGCTTAACGGTGATCATGACGGGGTCGCGTATATTTGGAAAAGCCACAGCATCGGGTAACAATTACATGTTTATTAAAACCCGGCATTACCAGTCTAGCTTCCGATAGGTCCAAGGGCGTATTATTTAGATATTGAATGATAGAAGATCAAAATGGATCTGTCAACTGACTAGCACGTTTTCCCTTAGCTTCTTAATCTCTTGGCTTCTGGCCTGCAACTACTTACCGAAATTTGATGGGAGAAAAAAAAAAGTACAGATCTGCGTAAGATTGACATGCAAACCAAAATATTTCAACCAACCAGAAAAAAGCAAAAAGTGAGGCAAGGTACTGGAAGAGATTTTTAAGACAAGCGGTGAAAAAAAAAGATCAATTCATGTACGGAGTACGGAGTATGTTATCTGATTCTCCACGGAGACCTCGATGATAGCCTTTTACCAGAGCACATTATCCACCCAATAGGAATCTCTTATGTCCAATGAATCTCATGAACCTTTGCGGAGACAAAATAGTTCTTGGTGGAGAATCTCCCGCAAATCGCCGATTTAGTTGAAAATTGAGAAAGGGGGCTGTTCACGATCTGGTCCGTTCTCAGATGCAAGATCGGCGTACAGTGTATATTAATTTCTGTCTTGATCAGGTGACTATGATGGCACCGATCGCCCGCATACCTTTAACGTACGTTGTACATTATTACTCTCGTGGAGGATCCATCGGTCATCCCCGTCGCATTGCATTGCATGAGCCATGCTCTTCCCCGGAGTAAGCATACTGGTTTTTTCCTTGGCCTTCTAGGGATGGTGGGAGCACTCTATAGTGCGAAATAGCCCTAACTAGTGGTTTACTAACAATCTCAAGTGTCATTTATTCATGCTATACCCATCTATTTCTATTAACAATCCAATTCTATTAATTCTGCACCATTTGACTTCCCGGAGATTCTTCGGGTGGAATTAAAATTGCAGGTTAACACGGTACCTGACTCGAGTGACACCCCAGACAGTTGTGTACCCTAGGAAATTCTTGAAAACAGCCAAGAACGGCCCAAATTGAAAGAAGCAAATATATGAATTGGTCCGAGAATTTTGATCCTGACCGGTCTAGACTTATTCCTGCTCCTTCTCCGAGTGAAAGGCATGCCCTAATAAGAGATAGCAATCCGAATGGCGTCAGTACGGGATCTACCCCGATTTTTACCCCTAAACACACATTATTAGCGAACGATTTAATTTAAACTGTGCTAAAATTAAAATCTTTTAAATTTCGTCACACACTTCTTTTTGATTTAACTGGCGCCAAGTAAAAAAATCATAACGGCAGCAAGCATAATGATTGGTACTGCGACTAAATCATCATACGAATCATACGCATTCTGCAGTGTTGGATTGATTTGTCAGACCTCTCTAATATCGTTATTATTTGCTTTTTCTTTGATTCTTTGTCTGTCCTTTCGAGAATGAATCCTTCTAATAAAGCAGTCGGGTTTTACACTCGAGTTTTCCTCGTGGTTTTGAGTCGAACAAGCGGGGTGTTGGATATTTGGGTAGTATCCAACTACACCGCGTCCAAAAGAGGCCTCTTATAAGCATATTATATGTCGGAGATACGTCCGGTTTTCGGCCCCTTCCCATTACTCTTTGTTCTCCTTCGTATAGCCTACCTACATACATACTCTGTTCTCTCTTAACCTTCCAATTGGACTTCAAAAATGCAAGCAAAGAATTTGAATGTTGAAGGTTCCCGGGCCGGAGGGGACCGTAGTGGGTCGTTGTGGAGAAAGACGAGGGCTGAACTTCCTTTAGCGTCAAAAACAATCCTTCCCCTCTTTCAAAGATGTCCTTTTACGCTTTGTGATAGGACAACTCTTCAACAGACTGTTCGGCCCTTGTATCGGACATGCTCGTATATTTGTATCCAAAGATCGTCCTTGCTGCTCCTTATTTGCTGATTTCTAGCCGTCTCATCTCTCATGGATGTTTGATGCGGTACTTCCTCAAAGTTATGATCCCACATCTTACCCCAATCTGGTAATAGTTCCATTCGATGGACTTTGCTCCAATCTATTTATTCCCTAGGGATTTGCTTTCCTTCTCTCTCTCTCTCTCTCGGTCCCCTCTACTCATTATGATTTGTGTTCCCTTGAGGTCAAACCCCTTCAGACCCGGTTTCTTCACCTCCACAATGTGAACCGTGCCCCTAAAACACATCCTATGGGGTAAGGAAGTTGGAAGTTGAATGTTTGATTCAACAGTTTGCTTTTTGATTGCAAATGAAGATATCTCCAATGAAGGTTCTTTCCGCATCGATAAGTCTCTCTGCCGCTATCCTCTTCCCGGCCCAGCCTGATCGCCGTCTTTGCCTGCGATGTGCATGGGTGTTATGCGGGCTTTAAGTTCAGCGGTTTATCGATCCGCTACCCGGCTCTAAGCAAACTAAGAGCTGGGCTGGGAACGAACTTGTTTTTCCCAAGGATCAAGTCTAATTATTGAGTTAGATTTTCTAGAAATCGTCGTTAAAAGCGAGGTGATCGAAGAATGTATAACTTCTCAAACAAGTCCAAGGTTTAACACTGAACGGTCCCGCCCGATTTTCCAACAACCTAGGTGACTTCACATTGGACGAGATGTTGGATCTATATTGACCAGTATATTGCCAGTATACAACATACTCGTACCCATTGAGTCTACCATCCTGGAAGGTCATACGGGAAGAAAAGAAGAAAAAAAAAGACAAAAATCCTAAAAAAATCCTTTAAAAAAAAACAAGAATAAACCCGCGTTAGCCCTGAGAACGAAGATTTCCATACTCTTACGGTGTAATACGCAAAACGAATTGGGCCTGACGAGATGCAACCCCTGGCGCAATATATCACTCAGCCAACCAACCAAATATCATTTCCCCCTCTATTACAGGGATCATTTTGAAATTTTATAAAAAATTAAAATGATATTGATATTTTCTTTTTATTTTTCTTTTATTTTCTGTTTTTTTTTTTACTTCGGATGGAATTTTTCATATTAACCAATCAACAATCAGTTCGGCTGGATAACTCTCGGGGGGCAGAGAGTTATCATAGATTTCTCCGTCGTCTTTCTCGTGCCAGTTGCAATCGAGATTCATAGTCGTTCTGTCAAATCCACGCGATACGGATCGTCCTACTGATTTTCCTTTTAACCCCCATTGCCTTACCCGCATGTCCTTTCTTACCTTCTTGCATATACACTTTATACTTCCTCTTTTCCGGTAGTTTATAGAGCTACCATCTCGGGACATTACCACTCTCTGGATAATTTTATACAGGTCTACAGCAGTGGAACATGCAGTTTTTATTGTCTTACCCTTAGAGAGATTGTTTCATTGTTCCTTTTTGTCTCTCTTTCTTTGATTTCCTCTCGAACCTATCACGATCCTCCCCCCAAAGCCCTATTGTTCTTGAGATCCATTGTCTATGGAGGAACCCACCATGGAAACGGAGGCTCATCACCCACCAGAGGGTGAATTCCCACCACATTCACCATGGGGGGAAATGGGCCAATTTACTACTCCTCAGCATTCGCCTGCCATGCCAGAGTATAGTGGGTTTGACTACAGTCAATCGCAGCTCATGGCTGTGGACTCGTATGGCATGCCAATACCCCCACCTTACGCCTCTATGCCACTACCCATGCCTTCGCATTCCTGGCCCAGCATGCTCACACCACAATCTCCGTTTGCTGCGTCTGGGCTACCTGCTTCTACCCCGACATCGGTATCTCCTTCGGTTCTCATGCCTCCAGTGCGGAAGACCTCAACTGGAGGTACTACACCGCGCAGGACACTTACCGATGATGACCGCCGGCAAATGTGTATATATCATGAGGAAAACAAGACTGCTAAGCAGACTGACATTGGAGGTATGTAATATCTCTTTATCCGAGTTGAAGGGACTAGGCTGATCCCTTATACAGCATTGTTCGGAGTCGAAAGAAGGTATCATTGAAACCTCAATTTATTCTATCCAATCTAACATGCAATAGCACTGTTTCCAAAGTCCTTCGCCAGAAGGAGAAGTACCTAAACCCCGAAGACGGGAGTCGATCTCCCATCAAACGGGCCAAGGGAAGAGTCCCTGATATTGAAAAAGCCCTAGCCAACTGGGCCAAAAACTACCAGCGCCAAGGATATCCCCTGAACGATGATATGATCAAAGAGAAAGCACTCTTCTTCGCTAGCACCTGCGGCTGCCCCGAAGGCAAGGACAAGGTCTGCACCACAGCCTGGCTAGACAAATTCAAGCAGAAGAACAATCTCCTCGGTGCAAAGGTGCGCAGAGGATCTACAGAAATTCGCAGCGGATCAAACAGCCCAACCCAGCTCAATACAGACTTTGGATCTGCTCTCCAAAGCCCCAGCGGTCCCTCGCCCACCTCTCCAGTCGAAGGCTTCGGATCCCCATTATCTCCAACAAGCCAAGAAGGATTCAAACGGGATATGGCCGAAGTACCCGACCTGACAGGGGGTTACCAACACGGCTATTCCAAGAGTACAACCTCGATCGACACCTCGGCGGGTATGGTCAGCCCAACATCCACTCTGGTCTCTGAAAGCCCTTTCACACCGACAAGTCAATCCCGTCTCCCAACTGGCCCCAGCAGCGCCAACACCAACAGACCACGCAGCCAGACCTTCCCACTGGTCCCCATCGATCCAACACTCCTATCCGCCGACGAAACCACGGACCCTCAGCGCCAAAAGCGCGAACTCCAGCAATCACTCTCGGTCTCCACCTTGCAGTCCCCAGTGGAAATGGACGACTCAAAGCCCGCATGCCCGGTCCACCAGACAAACGTCATCAAGCGCAATCGCAGCAACCCAGAAATCAAGACAAATTCCATGCCGCCGCCATCAAAGTCTACCACCATCTCGCCAATCAGCTCCCCCGGATCCCCAACACAGGACGAGGCCCGTCGCGCCCTAGAACTAGTCATCAACTACTTCGACCACCAACCGGCCGGACTCGCCGCACAGGAGTACATGACCATCGGAAAGCTAATGGAGAGACTCGAGCTCGCCAAGAGCCAGGCCGGGTTTCTGTTGGGTGGCTTACCGCGCATTGACGAACATGAGGATATCCCCATCCCGCGTGTGACGAAGAAGAGGAGCATCCACAATTTGGGATGAGACCTGATTTGCATTTGCATGTCTTCCGTTTCTTTTTTTTCTTTGCATTCCCCGTTTAATCTTTTTGCATTCCCCCGAACCCTTCCCCCCCCTTCCCCAACATTCTCTGCTTTACTGTGATTCGTGATTCGTGATTCCCCCCTTTCTCTTCTTCCTTTCCTTCATTCGGTGGTTTATTTGATATTTGGTAACTGTACGAATCTTTCTTTTATATCCATTTTTCCTATCTCTCAGGAGATATAAAACCTGGGCAACCAAACAAAAAACATACACATATCCAGAGGGCGACCTCTACTTTCTTTGGAACTGTTTTTGGCGGATTTGGGAATAGGCGCGCATGCCCTGGGATTCCCGGTCTGGACGAGTTGGATGCATATGGAATATTGGGCACATGGTCATAATGTGATGGTATATGGAATTGGGATCATCGACCTTGGACTTGGGAGTTTTTGCCGCTTGCTTTCTTCTTCGGGTTTTTTGCTTTTTTTTTTTTGCTTTTCATTTTTTAAGCTGTTGGTTTGCTATATCCCTCAACCCCCCTTGTACTGCATCTCTTTCTTACACTCTTTTTCATATTAATTTTTCCCTTTAAACACGCGGAAAGATAATTTTCATTGGGTTCTATGAACCATGGCATATTAGGTCTATTATTATACCCCCGGTATCTTTTTTACAATCACATTATTTTAACTTTGGAACTTATGCTAGTCATAGGCATATCTCATTAATTAAGTCTGATATTAAAAGCCGGAACATGTCTATACAAATGCTGGCGGTACTGGCGCCACCCCACGATCCTCCAGTAAATCTTCAACACTGTGCTCAGTCATTTCGGGGAGTAGCTTGGATACCACTGTCTCGATAATACTCCAGACTAGATGTTTATTGCAGTACTCATCTGCAAAAAGGTCTAGAAAATCATGTTCGATTATCTCTAGGAGATGCAGTTCCTCGCAGTCCATCCCCGCAGATGAATCGTCTGTGCGCAGCCGCTCAGCGGCAAGGTGACCACACGCAACTAGGCAGGGGTCTGAAGGCAAAGGGGAATGTGATGGCGCCAGGTTTGCCTTCCCCTCCTGGAAAGATCCATGGTGCGCGCCGGGGGAAGACGGTGGGGATGTGACGAGAGAGGGCGAACTGTTGGAGCTGCAGGTACCATCACGATTGTAGGGCGGAGGCGCCGACGGGGGAACACCGAGAAAAGTTCGTGTGACGGAGCGCGGGATTAGGGCCAGGAGACTAGCTGCACATCGTCGCTTGATAGCGGCGATCTCCGTCCTAGAGGGGGTATTCCGTTTTACCGGTTCGGCCGGCTGATTTAACTCTGGTGTTGGGAGGTCGGCTGCAATGGTAGAAAGTGATGGGCCTGAGGTAACCGTTGAGGTCTTGCCGCCGTTGCTGTTCCCCGGATTATTGGCTTTAATGATATCAGTCGTATCAGTGGCCCTGGCTCCTTCCGTAATAGGTGTAGGTGATGCCGTGGGCGCGAGTGCTTTTTGACTGGGCGTCGGGGTTTGCACTGACTGCAGAGCCGACGCCGGAGCTTCAATATGACCGGCCGCTATTTGAGATATTGGACGGGTATTGGACGGGAACAAGGCGGTCCTTGTCGCAAGAAGAAGGTTGGGCAACAAAGTGGGGGTCAGCACGTACTCCTCAATGGTCTCCCGGAGGAATCTGTGGGAGTTAGCAAAAGGTCTCAAATGACGTCGGAGCAATGTAAAAAAAAATAATAATAAAAAATAATAAAAGAGTGAAGCGATAATCTCGACTGTGGAGCTCGGGACGTTGTGCCTTTTTTTTTCCCGCATTAATTAAAAGAAAAAGTCCATAAGAGCCGTATAAAGTGAGGCGGAGCAAGATCGACTGAAGGAGCTTGGGCCATTAAAACATTCAGGTAACATCCCGTACCTGATGCACGAACCTCGGTCAGATTACAAATTTCACTTTCCGATAGGAATTTCGCTCATTGGACCGAATTTGGTAATTCATCCTTGGCTGATTTCCTTTTTATCTTTTTTCAGCCAAAAGAGGTATGGCCGGCGATGGGGGTGATCGGCAGTTTCTTTTTTTTTCTTTTCTTTCGTGCTTTAGCACCCTTTTTGCCAAGGAGAGTTCAATCGCTTAGATGTTCTCATTCCTTGTTTTTTCGGGTTTCCAAATCAAGAAAGTTGGCATATGAATCTTCAGATTCACAGAACAAAAAGTGGACGAGCGGCACGGAAAGGGCCGGGCCCCGGCGCTATCACACCTGAAAGAAAGAGACGGGGCATCCGCGGGCAGACACATCCCTGCTTGAAAAAAAAAAATGGTCGGACCAATTTGAGGGCAACCAATCTGATGCCAGAACTGCCCAGTAGGTCTGACGGTAATGACCATACATTAAGGTGACCTCGTAAGATGGTAAGATGACGGTAATCATCCCAACGGGTATTGTGGCCTTCCAAGAGGTTACAGCCAGGTCAAGTGACCGACGCGGCATGCGAGCAAGACGCTTCATGTCCCACTCTAACTCGCACAAGTGACACTTGGACCGTAGATTGTGTGTCGGAGATCGTACCATTGCTCCACAGTCGTTGATTTCCTCAAGGCCTGAGCCCTCAAAAGAGGGTTGGAGCGTTGAGGGGTTGCATGGAAGGAGACGGGAAAAAAATAGAACAAAACTCACCTATCAAAGATTCCATCCGTGGCACCGACCCTGCCTGGGCCTGCCAAAATAAGGTGCTGGAATAGAGCGAGCAACCCACTCAGCCATGGCATTCTCCATGGGATTCCTAGTACCTGCGAAACCATGGAATACATCCGGTAGTCGAGTACCGGACGTTTACTTGTGCCATCCGACTCCATCCCATCTCTTTTCTGGTTGATGGGTAAGGCAAGTGGAACACCGGCACTGTGCGAAGAGGAGCCTGGACTCGATGCGACACGAAATAAACCTATTGCAATGAAACGCAAGACGACGTAACCAAGATAAATCTTCTGCAGTAGGTTCCATATCCAGGTGGCTAAGAATGACGCCGATGGACCAGGGAGCTCATTCTCGGTTGAAAGCAAGCCGAATTTTTCTAATCGGTTGATTTGAGAGTCCGGGTTGGATTTTGTGTCATCTTGGGTTTGACGGCGTCCCACTTGAGCGGCGAGTTTGCCTAGAGTTTCCCAAATGAACCATCCTTCGCATGCCCTGCCACTGACCTGGTTTCCCAGGATCAGATCTGCTATAATATCAACTACCAGCGCCCGAAGGCTGCTATTTTCGAGGTCTTCTGTTGGCAGAAGAACTGCTAGGATACCGTTGGCGAGTAGTCGTCGATAGACTGCTTCGTTCTCGCTCTGCTCGGCGATGGTATCTGGATCCCCTGGATCAGGTATTGGAGAAAGGCCGGGGTGTGGATTTAGCTCATGATAGAGAGCACGGTACGACGTCGGTAGGCCAGAAAGGTGTGACTGTTGCCTGGCTTGTCTGTACGCTGGAAGATCATATAGTCAGCAATGTTTCCCCTCTCCGCGGAACCACCGTGGATTCCGGCAAGAAGAACTTTAGAATGAATGAGTCTCACAGAGTACATGTGATTCCACCAGGGCAGGGATCTCATCCAGGGCTAGTTGTGCAACGTCGATTTGGCGCAGCCTCTGCTCGAGTGCACGGGTGCAATGCGCGATTACTTGTAAAACTTCATTCACAAGAGCCTGATCGGGTGTGATTTTCGAGTACCACGAGTAAACAAATTCCTTTATTATGATCGCGAGAAGGGCGTAGAGTTGACGATCAACGTCATTGGAGCTCGTGAGGGGAGGTAACAGCTCTTCCGGAGGCTGTGGGGAAGATGCCCCATGGTTGCTTGTCTGGGGGCATAGGACGCGTCGGATCAGAGCAGTGGTGGCCTTGTCGCTAATAGAGTCCGGGTCATCCTTTCCAGTATCTCTTTGTGTACGGAGTCGAGAGGAAGGACGCGAAGGCGGCTGAAGTGTCGTCGCGGAAGGCAGCGCGGTGGATCTGGAGCTGGAGGTTGTCGGTCCAGCCTTGAGGTGAGATATCGGCTGAAGACCGGGGCGGAACGGATCATTCATTTCATTCCATAGAGCTTTAAAGTTGGATCAATAGCTATCAACGAAGTGCTCTCTGTTAACAGGACAAATCAACCTGAGAAGCGTTGATGGTTTGTACCTGGCCCAATTTGGATTATAGGGCTTAGGGCTAGAAGATAGGCCTTATCGCATTCCATTGATGCGGGGGATCCCGATGTTAGATGGCCAAATGTACTTAAAAGTGCCCAAGTGGCCTCTTGACTCTCAATTGTATGATTTGTTTTCTTTGAATATACACCATGTTAGACCAAGTTGAAGATAGACCTATTCCCTTGTGGTTGGATTGTGATCCTGGTTAGTCCATCATGATCCTCTTGCGTTCGTATTACTGACTGCTTTTAGGCCATGATGTGAGCCTCTAAAGATACATATGTATACTAGAAAGACATTTATTAATATGATATAGGATGCCTTTGCAATTCTGATCGCCGCTCATCATCCATCTTTGGAGCTGCTTGGAATCAGTACTATCCATGGAAATGCATCGTTAGAGAAGACAACCGCCAATGCCGGCAGCATTCTGGAGGCGATCGGCAAGCCCGACATCCCTGTCTATCCTGGTAGCAATAAGCCGTTTTCGCGACCTGCTCTTCATGCGCCCGATATTCACGGTACGGGGTCCTTTCAATGCGCGCGAAATGTTTTAATAACACTTTCTAGGCGAATCTGGTCTTGATGGGACCGACCTCCTCCCCAAGGCCACTAGACCACCTGTCACCGATAAGAACGCCATTTTGGCCATGAGAGATGCTCTGCTTGCACAGCCCAAAGGTACTCCCTGGGTAGTTGCAACGGGTACTTTGACTAACGTCGCATTGTTATTCGCAACGTTCCCGGAGGTGGCTGAACACATCCAGGGCCTGAACATTATGGGTGGTGCCATCGGTGGGGGATTTACCGATGCTCCAATGAGCAGACTCCAAGGTGAGAAGTCTAGGATTGGAAATGTGACCCCGTGGGCTGAATTCAATATCTATGTATGTTTTCTAATCTTCCATCCCTCTCTGGCTCATCTAACCCACGATGGTATAGTGTGACCCGGAGTCTGCCGAGTCAATCTTTAGCAACCCGGTTCTTGCATCTAAGACAACTATGATCGGCTTGGATCTCACACATCAGGTTTTGGCCTCACAAGCCGTTCAAATGCGCATCTTGCATGGCTCGATCCACTCGACTGAGGAACCCACTGTCCTTCGGCAGATATTGCATGCACTACTCACTTTCTTCGCTGCCACATACGAAAAAGCTTTCGGGTTGACCACTGGACCTCCATTGCATGATCCCATTGCCGTGGCCGTTATCTTGTCGACGCTAAATCCAACCTTCGCCAAGAAGCACCCTAATCAAGCTCTTACTTTTGATGACAAAGGCGGCGAGCGTTTTGCTCTGAGTATTGTCACAGATGGGCAACATGGGGAAGATGTATCCATAACAGGTCAACTGGGCCGCTCGATCGCTACTCCTGTTAATGGTCCGGGAGTTGCTGTTCCCAGGGGCGTCGATTTAGATGCTTTCTGGAACATTATTCTACAATGTGTCCAGCTAGCCGATGATTGCAATGCTGCACCCAAGCCCTGATTTATGATATCGGACGATCTTTGAGCCTTTTAGACTGTGACCTAGATCTTTAACATACAACTACATTAGAAGGATATCTTGGAGGTCAGATATAGGTCATAGAACAGAATTTGCGGCATGTCCAAACAGTCGCAAGTTATAAATTTATTCATCTTTGTCAAAGTTATTCATAATCTGCATAAATTAAGCCTTTTCCGCCTTTTTTTCCCCGTCGGCCTATCTAAACAGAATGATATCTAGGAAGACTACTAAACATACCACTAGAAAGAAGGTTATTGAAAAGATTACTGAAAAGACATCACCACAAGGCCGCTTATGCGACCAACTATTCTTATACCAACTAAATTTGACCAAAAGGTGCCCTCGTCGGCCTAGTGTTTGAGAGTAATGGGAAACCCCTCCCGAGGTCCCGAGGTCACTATATGAGAAGGGCTCCCATTCACAAGAGGAAAGGGAATTCCCCGCTTCAATGAAGAAGGATTGACACGGAGATTTGGGTTCTTCTGGCTTGAAATATGTTAAGATTGATAGAAGCTTCCAAGTTGTGCTTCATATGGCTTTTTATTCATGGCTTTTATACTCCGCATCTCCGTAGATCACTTTTTAGATGCATGTCAGATGTTTTGCAGGACAGGGGGTTCCACGTTACTGGGTTTCAGGAATGTATAGAACAATTAAAGAAATATAAAATGTTGAAATGGTGAACTGAAGTTGAAGCCCGGCTGAAAGGAAGAACGTCATAAGTTGCGGGCCTCTCCACATCTTTTACAACTTCAACTATTCCCCAGACTTGTCTTTTGTTTACTACACATATTTTTTATTTCTTGGCCTTGCATGGCCTATGTCGATCAATATCCCTTGACGGTACATTCCGATTAGAATGCCAGTATGTTTCATTTTAATCTTGATAATTATGTGAGTTAATATCTTTTTAGCACACGCCACTCTCTCCGGCACCTGACCCTCCGCGCCGATCGACTGCCCCTGTGGAGACCGATAACGCCCACGATGACAACGTGAACTTTCTACGATCGCGACCAGCTCTCTTCAATCCGCTATTACCCTCCTTAAGCCGACAACGTCGCCGTCGTTATCCGACTAATCCGCAAAACGAGGATCGTATGGAGGTGGATGATTCCACCAACCCGCGCACGTCCGTTGAACTCAACCGTCGCATCCCGATTGTCCGCCGCCAGGAGAGATCAACCGATATGCCAAATTATGAAGGACGAATGACAAACTCTCGATCGTTGTATGGGTGGGCACCTGGATCTGATGATGAGGATGGTGCGCGCGAAGAGTCAGATGATGATCAGATGCAGCCCTTCCTCCATGCAATCTCAAGTCGTGACACACCCCCTGCGCGACCTCCTCGAAATGAGGTCCCGGGCCCCGCGCAATTGATACCCCATGAGTATGAGACATTACCAGGCAGCAACCGGCCTCGGCCATCAGTCTCCGCAGTGGCGGCGTTGATACAATCCGCAAGACGTCAGCCCCGGCTTTCTCGAAGTCGCACACTGGAGAACTACATGATCGATCGCTCTACTGCAGAGGAGGCCGAAAATGCTCTAGCGGCCGCGTCCCGGGGATACCGTTATCGCCCTTCGTCGCGCGGGGACTCACATCATATCAACCTCACCCACAATGATCTGCGCGCTCGTGCCACCGCTCATCGCCAACTACACTCCGACACCTATCTGGGCAACGTGCTAGGGGAAACCATACACTATCTCGAGCGCATTCGGTATTCAAACTCCCTCGAAGAGAGTATGCTTGCCGTGGCGGACAGTCGGTTACCCATCTCGATGGATAACAAGGCCTGGAGAGATACAGACTTCATTCTATACACCCCCAACATTGAACCTCCTGCAGCGTGCTCATGGCTTCGATCTGGAATGGCCTTTTCTGGTTGTCAACGAGCTGCAAGCGCCGGATGTTCAGTATTGTCGCAACGCATTAACAGTCCGCGTGCCCCCAGCGAGCCTGTCATTGTAAACGGAAGTGACACCACCCGAGTCAGCGTTTCTACCACAAGTGGCCGCCGATACTTGGCCAATAACCGCGATGAAAATTGGCCCGTCAAAGTCACGATACACCAGATCAACCACGACGACATGACTTTATCTGGCACCATGGAGGCCTACAACATCCCCGATAAGACCTCGCCTACTCACGATGCACACATTGTGACTTTCTTGGAGGGTGAGATCATCGATTTCAACAATCACACACTTGAAACAAAGAACTTCAAAGCAGATGCAGACATCGATAGCACGTACTGGCGTGAGCTCCAACCGTTCAAGGATCTGACAGATGCTGAGATGGCCCGGAACATTGTGAGTCGGAAGTGGATTACCGAGGAATTATCCAAGGGATGGATCTTGATGAGATGGAAGGGTAAGTAGTGCAAGATCATGCATCTTTCCACCATATATTTCTTTTTGACTAACATACTCTAGAACGATGCTTCATCACCCCAACTGATGCTCGTCAGGGTCTTACAATCTCCGGATTCTATTACATCTCTCTTCGCCGCGAGGACGGGCACATCGAAGGTTTGTACTATGACCCAGGAAGTTCGCCTTACCAGCAACTCTCCCTGAATCCTGAAGTATCGAAAATGGTCCGCCCTTCTTATGCTTTCCGCTGAAAGGAACCCTTATGTTCATATCCTTTTCTTGTTTAGCTTTGCTTTGGTCCAGAATAATCTTCTGGTCCCCTCTATCTGAACCTTCGGTGTCTCCGATATGGCGTTCTGGAAAACGTCGATGGCATCTGACACGACCCTTTGCATAGCTCGGTGGTGTTTTTATTGCTGGTTTATTCTGCTTTACTTTGCATTTCATTTCTCGCGGGATAGACCTGTGGCGACTAAACTGCTGCAGTCGTTCTGCCTTTTTTCCCCTGAGATCATGACTATGTCACATTTTACCTTTTGGTCTCTTATGTTTTGTATGTATGGACAAAAATGTTTTCTTTTTTTTTGGCCGTCATGGATCCCCAGCAATGATTATCTCAACGGCCCCAAAATGTTCCCACTTTATTTTATGTATTAGTATCTTGATGTAACAGATCGAAACTAACCTCCGATCTCATTGAGACGGCAATCGAGGTATCCCAGGAGCTCGGAAGCGTTTGGCCATCATCTCTCAATGAATCTGCTGAAAAAGCAAATTGACACCGTGAGAAATTGATAAAGGGTTTCCTATTTAGCTCATGCCTTGACAAATTATTCTGTATGAAATACGAGTAAATCGCTTGACCCCACGGGGTTAACTTGTAGATCACCAGCGCCTAATACATGGATATAGGTTTATTGATACTAATATGGCTACCTGAGTGTTCCAATTTCGAAAGCCAAGCTTGCAAACTGCTGCAATAGTACTCCATTATTGGATGAAATTCTCTCTTCCACTGCATACAATTACATAGGATGGAGTCCAATTGAAAAGCCGATGTGATAAAAAGCAGTCTTCCAAGGTTGGTAAAACTCACGACTCAGTAATATGCAAATGATATGCATGTCGGCCTGGAGTGACGAGTCATATAGGCTACAACATGCATAATAATTCTGAACTCTCGTCAACACAGTGACAATTTTAATGCAAGGGCTCAGCTCAGCCGCATTGTGGTAGATACGCATAATACGATATCATGCGAACTCCCTTTCTTGCAGGAACCGGAGCGGGCCTATTTAATTAATTTGTAGCTCCGTAATACGTCGAGGACTGTGCACGCTAGAACTACTGCTTACCTGCCCAACAACTCTATTTAGTTTTCAAAGGTGAGAACTAGGCGGACTTTGGAAGGTTTACCCTTTGCCTACTTCAGATCGCTTCGCAGTTACCTACCCAAAACAATACTATGACTGCGGAGCTAATAAACTAATTAGATTTAGTCTGTCTGCGCACGAATTTAGCGCATCCGACGATATTTGATTCTGAGCACATTAGAAGGGTTACGGATACCCTAGACGTTTTGTATAGATTAATCCCACAATATTCCGGTTTAAACAGTATATCTGATATATCTTAGAATTCCAAACGTAATAGGAATGAGATTAGAAGGGAGAATTGAATGCCCGCATATAAGTAAAGTGATTTAGATTGTATGCTTCACTTAGCTCCGCATGTACTTACCCGATTGCGGAAGGACTGGCGAGTCGGGGAGTTTCTGGATTACACCGTTACATGTAGATCTTCTTTTGTCTTATCTGTATGCAGTGTCGTTTGATTATTTATTGTACTCGATTCCCTCCAGGGCTTTCAATCTCCAGGGATTCACTATGCAGTTGTACCTTACACTTTTGGCGATAGCAGGTGCTATCCAGCCCGTTATTGGTGCGCCTCACCCTCGAACTGAGGGAACATGCAAGAAGACTAAAGTTGCAATCTTGTAAGTACTGGACTTCTCATTAATTGATTTCAAAACTCACAAAGTATAGGGGAGGTGGCGTGGCTGGTATTACTGCTGCTGTGAGTTCAATGTTGCTTCCTTCGTTGACCTGAAGGTCATTAACAATTTATAGCAAGCCCTAACAAATGCTTCCGTTCACGATTTTGTCATTCTTGAGTACCGCGATACTCTCGGCGGTCGGGCTTGGCATAAGCCGTTTGGAAAAAATAAAGATGGGAAGCCCTATAATATTGAAATGGGTGCCAACTGGGTATGCATGTCTCAGTTGTAAGAAAGGATTGGGCTGACCGGTGAACAGGTGCAAGGTATTGGAAGTGAAGGAGGCCCGCAGAACCCCATCTGGCTCTTGGCTCAAAAATATGGACTAAACACCGAATTCTCAAATTACGAGAATATATCTACCTACAATAAGGATGGCTATTCCGACTACAGCCATCTGATCAGCGCATATGACGAGGCCTATGATATTGCCAACCAGAGGGCAGGTGAGATTCTTACCCAGAATCTCCAGGATCAAAATGCCAAGTCAGGCCTCGCCATAGCTGGTTGGAAGCCTAAACCACTTGACATGGAAGCACAGGCTGTTGACTGGTGGTCGTGGGGTAAGTTATCTTGTAAATTGTACATAACCCAATCAACTAACATATGGATTAGACTTCGAAGCTGCTTATTCCCCAATAGAGAGCTCATTTGTCTTTGGCTGTGCGGGTGACAATTTGACCTTCAATTATTTCAGCGACCACGATAACTTGGTTATTGACCAGCGTGGATTCAACTTTATATTCAAAAAACTGGCATCAACTTTCCTCAGTGACAATGACCCCCGCCTTCACCTGAACACCGAGGTCACGAACATCACATATTCAGACCATGGTGTCACGGTTTACAACAAAGATGGCAGCTGCGTAGAAGCAGATTATGCTATTACCACATTCTCATTAGGAGTTCTGCAAAATGGCGCTATCAACTTCTCCCCAGAACTCCCAGACTGGAAGCAGGAAGCTATTGAGAAGTTCACTATGGGAACATACACCAAGATCTTCTTCCAATTTAACGAGACCTTCTGGCCCTCAGAAACACAATATCATCTCTACGCCGATCCCGTAACCCGTGGCTGGTACCCAGTCTGGCAGTCACTATCAACTCCCGGATTCTACCCCGAATCCAACATCATTTTCGCCACCGTGACAAACGAGCAAGCATATCGAGTTGAGCGCCAAACAGACGAGCAAACCAAGAAAGAAGGATTGGAAGTCTTGCGTAAGATGTTCCCGGATAAGGATATCCCCGAGCCAACTGCATTCACGTACCCACGCTGGACCTCAGAGCCCTGGTCCTACGGCAGCTACTCCAACTGGCCTCCCTCCACATCTCTGGAGATGCATCAGAACCTCCGCGCCAATACTGGCCGACTCTGGTTCGCCGGTGAGGCTACTAGCCCGACCTTCTTTGGCTTCCTTCACGGTGCATACTATGAAGGACTGGACGCGGGCCGCCAAATTGCGGCTATCATGCAGCACCGGTGTGTCCACCCAGAGTCTGTCAAGTTGAGAGAGTGTGGGCCCCGAAAGCACTATGAGACCCTGCATGGCACCTCGCCGTATTCCGATTACACTATGCTCAATGGGTGGGCTGTGGACAGTTCCATTGATAATAATCCCCCCGAAGAGTGAAGATAGAGCGGGATTCTATGTACAGGCTTGCAACTCTTGAAGTCAAGTGATTTAGTTTATTTTATTCAGTATCGTTATAGTCTATATTCCCCTTGGGCAAGCAGCAGCTGTGGCTCGTTCTTTAACATGGACAAAGTCCCACTCAATCCATTAAATGGCATTATGTGAATACCTTGCTTTTCCCTCGTAGCAAAGGCCCATAAGCTCTGAATATAATCGGGATAGGGATCATTATTGCGGCTAAACAGCCAAGCAACGTGCCAGCCCATTGGATTCCCATATTTTGAAACATTTGCCTTGAGAATAATGGAAAGCCCGAAGCTACTGCTGATCGAAGGATGACATTAGCAGCAACAGCGGAAGCGGCACTAAGATCCAGGTACGTCAGTAGGGGCTTCGAGTATCGATTTCTCCAAGTAGATAGACCGAGGACTCACATTGGCAAGTATGCATCGACTATATAGTTGAAGCACGGAAGGAAGATGCATAACACTCCAAAACCAATGAATATCCCAGCTGCGGCAGGTACAGCCCAATGAATTTGAGACGTGAACCCAGTCCAGCCAAACCTGATGAAATGTCGGTTAGCAAGTGTCATGCATCATTCCGATCCCAAATCATTGTACCCACCAAAAGAGACCTATCGTAAAAACAGGCGCTCCTAGTAATGTTGGAGCGAGGCGCCACTCAGGCACTGTGACACCCTTATTCTCTGCCAGTTTCCTTGCATAGTCCAATTGCCCGAAAAGAATAAAAGCACACGCAAGCACCACGCCGACAATGAGACCAATGAACATTAACCCAGCAATAGCAGGAGTCATCCCATACACATGTTCAAAGACGAAAGGATATGCCTCAAGAAGCGCATAAACAAGGCCATAAATGAAAGACATGTAAACCGAGACCACGAGGATAATAGGTTCCGTAAAGAGCAACTTCAACGGACGTGTGAAGTATTTCTCCACAAGACCTGAAATGCTAACCTCGATCTCCTCGTGTCTGGCAAGAATATTCTTTTGAGACTCCTTGCGGATAGCAACAGCCTTTGCCACGAGAATACAAGGCGGATACGTCTCATCCAAGAAAAGAACACTCACTAACCCATTCCCCAGACTAAAAATCGCCGGGATGTAAAGAGTCCACCGCCAGCCAAGATAACTCGATGCAATGAAGCCACCCACAAAAGGAGCCATAAACGGGCCCACGAAGACAGTCAGTGCATATAGTGAAATTGCAGCGCCGCGGGTGGTATTATTGTATAGATCAGCCAGTACACCGGGGACGACGGTTAGTTGGCTTGCGCCAAACATGCCAGCGAAGAAACGGCATATGATCAAAGTCTGGATATTTTTGGACACTGCGCATGCAATTGTGAAGATTCCTCCGCCTAACATTCCGACTGTCAATGGCCATTTTCTGCCCCGTAGCTCGGATGAAGGGGCCCAGATCAGAGGTCCTGATGCGAAGCCGAGGACGTAGAGGGTTGTTCCAAGTGTTCCGACTTCTGTTCCAACTCCGAAGGCTTTGCTTACTTTGTCGATTCCTGGTGCGAAGATGGCGCTTGTTAAAGAGACGATGAAGGTTCCTGAGCAAACTAGGATAGAGTTGAAAAGTCTGTGTTAAATGTATAATTAGTTCGGATTCAGCATATGCAGATCCTTGGCTGTTTTAGGCTTTTGGCTTACTTCTTAGACAGTTTCCAACTCTGAGGATGTGAGGGGTCATCGGTTCCTTCGAAATCAACGTAGCTTGGTGATTTAGAAGGGGAAGTCGGAAGTGCCTTGTTCGCTCCAATCGATAGCTTCTCGTGCATTTTGAACTTGACGGAAACGACGCGCAAACACGTTTTGTCAATGAGGGTTAAGGTTTGATATCCAGGTGCGCTGGACTTAGGCTGAGTCGACCTAGTTAGTACAAGATTGCAATGTGTCGGTGTGCATTTCCTTTTTCAATACAGTTTTGCGGAACTAGTGTGAACTTCCGATCTATGGAAGCGGGTATTGCGGAACGGAGGATTTTACCAGGCACCGCACGGCACCCGCTATTCCCAAAAGGCTTGTGACATCGTACTCGTTTTCGGAGTTGAAATTTAAAAAAAAAAAGGTAATTCGCAAAATTAAACAAATATGGATATCTCAAAAACATAGGCGCCTCATCCGGATCCACCCAAGAAACTTGTACTATCAATCATATCCGAATTCAGAAATTGATCAAGGTCATCCCTTTGCAAACTAGGTAGATCAGCGACTAAAGCACCTAGCCATGAATACTCTTCGGCGCTTGGAAATTCTTGCAAGGGTGGTCCAGCTGGATTTTCCTGCTCCTCCATATTCATGACGTGATTGAAGATTGCAATGTCATCTTTCCTCCGCTGTTGATGCAGCATGACTAGCAAGAGAGCCGCGCTCCAAGCTTCTCTCATGGTATTTGTATCGTAAGTGGATGTAACGAGCTTCAATGTATGCATTGCTTCGGGGAGCATCGCTAGTGAATGCCGTGTGTCCATCACGAGCAAGACACATATGATGTGGAAAGGTACATTTGCCATATGTTGCCAGGGACTGCAGTCACTTACCATAGTGCGTGAGCAAGTAAGTCCCTTCTTCAGTAACGACAAGGCTTTCTCTGCGAGACGAGGAGATATTTCAAGATTCTGTGTATGGATTCTGCGCAGAATGCAAAGCACAAGATTGCATTGCGCCATGGTTGAGGGAGGCTCTTTATGAACTCTTTCTAGGATCTGAGAAAGCGTGTCTTCAAGCTTCATCTCATCTTCTTTCGGCTTTCCTGGGTCTAGGCTCGCCGATAATGGAAGAAGTCCCAGCACCTCATGCGTGTAATCGCCCTCAATGGTCGATGGAAGCAATGGCAAATCATTCTTTTGAAAGGTCACTCTTGATAAACCGAGATCATAGGATGTCCACAAATTAAGATGTAGTGCCACGCCGAAGAGTCGTCTTTGGATGTTTCGATCAAACCCCGCGTCAATACTGCGCGGAAAGACCGAATCAGTGGACTCTAAATGGAATCCCGCAGCTTCCACCAGATGCATCAACCTCGAACTCGCCATCCATGTTGAGTGGGGTAGATCTGTCATTCGCATGTAGATGACTCGCAACGTCCATCCAAGAAGCAGGTCGACGGGAGGAGTACCAGTCAAAACGTGCGTGTCGAGAATAGAAAGTGCCGATCCGACAAGATGTAATTCAGTGATAGTCATGTTTCGCTGGGAAAACAAACAACCTAGTGCAGCGACACCACCGAGAACACTGTCATATAGATCACTCCCTGTAGGAGACTGCCATCTAGCATCCAGCCGCTCATAAAATCGAAATGAATCAATAAACCCATAGCATGGACCGATCTTGGCAAAGTAGACCTGAGCAAGGGTCCTCATGTGTTGCAAGGATGTGATATCTGTAATTGACAGCACGGGGTGGACGACCTGAGATTCAGATGATAGTTGTCGCTTTCCAATATTCCAACCAAAGAGGCTTAGTTTTGGTGCTTTCGCAGGATCAATATTTAGGCCCATTCTCCGAACAAATGCTGCACCGGAGTTTGCCCACAATCGACGATCCAGCCCGTGCGTATCCACTGACTCAATCTGCTGTGGGGGCCTTAGCGTTGGCGAGTCTTCACTCGGAGGCTGTTGGTGAGCATGGCGCTTCTGTGGTGTTTGACGTTTGTAGTGACAATCGTAGCCCCATTGACGGCAAGTAGTGCAAGGCTCGGCGCCGTCGCATTTTCTTTTGCGCTCCCGGCATGGTTCACATGCGACTCGGGCGCGCTTTCGCTTAAGGTCGGATTCCGGCATAGCAATAAGTCAGTGATCCCGCAATTTCCGTGTAGAATGAAGGATGAAGGATAGGTCGGGTATTGTGGAGAAGTTGGGGCCGGAAGTGGGTATTGCGGATGCATCTGATGCCTGAGGCCTGCAAGCATTCCAACATTTCAGAGATATTATTTTATCTACTTCTCTCGTTTCTCTTGGGTATTCGGTATTCTTTTTCTTTTCATTTGAACTTGAGGCAGAGACTTGTAAATGTCAAAATTTGGGCTTATAGATAAAGCAGTTGACCACCCACTGTGAGCAGTGTCACGATCGCCGGTCCGCATACATATGAGATGAGCACAATGAATTTACTAGAAAACCTGCAATCTAGCCTTTGAAAAACCTAATGGCAGACACAAAAGACAGAATGACTATATAGAAGGGTAAAAACCTGGTCTAAAAATCTTACTTATTATTTGCACATGTATGGGGTACTATAGTAGCAGACAATGCGGATATTGCGGAAGTGCGGATTGTGACGTCGATGCCTCGGCAACTCTAAGCATTCAAAAACAAACTTATTACAACTAACTTATTGTGACATTTTACAAATACTTGCCATCTACAACACCAAACTCATGGCAGTAAGCTTGCTATCTCGATACCCATGGGTATCTAGTCCATTTGTGGTCAGCGCCCCCATGAAAGTAATGTCCGGCCCAGCCCTGGCAGTAGCCGTCTCCCGCGCCGGCGGACTGGGGTTTATTGGCCCCGGTGCCAAAACACAGGACACATATGATGATCTCGAGAAAGCATCATCGCTCATACGCCAAGAGGCCGGCACACTACCTGTCGGCATAGGATATCAGCTCTGGGCTGATGACATCAATGTTGCCGTCGCTGCTATCAAGAAACATAAACCATGTGCAGCCTGGCTATACGCCCCAAGACAGGGACCCAAGGAATACGACGACTGGTCAAGCAAGATCCGCCAAGCATCTCCCAACACCCAAATCTGGATCCAAATTGGAACTGTGAAGGAGGCAAAGGAGCTTCTTCAGAACCTTGAGCGACCAGATGTTGTTGTTGTGCAAGGAGCTGAATCTGGTGGCCACGGTCGGGCCAAAGATGGAATGGGGCTTATGGCGCTGTTTCCAGAAGTAGCAGATGCCATGGCAGGCAGCCAGATTCCTTTGTTTGCAGCTGGTGGGATTGCGGATGCGCGTGGTGTTGCAGCGGCGATGTGTCTTGGAGCTTCGGGCGTCGCGATGGGGACTCGATTCCTGGCTGCTAGTGAAGCACGCATAAGTCGGGGTTACCAAGACGAGGTTGTACGTGCGGCGGATGGTGCAGTCTCGACCACGCGTACGCTACTGTATAATCACCTCAGAGGCACTTTTGGGTGGCCGGAGGAATATTGTCCCCGGACTATTGTGAACAAATCATTTGTTGAGCAGCAGGAAGGAAAGTCATTTGAAGAACTAAAGAAACTTCATGATGAAGCTGCTAAGACGGGCGATAAAGGATGGGGACCTGAGGGAAGACTCGCGACATATGCAGGGGCCTCTGTTGGACTGATACATGATGTGAAAGATGCACAAGATATTGTCCTTGGGGTTAAAGCGGATGCATTCGAGATAATTCAGCGGCTGTCTCCCTAAAAGGACTACGAAGCAATTCCAAAAGAGTTTATTGCACAAAGCTAAGCTGAGATTTGATACAATATTTACGCTGTATATCTGATAAGTTAGATAAGTTTGTGTCTCTATAAACTTGAACTGTATAGTAATGTCTTCCAACGTATGTAGATAAAAGTTTTTTAAAGAGGTCCAACTTCAGAGCACAGAAACATTCCTATTACCATTAAATTCGATTATCCTCAGCTAATACGCGTAATAACAGCCATAATGCAGATCCTCCAGGGCTATCTCAATTTAGATACCATTTCCTCCAAGCTCGATATCCCCAAAGACTATCACTGGCATACATTGGCCTTGCAAACTCCGGAGCAACACTGACTACCCGACAAACATCTCATATTATTCAGTGCACAAGTACCGTTCCACTCGCAATATGCCTTAGTCTCATGTTGAAGACTGCACGACATATGCTCTGGGCATGGCTTCTCAGAAGAACACTGTGTGCCGCGAACATCCTCATTTTTCATGCAGATCATCTCAACACCGGAAGTTCCAACTGAATTGAGAACACGGGTAGGACGACAATGCAGGCCAGAGGGACATTCAGAACCCGGCGCACAGCGCAGGTTCTCCGCGGCAGCCATGCACATTCCACTCTGGCAATGACTGTTGACACACTGGGCATCTTCCTTGCAAAGGGCGCCAACTACTGAAGTTCTCTGGCAGGTCTTCGAACTCGAAGAGCAGTACATGCCATAATCCGGGTGGGTTGATTGACAGCTCTGCTCACTGGAACAGCTGTCATTGGGGCAGTTGCTTGGACTCTTGGTAGACGCATGATCGCTTGAGAAGACATGGCCCTGTCTGTCGGCGGGAGAATTGACCGTCACGCATCTCATGCTTCTGACATGTCTGCCAACACCATCGCCAACGGCTCGTCTGAGCAAATTCGCATGGGGTCGGGTAAATGTGAACAGCTCATTGTTGCAAGAGTTATCGCTGATGATTTAGTACTAAGCGTTTGTAGTTAGAGGCTATGTACTTACGAGTAAATCGAGCACATCATGTCCTGCTTGACCTCGGACGGGCATGGGACATAGATTGACCCAACATTGGTGCGGCTGGTACTTTGGTCAACGAAACTTCGTACGCGAAGAATATTCAACTTACTACTCGGGCATGTTGTCGAAGTTCATGCAATTTCCATCAGATGCAAGAAGAATTCCCTTTCGGCCGGCATTCATTGCGAAGTCGTTTTCTTTAAAAACCATGACCTATAGATAAGGAGTAAACAGATTGCTCGGCTGTAAACACGCGTGATAGCCGTACCTGATTAGGGACCATCATGGTCGGGGTGGCAGCCAGTGCCAAAGGCACAAGTGCAAGAATATAGACAAAGCTAGACATTATTTGCTGATTGTGGTGATTGGGAATAGTCACTGGTGAGTAGTAGATTAACTGCTGGATGAGAAGCAACCTTTATACTCGAACTTGCTATCCGAGCGTACTACTTTGTCTTTTAAGTTGTACCTTATTCCTGTGCGTTATTTTTGTTTTTGAATTGCAATACATGAAATAGGCCCTTGTCAAGTCTGCATGTCGTCTGATCTAGATATTTCGATTCGCTACAGAGCCGGCATCACCGGGAAAGATTGATAAACCCAACGGTCAACTCACATAAACTCCACGCTGTGTATTTTCAGACCTGGGGTTTGTAGTCTAGATCGTCCAAAAAGATCAGATCCGAGTCTTGTCTTCAAATGTGCAACCATGGCCTACGCCCGGATGTCTCAACCTAAGTTCCGCAATTCCAACCGTTAATTGATGTCTCAGTTCTAGAGTTGTACACATATGCGTATAATAAGGAGTAGTAGTTGTAAGATAAACTTAGGCATTTATGTACAAAAAGGTTCTCAGCAAGATATACCTTCTCAAATCATGACAAGTGTGCTCAAATGACTGTTCCAGTCAACGATCCAAAGTATTCATAGAAACCACACATACATACAAAACGTTGTTCATCGGCAGATAGTGGAATGATAGTCAATTTTCCTCGCGTCACGAATGTGGCGAGCGATTCCATGTATGTACCTTGTATAGCAATCCACAGGTCTTCGGTTGCACCGAACGAAACGCAAAAAATGGCTAATCTTGCAACACTTTCAATGTTGTGCTAGCGACAAGTTTACCATCAATGGCTTGCGTTCCCAAATATTGAAGGATTTCTGGATATTCCAACCAGCTGAGCTCTCATCCATAGTCATGTCAAAGCTCCAGAAGAGCTTGGCTACAATTAGACGCATTTCTGCATAAGCAAGGCTGTGGATGAATACAATTAGCCTGATTCCTGAGGATATCGAAGATCAAAACTCACTTTCTTCCAATACAATTACGGGGCCCAAGTGAAAATGGTTGAAATGCTGCCCGATTGTCCGACTTAAAGCATTTGTCTCTGCTCTCCAGCCACCTCTCAGGGATAAAAGAGTCCGCTTTAGCAAAATGAGACTCAGGATGGTAGGTAGAATAGTGGGCCCCAGACACAGAAACCTTTTTAAGTCAATATACATCGAGATCATACTTGAAAGTAGGGACATACGTTCTCTGGAATGAATTGCCCATCGATCAATGCACCCTCCTTAGGTACAACCCGCGGGATAACAGCCGGGACGGGTGGATAGACCCGTAGACTTTCCTCGAGTGCTGCATTCAAGTAAGTCAGATGACCAACTCTTTGGAAATCAATATCTTCGTAAGATTTGAACGAAGTTCGGATTTCATCCATGAGTTTCCGATAGGCCGGGGGGTTTGCCATGATATAATAGGTGAATCCGGAGAGTAGACTAGCGGTCGTCTCACTCCCAGCGAGGATCAACAAAGCCGCATTTGCTTCCATTTCCCGTATAGTCATGGATCTGTCATCATTATATCGCAAGATGTAACTCATGAAATCCGGCCGTTCAACCTTGGCCTCCAATCGGCGATGGACTTTGTTTGATGCCAAAGCAAAGGAGTCTTCGCGCATCTTCGTGAGTCTTTTCGGGAGAAGCATCCTGACAATCGGTGCCAAAAAAGGATAGACCAATAGTGGTCGCGATAATGCTAGCACTTTCATGCTCACAAAGACCACTTTAACCCATGGGTGGTACTGGCTTTCCCGTAGGCAGTCAAAGGGCTCGCCAAAGGCCAGGTCTCCGATGATGTCAAATGTGGTGAAGTTGTACCACTGAGACATGTCGACTGTCTCCTGTGATGAAATCGTCCCCTTCAGTCGCTCCACCAACATGTCAACATATGACTGAACTAGGCTTTCTTGCTCGCGCAGTGCCTTTTCAGAGAAGGCATGTGAGAGCAGTCTTCTTCCTCTTGAATGGACTTCGTCGTTGGCATTTATAAGGTTTGGCCCTCTTGGTCCCTGCAGGTAGAATTTGGGATCTTTCAGGAACGACCCAGCTCCAGATTTGCGGTGGCCGTAGATATCTTTCCACGCCTGTGAGCTGCGATAGACAAGAGAGTTGGGCGCTGTCCGAACTACATCTCCGTACTTATCATGGAGCTTCTTGAGTTTGTAGTGATACTGCCCTGTTGATGTCCAGTATAGATTTTGGAGATTGGTGCATGCGGCAAGTTTCGGTCCTGGAAATTTCGCCAGTGGGCTAAAGTAAAGGTTGTGAACCACGATCCACAAAAGATACCCTAATGGCTAGAAGATTCTCAGTGCTGCCATCCAGACAATAAATTGAAACACGTACAGTGAGGGCCACCAGATAGATTATGGGTATCATTTCAAAGGCCCCTAGAATTCCCAAATACTATCAATGAGAATAGGCAGTCTTTGGGCAAAAGAATGGAGATCTCAGGTGCTTAACAACCAAGCCGTTATGGTTTGAAGGATAGGCCAAGTGGCATGTAGTCAAAAATCACATGGGATGCCAACGTCTTAGTGCTTCGTTAGCGTGCATTTGGACGTGCGAACTCCGCATGTTGAATTTATGCTGGACTCTGCAGATCACAGTGATTGTGAGTGAATATAAAATATTTCTGTCCTTCTCTTCGTATCCTAAGAGCTTGCAGCTATATAGACCATATATTGGAGATATATGGAAGGGATGCACGAGGCGCCCGCCACAACAGTATACTATGATATATGATATTATGTGTAAATATATTAAACATTAAACCGACTCTCACTTTCTTTCTAACCAGAGTTTCAAGCATCGCAGACCATTCATAACGAACCAAGGAATTCCATCATCCAGGACTCATCAATCCCACCAAAAGGCATAATATCAGGGAGTATGGCATCAGACTGGACCATGCCACTATCAATCCCATTATTCGCGGGTATACCCCACATTTCTGTCAATTTCGGCTCCCAGTTCATTCGCATGCCTTGAATTATTCCCAGTCCCTTTTCGAGGAGATTCATTTCCTTGCTTTCGTCGAAAGTGATATAATCCGGGCACTTCCTGATGACAGCTTCATTCCTGTTCAAGTATTCGAGGATATTCGCGGTATCTCTGACCATAGTCTTGGACCATACCGGGTCGTCCAAAACGGTGAGCTTGTACAAGGTGACAATAGCTCGAGTGAATTGGAAAAAGATGACACATGAGAGCTGTAGATACTCCTCTCCTTCAAGCTCCAGCCATACATCTAACCAGCCTTTTGATGCTTGGAGAGAGGTGTAGAGGCTATCAAGGCGATGGAAATCGGGCAAATTTGCAATGGCGGGGGCCCCCATTGATATTTCGTTGATTATGATTTCGGCATTATAGAGACACATAAGTATGACTCCTTTAGTCTTGTTAGTCCTGGCTGTGGAGATTTGAGGGGTTAGAACCTACTGTGTTGTTGGAGATGAGGCGGAACTTGGCTCTTCACTGTGTCTAATTGTTTTCTGAAGGCATCCAGATAGAAGGCTAGGGAAATAGATGCTTCGCCATCCCGCTGGAGTTGATAGACCTTATCTAAGACCAAATGAATCTTGACTTGTACAATCAGGAGCTCGTCTTGGGGGCAGTCTTTCGCCTCGGCGAGTATTGAAAGACTTTCTTCCATGTGCGGTGTCCATCGCATAGGGTCAATCCTGGACATTGCCAATGCAGCGCTGATAGTATAGCTGTTAATTATTATTTAGAGAGTTTCTTTGGATATTTACTATTTACCTTGATGAAATCAAAAAACATCCCAGCACAGCCCTCCTCTCTTCCAGTGTTCTAGCTGTGGGAGGGGTTTGCTTCATTCCAATAGCGACTTTAAAAGATTTCATGGCTGAATTTGCATCTGGTTCACTTTTATTAATCCCAAGATCGGCAACAACAGCCATTAGCACGTGTGCGTAGACATTGAGAAATGGCCTTTTAGTGTATGTAACCCTGCAAAGAGAATTGTAATGAGGAAAGTGATTTTCATAAGGGTAATTCTTTTCTGCTCACCATGATACAAAAGTCATAATACCAAGGAGAAGATCCATGCTCGGCACAATGTCGAGCATAACTCTCTGATGAATATAGTTCGTAATTCTCCTGAAAGAATCACCTTTTTCTGGATTTTTATACGTAGTCACTTCCATAATACATACCCAAAGAAATGGATATGTCTGTCGCAATTTGTCAGAGGTCATGTCGGGTGGAATATGAACAAAGGGGAGATATTGCAAGTTCCGAGTGCAGAACTGGTCGAGACACTTCTGAGCCATGCCTGGCGGGATTTGGATCAGGGACAAGATCTCCCTATCATACGAGGGTGTACAAAGTACAGGGTTTCGTCCTTCCTCGACAGTTGAAAGAGAAGAAATACTAGTTGGGGTTTGAATGGTTGGTGTAGATTGGGTTTGGTCATCTCGTCGAGTTTGTCCTGGGTTTAGAGGGTCCAAATCTGGACGAAGACCGGGATTGACACCACCCTTCTCAAATGCAGAAATAACCCAATCAAGTTTGGCCTCTAGATTGGCAGTCCTAGACCCCGAGAGTGGCTTCTTGCGCTTGCGAACTGTCGGCGCAGGCCGACATTCCTTACTCAGACGCTGGCATCTGCTGGCGATTAGTCCGGGCTATTTCTACACTCACTAGCGGCGCCACTTACCTTTCGCAGCCACTACCAGTTGCAGAAAGAACGCATTTGCACTTGGCGCGGGAACAATTCATACATGCGCAGCCATATGGCGCCGGGGCCCCACTTAGAATTGGAGCGGATTCCATGGGGATTCGGAGTTGGGAAATTAGAAGAATAGGACATTGGAGGGTATTAGGTATGAACCATGACGCAACAAATAATGTCCATATGTACCTCTCATCAGGTTGTAATCTTTGAAAAGGAATGATTTTCCTCCAAGAGCGTCCGTTCAAACAGAGTCGGGATTAGGAATTGGGAAGTTGCGAAACCCGTGCTGACTCAGAAGATCCACTCTCCAGCCCTACGTGAAGTATACTGGACATGGTAAGTGCTAGAGGTGATCACATTGGAGCTGTTTCTGACAAGGAACTACCCGTGTTAAGTGCTTACGCTCAGAGGGTGGACTATTTATGTCTTCCATGTTGTATATGACTACACTGTACAGCACCTGGGGTGTGTAGTTTTATTCGCGTGAGATGAGATGATAAGACCTCTACAAACATACGATCAGGCATTTTATAAGGTGCACATAGTTTATCTTTTGTCAAAGTATGTAGACAAGATGTCCAGTTGCCATTGGCGCCGCGAACCCGAGTAAACGGGGCACGGCTGTAGACTAGGTGATTTGAAATAATAGGTTCAAAAGACCAAATAGAGATATCACAAAGCTTCACCAACCAAGATACCAAACCCAGAGAATACACTCCGAGCCCAGCCGGTGATTTCGACAATTGATCTATCCCTGATATATTCCACCTTTTGATCCCCACCACAAAAACCCCCAGTCAACCCCGACGCCTGAGACGAGACCTGCTACTCACAGCCGCTCAGTAGAAATAATCTATTGCTCGGTCTGGAAGTAGTTGAGGAGAACGGAGCGCTCCTGGGACTCCTCACCCCAATCCTTGACAACGACGCAAGAGCAGTTGACAACCTTGCGAGCGTTACCCTCACGGTCGAGAGTGCCTGAAAGAAAAAAAACGTTAGCAAATATACCCCCGAAATAGATATCCCGTATCAATAGATGGTGAAAACTTACAGAGACCGACCCACTCGCCGAGCATCTTTCCATCGGGAACCTTGATGAGGGGGATCTTGTGCTCAGAGCAGAGAGCGACAACGAGCTTCTTGTAAGCCTCCTCCTCGCAGCCCTCGTTCAGGACACACATGTGGGCCTCGCGGCGGTCGAGAGCCTTGGCGGCCTCACGGAGACCACGGGCAAGACCGTCGTGGATGAGGGAGACGCGCAGAACACCCTTGAGGGCGTCCAAGACGGACATCTGGCCGCTGCCGGCATCGGCAGAAACCTCGACCTCCTCGGCGGGGGCGATAGGGGATGTGGGCTCTTCTCCGTCCGACTTTAGGATTCTTGTTAATATAATGTCCTTCAAGGGTTCCCGTTACTTGGTTCACTGTCGTGACTCTTGAGACTTGGAATTGGACTGGACCGGTACAGAGCATGGATAAGAGCGCCGACGAGGGGTAGCTTATACTGCGGCGCCGCAATCTTCTCGCCGGTCATATCCATTCCAGTATCTCAATTGTCATGACGGGATCCGAGGCGGGTGCCAGTATGGTGTGGAAGGAATGCGCAGATATGGAACATACCATTTTGATGCTTGTTATGCTTGAAATCGGATGATCCTCGAAGAGTAGAGTTGTTGGAGAAAGAAATTAAGAGGTGGTGCGGGCGGGCTTGAAATTTCCCGCTATTTCGACTTTTTCGGCTGTGTGTGCCCTATTATGTCATCCGGTCCCCGCAAACAGTCTCACGTGACATGTATATGCATTTATACAATGAACGGTGTAAATGTGATAAGTCCAGTTTGATGGCGCTTTGAAACTAATCTTTAGATCTTTCAGATTTGCTAACTTGCTACAAATGTCTATATATTTACGAGAAAATAAGTTAAGTTTGAACTTGTTGTTATTTGACACGAGTATGCATGATTACATTCAAGGCCCGTGACTACAAAAAAAGACCACAGTAAAAACTACCTAAGAATAGTAGATCATCACTGAACACAAGAGGTATCATAATCGTACAATCAGAATCCGCCCTGTACATCACTTCGCGGGATTGCTGCCATCGCGCCGGGTCCCTAGCCAAAAGACGCTGAAAACAAAACTAGACATATGTACTAGACCGAGAAGGGCCATATCCATTGAGGGGCGCAGTCCCGTTGGTTTCGACTGAGGCTCCCGGGCCGTGGCCGTTGAGTTGAGGAGTGCTAAAACCCGCGCTAGCCATGGGCGGCTCCGGATCGACGTGCATGTTCAAGAACTGCAGTTCTAGGCCGTGCAGGTGAGGGACGTGTGGGACGAGGTCTGTGAAATCAGAAAGCTAAGATATTTGTTAGTTGTGGAACATCGGTTGGGGAGCTCAAAAAAACTTACTCGGATCCAGAAGACATGTTCCATCTCGAAATACTTGGGGCGCGTGTCACAATCCTTCTGCATGATCTGTCCGATGCTCGAACTTTGGAATCCAAGATCGTCTGTATGGGTCAACATGCGACGGGTGACTCGCCACAGATTCACACGTTGAGTCGGTGTCGCCTTTCGCTTCTCCCAGCTGGCGTATTGCGAAAGTTGAAGATCATTGGTAGCCAGAAGAGGCGCAACCAAGTAATTTGGGATCCACTTCTCGTCTGCGACATCCACACCACAGCTAGGATCGAGTTGACGGGTGAGAGCGGTAACAAGAGGCATGAAAGACTTGAGCCAGTCATGGCTTTTCGCCCGGGGATTGTTGGAACCCACGAGGTTTGCTGCAACACGAAGGCGACTGGGAAGAGCCTCACGGCGTCGGTGCTCTGCGGCCTCCCGGTCACGGCGCATTTTGGCAGCTCGAGCACGTTCTTGCTCCAACCGCTTCAAACGGTCATCTTCGACTTGTTTGACGCGTCGTTGCTCAGCCTCTTTGCGTTTGCGATCTTCCTCCTCGGCTTTATCGTGAGCGACCTGAGCCGCCACCCGTTCGGCTTCTTCTTTGGCAAGTCGATCGCGTTCAGCTTCGTCTGCGATGCGCTTTTCGTTCGCGGCACGCTCCTCTTGCGCCTTCTTGGCCTGGGCTCGTCGACGCTCATGTGATTCAGCCTCGATACGTTTCGTAACGGCCAGTTTGTCTTCCGTGATGTCAGTTCTTGGATCGTTCGATTCCTTCTTCATATCGCCATTCTTTTTAACGGGATCACGATGGGGCGAGGTTGGGCGGGTTGGGGGTTTCTTGGAAGCGTCGGTGGATTTGTGTGGTTGAGGTTCGGCAGGTCGGGTAGACTCCTCGTAGGGTCGGCGAGGAGGGGGTTTGCTAGCATCATCAGGTTGTCTTGGTGCACCATGTGCGGCACTGGAAGGCTTGTCTTCGGACGCAACGCGTCTCTTCTTTTTACGCGACTCGGGAGATAAGCGATCACCATCCGTGCCACGTGAACGAGATCGTTCTGGGGATCCATCAGCGCGAATACGCTTCAAAGACAATGTGTTGTCGGTGGCTGTATCAACACGGGGTTTCGGGACCTCTTCACGTCCAGAGAGCGAATCAGACGAAAAAATACTTGGCCTACGCTCCTGGGGGCGACGTCCAGCAATGAGTCGTCTTTTTCGGATGTCTTCGTTGGGTGTCATTCCACTAGACTCGCTGTCTCGTCTGGCGGATAACGAAGGTTTGGGCTTAGAGGAATCTGGTGCTCGTGATGAATCGTGCTCTTTTTGACGACGTTGTTCTTTGATTGAGTCCATGTCTTTCAAAGAATCGCGATGTCTGCTGGAATTAGGACTGGTGTTGATTTTTTTGCGCGCGACTGGGGAGGAAGACCCTCTGCGTGGCGCGCGTTTATCCTCCTTCTCTTTTCGAGCACGGCGGGGGGAGTCGTCTTTGCGACCCTTGTCTGAACCTGCAAACCTTTCATACGCTTCCTTCAGAATCTGATACTCGTCCTCCCAGTTCTCACCCTGTCGGCCCCGAGACAGTTCGAAATATGTTCTGTCTTCAAACAATCGTCGCGTGGGATTGAAGCCGGGTTGGTTTAGGATGAGTTGGATAACAGCGCTATTGCCTCGACCAATCGCAGCAAGCATGGGTGTGTTATATCCAGGTTTTTGACCGCGTAGAGGGTTTGGATCCGCATCTGCATTGCCCATCGCGTACAAAAGAGAGAGGACATCATGATGTCCACCCTTTGCTGCGGCAATTAAAGAAGCATTGTCGGCTTTCTGCAGAATGTTCAAAATGCTGACCACCCCAGCCTCATCGCCTTTGGCAGCAAACTCTCTAAGGTTCTCGAATGTGGGTTTCGTCCACAGGAGATCATTCCGCGTGGCTTCGCTTCGCCCACCCTTTCGTCGATTTGACGCGCCCACCGGAGGGGGGCTGCGCATCGGAGGTGAATCTCGGGGGCTAGCTGCGGATCCTCTGGCTGCTGACGCCCGTCGTGAAGAAGGTTCCTTACTCTCTGGTCTCGTATGTTCCTCTGAGCGTCGACCAGGGCGCAAATTAGCCTTAGCGTCAGCAAGCGCTTTCCTCATCTCTTCATACTCGTCATCATCTACAAAGGACGGAACCAGCTCGAAGGGCTCATCGCCTTCGGCGTTCACAGTTCGTGGGTTTGCACCTGCATCAAGCAGAAGTTTAACCACCTCCACATTCCCGTTCTCCACAGCATCAATCAATGGGGTGTCTTTGTCAATGTTTTTCGTGTTAATCTCGCAGCCTGCCTCTAGCAGGAACTTGACGATTTCGGCTTCTCCAGCAAGCGATGCAATCTGCAAGGGGGTATTGCCTGCATTATCGGGAATATTAATGTCTTCTGGTCGTTCGGCATGGCGCATCATCACTTGATCATGTTTCCGGTCCGCGCACGCCCGTGCAAGAGGAGTCCGGCCACTCTTGTCGCGCAACTTCTTCGGTCCCATTTGCTTAGCAGGCGACGCGGACGCACCGACTCCAGAGCCAAGCTTCCGCAGATGCGCTCCCGGCAATGGAGAACCGCTCTGCGAGGAGGACGTCGATTGTCTATCTTCCGAGCTATGTCTCCCAGATCCTGTGAGCAGAGGGGTTGGCGCCTTTTTCTTTGTCGGTAATTGAGATCCTGAAGCAGATCGTTGGTGAGATGGTCGACTGGGTGATAGCGATCGCGAGTCGGATGGTGGCCTGGATAGGCGCGTATTATTGGTATGTTTAAGTTCCCGCACAGGATGGGATGCTGCGTGGGAGTGTGCGCGACGACGATCTCGTTGTTCCTCGGCACTGTCGCTTGAGCTTCGCTTACGGAAGGCACGAGGTCTCTCTGACGCACGGGCGATTCCATTGGCAACGCTTTCCGTTTCTGACATCTGAGAGTCATCGACCTTTTCGATCTTGACCACCGACGGCGAAATTGCTCGGTGCCTTGGAGAAGGAGGGCTTCGTTCCTGCTCCCGTTCGCGTTCTCGGGTGTCGCCGAACACACGTGGTTTCTTTCGCTGGTGTCCATCGATTCCGTTAGGTTCATGACGGCTCGGATCGTGCTTTATATGCTTTCTTTTCTTCTCCGGTGACAAGGATTCTCGACCTGATTGAATTATTGTCTCTGCCTCTGAATCCGCCCTAGGACTAGGAGGCCCATCCTCCTCTCCTTCTGAAAATACACGCGTCGATCCATCTCTGTCTACCCGTGAATGGGAATCTGCACGAGCTTTGGTCGGTGATGAAGGACCAGCAGGGTCTGGCTTTACCGTAGCAAGCCTATTCTGACCGACGTCCAGGGCAGCTGGTAAAGAGACTGCCTCGACATCACTCATAGCGATAGCACTCGAAGACTTGAAATGCCGCTCGTCATTTTGGGGGGGAAAACGCGACCGACAAAACGACCGTGGTCGACAACGCCAGCAGTTGTGCGCGGACGCCGATTCTCGAGCGCGGGTTTCACCCGCAAAAAGAGTCTTGAAACGTGGGCAATACCGCTCCGGAGTAGAGCGATACGATATGGTCGAGGAAGTTCGGATATTGGATTTACTGATATAGGGTATATAGGGCGAAAGTGAAATCGAAGTATGTTTTTTTTCACTTGGGAGTTGAATGGGGGAAGAAAGAGAAGGGAAGAGGAAAAGCGGGAAGGGCAAGGAATGGGACTGGATTGGGCGTAGGGCTCCTCACTGGGTCAACTTTGGCCACGGTGAATCATAGCTGCAGGTTGGATTTTGACTACTGGAAACTTGCTTGTATTTAAGAGGGGTTGAGGTTAGAACTGATCTCGATTTTTTTTTCCTTTTTTTTTTTCTCATTTTCATCCTTGAAATGCCATCCCTGAAAGTGAATATACTCCATACAGGGGAGACAATACGACCGATACCGTTAGATACCCGTTGATACCGTGATACCGAGACCAAAGGGGGCACAGATCTCTATTCCCACTAACCCTAATTCGGAGATGCAAACATGACAAACAGTTTAATTAAGCTAGTCCTAATATGGTTAAGTGGACTTTTGCCTCCAAAAATCCTGAAAGTTGCCACTTTGACCATATCTCGGGCCTATCTAGATTGTTAACCTACCCTAATATGCCGATCTTTAATAATCTTCTAATAGAAACAAATTACACTCAAATCATACTCCGTTTATTGTATTTGAAACATTGAAAATTCTTATCTGTAATCGGCTCCAATTGCCCCAATACCCATGTTAATCCCGACGCCGAAATAACTCCAAACGCCCCCGTTTGGCGAGAGCTGAAGGATCGGCGGGGGGGGCTGGCTTTCTCCACAGTAAACACCTCCCTAAAACATTTCACTGATATCATCGCAATGACACTAAGTTGAAAAATACAAAACCGAAAGGGAAAAAGAAAAAGAAGGAGATAAAAAAAAGGCTCCAAGAGCCATGTCTCTAATCTCACAATGGGTCGATAACACCCTGGAAGCCACCGGCATGGATGCTGTGGATGCTCTACGCGCGTTCTTCCTGCTGGCCGCCGCCACGGTACGATACGCCCTGTGATAGTGGTGATAGTGAACACTTCGTGCAGATGAACCCAGCTAACGCCGACCCCTCGTATGCAGACCATCTCGATCAGCATCCCAACACCATTGCGGTCCCGCTTCCTCACCTATGGCCCACGCGCAACCTCGGCCTCGACCTCCACTAGCTCTGCACCACCTAACGCCCAAAACCCCTCCGACGAGAGCAAGGGCTTCCTTGATTATCTCGCGACTTGGCAGGTGCCACATAGCTATTTCACACATTTCTATGTTGCATCCGTCCTATCATCGGTCTTCTGGGTTGTGCAATTACTATCGCGGGGTGTGATGTTCCAGGCCATCACATCCCGCGTTAGCGAGGAACACCAACGGCGCTCCATGTCCCTGACTCAGTTGGTGATATGTTGTGCATTATTGGCTATACAGGGATCCCGGCGCCTATGGGAGTCTTTTATATTTTCAAAGCCTTCGTCGTCACAAATGTGGTTTATGCACTGGTTGCTGGGCTTGGGATTCTATCTAGCGGCAGGTGTCGCAATTTGGATCGAGGGTTCGGGCGCTCTGTTGACCAACAAACTGAATATTGCTCATTTGCAGATGACCAATGCCCCAAGTTTGCGGACTTTCGTCCTCATCCCACTTTTCCTAGTGGCGTCTGGTCTGCAGCACGATTCCCATCACTACCTGTTCTCGTTGAAAAAATACACCCTCCCGGAGCATCCTATGTTCCGTGGGGTTGTCTGTCCCCACTACGGCGCAGAGTGCATTGTGTATCTCTCGTTGGCGCTGTTGGCTGCCCCGCAAGGTGAATTGGTCAACAAAACTATGTTGTCTTGTCTGGCTTTCGTCGCAGTCAACCTGGGTCTCACGGCTCGAAATACCAAACAGTGGTATGCGCAAAAGTTTGGCAAAGACTCGGTGCAGGACTGGTGGCTTATGATTCCTTATGTGTACTAATGTAGAGCTAAAAAACAAATATGAAAGCACTAGAGTTCGGAAATGAGGTACTCGTTACATCCCACCCAAAAACTTCAAGGCATTCCCCATCTTCACAACATGAAGCACGTCCCTGTACGTGAGGCTAGTCCTCGTCTTCCGCTCATACCACCCACCCTGGTACGGCTCCTTCTCTCGCAAGAGCTCCCAGTTGCAGATAGAGTGAGGGCCCAGATCCTCATCTCTCGTCGTTTCCTCGATGCCATGCAGAAGATCAGTGTACATCTTGCCCCTCATAATTAACAGACTCCGTCTCTCCTGCAAGACCCTATATTGAGGTCTTCGGTTTGTGCTGGGTGTCTCACCTTGGGGGTGTTTGTGATACATATCGAGCACAATTGGTGCCCCCAGGCTCACCGTCGCAACGAGGGGATAGTAGGCCGCTCCATCTTCGTGTGGCATGATCCCCTGTCCAGGCTGGTACTCGTTTACTAGGACATGGTTTGGGGCCTGGTGTGGCGCATCGTTGAAGATACCCAGTGCCTCAAACCGTGGGTCAACGATCGGTGACATAAGCCAAGCTGGTAAGGGCGATGCGAGAAGAGAATTACTCTTAGTCAGGGCTGATGGCCATGTTTGAAGTCTGCGGTGCGAGAGCTGGGTCCAGCGTGGCAGCGGCGCTGATTTGACCTGTAGATTGTTGTAGTGAGTGAGATATGAACATGCAGGAATCGGTGCATGCAGCATCTATCAATTATTGAAGGGAAATGACATGATAAAACGCGCATATATTCGTGTAGTATGTAACATCAATGGTACTAAGACATATTCACAAGAAAATCATTTCCGCTTACCTTCTGAAGTAACCAATTCTCCTCGTCCTCTGTAATGAAGTCCGGTATATAGAATGCATCCTCAGGCAATGCGGTGATGCGTGCAGCTTCAAGATCGAATGCCATTTGGTTACCGAGTTAGGACTGGTACTGGATAGATAGGTCTTAGTCCAACTCAATGTGGGCTGACTTCGGTGTTTGGTCTCATCAATGGTTTAAGTATCATCGAGGACAAGTTGACAGTTTGGGCGAACAAAGAAAATCAGGGTCTTTCATTTAAACTGGAATTTATTCCATATGCATAGCTCAAAGAGAGTCTACATACACCTCCACGTCACACAAAGACCCTTTCTGCCTTACAGCCTCAGGCCAAATATCCCACCCCACATCAGCTCAATCTGAACAACCAACGGCCGAGACAGCGATAACAACATATTAGTGAACCATATCATCCACAATGGCCCCCAAGAATAATGCCAAAGCTGCCAAGGGCAAGGGGAAAGATGCCTCCGCCGATGCCGCTAAAGGCAAAGGTGGAAAGGGAGGAGCTGTGAAAGGCGCACAGTCGATCAACGTCCGACACATCCTTGTATGTTTTTTTTTTTTTTTCGTTGTTCCCTTTCAAGTCTCGGATCCTCTGGCTATGGTGTTAGGGGCTGGCGAATATACAGCCAGTTTCAATGGACAGGGTCAAGGGTCGTTATATCATTCTAATCATATCTAGTGCGAGAAACATGCCAAGAAAGAAGAAGCCCTAGAGAAGCTTCGTAACGGCACCAAATTTGATGAGGTTGCTCGTGAATTCTCGGAGGATAAGGCTAGACAGGGTAAGTAGATATATGCCGGACTAAATGAGCAGAGCTGATCTCTTCTTTGTAGGAGGGTCGCTTGGATGGAAGACAAAGGGCGATCTGGACCCTGCTTTTGAGGCCATTGCTTTTGAGCTTGAAACTAGCACGACGGGAAATCCCAAGTATGCTGAGGTCAAGACTGGGTTTGGATATCATATCATGATGGTTGAGGGGCGGAAGTGAGCTTCTTCCCATTACCTACACCATATGAAAGACAGACAACCACCTCAAAACTATACCAACGAAATTCCCGAGAGAAAATATAAAAGAAAAAGCCACCCATGGGCTGTAACTTGTGCTTTATATATTTTCGCTAAATGCTCTTCAGATGAAAGCTTATCTACAAAGCCTAACATAATAGCTCACAATTCCTTCTTAGCAGCTGCAATCTTCAACCGCTCTTTCGCCTTCTTCTCCGATCTCTGGACCACGGCTTCGGCGCCAATGCCTCCGAAAACCAAACTGATTCCCAGCCACTGGCCACTAGACAGAGAATGTCCGAACCAGAAAACGCTCAGGAGCATAGTCAACATCTTGCGGGTAACGGTGACGGTGACAAGCAGCAGTGAAGAGAAGCGAGACAGGGTGTGGAAAATGAAAAGCTGGCCGATAGCGCCGCATGCCGCGAATCCAAGGACATGTTTCAGCGCCTCTGGGTGGCGGGAGAGGAAAGAGATGGCCCCATACAGCTCAGTCTCATTGGACGGGGGAATTGGGAAGGGCAGGAGGTTATGCAAAATCCCGCTCTGTGAGAGATGCGGCATGATTAGGAGGTATGCAGAAGTCAGAGCGGTCGAGAGAATATTCTGAGCGACCATCATCTGGGGCCCAGTAAAGCGGGTGTACAGCTTAGGCGAGGAGAAGACGTGGTCTTGGGTGGTGTTGGTCAGGCCATCCAACAAGAGGTTGATGGACAACAAGAAGATACCCCAGCCGGAGGATCCAGCCTGATCCTTGGCAGCGACTTTCTTACTAGTTCCTGGGTGGTGCAGACTGAAAGTTGCAACGCCGAGGGTGACCATCAAGACAACACCGTACTTGTACAGTGGGTATCGCTTGCGGAAGATCGTCAGGTGCAGGACCATGACCGGGAGGAGCTTGCATGATTTGGCAAGGATGAAGGTCAGGTAGTCGATGTGTTGGAGACTAGCGTAGCCGAATGGTGAGGCAAGTGACGAGGATATAGCGACTAGAAGCAGGGGGAAGAGGATCCGGCGTGTGGGGAAAATAGATGGGATATTCTTGCCGCTCGGAGTTGAGAACAGAAGGTATGTAAAGCCGGTAATGGCCGCAAAGGAGGACTGGACCGTGTTAAGCACCAGCGAGTAGGTGAATCGCTCTGTTGGAGGATTTGGCTCCGCGGTGGTTGCAGGACGAATGGGATAGGTGGTTGTCGTGATTGCCTCCTGTAATACACCCCATGAAAGGCTTTGGGTCATTAGTTTCTTGTTGACACATCTCAGAAATCAGGCGAAACGTGGTCGAGGCACTTACAATGCTGCATATATACCGAGGACGCAAATCACAAGTTGGGACAGCCCAGGGCTGTCGGCGACTGTTTCCAGGGCCGGTGGTGCTTTTCCGGACACGCTTCCATTGGTAGATGGTGTGTCTTTATTGCCACTTCTATAATTTTGTGGCACATCGGACTCTTCTGAGAGATTCATCAATTGAGAAGAGGGGGCTCTCTGGAGCGGCGCTGCTTGCTTTTGTCGTCCCATTGCGACAAATTGTGGAAGAATCCAATTGTAAATGTGAGTAACTCGAGCAAGAGGCAATATATGCGAAATTGGGAAATAACACTGTGTCGAGTATAGAAGTTGTCACAAAGTCCTTGGAGGTGAACCTGAAACCAAAATAATAACAAGATGCCATGTGTTCTTACTTCACCTTGTCTATGATCGTCCACCCCCACGTAACTTTCTATTAATTTATTTTTCTATTTTTTTTATTTTTTTCACTTGAACTCGATAAAGGAAAAGCATCAACTCGACTCAAATTATTCAATTGAAATCTTTTAAACTAGGAACTTCCGAGCTTCTTATCTCAACTATACAATCCAATTAAGGAAAGCGGTGTATTAATACATCAGATCTATAGAGGCGGTGAAGCTCCAAAAATCCCGAGATTTGCGCCAGAGCTGCCTCAGTGTGAGTCCTACAAGATAAAAAGCTCCAAAATATACAAGATGGCTGGCACGCAGGAAGCCACCAGTCGGCCCAATGCATCGGCGATCACCGAGCATATCACCGAAGAAGGCTATGAGGCCCCCCATCTCGCAACATCCGCGCAGGTCCAACACAACCTCGAGCACCAACACCTCTGGACCTCTATAATTGGATACACCATTCCTGGACAAGCAGGCGACTCAAACACATTAAACAAAGACCCCAGCCAACCACCAAAAGAACCAATCCCTCTGCTCTCCGGCTACCCCCCACACCGCGTGTACACACATCCAGACGAGCAGCTATACATGCTTGAAAACGGGATCCGCGAAGACGACCTTGAGCCGGAGCGCATGTTTGTGGTGCCAACTACACAGGGCCAGCCGTGGAGCTTGCGCCATATGGCTACTGTATTTGACCGGCTGTCTGAGTTCAAGCAAAAAGCTGAAGAGCATGATCGATCTGTCGACCCTACAAGCATGCAGCCCGAGGCGGAGGGTTTGGACTCTGAGAAGGCAGAAAAGCTGGCGCGGTACTATGATAAGAAGGAGGAGGCTCGTTTGACCAAAGAATGGGGCTCGCAAAGGGTGTTGCTTGCTATGGTGGATAAGGGGATGGGTGGAGACGGGACAATTGCATATTATGTTGTGCATGAAGGCGAGGTGAAGCCGAGGCAGAACTGAGTGTGCGGAGCAGGGTGGTTCTCGTATGTACACAATAATACCTATTTGCATTCTTACCCCTTATGGGTAGCGACATGATGTGACGAATACTCATTCAAAAGAGCAATTAAATAACATTATCCATTTGATATCCAGAGTATATTCAAAGTAATAAACGACTTGCATGATTAGCCGAAATTATACGCAATGAATTTTTTGACACATGATCAGCTTGCTACAGGGTATAGTGATAAGCAAGAAGCAAGAAAGCTAAATGACTGTACAGAAGGCTTAACGATATGTTCAAATAGACAGCTAGAAACTGCCGCAGGAAGCAAATCAAGGAATTAGGTCACCATGGTCATTGAATATGACCAGTTCTTGCTCCTTTCGACAACTCGAGCAGTACTCCTCATACCACTGCTTGACGTTGTCCGCATGCTCGGCGAAGATACGCTCAGCTTTGGCGTCATCGCCCTGAGCGGCCCCTCCGTGAAGAAGAACCTCGACTTGGCGACAGCGCCGGGTCTCCTCGCGGAGCCAACGCTCCCATTCCGTCTGAATGACCTCTTTCTCGATACTATTCACGATACGCAATGCGACGAGAAGGTTATGTCGATACATGCCAAGACGCTCACGGGTTTGCTGGAAGCGTCTGATGGCGCTCTTGGTCAATGCATCCCGGGGACTCGATGTACTAAGCGACAAAGGCATATCGGAATAGCGCATAGTCTGCTCGTGGAAGGTGGCAAAGCAATCGCTGGCGTTTCCAGTACCAGCCCAGATTGTGGAGTTTGCAACTGCGTCTTCAATATCCCGCATGTAGATGGCTTTGCTCATAACAAGGTTAGGTTGTACGCCTAGCCGTGCCATGAATTTTCCTGCATGTCTCTCGTGCCACCAGTCCCAACTATCCCGCGAGGAATAGTACCCGTTCAGAATTCCACTTATGGCCAGCATGACCAAGATGATCTTGTGTGCACTCACAGTCTTCCAAGACCAGCGGACTATGTCGAAGGCCCACATCATTAGGAAGGAAACACTAGTTTCAAGGAATGACAAAAAGGTCTCGAGAAGAAGCTCGTGCATAGTACGCTGTTTTCGGGGCTTGCGGGAATCGAGCTTCAGGTTGGAACCAGCGCCATTAAATTGGGAGACTTGGCTTTGGCGTCCAACGTGGCCGAAGATCGTGATAGCCTTCTTAGTGCGACTGTGTGCACCCAAACGTCGTACTTGGTCACTGACTAGGTCGACAAGATCTAAAGAGTCTTGTTCTAGATCATCACTTGCTTTTTTGTCGATAATATCTGGGTATGTCAGATTATTGTACTCTATTCAAACGGGATGGGAGTAATGACTCACTTTTGAGGCCGTAGGGAGACCACAGCCACTCCACTTTCGTGTAAACAGCAAGCTTGCTCTTTGATTTGGCCTGGAATGTAATGACAACCTTGCTAACCAACCGGAACGAACGTCGGAAGGGGAGATGCCATGGAGTTTTCTTGTCTGTGATCACGTAGCACAGATGGTCGTTGAGAACATCGATGATCTGATAATCTGAGATCGCATTTTCGTGAGTATTACCTATACAAAATCAGTCATTGCTCAACCTCAAAATTATCGATAATCAAGCCTACCAAGGATATCTGTCATGCCGATCTTGTAGTGGAAATCACGCCTTAGATGCCGCGATTCTGTACTGGCCCATGGGCCTTGTTTGATTTCTTTGCAATGTCAGCCATGTATAAGTGATTGGGGAACTAGAATTGACGGACCTCGAGCTTGCCTCTCATGCAAAAGAAGCTGCCACACGGCGCTTTTGTCGCCAAATAATATATGGAACAAAGCTTTAGAGCTTATGTCGAGAATCTTTTCGGTCGCTAAAACAAGATCGCCTTGTGGAACATACTCCACGGGTTGAGTTGGGAGTCTGAATTTAGCAGCATCCCGGCCACGGCCAGTCCTGCCTCCATCCAGTTCGAGATCTTTGTCAACGTAGATAGGGAGTCGGATGTCCTTTGCAAGACCCAGGTCTGTACCCCTGCCCCCATCTTGTTTGATGTCTGCAAGTCCGGATGAGAGATCTTCCCAGCTATCTGCACTGGAATTTCGGGCTGGAGATCCAGTGTCCATCTTGATCAGTGCCTTGATCAGAGACTCCAAAGACAATTGCTCGACGGCAATGGAGCCTTGGATCAAGAAGTTGAGTCGTTTTTGAAGAAGTCGGAGAGGTTCAAGGAAAGTCTTAATCGTAACCCGGCCAGGAGTATCACTGCCGAGGGGTGGGATAGTATGAAGGAAAAGGAAGTCACAGTCTCGCCCAGGAGCTGCAGTTACCTCCTTGATGCTCTCCAAGGAGACGCCGGTAGTCAACACCAGTCCAAAGTGATGACTGTAAAAGTAGATGTTCCTTGCTGTGACATAAGCTCGTCCGGGGAACTCTTGCTGGTCATTAGGGCTCCAGGTAGCTCTGAACACCAAAAGCAATGCTTCCGATCTCTTGACGTCTGGGAAAAGCAATCTAAATTGAGCATCTTGAATCCTCAATTGTTGAGGATAGTAGCTGGGATATTCATGCCCAATACCCAGCGCAACTTGCGTAAGCTTAACATCATCCCCGTCAAGGCTTACTGTCTGTCTGTGGCGTGGACCTGACTGCTGTCGGGGTGCTTCCAAAGCACCTGCTGCATCGGGCTGTGCGGCAATTGTGTGTGTTGAGGTATCGCTCAAGGTGGAAGACGACCGGCCTCCTGAGGTCTCATCAGACGCACCATCAATCTGGTGTTGTTCCCGTTGAAGCTTGTTCATGAAGCCCCAGTTGGAGCTACCCCACAGGTTCGCCATCATACCACTGGGCATGCCACCTGTGCTATCAGAGACACCTAATCCAATACCTCTTTCATTGCTGACAACCACTGCCGCCTTGCTCATGCTTGTTGGTGCTGGGGGATTGGCGAGCGTGCCAGGTGCAAGACTTGAACCAGGCTCATCCACGTTGCTTAAACAGCGACCTCGTTTACCGTTCTCATCATTCGCGTTTAGTGAAGCGGTGGCGCTATATGGGAGAATATTATGGCTGGCAGAGATGAGGCTGGCTATTCCACCTGCAGGGCCAGGGATGGATGGAGACAATGGAGCCGCATTGTTCGATTTGCGGTGAAGATCCAACTTTTGGATGAGTCTAGAGGTATGCTCTCTTGCATGCTCTCTTGCAGAGCCCTCACCATCTAAGCCAGTGGGTCTTCTGCCGCTTCCAATGTCGGTGCTATTTCTCATGGTAGTTCCATCACGGTCCGGGACAGGAAGTGTCATACTGCGATCTCCACCTCCGGGCTCATCGTGCGTATTGGGGGTAAGAGAATCTGCAGGGTCTGCAGCGAACTCGGCAGCCGGAGGTTGGGAAATTGAAAATGCAGGGTCTTGAACTGTGACTTTTCCAGAAACGGAAAGATCAGTGCTTGCGGGGTTTTCCAATGCTTTCTGTTTGGCGGCCTCAAAGGCACCAATCCATTCCATCAACTCCTTTTGGTTATCTGCCTGCAGCAGGATAGTGTTGTTCTTAGTCTTCACTTGGAAGCAGAACCGGCGTTCCTCCTGAAATGCAGGACGAACACTGCAAAGCAGTACACCAATTCGTTCACTCTCTTCAACGCCGCCAGTACGAGAGCCTTGTACAAGACACCCGAATATCCCGTTCTTGAGAAAAGCCCACCGCTTAACCCAAACAGTGCGAGTGGGCTTTCCTGACAATGTTCGCAAATACAGCCACCCCTGCTTCTCTGGTCGCATTTCTTTACACACATTAAGTGTCGAAATAGGGCGAGAGCCAAGGTACGGAACGGTTGAGATATTATAGTCCTCCAGTTCACGAGACGGTCGAGCCGCGATCTC